CATTAATAAATATATTATGTTATAGTTTTTATACTTAATAATACAAATGTAGAGTATTACTCATATAAATTTATTAAGTATTATAATTAGAATGTTATTATTTATAATACCTTAATTATTCAAATTTATGGTTACCATAAATTTAAATAATTACATAAATTATGGAATATTTTTAATTAATAGTTTTTACCTTATTTTATCTGGGTTTATATTATGTAAATTAGATACTATAAATTTTGTAATTTTAGTGGGCTTTATTCTAATAGTATTAGGTTTAACTTCTAAAATATGAAGTAAGAAATTATTAAATTTATATTTAAATTTTAATAAAATAAAATGCTTTTTATTATATTTAGTCTTAAGATGACTTTTATTAGTTTTTACGCGAACATTTTTAATAAATGTTTGTTTATTACTTAGTTGATTCTTTCCTGGATCTTATATAAACTGAGAATCATTAATATTAATATTAAATGCTACAATACTAAATTTTTTAGTATAAATTATACTAAAATATACGTGAAAAGGTGTTCCGTATATGTACTATACAATCCTTTAACGCATGGTACTAAAGAATTATATTTTAAAACTAATGAAGGGAGTATTATTATCCTATGTTTACTTCTGACCTCCGGTAAAGTAAGCGAAGGGGTTAGTTACAATCTAACTAGAATAAATTTATATCAAGACGCCACTAATAATAATTTAACTGTAAATACATAACCCTTTTAACTAGTCAAACAGATCTTGTAAATATAGGCCATGGAATGTCAAGTTTAGTAAGAGAAGGATTAATATTAAATTAATCCTTAATATGATCTGGTTAAATGTATTTCTATATGTGTTTAAGGAAAGTAATATATATTAAAAAAAATTTTTTTTTTATATAATATAAATATAAGATTCTTTAGTTTAACAGGTAAAATGCATTTTTGATAAGAATGATATTCAAGTTCAAGTCTTGAAAGAATTAGTGAAGGAAAAGTTGTTATAGGTAGGGTAAAATATTGGCTAAATATTGTGTTAATTACACATGGGTGTTCGAATCATCTCTTTTCCGAAAAATATGCTTTTTTAAGAGTATAGTTTAATGGTAAAATAGGGAGCTTCAACCTCCAATTTCTCAGTTCGAGTCTGAGTACTCTTGTAATTTATCCTTTACGAAGGCAAACAAACTTAAATATAAATATGAATAATTTATTTATTATATACGAAACCTATACAAATAGTTATAGAACATATATATATTAGAAAGTATAGCACTTTTTTATAATTATATTAATAAAATATTTAACATTAGTTAATAGTATAATTAATTCAACGTTAAATAGTGAAAATTTCGTGTTATATTTAATATTATTTTTAATAGTATTTCTTAGTATAGTTATAGCATATATACTTTATATTGATAGATATCGACCACAAGGGGGAGGAGTTAAATTATAACTATGGCAAATTTAGATCTACAGTAGCTAGTACTGAGAATAACGATGGTTCTTGTTAAACTTGATTAGATAAAACATCCGAAAATGTTTAGTCCAAAAATATTATGTTCACGTGCTTATCCTGAAGGAATAGCCACAGCAGTAAGAATTCTGGTGAAGTTCCAGGATTTTAAGCTAACCCTAATAATTTTTATTATACTAATTACAACCCTGATAAATATATTACATATAATTTACCTCATAAGGGCAATGACTGGGGCTACTTTCCCCCAGCATGGGGATTGATCTTAATAATAATTATTGAGTTCAGAATAACCCTATAAATAACTTAGTTTAATAGAGCTATAGCTTTATTCAAAAATAAATACCTAATAAAAATTATAACAAATAGTATATATATTAAGTAGGTGCAATAATTATAACAATAAAAAAAAATGTAAAGAGAATTGATCGAGTGGTTTAAGATGGTAAGCTTGAGTCTTATTTGGCCTAAATAGGTCACATCCGTTCGAATCGGATATTCTCTGAATTAAATTCATAAGTAAATTTGACAATTTAATATATCTATATTAAAATTAGGAATAAAGTATTTAATAGAATAAGATTTATCTTTATTCAAAAATAAATACATAATATAAAATTATATTAATAATTAATATATAAAGGATATATATATATACGGATTAGGGCCGGGTAGGTTAGGCGTCTCATTTGGGTTGGGAACTAGTTACGTTCGAATCGTAATAATCCGAAACCCCAAATTTATAGTGATATAGTGTACTAGATATAGAAAAATATTTATATTATATATAAATAAGTATACAAAGAGACTATTAGGGATCCCTGTAAGGAGCTATGTATTAAAGAGCGATAAAATATTAAAAAAGTTATGTACTAATAAATATACATATAAACTCTTAGAGAAATTAAATAATAAACGAAGGCGAATTGAAATATCTTAGTAGCTTCAGGAAAAGAAATCAAACGAGATTCTACAATTAGTGTGAATGAAAGTAGAGTAGCCTATATACTAAACATAGTATATTAATAAGTAAAATGGGCACAAATCTGTTTAAATATTAAGGGGAACCTTCCTCTAAGGCTAAATATAATACATAAGCGACAGTGAATAAGTACCGTGAGGGAACGGGTTGAAATAGTAGTTTTATAAGCAGCTCGAGCTAAGGCAAGAGCGTACCTTTTGCATAATGGGTCACCAAGTTAACATTAGATGCGAGCAATTTGCGTAGTTAAACCGATGATCAAAAATGAATTAGTGTCTAAAGTTAGACCCGAAGCTAGGTGATCTTACTATAGTCAGGATTATAAAAGTCCGAACGGGTTATCGTAGCAAAGATATCCGAAGAACTATGGTAAGTATAGTGAAAGACAAAACTGACCTAGATAGCTGGTTTTCTGCGAAACCTATAATAGTAGGCAATTTAAGTAACATCTTAGCAGGTACAGAACTTAATCTCAGGCAAGATGTTTAAAATTTGTTTAAAAGTTGTAATAGACTTTTAAATAAATCTACATTTTAGTTTGTACATATCGGGGGGTCGTAGAGACTTTATCGGTGAGTATGTAGACTCGGAATGGCAAAGATGAATCTTGAATTATCAGACATAGAATGATAAGGTTGTATGTCAAAAGGGAAACAGCCCAGAACAAGAGTTAAGGTTCCGAAATTATTATTAAGTGAAATTAAGAAAGTTTTTATTCAAGTCGACAAGGAGATGGGCTTAGAAGCAGCCATAATTCGAAGATCTCGTAACAGAGCGCTTGTTAATTTTTAAAGGCATCTAAAATTTAACGGATCTAAATAATATACCGATACCTTGTCCATAATTGATAATAATAAATTTATTATTGTCATTTACTGGGGTAGCAGAACATTGAGTAAACCTGCAACATTTTTATTATTTTTTTAATAGATGTGACGGTGTTAAAGTAAAATATAAAATACTTTACCCTCAGTATACTCAAGAGAGAATGGTGACATGAGTAACAAAAAAGAAGTTCGGTTGGATTAATTTCTAATCGAGCGCTCGCCTAAAGCTTATGGTTTATTTAAAGTAACGGCCTCTAAGTTTACAATCCCAAAGGTTGAAACGATGAGAAAATCTTATTACTTAAAGGACAACATTTTTAAAGTGAAAAGTGTGCTGGAAAAAATAAGTAATATATTAATATTATACAACAAACTAAAAAGATGAGTTAATATTGATGAAAAAATAACCGTACCTAGAAACTGTGACAAGTAAGCTAGTGTAGAATACGAAGGCGTAAATGAGCTAACAATCATAAAGGAACTCGGCAAATTGACTACCGTAACTTAGGGATAAGGAGGGCTCATTTGTCCTGATAATCTCAGGTAAGAAGGAAGAAGCATGAAATAGTGTTGTACGACTGTTTAATTAAAACAAAGCACTTTGCATAAAGACTTAAAGTCTAAGTATAGAGTGTGATTTCTGCCCGGTGCCGGCTGGCTAACGAAAATAACTAACTTTAAAAGGTTTGGTACTGTAGGAACCCCCGGTTAATGGCGGCCTTAACGTGAGGGTCCTAAGGTAGCGGAATACCTTGACTGTTAAATGCAGTCTTTGCATGAATGATGTAACGATACAACAGCTGTCTCTATGATTGACTCAGTGAAATTGGCATAACTGTGCAGATACTAATTGTGAGGAGAGATAGAGTGACTACTTTGATCGTATTGGCAAGCAAGCAGGCTGAGAAGTACAAATGTGTGTAAGAGCTTGATCATACTATGGGAGGAGAACGAGTAGGATTTTAGGCAAGGATTGACGGGATGTGATCAAGAAGCCGAAGTCATATTATAGTTACGGAGATTGGAATCTGACAACACACTATGCACTTTTCCTTCGTATTGCGCGTTTAAACCAACGTTGGTAACCGCTCTCTTATAAGGCTATGAGGCGGGAAACCTTATTCGGCTTTGACACGGAAGATTCGGCCTGCATGAGCAGATGCGGAATATGGCAGCGTCTTGGCCTCAACAACCTAACTTATCAGATGAACTCAGTCAAGGACAAACCCCCAGTGCATTCAACCAGAACTATTGTTCGTTATTCCCACTATCATCGGGCTTGGTGAAAGGACATGATATTATTATTATCCATACCTTCTCAACACACTAATTGGGGAGATTCATGATCGTCGTGAACCGGATCACGCAGTGGTCAGGATCACTCATTGGTAGCGATGCCATTCCATCTACCTGCTATGGCTTAGGCACCAAACGCTTGAAGACACTGTTACTCAAACGCCGACGGCCAGGCTACATAGGTGACCTCAGTCATGTGCACCTGATTGACACGAGTGAAACACTGTGTACAGGTTTTACTCCTATCCGATTCCACAACCAGTTTGCGGACGGGCTCACATGAGCGCATAATCAAGATATCAAACTCTGATGTCATTTTGAAAATGGTACAAGATGCTACGCCTCTAGTATATGCGTTCATAGCTGTCAACTCAGCAGCAGGTCCATCTTGTTGGAGACACCATCGACTGGGCTGCGTCTGTGGCCCGCTACGGTAAGCTGGCGAGCCCCAGCTCCGGCCAATGAGCTGTGAAGTCCACCACACGCTTCGGCTTCCAGCCCCTTGGTGTACCTGGCCCCCGACGTTGCATGTCAAATTCCATGCTCGGATGGGGCAACCGACCAAGGGGTTCAACGGGAAACAACCAGAATCCGACCGCCTGCTTCACATGGGTTACCTTCGAGAAAATCGACTCCACCCACTCAGTATATTCATCACGCAACCATGGAGCCACGCCCTTTCGGCTGGCGATCCTGCTGACGCCGGGCCGCTCTGCCGAAACTAGCAAGCGGTACTGCCTGGTGTCGGGTCCTGGAATTCCGCAGGTCCAGCGCAGCTTCTGCCATCGGAAGATCATGCCACGCGGATCAAACTCCCCCACGGAAACCCGCCGCAGCAGGTTGTTAGGGATAGGTCGTGGATCGCTCCCCATGCGCTCGAAGGCCGGCGCATCAGGCATGATCGGGCACTGCAATCTGCGCCGCCTGTTCATAGCCGGGTCGCCGCTCATCGAGCCCTGGTTGTCGGGGCTCAGGTCCACGACGCAGAGGTAGAACACCTCCTTCAACCCCGCGACGGTGCACACGAAAGCCTCGCGCGCCGTCACGTTCCGGGTCCCGGCAAGCTGCAGGGCTTTGAGTTCGGCAGCGCCGTCGTGGTCGAGCGCGAAGTTCAACAGGCCGACGCCCCGGGGGTCGTACCATGTCTTGAGCTCGGCCAGGAAAGCGACGAACTGGTGCCAGCCACTACTGAGCTGGATGTGCAGGATGTCGTACCCGGGGTTGAAGCGAAAGACGCCGCCGCTCCTCTTCTCGCCGTTCCCCTCCATCACAGCAGGAACGCGCACGCGGTAGAACTCCAGCGCGGCCTGTTGCGCTCGCTGCTCACGCGGAGGAGCTTGCTGTGGAGCTGGACTCCGCGCACGGTGACGCGGTAGGTATGGTCTTTGGACGGCGGCGGTCCTCGTGGCGACGGGCTCATACGCTCCTGTCTCCGGGCGGTGTATTCTTCCAGCTTCACCTTGACGAGGCGCTGTCGCTGCAGGGAGAGCTTCCAGATGGCGATGCGGAGCTCTTTGGGGAGACGGGAGAACTGCGGGAAAGTGACAGGCTCTTTGTGGGTTGGGTTCAAGAGCTTGAACTTCAGCTTGGGTTTGGAGGACATGGTTGACGGAAACTTTGTGCAACAGAGACTAATCACTGACGAGGGCATCCATGAGATATCAGGCAGGTATTGAGGTTTTTGCCGTTTCGCGAGACGGCGTCCCTCTAGTTATAGGACTGCTTCCGATTGCATTTCAACAAACGGGTGAGTCATGATCTTTTTCTTTTTCCAGGCGGGGTAGTCTGGCACTGGTATCTAATAAGCCACCTTCTGCTCTGGGAATTTGTTGCCTAACCGATGTATGTGTTGAGCCCCTGAACCCTGAACATGCAGGTGAGAAGTGATGAACTTCAGCCCCAGCGCATGAGACCGTCCAGATAAGACGGAGAGACGAGGAGGCATAGGTATAATAATATGATGTCCTTACTGCGCCCATGTGAGCCCATCCCTCAACCTGGTTGAAGCATAGGATAGGAGTAAAATATGTACTACGTGTTTCACTCGTGTCACCCAGGTGCATATGACTATTAAGTCCATGATCACGAAGTCATATCCCTTAGCGTGCACGGATACGAGGAAAGTGGTACAGAGTGCTCCACGTAAGCAATTTCTGAGGACAGCGCCATAAATCTTCACGAGGTTCCATAAGATTAAGGTTGTTCGTATTGAGTATTATATCAGCACTTGTCTCTAGTCGTGGTTAGATACGCTGCCACTCAGCTGGAACGTAAGCTCCCCCAAGGACGCCGGCGGCCTTCCTGAAACCGTATGTAAACAACGCTCTCATGCTCATGGCGCATTAATATGAGTCTCCCGTAAGAAATACGCAGGTCTCCAAGGCCGTGAGGCCGATGCAGGTATATTTGTATGGCTCGATGCCAGTTCGACAGCCGTAACTCCGGCCCGAGTACCTATACCCAAAGATCCACCACGTAACTCCGATGCAATGCAGTAATGATTGAGTTTCGTGGGAGCAAGATCCTCTGGTGTGATAGAGATCCTGTCTCCCGCTTAGGCTCTCACTTGGTGTTGTAGCGCAACGCCGAGCCCGGGTGTTGTATCGTCTCATCCCGGTCCATCGCTACCACGACGTCGTTCTTGCAGATGCCGTAGCTGCAACAATATTCGGGTGCTATCTCTCCCCGTAGTATGGCATCTCGTTTGGACTGGGTTGGGTCAGTATAGGAGGGTGGAAGGGGTCGCTTTCGAGAGACATACGTCTGGACAGCGTACGGGAGAGGCGCTGGTCAACCCCGTCAGGGAGAAAGTGAACATGATGGTTGATATCAGGATGTTCGCCTGCATAACGAAAGATCCCTCTCTTCAAAATTTCTAGAGAGATGTGGGTTGCGTAAAAATATGTTCAGTTGCGCTGTCGAAGCCTGGGGCTGAGCAGTAGGGGTATGTTTCGAGTGATAGGTTGAGTGTGTCTCAGAGTGGTGTAACGATAGCTGTTTGTAACAAATGGCAGTGAATTACAAGAGCGAGTTGCAAGATATACGAGACATCAAGAGGCTTAATAGAGTGTGGATAGCTATGGTATTTATCCTACCGGATCCCTATCGGAATACAGTCGTAACGTAGGCTGACGTATATGCGCCACACACTTGACAAGCTGGCCAGCCGGGACCCATTCGGGGTTTAGTGATGGACGGCTACGAGGAAGCCCGAACATGACGCCCGGAGACGCCGGACCCAAGGCCTCCCTGCGGCTGTGTAGTATCGTTACACGAGAACGAGGACCCTCGTAATTGCTTACGAGATTATTCTGGGTCTTATGGTGGATGCAACAAGTATGCACTCAGCAACCGTGGCAAAACTGGAACGTGAGAACAGGGAGAGCGAAGTTGTGGCTGTGAACCAAGAGGGACTCGGTCCTGCTGGCGATTGGTCGAGACGAAAATAGAAGCTCACGAAGGCCCGAAGCGTTCAAGTCAACGCCCGGGCCACATGGGCAACCTGGCAACCTAACGTAATCTCGTACAGTATCTCAGTTTGTCAGATCCCTATCACGGGCACCAAGTGCTGGAAATGAAAAGATCTAGGTATTGAGGGCAATACCGAATCGTTGTGACAGCGATATGGACTAGATATCCTCGTTGTCTTGTGGATGGTCTATCTACCTTAATGTCCGTTGGCAGCGAAAACGCTTTGAATGCATGGGGCTCGACACCCCTGCTGTCCAACACATATTGGCCACATTCAAAGGTGGGTTCTGCTCACACTCGTTGACCAAGTACCTAGGTGATGCGGTGGCGTCCTAAATTTAGGTGGTCTGTATCATGTGGCTATGGTGCGAAAGAATAAAGAAGAAAAGCATGCGGCCAGAATCAAACCTGCTCTTCCCCGGATCGCGGTTGGGCCACTATCTGTGGGAAAGCAAGTTGGACACCTGACCACTTTCCCACACCTCTTTTGAGCTGCTTGGATGAAATTTTGGTTTGGTATTTTGGTACAAATACCCTGCTACCTGGCTAGGTGCGTTGCCTGGTGTCCCGTAAAACATGATTCCAGAGCATAAAACCGTATCTCGTTATCCACTGCTAAATATATGTCCAGTACCCCTCACTCGATGATCCAAGCCATTAGACCTCCGTATGTTTGTCTTTTAGATGCTTCCAGGCTCCCCCACTCAAGTTGTTTCCGGAAGCAACGAGGCAGGACCAGCCAACCAATGCCGCATTGGTATAGACAACCACAGAGCAGAACACCCACCCCTATCTACCTTATGTACCAAATCGTCCAATTCGTAACGGCCTTAGCAGCCTCGTCAATCTCATAAACCTCGTCAACCTCCCTCATCGTCATGTCCCATCACCATCAAGCTCCACCCTAACATATGCATAGCGAAATGCATCATCCAACACCCAGCATCCGCCACGCAGAGCAAAACAAACACATCAAAGCAAAAGAACGATCAGAATAGACCAAATCATCAACGCGGCAAAGGGAATGCAAACTTCTTTCTCCATATCCAGCACCCAAACGGCTAATGCAATGCTCTGAGACCATTACTTCCACCACTCTCCTCACACTCTCCCCTCCTTCCGCCATTCTCGATCTCGTACCACTGCCCTGCTACCCTGAAAACCCCAGAAAGGAAGGGGGTCCAAGTCACGAGGACTATCGATCAATCGTTCGAATAATGAATGCATCACCATCATCATCATCCTCCAGTACCAGTCCAGATGGCCCCTACTCACTGCCTGTGCGCGCGATACTGACTCCCACGCTCACTCCCACGCCCACTGAACCAGCGCTTCAAGCCTCCTCCCCCTCCCCCAACATCACCACCACCAGATCTCTTCTCCCGTATCCCAGCTTCAGCCTCAGCCTCAGCCTCAGACTCGGTCTTTCCAGCCTCCTGAGCCTTCTCGTACCGCGCCCAGCGCTCCTCTTCCAGCGCCACTGCCTCCTCGTGTTCGAGGTCCGCCCGGTCCGCAGCCTCCTCCTTGTCCACGTCGAACGTGGCATCTTCGCCGGTGTACTCGTAGAAGAGGCGCGGCACGAGTAGCCGGTACGGCACCGTGATGCCGGCGGGATCCTTGGCGTTCACCTCGACGTTGAGGCAGATGTCGAGGGCGCCCTCGACGTCGACCTCGTAGCGAGATGCCTTGCGCATCTGCTTCGTGCTGAGACCCGTTGGGGTGCGGTGGAAGGGGCGTGGCGGAGGCTCGAGGGACCTGGGCCCCTCTGACTCGGGGGTTGGCGTGTAGTCGTCTTGGGCGTGGGCGTTCGCTGTGGGCTGCGTAACGGCGCGGCGGGGCGGTGGACGCGCGGTGAAGTACGAGTCGTCGCCTACGTCAAACTCGTTGCTGCCGCTGGCTCCTCCGCGGAGACCGAGCGTGCCGGTGTTGGCGAACGCCGCGGGAGGACCACGACGGGAGGCAGGGGGCGGTGGAGCATTGTAGATGTCCTCCTCCTCCTCGCTGTCCGAGCCCCAGTTGCCATTAATACCGCCGTCGTGGGGCCGATCGGTGCTGCTCCGACGAAAGATGTTACGCGGGCGGAACGAGTCGCTGCGGCCAAGCGAGAGGGAGCGCGTCAGCTTCTTAGGTCCTGGGCGCGCCGAGGCGTCAGAAGACGAGCCTCGCCTTGAGAAGGGTCGCATAAAGCTGGAGCCTCCAGTAATGGGCGGGCGCGAACGGTCTGGCGAGTCCTTTGGCACATCCGGGCGAAGCGCAGGTCCCCGATTCTTGGAGAGCGAGAATCGTCGGAGGATACCGCCACGACTGCCTGGAGGCGTACCCTCTGGTGTATACTCATGGTTGTATTCCGCTGGTGGCGTGGTCGGCGGCGTGTGTTCAGGAGCGTACGCCCTGATAGAACACCAGTTGCGATGAGGCAACAGACGCTTATTGTTGCGCGGCTTGCCATCGACACCATGCGTGAAGATGGGAATCATATCCTCGTCGGTTTCTTTATCGAAATGATGGATCTTGTTCCGCTTGTTGAGCACATCGGCCATCAGATCAGGGGGAGGGGTGTTAGCTATCGCCGATGATATGATATTGGGCATGTACCGAAAGTCCTTGTGCTTAGCTATGTGTAACTTCGGGTTGGAGTAGAATTCGCCTATGGCTGCGAGATGGACATCGCCGCTGAGGATGGTTACGCGGACAGACTTGTCTGCAGCTAAATCCTGGAGGTCTTCGACGACCATCTTCCTTTCGTCTTTGTGATTCTTCGCCGTCCAATGATCGTCTAGGTCATCGAGCACCTCAACTCCCCCGTCAAAGTGGTTGAGGAAATTGCCCAGCATACCAACTTTCCCGAGGGCCTTGATGGGATCCATTAGCCTCGAAGTTAGACTGCGAATGTTAGCATGTTATCTCTCATTATGCCTCATACTGAGCACTCACATGTTTTCCAGCCACACGAGCCGCGGGTAGGCAATTGGAACTCCCAGCAGGACCAGGAGGTGATGGGTTTCGCTTTTGATAATCTCGTCATAGCAACGGTCTTTGATCCTCTCCCAAGTATCCTCACGTACCACTTCGTCTCTTGTCCGCTCCGTCCGGCAGTCGACGGCGAGAAGTGCGACACCGGCTCCTAGGGACATGAACATGCTGCGACTCAGCTCTTTGATGTACGGCCCTGGTTTGACACCCAGGACCCAGCTTGGTTCTGTCTGTTCCGTTTCCACCGGCAAGCTTTGATGCTGGAAGAGCATGTAGTACTTGAACGCGACGTTGCCCAACCCCGTGAACACGGGCGACTTCATGAAGTGATGAGGGTATGATCCGAATCCATCTATGATATCGTGATCATCATACATGTTGACCATCGGGATCTGCGAAGTTGCTAGACCGAACAGCCCTTGCGAGAACCACATCATATACCTCTCAAGATAGAAAACTTCCATCTCATCTTGCATATCTGCAGTGAAGGGCGCATTGTTTTTGTGCAGAGGGTTCTTGATCTGGAGCCAATGCTCGAAGAGCTTGGCTTTCCGCATCACGGCGTCATTGTAGACCTGGTCTCCGCCGCCAACCATGACGTGAAATGGTCGAGTCTGGTGGTTGTTGAGTACATCACGCCACATAGGGTCTGGTCCGCTGAGTTCATCGGTGTTCACACTAAGACTGAAGCCATTGCAGCTATGGAACATGACGTTCATGGACTGGCCTCGCGCCGGCACCCAGAAACCAGTGGCAGGCCCGCGATTGATGCGGTAGGCAATTCGCTGCTGCTTGTCGCGAAGCTCGACCTCGATGTTGAACCTCCAGAATGTATGGCCTCGTTCAGTATGAAGGCGAAATCCGCGCACATCCTTGTACTTCCCAACCTTCTCCCCATCCACCTCAGTGCGCCTCTTACGACTAGTAAAAGAGCCATGTGGATCAGGAGCGTTGCTGTTGAAGTCAGGCGCTGTCCTTGTGGTCTCGAACAGACCATCGTCGGGTCCCAACTTCGAGGCGTCCTTGCTTTCTTCGAGGTGTTCTACCGGCCTGACGTATAGTGTCTCCCCTCGTCGTCCGAGCTTTGGCATTCCCGCAATTGGATCGACGTATTCGGGAAGAAGTTCGCCGCGCAGTTCGGCTGGAGGCGGCGGCAGAAGTTCGATTGGCTGCACGAAAAGCCGGAGAGTGGGCGCGATCTCATATGAAGAGTCGGAATCCTGCGTGACAATCATCACAGAGCCTCGCCAGATCTCTCTATCTGGTGGTAAATCATTGCGACCTGTCCTAACCACGGGCTTCTCATGACGGATGCCGCAATAACGCAACAGCGGGCCACATTTGAGATGCAGTGGTGGCTTGAATCGCGTCGGAGCTTGAGTATCGTCGTATTCGCCATCAAACGCCTCTGCCTTCTGAGGCCGTGTTGACATACTCTTTCTTCGCTTCCCACCACCTTCCCACCAGGCTTTGTTCGTATCGGCAGGCGAACCAGGCTGTCCAGTGATTTCCAGCAAAGTACCCGATAGTGTTCCGGTCGTGCCCTTCTTCCACTCATCCAGATACTGAGGAGGTTGATACATGCCTTGACCCGGTTTCAGGTTGCCACGGTGCATATACTCTCTAAGCCCATGATCATGATCCTGACTACTAGCATCTGAATCATCTTCCTCGAATACCCGAGCTTCGTGTTGCGGGTCTGGGAACGTGACGGATTTGGTGACGTTAGGACCGGACGTGGGGGGATGAGGCTCCTCAATACGCGGAGCAGGCTGATGGTTCGTCCCCATAGAATTTGCCCGACCCAGTCCGGGTGTGGCAGCAGTTCCATTCCTCCGACTCGGGGGATCGTCAAATCCACGCGCTGGGGCGCCATATGTGCCCTGAGGTTGTTGAGGCTGTCGGTTGGCTCCCATCGAGTTCGACCGCCCCAGGCCAATGGCAGCAGCGAACCCCTTCAGTCGACTCGGCGGCGACTCCTCAAAATCACCATGACCTTGAAAAGACTCGCCTCTAGCTGGGGGTCTATCGAGCTCGCCTGCTGGCTGTGGGTGCTTCTCGTTTGTACCGCCTGTAGGTCGCGCTCTGATAGGAACATTGTTAAACATGCCGGGTGGCCCATTCGCAGCTTCTGCTTTGCGTCTATTCAGAAAAGCAGCTCCCTCTTCAGCCTCTCCACGCACAGAAAACCATGGATCTCCAGGCGGCTTCTTCTTCAGCTTGTTACTGCCGCTGCGTGCTAGAGCCAGGCCTCCGCCAGGTGTTGTAACTGGTGAGGTCGGTGATGAGCTATCACTTGGATCTTTGAGAATATTGAGATCGTTGTTGGCGGCTCTCTCGCGGAAACTCAAATTTCGTTGTGGCAGGCTGGTCTTCTCTATCCCCGGAATGTTGCGGTTCGTGGCCACTGGAATCTGAGACCTCGGTGACTGACCTGAAGGCTTATATGGCCTGTCCTCCTCGGGCCGATGCTGAGCCAATGAGCCGTTCTTCGTGGCCGCAGAGGGGCGATCCTCAACCGGATCTGTAACGATAGCACGCTTCCCATTCCCGTTCTCGACAGGCTGACGTGGGTCGCGAAATCGAACTTGCTGTCCAGCTGGGCGTTCAGGCAGGTGTTGGCCACGATCCACAGCCTTGCCCCTTTCTTGGGTCGCCCGTTCTCTAGCGCGCTGTTCCGCTGCCTCGACGCGCGCCCTCTTTTCCTCTTTCGTGATGCTATCGAGGGTCAGCTCCAGCCTTTGGAGTGGTGACCGGTCATCTGCCCACAATTTGCGCTGTGTGTCTGCATTTTGCGATTCTCGCCTTCTGGACGAAGACGGATCTGTCGAGGCCTCCCCCGGCGTATGTCCGTTCGTATGGCGTCGTGTCGACCCAGATGTCCCTGTGTCTCTGCCCACCGCGCGACTAGAGAACCCCCCCTCGTCAAATCTCGGCCTGTCGCGGTCGAGTACAGGTGCTCTGTCCTGCTTCTCAGCAGGCGGAGTCGCATCTTTGTAGAAGGATTCAGGCTCCATTCCAGAGGATGTTGGCTGAGGCCCGGAACTGCGAGTTGAGCGAGGCGGCCCGGGTCGACCTGCAGCGTTGAATGTATATGCTTGGCCTCCGTTTCCGTAGGGGTCTTTGTAGCTAACGGGGGGAGCTCTCGGAACGTCAGGCGCAGCTGGTGGAGGCGAGGTGGTCGACTCGGGGGGTTCGTCTGGTTGGTCGCGACTTGTGCGCCTCCGGCGTTTCTCTAGCAGTTCTTGAGGATAAGTATTGTGTCCGTACGGCAATGAGGGCGGTCGAGGCGCGAGGCCACTGCCCTGGTAGTTTGATGTCGTCGGAGAAGCAAGCGGAGTGAAGGTAGACTCGGTAGGGGCGTCGGTATTCGCAGTCTGGCTGGAGGTGCGGTTCGATCTGGGTTGTGCTTGCGAGGCGGACTGGTCCCGCGACTGGCTGTGATTAGTCTGATCATATTGGTCCGAGATACGACGAGCCTTTGGAGGAGGCAATTGACCCCAGTACGGCGCGGACATGGTGGGCGACTGGCAGAGGGCAGACGGTTGGGAACAGCGATTGGGCTGCAATGCGGGCCCGACTGGCAAAGATCGGACTGTTGCTTGTATCCTCAGGCGCACATCGAATTGACGGTTTAATGCGGGTGCGGGTGTCCATGGATAAGCCAATGCCACGCAGACACACACACACCACCCAACCGGAGGTGATATCCAATGCAGTCGTATAATGTTACCAGAAAGTGGTGAGATAATGATGCTCGGTTTAGGTTGTGAGGGATGCAGATGCGACTGGATATTGAGTGATAAGAGATTAGTAGTAGCGGCTATCCGACGCTGGCAGGCTGGCAGGCTGGTGCGGAAGTTGGGATCTGGACCTGAACGTTGCCGACGACTTCTTGTTTTGTGATGAATTTATCTGGGTGCGAAAGAGAACCCGACATGAGGCAGGAGCTCGGAAGAGGGAGCGGGAAAAAAAGAAACAAGCAAATCGATAGATGAAAGGCTTTGTAGATTGTACGGAGGACCCGAGAAGAGGCGGTCAGACTGTCAGCCTGTCGACAGGGTCTATCTCATGATTCTCATGATGATCCAAGTTACATGACAGAAAGTGCAAAAAGGAAGAGAGGTCATCTTGAGGGCTGTTGGCCCGAAAGAGGTAAAGAGGTAAAGAGGACTCGTGTCTGTCCTCTGTCCTCCGTTTGGTGACACGAGGCCATTGCGAGATACCAAAAGCGAAAAGCGGTGGCTGGTAGCACACCACCCGAACCAAGAATAGGTGTCTGCAAGCACGCGAGCGCCGTCATGATGGGCCATGGCGAGCAACCTACGGTGGAGGATGAAGTACGGTTTTGGGTTACGAAGCCTTTCGAGCTGAGCTGTCGAGGTGAGGACAATCTCAGGTGAGTAAAGTAGGAATAAGCTCAAGCTTTTGCCTTGCCGTTAGTTCAATGTTGTCTGTGAGCTGGAATGTACTCGGTAATAATAACCTTGGACCCTTGGAAGTGCGGGAGCAGCCGCCCACCTGCAATTAGGCGGGCCTCTTCTGAATAGCTTCAACCTACCGTGCTTACTTGAGTTGTTGGCAACTCTCTTACCACTATGTTAGTTGATAGTTGACTTGATGACAATGTTAGCCCAAGCTATCAAAAGTTCAGCTGTGATGTCATTGTCGACCCTGGTGGTAGGAAGGAAGAAATCCTACGAGACGGAACAACGAGTCAGCGACTAATAAGCAGCCACTGCGCGCGGAATGGGCCCATAACGTGAAGTACAGGCACGTAGCTTGTTGACAGTATTTACAGAGTGCAGCTGTTTGAGCATGAAGTAATAATAGCCTGGGCAGGTAGGTAGTAATGCCATTACTGTCCATCTGACAGCATGATTTGCATCGCATGGCTTCAATTTGATGTTCTTACGATACAGCTCGCTGCCAGTTCTCCCAGTCAGTCAAATCTAAAAATAACCATACCTAACGTAAACGTGGCGGCGTGGGTCCGGATTTGGACTGTGCTCCCCGCTCCACAGCACTGTAACTTGGGAAGCAGGCCAATTGTTATTACGACGGTCGTGGCACATGGTCAGCAAGTGTGGCTTAGACGCCTCACACCCGTCCTTTCAATGTTCGGGTCCCTTCGCTGGCCCTTTGCGCTTGGGAACACCTGGCTTCACCTTTGTACAGGTGGTATTTGATGCTTTGCGCTGCTTTACTAAGGTAACCATTGCATCTTGCGTTACGTCTGCTGACGACTTGTCTCTTACTTGCTTCACCGTCATTCTTCTTCATTTTCGCATGACAATTCCAGTCAAGCCATCGCACAATTAGCCATTCATGGAGAGACCTGCATCACTTACTATTTAGTCGTTCTTTGAAGGTTCCACTAAAAGGGGGTTGTCGCGTTGCATTGTTTCAATAGAAGGCGTCGCTCTACCTCCCGCCTACATCCTATCTATCCGACTTCCGTCGGCACCTCGCCCTCCTTCACCTTTATCTGTCTTTCCTCCACTGCTACTACCGGTACAACGTCTAGCGTGGCGTTGACGAAACGAGCCACGACGACTGGACTCTCCGAGCATGAAGATCACCCCTATAGTCGGCCTCGTTGTGGGCAGCCTGGCTGGACTAGGCACCGCCTTTCTGCAACCCCGAGACTTCAGTTCAAACGACTACTACGTCCTCCATATCGACCGCGATGTCCACCCGGATCATGTCGCATCCCGCCTCGGCTTGAGGAATGAAGGGCAGTTGGGCGAGCTACCGCACCATTACGTTTTCCGCGCCACACGAGACGAACACGATGTAGTGCGGAGAGCGGTCCAGGATCGCCGAAGGAAACGGTCCTTGGGAGACCTCGATGTTCTTGACGGCGTCAAGTTCTCCCAGAAGCAGAAGCTGCGCGCCCCTATGAAGAAAAGGGTCATTCCACCACCGCCAGCCGGCCTATACCCCGCGAAGCGAGCCGACACCGCCGATGCGAACGCCCTCCTGAGACAGAAGTCGGTCATGGAGACCCTGGGCATCTCCGATCCCATATTCAACGAGCAGTGGCACCTCTTCAATCCCGTCCAGCTGGGCCACGACGTCAATGTCACCGACGTTTGGCTGTTTGGTGTCACTGGCAAGAATGCGACCGTCGCCATCGTGGACGATGGGCTGGACATGGACAGCAACGACCTGAAACCCAACTACTATGCTCTAGGCAGCTACGATTTCAATGACAAGAGGCCCGAACCCAAACCTACCTTGTCCGACGATAGGCACGGTACACGGTGTGCCGGAGAGGTCTCCGCTGCTAGGAACGACGTTTGCGGAGTGGGCGTCGCCTACGACTCACAGATTGCCGGCATTCGGATCCTTAGCGCGCTTATCAGTGACGACGACGAGGCGGAGGCCATGATGTACGACTTCCAACACAACCAGATTTACTCTTGCTCTTGGGGCCCACCCGATGATGGAAAATCCATGGACGCCCCCGGCGTCGTTATCAAGGCCGCTATGTTGAACTCCGTCCAAAAGGGACGTGATGGCCTCGGATCTATTTACGTATTCGCCAGTGGCAATGGTGCTGCGCAGGAGGACAACTGCAACTTTGACGGGTACACCAACAGTATCTACAGTATTACCGTCGGCGCCATCGATCGGAAGGGAGTTCATCCCTACTACTCAGAGCACTGTTCGGCCCAACTTGTTGTGACCTACAGCAGTGGTAGCGGTGATGCCATTGTGAGTCGGCGTAACCCCTGTTGGGGTATTTTGTACTAACCACATTGCAGCACACCACCGACGTGGGAGAGAATCAATGCTACTCGGGACACGGAGGTACTTCTGCTGCAGCTCCCCTGGCCGCAGGTATCTTTGCTCTCGCTTTGGAGGTTCGTCCGGATTTGTCGTGGAGAGACATGCAATATATCGCTTTAGAGAGTGCAGTCCCCGTCGACCTCGACACAGGAGAGTGGCAGCCCACGACCAAGGGCAAGCAGTTCAGTCACACTTTCGGCTACGGCAAGATTGACAGCTGGGCCCTTGTCGAAACAGCAAGGACGTGGAAGAATGTGAAGCCGCAAGCTTGGTTCTACTCCCCCTGGCTACATGTCCACAAGGAGATCCCGCAGGGGGATCAAGGGCTGTCCGTGAACTTTGAGGTTACCGAAGATATGCTCAAAGAGGCGAACCTCGAGCGCCTCGAGCATGTTACCGTGACAATGAACGTCGAGCATGACCGTCGGGGTGAACTAAGTGTTGACCTCATCAGTCCCGACAAAGTCATCAGTTACATTGCCACCACTCGCAAGCACGACGAAAGTAAAGAGGGCTACGACGACTGGACGTTCATGAGTGTGGCGCACTGGTAAGTACCCTACCAGGACTTAAAGCAACACGCGCTAACAGTCATCCAGGGGCGAATCAGGTGTGGGCAAATGGACCTTGATTGTGCGGGATTCCACGGTTAACGACAACAACGGCACGTTTGTCGACTGGCACCTCAAGCTTTGGGGCGAAGCCATCGATGCGTCCAAGGCTACACTTCTGCCCATGCCGACCGAGCACGACGACGACGACCACGACGTGACTACCACCACTACCCTCACAGCAAGCACAACCAGTCTGCCCCCTATTCCGGACGCTACCAACACTGGCGTTGCTACCACTCTCCCCTCTGACCATCCTGAACGTCCCATCAAGCCCAGCAACACCCCCAGCAACACCGCCACCGGTGGCGCCACTTCGGAAACCGGCACCGAAGCAGCAGAACATGAGGCTACAAGCGCTCCAAGCTCATGGCTGCCATCATTCCTCCCTACATTCAACGTCTCGTCCGCCACACAGGCATGGATTTATGGCGCACTGGGTCTGATTCTGGCATTCTGTTGCGGACTGGGCGGCTGGCTGTGGTACGTGCGCCGCAAGCGTCTGCGTAACAACCCGCACGACGCATACGAGTTTGAGCCTCTTAATGAGGATGAAACCGAGGGACTTAACGGCGGGGGTGAAAAGGGCCAGAGGCGGAGAGGCGGCGAGCTGTACGACGCCTTTGCAGGTGGCAGCGACGACGATGACGATGACCACAGGAGTCTGGTGAGCGCGGAGTCAGACGATGAGCGGGAGGTTGTGCGCGAGAAGCAGAAGCAGAGCTCGCGGCTGATGGGCGACCAATAGGATTTGGATCGCCCTATGGCGTTGAATTACGATCGGGTTCGGGCTTGGTTGAGTAGCTACTCAGTCACGTAAGAAAGTCAAGATTTGAAGATGCTGCAGAAAGGGAGGAATAAAAACCATACAGTGGGGAACTCGATTCTCCCGTGGCATGCCTACGTACCTACCTAGAGGAGACGGATAGTCCGACGCTCGCTCACCCTTGTATATATATCAACATAACATTAGACGGGCTCGACGGGCGTTTTCGCAATGAGGATCTGCATCTTTCATCCATATGGTCTGGTCTGGTCCCCTATCTTTCGTATCTTGAGTCTGGTTCGCCATCAACTTCAAGATTGATTCTTGGAAGAGATTGAATATTGGTGAGCCTGAATATGACATGTAAGAGAATACTTCAGGACTCTCGGTGCCGTAGGTGACGTCACGTCAGATTACATGTTTCTTTGCTGTAACAAGGTACGCCACAGGCAGAAAATGCTCAACTACCTTGGTTTGGCTGTTCTGCATGGGTTGACACTACTAACAGTATCTGATTCAAGCAACGCCGGCATTCGTAAAGAAGGTACATTGTTCGTCCCAATCAATACACATAAAATAAGCTATCTATTCGCCCAATTTGATGCGTTTCGGTATTTCGACCATGCAAGGATGGAGACCACGGCTGCTGCTACCTCTTTATACCCGCCCCCTCGCATGTCCGGTCTTTCGACCCATAGTGGTTTACTCAAGTTTTGTAAAGAATAGGACACATTGATGGGACCGTATGCCTGACATCGTTGCCCTACTGACTTGCAGCTAGTCATGATCCTACTTGGTTATCAAGGACACCCAGTCGCATGTCCCCTTCCCCAACATCCAATGGCCGGCAACTCAATACGCCAACGTATCCCAGTCCGGTGGACGATAATGCCACCAGTCAGTTGATTATGGAGACAATCAACCAGTGAAAGCCGACGCGCTCAACCCTTCCTTCTCCATCTCGCGGACGTACTGCTGCCAGACGTCGATCGTTCCGGTGTAAAAGTCCACGTGGGCATTGGCGAGGCCGCCAAACTGGTGCTTGAGCTCTATGCGCTTGATGCGCTCAAAGTCTACAACCTCCTTCACGACCTCCTCGTCGAACATCTCGGATGTCTTTTTGGCGCGCTCAGCCTCGGTCGTCAGCTCGTCGATGCGGATCTCGAGCTTGCGTAGGCGCTCGCGCCGACTCGCCTCGTGGTCCACGCCGCGTACGTCCTCGATCTTGGACCGGATGAAGCCGCCTGCCCCGCCGAGCGCCCCCGTGTTGCCGTAGCCCGATGCCAGCGAGTCGCGGTCCAGCGTCGACTTGTTGAGGTACTCGGTCAGCTGCTCGTGGTCCAGCTGCTTCTGCTCGCGCGCCTTGAGGAGGTTCTTGAGCGCCTGCCCGTACGCCTGCATGTCCCGTAAGCTGCCCAGATAGTCCTGATCCGTATGTTCGCGAAGCCTCCTGAGCCCCGCCGCAGTGTCCTCGACGCTGGCGGCGAACCCGTGGACGGCATTTTCAACGCCTGGCTCAAGCGTGATAAGCTTCTGAAACTGCTCTGTCAGGTCTCTCAGGTCGGTCTCGAGGTCGGCTTCTCGCCGCGCGACCCGTGCTACGACCTTCTCAACGTGACCCAGGTCCTCGTCCAGCTTGTCACTCTTCTCGCGCACCTCGATAAACCGCTTGTCGTGCTTATGGACCTTGGTGAAGGCGTTGATAAATGTGTCGGCAAAGTTGTCGAATACGCCTCCACTTCCCTGCTCCGAGGTCACGCTCATCCTAGAGGCGCGCGACCTCATCGTGGCGTTCCATTCAGTCGATTCGAGAAAGGTGTGTAGAATAGGCGCTCGGCGGAGGATCGGGTGCATGGCAATTCGGGCGAGGAAGCGCTGGAGGGAAAAGGCCCGGCGGTTCGTGAAGTCGGATCCGAAACGATCTCCTCGTACATATTCCATTCGCTGCTTGTCCGGCAGCGGCGGGACTGCGCATGCTGGGTATTCTTTTGATAGTGACTTGTAGAGGAAGAGGAAGTCTGTGAAGCGGCGCCGGGAGGTAAAGGTTGGTTTCTGGAAGGAAGGGAACGTTGACTATAGGAGTGAGTTAGAATATCATTCTTAGGTCGGGCCTTGGTTGACTGATAATGGGCTCTTCCTGGGTCTGGATGATGTGGTATTCCAACCAGGCCTCCACCCAACAGGTCACTCTGCAGACTTACATTCGTGGTAACGAGGTATGATACAAAGGCGTCCTTGGTGTTCTCGCTTTCCTTATGTGGCTCGGACACTGTGCACTCGAGTATGTCGCCGGTCAAGCCGGGGTCCTGGCGCTCCAGGTCTTCGCCATGGTGCTGATCCTCCTCGGTCGGCGGCTCTGCTTCTAACGCCGGCGTCACCACACTAGAGCTCTCGTCGCCGGTCATTTTATGATCGCTGTGCCAAGATATACTAGAGAACTTGTCCTCGTCAATGACCGCCATCTTTGCCTCGAGATCCTTCTTCCTCACGCGACGCGATCGCGTGGCGGGCGATGGGTGCTATCGGCTTGCCGTGGGGTCGGCGTGCTGTGCTACCGAGGTCAGGGCGTTGGTGGGCGTGGTGGGCGTGGTTCGAAGGAGCAGTGGCGTGTCTCGTGTGTATATGATGGAGGTCGTCCTATCGCTATCGGATAAAGCTGTCGCCCAAAGTGCTCGAATTTGCTGGTTGTTGGATGATAGGTCGAGTTGAGCTGCTGGCCGGGAAGGGGAGGTAAGCTGTGAGGTTGGCGTTTAGCTGGATTGGTGGGGAGCACCTGGGCAGTCATCGAGCTGCGAAGCCCGACGTCATGTTTGCTTAACCGCTTTATTCACATATCCGACACCAGCACAATGTTAAAGGTAGACACAACCTCCTACAATACAACTTCTAGATAGAGCCGTCTTCTCCAATGATTGTTAACGCAGTGTCTACACGCCTCAAATGCGTTCCCCCATCTTGTAATAAGTGTCCACTTTGTACACCAATCTACCCTCAGTCTTTCAATACAAAGCCCAGTTCGTCCCTGTCATCTTGAATGACCCTTCCCCATTCTAGCAGCTGTCGAAATAGGTACGTCTCCATATCCTCCCTTCTCATGGCCTTGTCAGCCCACTTGCGACCTTGCTCGGCGATCCAAAATGCATCCTCCAAGCGGCCTTCGGTAAGCTGTTCCCGCCCGTTGAGGCTTCCACGTCCCTTTAAGCCAATGAAGTAGGCCATCGTACTATGCAGACCGTGAAACCTAAAGTCGATCGGTATGAAGTGCACCCATGGCATGAGGCGTTCTGTATACCATTCTTGGAAGATGGTGGATAGCAATGGGACACTGTTGGAGCGTAACGTCCGGACCAAGTCCGGAGGTGGCCCGTCTGCAGTGTCGAGCAGCATGATGTACCGATTGTCAAGTGCTCTGCTGGGCGGCTCGAAGCCGAACTCTTGCTGCAGCAGTTGGCAGTTAGCGTCGTCACAGTTCTCCGCAGAGCGTGTCAGGGAGAACTGGAAGGGCATGACGCTGTTCGCATCTCTGATCCGAGTATGTTCATATCGGAATCTGCTATCTTTGCCAGATCCTATCCCCAGGAGCACCGGGACCTCGTCACCGGCACTCGCATTGTTACCAAGATGTACCAGGCGATGCCGATGGCTGCCATGTAAGGACTGATGCGTCAGTGCCTCTACATTCGAGTCGCCTTGCCAGAAGACGGTTTCCGATTTAATCCCCAAAGCTTTGCCATCATCTTCCAAGCTGGCGTCAGGCCTCATAAGGGGCAAAAGAATGTCGTTGAAACTGGCCGTTTTGGATCTGCTGAAGAGCGGTAAAAGATCCTGGTATAATTCAAAGCGATGGGGTGTGGTATGGAAGTCGTGGAGATTGAATATGTCAGGCTGGTGGCATGGATCGAGAGACATCTCCCAGTCTTGTAGAAACTGTTCCTTAGAGTGCGGAAGAGTACACGAGGAACAGAAACCTCGCACGTCCCAATGCACACCGCCACGGCTAGGCGATCCAGGAGGACAAGCTAGAGCTTGGAGCTGTCGAAACTTTTGTGCAGACACATATGGTAGGTCGACAGCCTTCGGATTCAGCTTGACTGCATCAGCAGATTCTAAGATCTCGCGCCTATGTAAGCGCCCAGATAGAAGTTGGAAGCCCGGTTTGCTCCCGGCCATCCGGTATCGATGGACATCATCCCAAGGCACCAAAACCCTTGGCCGTTCTTCCAAGTTGATAGCAATCGACATCGAGGGCAGATGTTCGGCAAAGGTGTTGATCATCGACACGGTATCGTCCAATATCATCTTCTGTGACGGGTCTGAAGGTTCGTTGTGAGTTGCTTTGCCACCCGCGATCTCAATAATACCAATATCTGGTTGGCTTTTGAGGAACTCCAAGCCATCCCTTATTTTCTGCTGCTTCATTCCCCAAAAAGGGAAAACATCCTTTTCGATCTGGTCAAATCTGTCGATGACAACTGATTTTCGTTGCCGCGCAAACTCGAACCACTTGTCGAAGTGCTGTGGCGGGTCGCGACCATGATGCCGGTCCTTATATTCAGCGACAGCAAGCTTGAGAGTGGTGCTGACAGTCGCATGCCGGAGCCATCGGTCTGCCTCGATCCTGCTCTTGTAGACAAGGTCATCGACCGGGTGACGGGTAATCGTCTTCTGCTTCAGCAAACCATACGTCGTTGAAGCAGCGATAAGTGAAACGAGAAGCAACAAAAGGACCACGCGTTTAACAAAAACGATAGTCCTCATATTATTCGCGTAAATGAAAATCGTGAAGCCAGCCGAGACGAGGCAAAGCACCACTAGCGGTTGCGAAGCCGAGGTTTGCTCATATGTTTCCACCCATAACACGTTCTGGACGCTCGCCAAGATGCCAGTGACGAAAGTGGCGATGGCGGTAGGCTCCAATGGCGAGGAGTCGCATATCATGAGAGCCGTGGATATGATGAGAGCACCACCGAATATGCCGCTACTCAGAGTGTCGAAGAAGTAGAGAGAGCCAATTCCTCGAAAAGGCTGGTGTCCAATGATGCCGCGATGGTGGAACAGCCGCGTTATCAACCATGGAAAAAGGGCGGCCAACGATGTCATCATCAGGATGCCACCGAGCGTACGGAGTCTGGTCTTCGTAGTTCGTGCCCAAGAGAGCACCCTCCAAGACAAAATCAGTATCGTCGCGTCGATGAGAACACCCACCCATTGCAGGAATACAACCAATGAACTCTGATCAACTAGGGTTGAGCAGAAATATGTCGATTTTGGACTGAGATCGCCAACCAAGAAAACCCCGTAGCTGAAAAGTATCGTGCTAAAGAGCAAAGTGATCGGAGAACCCATAAGCCATGTTTTGAAGTCTTCCAATGGGCTTCCCCACATGTCTTCAGGCTCATCGGATTCGATGTAAACAGCGCGATGCGAAAGAAACTTGTAAGCAGCCAAAAGTAGTGGGAGAAACGCCTGACGGCCATGTTAACGTCGGGTTGATGTATTCATGCCGGTGGTGGGCAGACTCACCTCAACACCCTCTGTAGTACATTGGAAGTCACCGACAACTCGGTGAACAATCTCCAATCGTATAACAACAAGAATAATGATACATGGTATATAGAAACGGCGTGGTCGTTGGGGGAGCGACGTCGGCGACGCCTTCAAGACAGCGTCGGAATCTATCAAACAACATCAGAGGGTGCTTCCGCGCCATGTAATATGATCGAACTCACCAAACCTCCCATCTGCACCCGGAAGCCATTTCGAAAAGAGGCTAGCGATGAAAGCCGACCCGCCCGATATGAATAGCAGAAGGAATGACGATAACCGTGGCTGGTCTAATCGGCGTGGTCAGCGTCTCCGGTTTGGACAGGAAGGGGGCCAACTCCATGGGGAAGCTCACCTATTAAAGAGTGCCTTTGTAAGGAGTGTGATAGCCACAGAAACGAGATCAGGAAGCTGAGAACCGAGTCAGTATTGTACCTAGTCTGGTGTATGTCGACTTGGTGGCGTAGGAAGTGCAATGTGAGATTCAGGGGTCTCATTCAAACCTTACCAGACAGCCGTTAGTTGTGTGCTCCCATCTTGAGCCATTGAGGCAACATATGCATAGAGACTTGGCGTGAAATAATGCAAGTATACACCTGTTGTACAATTATGACATTTTCCGAAACGAAAAGGTTCCAGACAAGGCGTCGATGGAAGGATGATGGAGTTGTAAAGGTGAGAAAAGCAGCGGAGACGGCCATCTGAGTTACTGTGGCGCAGGATACTAAACATGAAGCCCCAGCTGTACATGTGGCAGTGCACCACTCAAGCCACAGTTGAGGCGCCTCAGATTCTCACGGGTCGTCGCATTGAGATCTGCAGATCGGCAGTTTCGTAGTTGTCCAACTGGCAACTTCAACTTCAACTCCAACTTCAAACTTTGACGCTCTGCCTGCGATCATTGGAGAGCCTCGTTATTTTCCATGGTTACCTACGAGCAACGACAGGAACAACGGAAAAGAAGAACCGCAGTATTCAATTGGCAATCGGGCAACGGCGAGCCGTATCTGCCCCCAACTCCACAATGCGTACATTGGCTGGGCCTTCAGAGGGCCAGCGATGGCATCAACCTAGGTCTGACTCCCACTTCTTAACATGAAGTCCATCGGCCCAACAAACCGTGAAGACCATTGGCTGTCACAAGTCCTTTATCGACATCTAAACAGTGCCCAATTAACTGGCATAGAGGTCACATCTTTTCGGATACCCCATTGACCGTATTTGGGCAATCCGTTATGGACGATGTCAGGCTGCCACAGCAGCACCACGACTTAACTACTTCAAAAAGCCTATTATTCGATCCGAGAAACCATCACCCATTGCCCGGGTCGGACTTGACTGTAAATCGGCAACAAGACCGATGTCAGCCCTTCTGATCGGGCCAAGTACCCAGTGGCTGCTATTCAACTTGGTCAGCTGCAGCATGCATCGAGGCCCTAACCCGGCTGATCTGGGTCTAAGGTATCAGCACATGGTTTTGGTCTTCCATATCGGCCAATGAAACAAGGTCGCCTTGCACCCACTCCAAACTTATTACTTCAACCTGCATGAGTCTGCATTCTCCCGCTGGCGGCGTGCTTGGCTGAGATTGGCACATGTCAACAGTCTACCTGTTGAACCTCATAATGTTCACTGGAAGTGGTCTGAGTCCCAGAGGACTGCGAAGCGGCTTTCCAAAAGCAGCGTCTCCTGGAGCTATTGCCGCTAGACGCGGTCAGCACCGTGGGTCTCCATATTTACACAAGTTTCCTGGTGAGCCATCGGAACAGTTCGCCCGAAGGGAGAGAACCTAGCTCCCGAACCGTTCATAGCCATCTCCTACCACGTCCGAGTGGTAACATCGATAGCAAAGAAAACGACCAGTCACATTTCAAGAAGGCCATCTGGCATTGGCACGACTATGTGCAGTGTGGTGGATGCAACACCGTAAGGACCGTCTCCCTCAAGCGTCCCAATACGATCAACGTCTGATATCGAGATGCACTGAGGTCCAGATCTTTCTACCGTAGACTTTGCCTGCCGACACAGCCTATGTGCAGAAAAGCTCAGCCATAATATGCACCCTGCAGTGTGGGCATATGCAGTTCAACGTCGTAGGCTCCCCCCAGCCGGATCCATCTAGCCATCATCAACCACAACCCCACGGTGGGATTGTAATGCGGATGCGGGGCGGAAAGCACCCGGCAAACGTTGGAGCCCGGCTTGGCGAGGGTCAGCATATGCGGGGATGATGTGGGACACATGGTCTTGCATATACCGATAGAGGCTTTAGGGCTGGGCTGTCAAATCAGAAGCCCCCTGAGTCTTCCCTCCTCGATGCCTCGCAGCTGGCATGCTCAGGCAAGTCTCTTGGTATCGAGTGCCGCTGCAGGAGGCCTCGAAAAGACTTACAACAGACACGCAGATGTCTTGGATGCCTTGGCAATCAAGTGCTGCCAATCCCGCCAATTCACCGGTCGACTGTGTCTCACCTGTTGCTAGTATGTTGCGAACCAAGCGAAACCACGTACACTGGCTCTCATAAGAAAGGCTTGGGAGCTGACGTTGTCTTCTGGGCACTTGGCTGGGCGCTGTCAGAAGCATCTCCACCTTGAACAGATGCTCACGTGGGATACCGCAATGGGCAATCCGACGTCTTGCGAGACTGACCTTGTGATGTGCTACTTAGTGAATTCAACGGTCCATCTGCTAATAAGATAATACTGTGTGTAGAAACTGTGAATCCCCGCGAAAGGCTAGGGCTAGCGCATAGTACAAACGCACGCATTGGTTCAGAGTTGCATCATGCATGGGCCTTAGACGATGAATCAGAGGCCAGCTCATGGGGTCCAGACTCACAGAGTCCGGCCCCTGGGTAGACTTCAGACGGGACGAACGTATCGCCCTTGTCTTCACCGGTCTTCTTCTACCACAATCACAGAATCTACGCGTCTTTCAAACTCACCCAGCATCCCTCATCAAGCTCCGTATAGGCGTGGAACTAAAGAGCATCAGGGGTACGGCACCAGTCTAAGTCTAGTATACCGTACCAGCAACTTATCGGCTGGTCGTGGTGCCCCTCCCCATCTCGCTGCCTCGTAGGAGATACGTCCGGAATCTATTGATTGTATACAAGGACATGAGGGGCTGACAAACTCCCGCCTTGACGTTGGGATGGTGGAATCGCTTGGCAATATGGCACTTACACAGGTGCCTCACAGCCATGGTGTCCAGTCAGCGTAGACGTGGATGAACCTAACGACAAGTATACATGACGTGTGACAAGTGCAAGTCACCGGGACCTGCGCCAATGCTCTCTGCTCGTATGACATCGTGAATCACTGCTTCGGATTTCTCATTGAGATTTCCCCATTGACCCCTTACTTCCTACTCATCCCTTACGCACCACAGAGATATATAAACCCTGATCGAATCAGACCCAGCAACTTCCTCCCACAAGCTTACCTACCAACCAACCAACCAACCAACCAACCAATTCCCGCTTCCGCAACTCCCTTTCGTGATACCTTTGCGGATCGATCCTGCACATTCCACTCTCTACGCAAGAGCACCTTACGCCCCGAAACTACATACGATGACAAAAATGTCTGCTCTCACACCCCGAGCTACCCCCATTGCCCCAGGGGTGCTGCCCGAGTTCGGCATGAAAGGCAAGGTCATCGTCGTCTCTGGTGGAGCTCAAGGATTGGGTGTAGTACAAACCGAGGCACTGCTGGAAGCAGGAGCCATAGGTACGCAAGAAGTGTCCAGGATTTCAGACACGTACATCGCCGAGAAACGGTGCACTGACCAGCATCGCAGTGCACGTCTTTGATCGCCAGCCAGAGCCATCCGCCGGCTCGTACTACCAGGAAGTAGCGCGCCGGGCGAAGGAAGAGCTCAACACCTCGCTGCACTACCACCAGGTCGACGTACGGACAGGCGTCGACAAGCTCAACAAAATCTCCGAGGAGATCGCCGAGAAGCACGGTCGCCTCGACGGGCTGCTCGCCGCCGCCGGCATACAGCAGGAGACGCCGGCTCTGGAGTACACGGCCGCGGATGCGGACCGCTTGCTAGGCGTCAACGTGACGGGCGTGCTCATGACGGCCCAGGCGGTTGCGAGACAGATGGTGCGCTTGGGTCAGCCAGGGAGCATGGTGTTGATCGCCAGTATGAGCGGCACCATTGCGAACAAGGGCCTCATCTGCCCGTGAGTGTTTGTCCTGCACCCCTTTTCCCCACCTAATCCCCAATTCTCCTTCTCCTTCCCTCTATTGCCTAGGTACACAACTGCACAGTGAGAAATACGCAACATGAGCCCCTTACTAAATCCTGATGCATGCGTAGCGTCTACAATGCCTCGAAAGCCGCGGTCATCCAGTTAGCACGAAACCTGGCCATGGAATGGGGCGTCAAGGGGATCCGGGTCAACACCATATCGCCGGGCTACATCGTGACCGACATGGTGCAGAAGCTGTTCGTCGAGTACCCGGAGCGCGAGACCGAGTGGCCCAAGCACAACATGCTCGGCAAGCTGAGCCGGCCCGAGGACTACCGCGGCGCCGCCGTGTTCCTCCTCAGCGACGCCAGCAGCTTCATGACGGGCGCCGATCTGCGCATCGATGGCGGACATACTGCTTGGTAGGAATTGTGGTGGGGAGGAGGAGGTTGGTGGCAGAGGATGAATGATGAATGGACTATGTGACGCGGTGGGGCGTACCAAAAAACAGACAAGCAGGAAGAGCGAGGTGTTTGGGCGCATGGGTGGTCTCCTTCTCGCGGTGGTAGGTTGGGCATAACGGGACTCGGGCATGGGTCTGGAGGGCGGTCTTCTCAACGGCAGGTGGCTTGCTCTTGCGTTTCCATTTGTGAAAAGGAGCGACCATAAGTAGTCTTCACTAACAAGTAATGAACACGCCGGTTATATGAACATATGTCTTATTAAGAATGGCAGCCTTGAAATTGAGAAATATACGAAGAGCCAAAAGGGGGCCCGAAGGGATCACATCACCGCCTGTCCAGACGGGCAGACTACTCCCTGACACCGTACCTCTCATGGCTCCAGTTCAAATTCTCCAGCACCACGAAAACCGTCACTTGATGCTGGTGTAACTGCCGATTGCCCCATAGGACTTTTGGGGCTGAGTGCCAGCCAGCGAAGGCCGCGTCCTCTGGTAGGCTGTGCCGGTGATTCAGCTCATCACCCATGCATTCACCTTCGCGCTCACTTTATAAGCAGACCAACCATGTCAGAGCACTGCGGCACAGTAGAATCACGGACGAATCACCTCAGAGACCCCTCGATGGCAAAACATATCTGCCAATTTCACGGTGCCTTCTGCATTGAAGTTCTGGTAATAAGAGAAACGCTAGTTCTGCATTCTGCCTTGTATGCTAACTGTGCCTTCCAGCCGCACGCTGGGCTGCGCGTAGGTACATGGTTTCGGAATTTGCTCATGGTGTGTTTGCGGCGAGGCCTGGGAGAGAGGAGAGGCTATCAGAGCATGTCGATCGACGACTTATAAGTATGCGGCTATTGTCGTCTTGCTCCCAGTAGATAGCTATATCTACCGAGATTTCCCTCCGCCATACGCGGCATTCAACACAAGCCAGCTCACCATTATCTACGGCAAGGGAAACATACAGTCGTTATCGCGAAAATGGACATGAATTCCACAGACAAAGACCTCGGCGACTCGATGGGAGAGATAAGCTTAGCCGGCACAGCATCGCCATCGGAAGCCACTAGTAGCCAGCATCACCTTTCAGGCTCGTCGTCTACATGGGATACTCGCCACGGGCCCGCGCCGCCAGCATACGCCGAACATGAGCCCATGCGACAACAAGGGGCCGGCTCGTCTAGCGAAAGGTACGAAGACAGGTCCCTGGGACCCGGGACTTCCACGACTGGTTTTCCCAGCAGAGGACCAGAGCCACCTCACAATCCATCCCTTCCAACAACACCCTCCCTCACCTCCCCATCATCCCTTTCTTCATCTCTACTCCCAACCCGTCTCCAAAAACCCATCGCCATCCCCGCCACGGCCCCGAAACTCGGCTCTCCCTTCCTCCGCGCCTACCCGCCCAGCCTGAGCACCACGACTTCCCCGCGCCGCCTTCCTCGCCTTCCTCGACGGCCTCAACCGCGTCGCCGTCGCCAGCCCGCCCCTACAGATCCTCGGGCTCGCCGGCAACGCCCTGGGCCTCGTCCCCAGCGGAATCGCGCAGATCGTCGGCGGCGCGATCGACGCCGCCGCCACGCTGGGGACCATCGTCGTGTCGAAGGGCGCGACGGGGGTTTCTCTGCGGAAGGCGAACAGGGAGATCTTTGGGGTGCGGGGGCTGAAGGTTGAGGTTGCAAGGTTGGAGGCGCTGGCGAGGGTTGTGGGCGTGCCGATTTTGGATGCGGCGGGGAGGGTAAGGCGGGATGCGGCGCTGATGCGGCCGATTGAGAGTTTGTTTGAGGACGGGGAAGAGGAAGGTGAAGGAGAGGAAGTGGAAGAGGGTGAAGAGGGGGGAGAGGAGGGGGCGCATACGCAAACTCGGACGCAGACGCGCCCGCAGACCCTAAGCGCGCAACAGCGGCGCCTCCAGGCCCTCGAGCCGTGGATCGCGCCCCTGGAGCTCGAGGCGCTGCCACCGATAGACATGGAGGGCGCCGGCGCGCTTGGCAGGCTGCACACGGCGGTGTCAGAGCGGCAGCGCGCCAGGGGCGAGAGTAAGGTGTTGAAGCGGCGCGGGAAGGCGCTTGAAAAGGGGCGGGAGGATGTGCGGAAGGCGGAGCGGGAGCGCGAGAAGGAGCTCGCGAAGCTGGACAGGGAGGAGCGGAAGGTGAGGGAGGGGAAAGGGAGGAAAGAAGGTAAGGAGGGAAAGGAGGCGCGGAAGCTAGAAGAGAAGTTGGCTAAGATTGCTAGGGAGAGGGAGGAAGTCGAGAGGGACTATGAGAAGGAGATGGAGAAGGTGGATAGGGGGGCCAGGAAGCGGGATATGGAGGCCAAGGACATGCAGAAGATTCTGTGGCTTGTGATTCGGAATCTGGATGCCGAGAATGTTTCTGGGGAGAACCCGTATGTGGGAGGGCAAGTTTGACGTCTTAGGGTCACGGATTCGTAGGCGATGACTTTCTAGTGTAAATTGACAGCTGATTGTGAATATTGCATGGTGGTGGTGATGCCTCCGGGGGCCTTCGGCAGTTTCTATAAGTTATCTCTCAATCCCAAGGCTGCCATTGTTGATAACCAAACAAATGTTCATACATCATGTTTACAGGTTTGCTGCAGGTACCCAGCACGGCACTGGCCAATCAGCAGTAATAGAGACGTGCGCAGATGGTAGGAAGTGCTCTTGCATACCCACCCCAGGTCTTCATACACAACACAAGCCTTGTTGACCTCGCCCAACACTGCATTATATATAAGTGTGCATATCACGGCTTGTATTCATCTTACCACCACTCGTCACCCAGTCGTAACAGGCAGCACCACACCCTCGGGCCCAATCCTGCCAACAACACCGCTCTTAAGCCTCAGCCTCCTCTCGATGTCCGGCGCCGGGGTGCCGCGCGCCCTCAGCACCAGGATCTGCTTCAGCGTGCCGATGTCCAGGAATTCGCGCCCGATGCCCGGGGTCTCCGACTCGGTGCGCGCCTGCTCCTGCAGCCGCTGGCGCGCCTCCAGCGCGTTCAGCGTCCGGTTTTGTGAGGAGGATGGGTAATGGGCGCCGGGTATGGGCGATGATCGCGACTGTGATTGGGTTGTGGGATGTGGTTGTGGATTTGCTGTCGACGAGTTCGAGAGCGTTGGGTTCGGTGTAGCTACGCCCATTTGTCGTAGGCGCGCTGAGAAGGCTGGGTTGGTCATGGGGTCCGGGTCTTGCCCGTCGGCGCGGATGGCTGTATGTCACGCCGTCATGTCAGCGGCCAACTTCGGTTACGAGTTGGTGCGGACTCACCATTGTCCTTCGTGAACGAGGCTTGGTGCTCGGGATTCCGGGCAGACGGTCGTGGAGGCGGCGGCACGGCGCTGCCGGGAGTTCTGGATGGGAACTTGCGCGTCGCCGACTGGACGGGCTTGGAGGCTTTCGACCCCATGTTCTGCCCTTGGAATACTGTTTCGGCGCTGTGTATCGTAGACGTGATCTGGAGTGTGTAGCTGGCGCAGTCACTGGACAGGCTCCTACAGAATACAAAATGTTGACCTTTTGAAATAAATGACGTTGCTCTTGCAGTGTCGCGGTTTGGCGGAGGGTCCACTGGAGCTCCAAAAGCTTGGGCCAGCTGCCGGCTATACAGGGTGAGCTCGCTGAGACATGGCTGTGCTAGCGATGCAGGGCGCCGCACCGTGCAGCATGGAATGGTCACCGGATCAGGTCATCATCAGGTGTTTTACACAAAGTAAAGCAAGGGGTGCTGGAGCTGGTAAATATCTACTGAAATATACAGTAATGTTTTTATTTATATTGAACTTTGCCTTAGCTTCGTGATCTTCCAAAAACTCGTTTCAGACAGTATGGTACTGAGATCGTACCGTATCATGACATACGCCCACTCAGTTCATCCAGGTGATACTCTTCGTCCGAACATATTCGTCCAGTCCGAAAGAGTTGTTGAAACGTCCAAACCCACTCGCCTTGGCGCCCCCGTGGGGCAGGGCCATCTCATCATGGATCGACATGCTGTTGATGTGCACAGCGCCAGCCTCGATCCCCTTCGCAAGTCGAAAGCCAGTTCTCAGGTCCTCCGTGAACACCGCCGACGTCAGGCCGTACTCGGTGTCATTCGCGATCCGCAGCGCCTCCTCCTCCGTCTCCACCTCGATCAGGCTGACCGTCGGCCCAAACGACTCGTTCTGGTAGATGTCCATGTCCGGAGTGACCTTACCGACGACAATGGGCCGCATGCGCGTCTTGGTGCTCTCCTCGGCGTCGAGGTCCCCGTTGAGGAGCGAGGCGCCCTTGCTGACCGCGTCCTTTAGGAGGTTCTTGTTCTTCTCGACGGACTGGCCGTTGATCAGGACGGGCGCGTCGCCCTTGGACGGGAATATCGCCTCGATCGTCTCCACGAGCTTCTTCTGGAACTGCTCGCCGATCTTCTTGTGCACGATGATCTTCTCGGTGCTCATGCAGACCTGGCCGCCGAACAAGAAGGCGCCCAGTGTGCACTGGGTTGCTGCCGTTTCCACATTGGCGTCTTCCCAGACGATGGCTGGGGCTTTGCCTCCGAGCTCCATTACTGTGGGCTTGAGATGCTGGCCAGCCAGCTTGTTGACTGCAATGTGTGACATTAGCCGACGCTCCCCGGTAACGGCTTAGCAAAGCTACGGAATTGCCAACGCTCGGATGGCCTCCAGTGAGTCTATGCGTGGAGACATAAGATTGCGGGATCAACGTACTTATTCGACCAATAGCTGTGCTGCCTGTGAAGTTTATCTTCTTGACATTCGGGTTTGCGATGAGAGATTCGACGACCGACGGCGCGTTCTTGGGGTCGGTCGTGATGTAGTTTAGCACACCTTTCGGTAGACCGGCCTCCTGAAGTACAGAGACAATGCCGTGCATTGTCCTCGGTGCGCTTTCTGAGCCTTTGAAAACGGCAGTACACCCGGCCGCGATCGGGAACAATATCGAGCGCGTGCCAAGGATATACGGCGCATTCCTGTTCCATCAGCTTAGGTAGTTGTTCGCGCGAACTGGGGGTTATAGATGCCATACCACGGTGCCATGGCCAGCACAACACCAAATGGCTCCCGCACGACCATGGCCGACTGGTTCGGGTCCTGGAGCGTGGGAACGCTTCCAGTCAAGCTGCTCACGCGACCGGCGGTCTCCTTTAACATGTCGATGGTGACGTCGAGGTTGAAGTCGGCCCAGCCCCTAGCACCACCAGTCTCGTCCATCATGTACTGGCCCAGCTCCTCCCGCCGCCGGGTCATGATCTCAGCTGCCTTGAATAAGATATCGCGGCGGGCAGCCGGAGGAGTGTTTCGCCATTCGCGACCAGCGGCCACAGCGGCGTCGACGGCCTCGAGGGCATCCTTCTCCGTGGCCACCCCGCATTGGTGGACCGCTTTGCAGGTGTCCGGCGATATCACGTCGAACGTCTTCTCGGCGATGCGTTCTTCGCCATTGATCACGAAGGGAACTGTGTACGAAGACATGGTGGCGGCGGCAATTTGCAAATTACAGTCGACGGCTGTAGCACTACCCCAAAAATGTCTTGAAGTTTTGAAGCCTTCGGGGTCACTCGAGTCGAGATCCACTTGCCGGGCTAGATGCCGATGCCGTTGTAAGATCCGATCTATTGGCAAACACCGAGTCATTGACGCTGGCCGAAACCCCGAATACTTACAAACATTTATACACGTCATCGTGCCCAGACTTCCAGTCACATGTGCACTTGCTGTCACGGTCCTGGGCGCCTGGCATTGCGATCGATCCTACAGCTTTTACCGACCCCTCATTGCTGAGTATCTCCCCGGCCCGGTCCAGCTTACACCAAGCTAACGTTAGTGGCAACGGCAGATATTACCGGAATGCGGGGGATTCTCTTGCTCTCGGGAAACCAGCGTAGTTGTAAATTTCTTTTCTATCCCCAAGGAGTTCTTACTGACCCTGATGCGGGGGATATGCATTTGATGCCACATGCGGGCCTTTATTGCTACCTGCTGTATCCCCTCACCTTTATCTTGTTCCCATCGAATATCATCTCATCTTGTCGACACCCCGACCTGGAGGCGACTCGCTACCTGGAAACGATTGAGGATAGTTGAATAGCAGTCATCGAACTTACTGCCCTCTAGTCAAAGGCGAAGCAATGTTGATTTCAATGTTCACTAATATACAGGACCTGTGTGGAGTATGTCCAGCCCCGTGCCTTGATGTCGATAATATTCGCTTTGTCTGAAACTACAATAAGGCCGAGGGCATCGAACAACAACCTCGGTAATACCCTAGTCCAGTCCTTCACTGATGGCAATGCCCGAAAAGTCGGCTGGATCTAACACAGGCTCCCATTTACCAAAAGAATATAAGCCGAACATCGCACCACAGAACGCACCGCCCACCGGAGGCGAGACTGTCAGGTCTTGCGCTCCGACCTCCCAGCTCTCTCCAACGGTGCCAGAGCTCAGCAACAGCCTATAAATACTTGGCCTTGCCTCGATCCGCAGGTGGACAGGTTCGACCGCGTTGAGCGTGGTTGAGCGCTGGCTGTGCTCCAGTAACGGGTGGGATGTCTAATTCATATCAGCATCCCCCAAGTATTAATCAGCAGTACAATGACTCCAGGGTCATCGCGTACCTTCATGCAACCAGCGTTTCCCATAGGGACACGGCAGATTACGGTCTTGACTTGCTCCCCGGTCGCAGTCTCGTGCATGGTGACTCCGATGGAGGCGTACGAGTATTGACTCCACCACACCACCACGCCCGCCTCGTAGCCCGGCTTCCTGGGGTTGAATTGCATATTCGCCTCGAAGGTCTCGGTATACGATGACTGTTTCCTCAGCAGCATCGCGGGTGCTTCCGGGGATGAAAGGTCGTAGCAGTTACCGTACAGACGCAGGTGGCCTGGCCGTTCGGTCAGGGTGTAGCATTGCTTCAGGGGGGTATCTGAGCATCACAGGTCAGGCAAGTGAGAGATTGGACAGGGATCCAAGGCGACGAACTCTTTTGATACCAGCCAAGCTCCAGATCAGGCTGGTCTAGAGAGGCTTCCCACTTGACATCTCCAGGCTTGATCTGGGTAGCAAATTGCTGGACGGAACTCCGCCCCTGAGTCTCCAAGGTGATGTTCCGTCCCTCATTGAAGGCAGGCCAGTCGTCCACCCAGTCAACCTTTACCAGAAACGTTTCGCGCCCTAATACATCAGGTCAGTATGAAGATCCCCGTCGTCTTAACCCTAACCATGAGAAAATCCCACCTACCCATCTGCGGCTCCAAATAGCCCTCCCCGACTTTCACCGGCCGCACCCCGAGAAACACCGCCCACCATGCCCCGTCCCCATCCTCAAATACATCCGCATGTCCCGTCCTCTGAACCTCCTCATCAGCGCCATTATACCACAGCGGCGCGCCGCGGCTCTCCCAGGGCCCATACACGCCCTCCCTGCTGCGTAACACCCACTCCTGATGTCCGGCCTCTGTGCCCCCCTCCGCAGTGAGCAGGTAGTAGAAATCCCCACGCCGCAGGAGGTGCGAGCCCTCCGCGATGCCGTGCGGCGAGGTGCGGATCACGGCGGGGGGCGTCAGGGTGCGTCCGGTGGACAGGTCGATTTCCGAGATGTGGATGCCGAAGTCTTTGAGTTTTGAGTTGGGCGCGCGCGATGCTAGGCGCACGGTCGTGCTGAGGTAGACTTTGCCGTCGGCGTCGTCGTCCCAGAAGAGCTGTGGGTGTGGATGTGAGAATGGGATACGAGGATGGGCGTGAGAGGGGATGAGAATAGATAGCAAGAAGGATATGAGGATGGGTAAGTGTAAGTAAGCCTGGGCATAGGTCCAGGGGTGAGAGAATAGGGGTTAGAGCAAGTAAAAAGCTACGCAGAACTCACATCTTGGTCAAATCCTGGGTTGTCGAAGTATATCGGATCGGACCAAGCGCTATCGTCCCAGATATTGTCCGTGTAGACGTAGAAGCCCCGAGGGAATATTCGCTCCTGTTCCTGTGAGCTGAGTGCTTCACCGGCACTCCAAGAATAACAAACATTGCGGTCCTCTAGAGTCTAGACAATAAGAGATGAGCATAACATACATCAGAACCCGGCCTATACCGCTGGAATACCCCCGTGGCGAGGTACCAGCGCCGCTCTCCCGGTCTGTACCTCAGCGTGCTAGCCCAGCTCCCCGCGCCCGGCTCCACCGTCCGCATCTCGATCTGGCTCCGGCGCGTGAGCGCATGGCCGATGAGCCGCCAGTTGATGAGGTCCGTGGACGTGTATATGGCGCAGCTGGGGAAGTACTCGAAGGTCGATGTGCTGAGGAAGTAGGTCGTGGGCGCCGAGTCCGATGCCGGAACCGCGCACACGGTCGGGTCCGGGTTGAAACCACGGATTATCGGGTTTTGGAACTTGGTGGTATTTTGGGGCATTTTGATGCAATGAGGCCTCAAGATGTACGTTGATAGGTCTGTAAGATCACAGATGCCTCCACGTTCACGATGGCAGAAAGTATAATCGCTGTCTTGTCGCTCATTGCGATCTTTTTATCTGCTCTTCTTGGCTGGTCGGACTTCGGTGCCTATTTCTCCATCAATCACGTACTTTGATGGATACATTAGCATCGTGAAGTTTCGTCATACCAGCGTTCCGCTCGGTCGCAACGAAACAATTTGAGAGACCTATTTCCCATCATGGTGTTCGAAGCTGGCAAGTCCAAGGACCCTAGTACTCCGAGACACCAAAACCCATTGGTACTAAATACTAACGCTCTTTCTCCACGGTGGTCTTCGCCGTGGCAAATGTCCTGAAGATTACAAAAGGCATCTCATCCCCGGATTCCAGCACCTGGTACAACCCTCTTCATGGCATCGACGCAGCAGTTCGACGAGGCCGAAGGTCTTTGGGACGACCCAACGAATGGCATAGCCGCTTGCACACTGTGCGGTGCGCCACTAAACCCTCCTGGGTATTATTCACGCGAACAGCGCTGGACCAGCCAGGCCGTCCTCTTGGCGGATCCCATTATCGACTTCAGCAAGGACCCCTTTCTGCTGGACATATTGCCCAAATCGCTGCTCCAACAGGAACGCACCATCACTCGATATACTGCCGTGCCGCTGGCGCAACAGTACTTTCGGATCAGTGATGGAGAACGAAAAGACACTGCTGTCGCAGTAAACCAGACCTCGGGCGACTTCCATTCGGAGCTCTTCATCCCAGCGCACGAAGCTTGTACCACTATCCTGGACCGCTTTCTAGGCGTGGGATACCCAGCGCTTGCTCCTCAAACCGGCACGTGGACGATGTCCAAGGTCTGGGACGTCTTACGCTTGCGCTTGGAAGCTGTATCGGGCAGCCACGAAAGTTCCGGAGATGCGATGTATGGCATTGACCAAGTAGGAGAACCGCACAGCTTCTACATAAGCTCCCCCTGGCAATGGGCCGCTCAGTGGGGAGATGCGGAATCACTCTACGACCCCATCAATGTTGGGCCCTACACCGACGTTCTTCTCAACCATGCGAGACGGTCTTCAGACTCACAAAGCAGCCTACCACCCAACGACGCATGTGCGCGACTCCGAGGACGCATTGAGCAACTACCGCAAGAACTGCAAGACCACATCCTGGAGGACATGCGTCCCTCGTCCCGGATTCCGCGCACTTGTGGCCGTGTCGCGGCGCGCATGCCCTGGATGCACAAGCCAAGCTTCGCACAACTTTCTCCAGAAGTCCAAGACCGCATTCTCAGTGACATGGATCCGTGTTCTCCCCTTCCGCTCACTTGCAACCGTGTCTTGCCGCCGTCGGCGTGGAAACGCATCCTTTCCGAAGCTCTACTCACACCGTATCTCTGGGACATCGACACGTCTTCGCTCCCTTCGCAGGACTCGGGCATTGACTACGAGTTCCTAGTCCGGCAACTCACCCAGTCCGAAGTCTTCAACGGGGGAAGAGAGGGAGATGACTGCTATGACAGCTGTGAGGGCCAGTTACTCCAAGATGCTCCCGTCGGACTGCGCAACCGAAGAAGGATCTGGCGGGTCTTGGAGAGCATGCGGGCGGGAGATATGGCGCATGTTAAGCGGCCCGGGTATGGAGAGTTGTCCATCTTTGGACCGGATGAGGAGTCAGAGGAGGGGGATGACGACGAATGACCCTCGAGCGTCCAGCTAAAGGACAGCCAGTTAGATGGAGTGTCATGCTTTACACCGGCTGGTTCAGGTGTAACCTCACTTACCTTTGGAACATTCACAACTGCTTGATTGCCTCTCCCGCCTCATCATACGATATAGAGCTCGACTAGAGGCGTAAGTCCAGCATCTCATATATGCCGAGGTGTTCAGAAGAGGCCAGCGTCTCCAATATGCTCATACACACTTGCGCAACCGGAGCAGACACGGCGGGTCTCGGGGACCATGCAGGCAATGTGGAGTAAGGAGCGTGTTGATAGATGTGCTGTACTGAATTCTCTAGACGTCTGGCTATGAGGCGCTGCCAGTGTAATGGGGAGGACGCTCAGTGCTGCTCATGAAATACTGTTTCTATCCAGGCAAAAGGATTACCGTGCTACTGTGCGCTCCGCCAGCTCATCGCCGAGGTGGCCCCACCGAGGGAAGCGCCGTCTACGTCGGGTCTGACTGCCGCGCATCTCCTTGTCGTCGGCCTCGGCCCTCCATAACCGGCTCGAGATGACAATGGGGGTTGTCTGTTCCCGGGCAGTCTGGGATTCGAAATGACCGCTTCCACGTGTCGAGCTTGGGCTACAGGTTCGGATTCGGAATTGGACGCGGAAAGAGAAGCAGGAAACAGCATATCATCTACTAGGTAAAGGACACCGTCGAAGGGGTGAACCCTCTCATCGCAAGCTGTTGCACAAAAACGAGGACCCTCGTAATAACTTACAAGGTTACTTTAGGTCTTATAGTGGATGTAACAAGCGCTCCTTATGGGATGCGAAGAGGGTCTTTTCGAGGATCCTCTAAGGCTGGAACTTATTAGTACGGTAAACCATGTGCTGTGCCTCCCATGCCACAAAACGTGCTTCCGCCGGACGCTGTCCGAAGGTCCAGCATACCGCATGTTACGTCAGGTACGTACCTACCTAGTCAGCTACACAGAGTGGGCAGCTCAAAGACCAAGGTCAAATGGGGAGTCCAACCCCTCCCTTTTACATATTAAGACCATCACCCACACGCTGACCTGTATCCCAACTCAGAACGGTACATTCAGTCACACAGCCATTCCCCGTCAAGATGGCGCCCGTAACCGTTCCGACGCTCAAGCTTAACGATGGCAATGAGATTCCCATGGTGGGTTGTGCCCTCAATCACAAATCCTCATGAGAGCGTTTGCTAATGTACACCGACTGCACCAGCTATCGTATGGCTTCGGCACGGCTAATTTCGCTGGCGCCGAGGACGACATCAAGGACAAGACTGTCATGGCCATCAAGAGTGGATATTACCACCTTGATTGCGCCGAATGCAAGCCACCTATCTCCCTTCTGTCTTGTACGTAGTCGTTCTGACACTGTCCTAGGCTACATGAATGAATCCGGAGTCGGCGCCGGTATCAAGGCATCAGGCGTCGAGCGCGAGAAGCTTTTCGTCACCACCAAGGTGGTCGGCACGAAGAACCAGGATGTCGATGCTGCTCTCGACACATCACTGAAGAAGCTCGGTCTGGATTACGTCGATCTGTACCTTCTGCATGTGCCATTCTCGGCAGGCGGCCCAGAAGGAACCCAGAACATCTGGAAGCAGTTAGAGGCCGTCCAGGAGTCCGGCAAGGCCAAGTCCATCGGGGTGTCGAACTTCATGCAGGATGATCTGGAGTTGATCTTCAAGGTTGCCAAGATAACCCCCGCTATCAACCAGCTCGAGTACCATCCATATCTGCAGCATGGCGATCTGCTCGACTTCAACCGAAAACATGGCATCGCCGTCGCTGTCTACTCGCCCTTGTCAGCGATCACGGCTGCGCGACCAGGCCCGGTGGACGAGGTGTATGCCGAGCTGGCCAAGAAGTACGGCGTCTCGGAGAGCGATGTAGGGCTGAGATGGTGCCTCGATCAAAACATTGTGACGATCACGACAAGCTCCAGCAAGGAACGTCTTGATGGCTACATGAAGAACACATTCAGTTTCAGGTTGGTGCCCCAGGAAATCGAGCGCATCTCCGAGCTGGGCAAGCAGAAGCACTACCAGGGGTTGGGAATGGGTGAGTTCGATTCCACACGCCCCCTTCTATCGCCGTAGAATCTAACCATTAGAATTAGCGTTCATGACCAAGTATTATGGCAATTACAAAGTTGAACAGGAAGCGGCTTGAAGTCCCCGAGGGTATTTTGGACTGGGTGAGTGCACACCGATGTAGCTACGAGCAACACCTCAGGCTGTTGTCCCAATCATCAGAGGCAATGCTGAGTCAAAGAGACGAAATCAAGGAGCCATTCGGGTCTTTGTCTGGCTTATATGGTGCGCTACTCGGCCACCCCCATCCCAAGTCGACTACTTTCAGGGAATGTCGGGTTCGTAGCATGGCAGCTCATTTCCAACAATAGTGAAGTCAAACTGCACAGTGTCCTCATTCGGCTACGACTCAAAACCACAAGAATCCAATCTGTAATTTATGTTGGATTTATGTTCTATCCTCCACTGCTGTATCACCAGCTACCCAGCCCAAACAACAAGGTTCAACGTTTGTATGCAACTGTTCAGCGGAAATGTTCCTTCGAGTGACACTGCGTTGCAGCTTATTTTGCAGCCTAATTGCCATCGTTGAACCTGTCACAGTACCGACCACTCCGTCCCAGACCGATTCCGCGCTTCACAGGTGCCGCGAGAGCTACGTTCCTCAATATGGCGTCGAAGTCCTGACTGGGCTTCTCCTCGTCAACGACCAATTGGCCTGAGAAAGTCGACAGCCGGTTCGACTGCTTTGGCCTAGCGGGCTTCTCCTCGTCAACGACCATGAGGCCCGAGAAAGTGGATAGCCGGTTCGACTGCTGTGGCCTAGTGGCCCTCTCCTGAAAGGGCATCAAGTGCGAAAACCTCGGCGCAGGCCGGGCGTCCTCCACGACCTCGGGGAGATCCGAAAACCGCTTCGAATCCCAGCGCCGCGGTGCATACTTCGTACTGGTCCTGCGGCTGGAGCACTGGCTGCGCATAATGGAGCCGTTTTTCTTCAGCCCGGCGCCCGAGCTGCCGTCTAGCTCGGCGGCATACTCGACGGTCGGTGTGCTAGGTGCCGTGTATGGCACCGGGCATTCTAGCTCGAAGCGAATGCTGCCTGCAGCATTGAAACCCTGGCTGGGAGTGTCTTCCGGGATGTCTGCGTATTGGTATGCGTAGGGATCGGAGAACATCCACGGTTGGGCAGAGTTGAATGAGTTTGTCACAGACATGATGAAGTGAAGTAATGAAAGGGGAATATGACGAAAAGGAAATTTAATGAGTGAATAGCGGAGCAAACTGAGGATTTTTGCCAGAAAGGGGGCGGGCGAAGATGGCGGGAAGCCCTCGGGCCTCTTATATTTGGCTTTCCTTTGAGCATCGACATTGTTTCTTTCACCATCCACCTTGCTTTATCGCGTCGAGTACGCATTGTATTGCGGCCAGACCTACCCGGAGATTTCCGTAGCTCTTTATGCCGATATATTACTTTATCCAGCGCCATGGGCTCATTGGATTCCAGGCCAGCCATTCCTTTGTCTTGATGGCCGACTCCATGATCCTATCACGACATTGACAAGATGGACATGCGGGAATTACGTCTTCGTTAAGAATTTGCCCGCCCCATCCGGGCCTGCACATACCTCTGATCTTGCCTCAAGGCGTCGACCTTTTTATAGCCGATAGGAAAGAGGTAGCGATGAGTGCTCAGTTGATGTCTCAACTCCTCAACGCAATGCCTGGCACTCCCTTTCGTCTCTGATATAGCGGTAGGAACGCTTACAGACAACAGCAGAATGTGCCTTATGTCGGAGGCTTGGGGACAGTGTACAATAGTTCACCACTGGGAATAGCAATAAAAGCACCCTCCTCGGTAGCCCACTGCTTCCAGGCTCGACTAATGTTCTCCAAGTCCTGCTGCGTGCCGACACTGTGCTCCAACACATTCCGTGCGAAGTCCGATTTCAGCGCCCGATCTGTCCAGCTCTCGCCCCAGTTCCGCGCCGAGTCGCCAATGTAGAACCACGAAGACCAGCTGCTCTGCAGGTTAGCGTCCACGAAGCCGGCGCCGCGAGCCCACGAGCGGACGTAGCGGCCAGCGTTCGGCTCGCCTCCACACGCGCGAGCCGTCTTCTGGTAGAACTCGCCCCATTGCTCCAGGCCTTCGGGTTCGGGGTACCATGCGAAGCTCTTGTAGTCAGCCTCCCGCGCCGCTACGATGCCGCCGGGTTTGGCCACACGCTGCATCTCCTTCAGGATACCTATGGGGTCCCCTACGTGCTGCAGGACCTATTTCCTCTGGCAAATCAGTGATACATTCCACAATTCGGTTGATGTCTACGTGAAGCTGGAAGGTCACACGGACCTGGTGGCAGAAAACAACGTCGAACATGTCGTCTGCATAGGGCAGCCCGTTTGCGTCGAGAGTCTCGAAGACACAGTTGGTGATGCCGCGGTCCTGCGTCAGGGCATGAGCCTGGTCGAGGACGCTCTCGGAAAAGTCGACACCAGTGACCTTGCCTTCAGGTACGAGCTCAGCCACTGCGAGATAAGGGGGGTCAGTAATCCAGTACTTCTTTCCGTAGAACTTCCCATTGGCCAATTCATGAGAGCTTGAGATGTGTGACAGCAGCACATAGTCCCCCAATTATGAAGAAATGGCTTCCGGGATCACTCACGATCCGCCGTGATGGTACCGGGCCCGCACCCGATGTCCAGGATGGTGAAATGAGCTTGTAGATGCGGAAGCAAGAAAGCAGCGCTGTCTTTGGCCGTACGCCGTGCATGGCTGCTCACGACGCTCGAGTGGTGGCCGTGGGAGTATGCCGCTTCTTCGGGCCCTGCCATGCTGCAGGAATCAGATGCGAACGAGGGATCAGGTAGTGTCAGGAGGTTAACTGAATGATGGACAGTGGAATCTAGACGCGACGGTGCTCATGATGAGGCATAGTTCATGTTGCAACTTGCCAGGGCTGCATGACATCATGTGGGCAAAAGTGGACGAGGATGAGGCCGATACCGGCTACTCCAATTATACTGCCCGTCTGCCCGTCCAGTTCACCGCCCCAGAGCCTATGTTACGGTAATACGTGACTATTTCACCCCCGTGGTTCCCAATACGCTTCAGGCTTCAGGCTTCAGTCTCATCCCTCCCAAGGCTTGATCGTCTTTCCCTCTTCATAGTTCCCACCAGAAGGTGAAGGGGCCGACCTTGTCCGCCAGCTTCTTCCATGTCTCATCCGGATCCTCCCTGTGCGGGACATTGACGTTCTCTTCGACGTAAACGAACCCGTTCGCCTCGTAGAGTGGCCTGCCGTACGGCGTGGAGTCGAGGAAGAACTCGGATCCAAGCTTGTCGGCTTCCTTGATGCCCCAGTCCATGAATTGCTGGCCAACGCCTCTGCGTCGGTAATCGGGATGCGTAAAGATGATGAAGAGGTCTTGATCTCAACTCCGCCCCAACCCCGAGCATTGCCATTTGCCATGGCACCGTGGTGAGCAAGCACTACTTACACACATGAGGTCTCTGGGCGACGCGAGCCCGAGGCACAGAATGGTTCGCCAGCGCCTGTCCAACCCACTCGCGCGAGCTGTCGTCCGGGAACCACGTCATCTTCGGATGGCTCGGGTTGGCAAACGGGTTCTCCTTGTGGATATTCCATAGCGCGCCACCGGCGATCTTGCCATCCTTCTCGGTGTCGACAATCTTCTGCCAGTAGCTTGATGGGTCGTGCGTGTGCCAGAGCTTCAGGCGATCCGCGGCCTCCTGGATGGCGTCCTCGCGGGCCTGTGCTGTGTCGCCGTGCGTGGGAAGAAGACGTGGAAGAACTTCTGCGGCGGGTCTTCGTATGACTCGAACATGCTGCGGGCGAGGGCCGGGAAGTCGGTCTCCGCGTTGACTTCCTGGAGTTCGAGCGGCATTTTCGCTGTGTGGGTGGTGATAGAAGATATAAAGCAGGTCCCGTTCTCGAAAACTGGTGGTAAGATACATCTGGAATCGCTAAGTAATTTGTATGAGCTTCAATCTGGGGGTGCATGGGTCCTCGGCGGCAGGTCGATATGCAGTTGGTGATATTCCGTGACTAGGGCGCAGCACCGACGTCGCCAGACACGCAGGCTGCAGCCATCCCGAGCTGAGGTATCACATCATCGAGGCCCGTAAGGGATAGCGAGCTGGTTCGTGATGGGTTCTCATTGGTGTGTTAGCTTTATGAGTCGTAGCGATGCGACGAAAGGTTCCGTCTCTGCTCTCGAATTTGCCGGGCGCCATGTCTCCGTCGCGACGGTAAGGCACATTACTGCTTTCTGGATCATTTTGACGATGGGATCTCCAGTCTCGACCTGTCCCATCCTCAAACAGCCTGGAAGACGAACCTCATTGTGTTACGGGGATTGCGCAGCACGGTATGAGAGTCGTAGTTCGACTGTCTTGTTACGTGCGAGATGGGTTGGGCGTGCTTGTCCTCGTTCTGGAAGATATCACGAAGAAGAGCAAAGCAACGAAGGCGTAGATAAGAGTGATTATTGGAATTTCTACGTATTGACCCATACATCCACAATGACTAGTTCCCACCCCTAACCCATCCTTGCACTAATAATAAACAGAAGCGCGAGCTGTGGGGATGGGACATTTGCTTATTTCCTCATGACTTCCTTTGCAATTCGTGGGTATTTCAATTCGTACGGACAGTGTATGAACTCCCTCCTCGGCGAGTGTACAGAACGAGCCTTCACTCTCCAGCAGCCACAATGGACATGTCCAAAGATCTCTTCGTCTCATTGCCATCGGGTTGCCGAATCTACTACCAGGTCTTTGGGAACCCGGCAGATCCAGCCATACTCATCGGGTCCAGGGTACAGCACTGCCATGACACAGAAGACGGCAGGGTTCGTTCGATCGCTCAATCCTCCAGAGCATCCGCACTACGTTGTCCGATTCAAACATCGCGAGACGGGGCGAATATATGCACCGGCTGACCCCTCCCCATTTTTAAATTCACCCCTACTCGTATCCACTCAAGGTATAAATACTTCATGCCATTTTAATACGCTAATTATGCGCTAACCATACCCTTACTACTTGATTCCAGTACGTTAAATATATACCGCTTATAATCTGATTATAATCTGCTTATAGTCCGCTTGTAATCCGCTTATAAATTACTAACAATATTTTACTATTGTCAGATGTTGGATCCCAGATATGGTGCCCTTAGGTGCAGTACCCACTAGGGGGCTGTCAAGGGAACAGTGGATCCACCTTGACATGGTGCAGTATGGTATTTAGCTGTAGATTAGCCCTGCCGAGCATACTTGAGAATGACAACAACATTTGCAGCGACCGCTCACACCCCCAAGGCTTGTGACCCTTCTAGAATCTCACAACTATATTTCAAAAAAAACCTTAAGCTTTAACCTTAACCTTAAACTTTAACTACTAATTTTACGCCTTATGTGATGGTTCCACCATCCATCAGGTCTAGCGACGGTCCCCATGGTCCCCGGGTCACGTGACTGAGCACGTGACTGATCGGACGATAGGTTGATCCATGCCCTGGTGGGTCTGGTGGGGGGCCTTATCACCCACCTAGAGCTCGACCGTGTCCATGTTATGGGGATAAGTTTTGGCGGGCCCCTTGCCTGGGTGACGGCCAGCCGACTGCCCAAGATAGTCAAGAGCCTAGCACTGATCATCACGAGCCCAGTCGGGGCAAGACCGAATCCCGCGGACAAGCTGCCGCCAGCTCATCCCGAGGGCGGATTGGTACTCCGCGAGGCCTTCAAGTTACCCGATGACAAGGAGGACGACGACGCCTGGATCAAATCGTACATGCGGCTCGATTCCGCCCTGGCAGCGCAGCCGCCCACGGAGCAGGAAAGGGCCGAATCGAGGCCGAGTCCGATACCACGTATCGCCGGGAGAAGAAGAGCGGTACGATGTGGACCAGGGGAAACCATGGCGATGCGGCGTGCGTGAGGTGGCCGCGGGAGACGCTCAAGCGGGTCGAGTGTCCGACGGTCGTCATTCACGCGGCCAAGGACCAAGTATTCCCCTTGGAGTACGCGAAAGCTCTCAGAGATGACGTGGGGGATGCAACGCTGGTGGTGGTCGAGAACTGTGGTCATGAACTGCCACATCGAGCTCGCGGAACAATAGTGGATGCGATTCTTGCGAATGTGAAGAAGGGGGAGCAGGCATCTGATGTAGCGAAGAGGGATGAACTTGTGCTTCCAAGTCGCCTGTGATGTGTCTGGCACAAGGAGACCGTCCAACGCCTTCTGGACCATGCGGCCAGGTTTGCACAGACAGAGCACCGCAACAATTACACCAACAATAGTAGGCTATACTTGTCCTCCCGCCGACTGGCGAGAGGTTTCACTGCAGGGGCTGTGCAGTCTTCGACAGTCGTACTGGACTCCTCATCTCAGGGCGCAACCATAAAAGCGAATCTAAAGGAGGTTGAGCCTTTGGCAATCGAGATACTGAGTCACTTCAACAAATAAGCAAGTTTATGGTCGACTTGCAAGCAGTCAACTAACATGCAGAAGAGACCAAGCTAACTCTGAAGAGCCTTGTTGCCGATCCGTAACAAAGCTTGCCTGATGTTTACTACTGATATGGATTGCGAGATCATGCCCGAATGGCTACGGTTCAAATTATCTGACAAAAGGCTTCGCTCGTACGAAGCGGCGGCAGCAAATGTATGTGTATCTTATTATACTTCTATTTGACGTCCCAGCCCCGAGGATGTGTTTACATTTACAGTATAGATCGAGCCTGATAATCTGCCTTCAAGTTGCTTCTGATTCATCACCTAGGTGACCCTTTTCCCTCCACCTGGTTAGCTACGCAACCCTGAACCGAGGGAGTCGACGCATCTGCATCCTTCGGTAACCTCTGTCACACTACTGACAGTACTGTTTCTCTCTTTCCTGTTATCAGACTCTCCTTCTGTATACCTTTAACCCCCCATGGACTGCCCATGTCGGGAAACTCCCATCTCGATGCGCTGCGGGCGGCAACCCACCACCGGCACAAATATCAACGCCACGTCCTGAGAGGACGCCTTCGTCGTCTCGGTTCGAAACCAAAGAAGCACGCAAGGAGTATGGCACCAGCGAATGCGATCCGCTGGTCTACTCAAAGTACCACCTACCGAGCCACACAGTTCACGAACCCAGGGTCAAAGTTCTCTGCCTTCGGACGATGTATCGGATCCCAGACCTGAAATTTATGCCAAAAAGGCACCCGAGCCGAATAATCTGCGATAGTGCCCTGAATGCAGTCGCGGAATGAGCTATGGCTCTTGGTATGACCATATCCGGCAAAAACATATGGGAGACAGATGCCTGTGGCCCGACTGCGGCCTTGGCGCCGCCTCTGTCGCCCCCCTGATCGCCGCTGCGTCTCGTGAGGAGTCCTCCTCCCCCCCCCCCTCCCCGATCATCACGGGGGTGAGAATCAAGTGAAGTCAATGCACTCAGTTTTTCGACCCGCACGACACAAGAGCCTGGTGCACTTCCTGTAAGTTGAAGATGCCCGAGGGGCTATCATCGTAACAGTTGCGGCGCTGCTAGTATTCAGGTAACGTACTAACAAAACATAGGGCATCCTTATGGCCTCACACCATAGGTGACGGACTACGAGAACCGCCTGTTTTAAAGACGAAAAAGTGGTCACTAATCGGTACCACTGTTGCTTCAAGCAACCTCCACTTCGCTGACGAAGGTGTCCTACGACTGCATTTGCGGGGCCACCATAACGAAGTGATACCCGCTCGCGGCTGGCACACCGACTGACGATGGATATCACTGCACGTGGCCTGGCTGTAACCGGTCGTACAAGAGCAGCGACCAAATTGATAGGCATCTCGATGAACACCTAGTGGATATTCGACGCGCCACAGACAGCGATCTGAACAGAAAATATGCGAATAACGAAGCCTCTCGGGTGGTTCAATAGGATAACGTGGACACCTCTAAAGCGGCTTCTTGTAACACAGGTGCGAGAAATCGAGACTTGTACTCACGGGCTGCTACTGTGAGCGTATTGTCTCCTTTTGGGTTTCTCAGCTGGGGTAATGAGACCAGATGCCGGGGGCACGCTGTGTTACCTAAACATTATTGCGCAGGATGGATCGGGGCCATTCGCTACTCTTCCCGATATTCATGCCACACCACACATTGTATTTTATGTAGAAACTGAACAGATGTGTTCCAGGATGAGTTTGGGAGTCATCCTATGTCCATCGTTGACGGCATTCGTTTGTGATATGTTGTAGCCCTATGGCCCCCTTCGCCTGATAACGTGGGATGGGACGGGCAAAGTCGAAGAGTGTCCTTCCGAGGAACCCATCCGGTGAACGGGAGTCATATCCCTCTAGGCACCAAAAGTTGATATATCAACTCACTGTCTGGTGCCTAATGTACTGGAGGAATCCCCCTGGCCACGCCGGCATCTCCGTCTGTGGAAGGTAGGGTGGAAGGATGCGAGGGATGATAGGCAGTCAGAAAAAAGAGCGAACCTTTGACACCAAGTACAATTGAACGGTCTAGATTCTTTTGTCATCATACCGGAAGAAGCCAATTCCAGGGGAGTATTTCGCCACATAGAAAACTATCAGGCAGCAGAGATATTTTATAGGATAACTATCATCCGTACCTTGTAATGATGTCACCATACACTGGTGGCAACTGCGCACTTTGAAAATATAATGGAGCTTCCAGCTTGTTCGGCTTCACCGAGCTCCGTTCGTTTGAAAGGTTTGTGTCATCAGGCGGTGCTGTAAGTTTAGCGAAAGTAAAGGAGACTGGAGGTAATCTGGAAAGTCAAGTGATATAAATGTAGTGCGTGCTCGACATCTGGTAGTTCGTTCCCATCATTGTCACCATCATCTCCTCCGGATCCGTCGACTTCTCCGTCAGCATCATATACAATTATTCCCGGCCAGCAGCAACCAATTTATACGTCGTACAGCCGCAGAGCCCAATCCACCATCACGGTTACACCAACACCGGAGAAGATGAAGACTTCTTTCGCAGCTCTCCTGGCCATGGCCTCCGCTGCTGCACCCTCCCTCGCTGCTGCAAGTGAAGACAAGTCAACGCTAGACAAGGTAAGCGGTTAATTCCCAAGACAAGTACACATCAGCGGACTACCTACTGACGATGTGCATCAGCGATTTGGAGCCGAGGACTTCCGTGACGCGATCAAGGGCTGGAAGTTTGGTGACCTGGAACATCGCGCAATGTTGAACTACGTAACCAATTCCGAAAATGAAGACGGCACGTGGCAACTCCTCGACCAGGACGGGAACTTGTTGGAGGAGAAGGATGTCAAAGCGGACAGCATGAAGTGGATGTTCGAGGCACCGACCAGCGACCGCCGCGACCTCTCCCCCCTCGAGGCGAGAGTGTCCAAGGAAGATGAGTGCAAGACGACTAGCTGCCAGCTTCATCCTATTCGTTATGGTGGCATCGTCATGCGCGATGAAGATGAACTCTGCAAGGATAAAGGTTGTAGTGCTTGTGTGCCCGCGACGGTCTCAGTGGACGGCGTCGAAAGGATGAAAAAGCGATGTATTATCCGGACATAGTGAAGGAGTCATTACAAAGGAGACCCAATCGAAGTGCCCGGCGCACCATTGAGATAGACCCGCGACATGAAACTCATCTCGGTGTTGTAACATTAAATTAGTACACACAATTATGAAACACAATCTTTACTTAGATGAGCCTGGACAGGCATTTGGCAGCCCGTCGTTGATTTTAATATCAAGTAAGCCCTGATACACGTCGCTACAGGATCACTAGTGATGGGCTTATTCATCAGTCTGATGTATACCTTAATGTGGGCAGCTTCATTGAGATCGCGCAACACGTGGCAATGGACATGGCATACCCTGAAGAGATCTGCCTCTGTGCTCACCATCTGACCACAAGACCCATGGAAGCGCCTATCGACAAGGGAGGCATCTTCCTCGCCACGAACTTCAATCCTCATCACTAAGCTTCTCCCGCTGCGTCCTCCAGTAGGCCTCCTGCAGCGCCTTCAGCGGCCGCCTCTCGACGTCGCCCAAATACACCACCTCGGTGTACGGGTGGTGGATTGGATACGGCTTCTCGCAGTTGATCCACACATCGCCCAGCAGCTCGCGGCTCCGGTGCACGGCCAGGGGATCTCCAGCGTCGGTGGTGGTTGCGTCTCACCACTCGCCGATTCTTCACCACCACCACCACCAACAACAGCAACAGGAGTACTATTACCATCAACGAAAAGAATCAAACTACCAATCCTCAAACAGCACCACCGGTATCTTGGAGTATAAAAATGAACTCGTCTAAGTACATGGATCTGAACAAGTTTCGGAGGCTTGAGTCAGAAGCCAAAGCCAAGACGGACACGTCTACCAAGACAAACCACGACATCGATGGGAATACGTCCAAGGGCGGTGCCCTACAGATGGCTGGAGACATTGGAAATGTCTCGCCCCGCGGCCAGGGCACATCGCATCCACAAAAACGAGGCTGAGGGGCCCAGCGTCCGGGCTCTTGGAGACCTCGGTAAGGGGTTATCTTCAGATATGCTGAATATGTGGGCGGCGAACCAGGAGAAGGAACGGGATCAGAAGAATCGTTGTTTGTAGGCGCTAGAGACGATGTCCTTTTCTCTGATGAACAATATCATGGCTTCTTGGTGTCCTTGAAGAGTTGTCAGCAAAGTGCTAGATAATGAGCCACTGGTCTGGTATACCTTTGCCGTCCAATTACCACTGCGAACATGCCAACTCGGCTCCGTGGTCTTTTCCCTAGAATTTGGACGTATCGGAGTCCTATGGATCCCATAGGTTCTTAGAATGGCTAGAAATCTCGACCCTTCCTCATCGTCCACCGTATATATCTGGCCTATCGAATATTGACCGGCTCCTCATCTGACTGACAAATTCCTCCACTTCCATCTTTACAACATGTTCACCCGGGATGACGACCAAACCCAGGTACCTCGATGTCATGTCGGCCTTGACACTATCCGACCTTGAGTTGGCTGCAGCGGCCGCTGCCTCGGCCAGCTTCTGGTGGGACGGCTGGCGGTATTCGTATGTCAGGGCTAGAACGACGTTGGTGTGCTACTGCATGTCAGTGAAATGCGAATGATTTCAAACGAAGTTGTTTTGGAAAACGTACCGTATCAGTGCACTTGAAGGTGCCTATGAACATACGGCTATCCGTTGTGTGGATGCGCAGCGACTTGTTGAGCAGTGACTTGAGGAAGGACTCGGCTTCGGCCTTTTCGGGGCTGACGCTCACGCTTGTCCGATCGAGCTTCTCTGTTACGGACTGCATAGTGTCGAAGACCAGTCCATTAAATTCGGGACGAAAGGGTTCTGCTCAATTTCGTCGCATGGTTGAAGCAGAGTACCTGTTGCAGCAGATAGATGGAGGTTGCGGTTGCGGTTGTGGTTTTGGTTGTGGTTGAATCAAGCAAGACCCGACGTGCATCTAGCGGGGCATTCCAGGGCTTATCGATAAGGTATGGCGTAGCTGCATAAGGTAGGCTACCCCCTGTAAACGCAATCGCCGCGCTCCAGGGGGCTCAGGGGACTTTCGGCGTCGAGTCATCGTCATCATTCATTCACTGGCGCGCTCTGCTCTGCTCTGGTCTACCCATAGGCGACGGTCGCTGGTCGCGACCAAGAATGCGAGCGTGGTCTGTCTTATTTCCCATTCCTTCCCACACCACCTGCATTGAATGGGTTCATCCAATGCTACTCAATCGAAGCAACATGTGTTCCTCTCCACGGCGTCCTTGAGCTTTTTGTCTCCCTCGAAACCACGACGTAGTGGTCTTAGAGGGCCTGTGCGACCATGGGTGTGAACGGCCTCTGGACCGTCATCCAACCCTGCGCGCGCCCGACCAATCTCGCAACCCTCAACCGCAAGCGCCTCGCCGTCGATGCCTCGATCTGGATATACCAATTCCTGAAAGCCGTGCGCGACAAAGAAGGCAATGCTCTGCGCAACTCCCACGTCGTCGGCTTCTTCCGTCGCATATGCAAGCTGCTGTGGTTTGGCATCCGCCCCGTCTTTGTCTTCGACGGCGGCGCGCCCGCTCTCAAACGCCAGACGATTACGGGTCGAAAGCAGAGAAGAGAGGGGCGTCGCGACGATGCCGTCCGGACCGCCGGCAAGCTGCTTGCCGTGCAGATGCAGCGCATAGCCGAGGAGGAGGGCGATAAACGGAGGAGGAGGATGGAGATGGAAACCCAGGGGGTGCCTGAGGTCGAGGAAGAGGTCGAGGAGATCCCGGACGCCGAAAAGCTGGTGTACGTCGAGGAGCTGGGCATGGACCAGCAGCAGAGGCAGCAGAACAGAAAGTTCTTCAAGCAAGATGCATACCATCTGCCCGAGCTGAATGGCAGCATTGAAGGCATGGGCCGACCCGAAGACCCGCGCATCATGAGTATCGAGGAACTGGAAGAGTATGCAAGGCAGTTCAACACCGGCGAGGATATCAACGTCTACGACTTCAGCAAGATCGACTTCGAGGGTGAGTTCTTCAAAAGCTTGCCACCCGCCGACCGGTACAATATCCTCAATGCCGCCAGATTGCGGAGCCGAATGAGGATGGGATTGGGTAAAGAGCAGCTCGACAGCATGTTCCCGGACAGGATGGCATTCTCGAGATTCCAGATCGAACGGGTCAAAGAGAGAAATAACCTGACGCAACGACTGATGAAGGAAGCCGGCATGACTGGGTTGGATCTAACAATTGGCGGGAGCGCACGCATCGCGGGTGAGAGGGATCGCGAGTACATCCTCGTCAAGAACGACGGGGTCGAAGGCGGCTGGGCACTCGGTGTGGTCAGCAGGGAAAAAGACCAAGGCGAGATCCACAAGCCCATAGACGTGGATGCTCTTGAGTTCCAGTTCCAAGCCAAAGAAGAGGATATGGAATTGGAAGACGACGACTTTGAAGACGTCCCTATCGAGGGGCTGAATCGGTTACCCAAAGCCAATGAACAGCCCGGAATCCGTGATGATCTTATTGACTCGGTTATGGTCGATAAGAACGAGGACTCCCTGTTTGTTGGAGGAGGTGCCGCGAACACCGACATGGATGGACTCTTCGCACCACAAGACGATAACGAGAGGTTGTTCGATGACGAGGAAGAGGATATGAATCGAGCCATTGCCATGTCTTTGAAAACCCAGCACGGTGTAGGTGCTGAAGAAGAAGAAGAGGGGGATGAGGAGGAATTTGAGGATGTTCCAGCTCCAGTATGGACCCAGAAGGCCGTGCAACAACCAAAGCCAGTTGCTTCTAGGAGCGGCAACATGATCGCACACATTGTCAACAACAGAGCAAACGCTGCTGTCCCTAAACGGCGCCAAAGCAACGCGAGCAGTGACAGCGATGTTGATCTGCGCGCTGCATTGTCTGCTGCGAAGAAAAAGAAAGCCACAGCCTCCAAACCTCAACCTGCTCCTGCTCCTGCTCCTGCTTTTCCCAACGTGAAAAATCCATTTGATGGACCACTGCCTTTCGAGAAACTAGATTTGAGGTCTAGCATATTTGCGAAGAAGGAAACGAAGGGTCCCACGAAGCCGTCGAAGAATGAAGCCGAGGCCGCAACAAACTCAGACGAGGAACTGGCTGGTGGCTTCATTCAGGATACGGAAGAAAACGAAAAAGCCCGGCCGCTTCCGCCGTGGATGATGCAAGATCAGACCGACATTCGTGACAACATGATAGCTCAACGGGAACGCGAGAACGAGATGAACGAAGAAGACAGACAGGCCGCACTCGAAGAGGAGAGGCGGCAGCATAAAGAAGCGATCATCGAGATTGAATCGTCCGACAGTGGAAACGAGAGCGACCTTGAGTTCATTGAACCTCCATTGCCTGCGCGTCAGAAGAGCCCAGTTCCGGCAGAGGAGATCCATGATTCTCCACGGCTGTCGCCCGCCTCATTGACAAAAGTCCACCCTCCAGTTGGTGTCGACGATGTTCAAGTAGATGATACGAAACGAGCCAATAGTTTCCCAGAACAAACCCTCTCTGGGGTCCATTCACCAGACAGCGTTACGAGCCCTAAATCTCCGTCCAAATCATCTTCACCTGATCCAGATTTCGAGGAAGTTGACATACTGCAGCCCGCAGCCGAGCCCAGTGACAAAGCGACCGCTTTACCTGAAGAATCCCCAGAACTTGTATTCGAGAATGTACCTGAGGTCGCGCCAGAACCTGACCAGAATCCCGAAGAACCCGAATCAGTTCCCAATGCCGCTAATGACGTGCTATTTGGTGACGCTGAATTTGATGACGAGTTCAGCGATCCGGAGGAAGAGGAGTTGCTCGCTCAGATGGCAGAAGAGGCCGAAGAGCATGCGCGTTTCGCCAGTCAGCTGAACAACAAGTCGGAAAGGGAAAACCAGGACGCTTACGAACGAGAGCTCAAGGCCTTACGTACACAACAAAAGAAGGACCGTAGGGATGCGGATGAAGTCACGCAGATCATGATCACCGAGTGCCAGGCCTTACTGCGGTACTTCGGTATTCCCTACATCACAGCGCCTATGGAAGCCGAAGCTCAGTGCGCCGAACTTGTAAATCTGGGCCTGGTCGACGGAATAGTCACAGACGATTCCGACACATTCCTCTTTGGGGGTACCCGCGTCTATAAGAACATGTTTAACAGCAATAAGTTCGTCGAATGCTACCTCGGCAGCGATCTGGAGAAAGAGCTTTCCCTTTCCCGCGAGCAGCTCATCTCCATTGCGCAACTGCTAGGCTCCGATTATACAGAAGGACTACCAGGTGTGGGACCAGTCACAGCAGTGGAGATCCTCTCCGAGTTTCCCGGTAGGGACGGACTCGCCAACTTCCGAGAGTGGTGGCAAGACGTCCAGGTGCACAACCGACCCAAGGAAGCCGACCAGGCGAACACGTTCCGCCGGAAGTTCCGCAAGTCGCAGGGCACCAAGCTCTTCCTGCCGCCCGCGTTCCCGAGCCCGGCCGTCTTCGACGCCTACCTGCACCCCGAGGTCGACAGCGCGGCGGAGCCGTTCGAGTGGGGCGTGCCCGACGTCGAGGGCCTGCGCCGGTTCCTCATGGACACCATCGGCTGGAGCCAGGAGCGCACCGACGAGGTCCTGGTTCCGGTCATCCGCGACATGAACCGCCGCGAGGCCGAGGGCACCCAGAGCAACATCACGCGCTACTTTGAGGGGTCCGTTGGCGTCGGCGCGAAGCCCAAGGAGGCGTTTGCGCCCAGGCAGCGAATGAGGGGGAGCAAGCGCATGGCTGAGGCTGTCAACAAGCTCCGCGCGCACCATGCAGGTGGGGACAGCAGTAATGTGGCCTCGGAGGCGGCAGTGGAGGACGAGGGGCTGGCACCGGCGGCGCAGCCTGGTGCGCGGAAGCGCAAGGCGAAGAACACAACGGTCGTCGATGATGACGATGATGATGATGGGGACTTTGTTGACGAGGATGGCGACGGCGATGGCGTTCGGGAAACTGCAGGCAGGAAAAGGGGTAGAGGGAAGACTAGGGGGAAGACTAGGGGCAAGCGGGCTAAGGCGTCTACGTAGATCCAGAGTTGAGATTCGATGATACCTTACCTACCTAGATGAAGAAATGTTGTTACACTGTAGCTGAACATTTTCCAAGCTGCTCCTTGAATCTTTGGAATGGGGTGCCAAGGGATCCCCCCCGCTCGCGATTCACGAAGACTTGTCTCTTGGGAAGGAAGTCGGCGCCAAAGACTCGGCCACTCCAAGGTTCCGACATGTTGCTAAAGCATAGGTGTTGCCGTGTGATATATTACGTATCGGATGAAAAGTACCTTTTCAAACCATAACTTATACGATAGACCATACCCAGGTCCAAAACCACCCATCCCATCTCACTCAATCGGCACCAAGACCACGCTCTCCAGGCCGTCCCCATCCTCGCCACAGCCCCCCATCTCCTTCCCACCCATCTCCCCCTCCTCATCCTCGTCCACATCTTCGACAGTAACAGCGAAACAAGAGCCACGGCCCTTCCCTCCATCCCGCCCACCCACACCTTTCTCGACATCGTCATCCCCATGGCCTTCCCTCCTCACAAGCTCCCTCTCCATCTCCAGCAACTCCCCCTCCCGCCTCATCACGTCAGCTTCGCGTGCCAGGAACTCCTCTTCTCGCTTGAGCAGCTCCTGCCACAGCCGCATCCTTTCCCTGTCCAGTGCCTCCTCGCGGTCCTTGCGTTCGGTCTGGGTTTGGGTGGTCTCGAGCGCGTGGAAGTCTTCTTTCTGGGCACCGGGGAGGACGGGTCGGCGCGCTGCGCGTGAGCGTGCTAGTTGGTGGCAGAGGAGCAGTGGGGGGAGTCTGTGTCCAATGTTGATGGGTTGTCAGTCTGGCTCTTTCTTCCTCCTGGACAGGATTTGGTGGATCGGGAACAGGGAAGGAGTGTAGTGATTTTGATGGATATTGGACGGCGAGAAGAGCGTGATGGAGCCTCGCTCACCAGGAAGGCCAGAGCCTTGAAGGGCGACTCTGCCGGTGGCGCTCGGCCGAACTGTATGGATCCCATATAACCGAATCGATACATGATGTAGAATCAAATAATTGATTATGTGTAGTAGATACGTGTTGACTGGCTGATGACTTAGGCGTGCTGCTTGCTAGTTAGGTGTTGAAGGAAACTTCCAAGCCAATTTCGACTGAATGAAGAGTTGCAAAGACGGAGACAACTCCTGTTGGCAGGGGATGGCTGGAAGATGGGGTTATACGAGAGACTTGGCTGCCTGGCACAAGGCACAATGTCATGTCTCATGTCAATACGAGGTGGTTACGCCGATGAAAAGCTCCTGGCCAATCCCGTGTGCGCCAATGGCCTCGATCTAGGCTGACCAGCTCGTATCCTGAGCAATCAGAATCAACTATTCAGTAAACCTCAACTCAGGAATGTTTACATGTAACAAGGAGTACAGGTGTCATGTTTCAGTCGGTACTTACTTATGATCCCGTATGTGGCATTGCGAGTTGACGTGTAGTGTATCTCTTCCCACGTGTTACACTCAGTCCTCATAAGTCTCCGTGCGCGCCATGTTGGGAGGAATTCAGATCATACGTTTGAGTTTAAGAATACTAGCATAAGCAGACAGGAATAAGCAGCTTTAGTTTGATACGCCACTCCTAATACTTATTCCATGGTGCTTATTCCGATTTAATAAATTTACCGTTACCTGCTGAGATGGGTGGTATACGGAGACTTATAAGGGTCCAGTGTACCTTAAACGTACAATTTCATTGCTACCAAACTTATGTTACACCAACACAAACCCTTTCTCGACCGTGATGAGTAATTATCGACGTCGATCTCCTTCCATCGTTGAATCAACCCAGACGCGGGACTTGAGATCTGGGCGGTCAGACACAGGGTTCTTTATTTATTTTTATTCCCTTGAGCGCTGGATGCTGTGATAAGATGCCCGCCTCTCTATTGATATAACCAGTAAACAGTTAACCAGCTCGTGGGAAGTCTGCCTTGTCGGCTTGGCTCAAAGACATCTTGCTCGGGTGAAACATGCAGAAGGACGCAGTTTCAAAGTTGGATCTGATGGTCAGCGTCTTCCTGCCGAAGGCTGCTGTGCTGCTCGTGGGGACCAGTGCAGTCTCTTCTGCCACAACATCACGCTACCTACCCGTGTGCAGTCACTGACAAATGGCAAAAACGTGTATCTTTTCTTATCAGTCGAAACTTGTTCTTTATGTACGAATAAGTGAGGCAAGCTCAATGTATATACAGTTGAATCAACATGGCTACGTGTCGCATCAAGCCCGCCGCAGTAGATGCCAACTTTGACGTCTCGGCCACCCTTCTATCAGGAAACGGTGATGCTCGAAGAGCCGCTGCTGTAGTAGCCCTCGGTAGCCACGATCTGGTAGTTGTAAGTCCCCAGTTCCAGGCCGAGCGCGGCCCACGCGGTGAAGTGGTTGGCGGTGGTGACGGTGCCGCTGCTGCGCTTGGACTGGCGGACGGACCAGAACTGCGTGAAGGTCGACGTGCCCTCGATCGAAGGCTCGTTGGTGCGCGTGGCGGTGTAGATGTCGTACGTTGCGCCGTCCGAGTCGACGGTGCCCTGGTACGTGCCGCCTGGAATGCATTTGTTAGTTCCCGTTCGAGACTGAACATGATACCTCTTGTGCTGCCTTGACGTACCTGAGCCGGGGTTGTAGGTGCCGTAGCTTTCAACGATGTAGTACTCGATCAGAGGACTCTGAGTCCAGCCGTATACGGACAGATAGCTATTGCCGTCCGGGCTGTACGTGCCGGAGAACGTGATGACCCTATGCCAGGAGTTAGCCAGGTGCTCGTGAAGCCTTGTCGATTATTATCAGAGTCAGACGAGGCACTCACCGGTCGCTACCCGTGGCCCACCCCTTTCCACCAACGAAGTTGCCATCGCCAGACCAGGTCACGCTGTACTCGCCAGCGTCGCCGTTCGTATACGTGACGTCGGCCCCGCCGTCGGTCCAGAACGAATAGTAGTATCCATTGTTCGTGCCGGTCTCGCTCGTCGTGATGCCCTTTGCCAGTGGTGACTCGCTAGGGGCAGCAAGGGTACCGACAAAGGCCGACGCGGCGACGAGGAGGGAAGTGAACGAAACCATGATGCTTGCGGTGACGAGAGCGGTGGCGGTGAGGGATAACGCTGACAATAGATGTAGCTGGTGCAGAATATGCAGTATTTATATACACCATAGGTCGACTCCCTCGCCCCTGGGCGGAAATAACATCGTCTGACTACGGTCTGAGATAGATTATCGAATCCATTCGCGATCCCGGAAACCCACTCCTCTGCCGGACGCCCGCACGCAGCACGCCCGCCAACCAGGATTCGCGAGCCCTGTACGGCAGTGGGTATAGAACAAGCCAATATTAACCACGTAGTATAAGTAGCATATATGATATTCTACATCCTAGTTATAGTATCAGTCCTCCGGATGGGGCTCTGCAGAAAATCCGCGAGTGAGATGCCGCAGCACAGTGGACGACACGCGTCCCGCCCCCGCCACCCCGATCCCTGCCAATTCCGGCATTGGGATTCAAGGAGATCGGGTCCATGCTTGGCGATCCCGTGCCGGGGTCCGCAGACCGGCCTAATGCGGAACTGAAGCGCAGGGCCTGGCCTCTTCCGTGTAACCTTTTGGGTGCTAGTCGACGATGCTTCGGACCTGCTGGTATTGTCGGTCCTGTCTTTCACCGAAGCCATGTATTGGCCAATGGCGTATTTCGGCTTTTTATAATACCTAAGGGCACGGGGGGCTTTGGCCATGACCACGTCCGCTATTAGGCATGCCAGAGAGATCAATCCGAAAGATCATCTCGCGATGCTGGTGTCTACAAGAAGCCCAGTATATCATGCTGGACTTCCACCTACTAAGTCATAATTCACAACGCCGCTTCCAACAAGGATGATGACTTGGCTTCTTGTGGTGGGAAAGAGAATACGAAAGAAAGTCGGAAATCACAACACAAAACTGTTAGTAGGGGTCATCGAACAACGAACCCCGGCGTCGTGGAGAGCCATATACAAGCCCGCAAATATATGCAATGTTGCACTCGAGAAGAGAAACCTCAAATTAAGGGTCTTGAAACCCAAAGACTCAAGTCACACGCTATAGCCGTCAGCCACCCGGGCCTCGGATGACTCTGCAGGAATGCGTCAAGATCTGTGTGTAGTATAACGAGGACAAAAAAGCGACAGTCCTCTCGTTCAATGCAGTAACTTAGGTACATACCGAGCTCTGGAGTAACTTGATTATACCGGTGAGTTGATCCTCACTCACTTCATCCCAAGCCTAAGCCTAATCGCAAACAGGACTTGCCTCGAGCAGTCTTGTACAACTACAATACCACGGCAAACCCTTCGAGCACTCGAATAAACCCCGGCTGCCCTTCAACCTCCGGATTTACTGTAATCACACTTCACACTTCACATCCATCAACCACGACCTCTCAGACCCAGCGAAGCAGAAGTCACTAGACTTACACCGCCTGGGGAGATCCCCAAAGGTACCTACTCACAGCAAACTCAGGCAACGAGTCGTGGAGCGCTTTCAGCTCTAGGACCTATCTGTCATCATCTCTAAAGGCAAGGGCCCCATAACGAGAAAGTGACCCATGCCAGTCCCAAGTCCTCGGGACACACATCACTGTTGCTTGTGACTAACGATAGTTAAGAGCAGAAGATGGGAATCGTCTGGCTAGGTATATGTTGAGACTCCGACATTGACCCCTGGCTCGCTCCGAACTACAAATCCTAATCCGCTGGATTCGGATTACGGCTACGTTCATGTGAATCCGAAGTTGTCATGTAATAACTGCTGTCGTACACTAAACAGGCCTTACAATCCGCTCAGACAACAGTCAACTCACGGGCTGTGTGTACCATTTATGTCATCAATATATCACCCAGAAAACATATTGCAAATCTAGAAGTCCAGATCTGAACCTCGCCGAAGATTGTGGTCAGGGTATTATCATATTTACGTCCTTGCCGGGTCATCACGGCGTCTGGCGCGTGAGTGTGCCATCATATCCGAAGTGAAACTAAGACCGCAGCAATTATATATGTAACGCGCAAAGCGAGGCCAAGCCCCCGACTAGACCCCAGTGGATCTGTCATGCCAAATTCGCCCTTACCCACGCACAAAATCTATTGCTGAACTCCCGTCCCCATGCTCACCCGGCCACCGTCTCGCTACTTGATAGCTGAGACCCCGACTTTTTGGTCCGCCATGTCATGAGACCCCATACCAGCCATGATAAGCCTGAACGCCTTGCGTGAATATCGACAGTGAACAAGAGCATAGGTCCTCTGTAAATGACAAACGACCATGGGACCGCCCGGACGGGCACGTGTGATCAAGTGTGGTGCGGTGCCGTAGTTGGCAAACACCTATGTAGAGATGTTGCTATCCATCATAGACTCTTCATACCCCCGTAGTTTCCGAGTATGGTGTGGTTAGGTCGACTAGTTGCTCCATTCTAGGAATGAGCTCGGGCATGCGGAACGGTTTGGAGATGACGTCGTCCTATATTACGTTTTAGTATCACTCAGACAGGGCTCTCCATCAAACAAACTTACAACACCTGCGGCTTTGGCATCTTCAATCTGCTCAGGCCGAGCATATGCCGTGACAGCAATAATTGGAATATGACTAACCAGCGTCCCTTCTCGCTCTAGTTGGCGGATCTTTCGGGCGCAGGTCATGCCGTCCATGACTGGCATCTCCAAATCCATCAGGATTATCGAGATGTCGTCGCCCGTCTCTTCGTTCCCATGCCAGAACCGCGATTCCTTCAGAACTTCTAAAGCTTCCCCTCCGTGATTTGCGACCTTGGTGTTGTTCCCAACGGTGCGAAGCGACCGTTGGAGCACTTTCTGATTCACAATGTTGTCTTCCACGATGAGGACGTCAAATAGGCGGCGCCCATCTTCCGAAAACCTCGGTTTGGAGGGAGCCACGGTCTTGGTGGTGCGGCTCAGAGCCTCGCGGGCCGTGGACTTTGGATGTCGCGTCTCAATCGTGGTAGATGACCCTGGAGCGCGGGTAAGGGGTGGTGCACTTGGCAGTGTCTTGATATCGGAAGATGGACAGCTTGTCTTGCGGCTCTGGAGGTAGAAAGAGAAGGTGCTGCCGACGCCCTTTTGCGAGGTCACACCGATCTGGCCGCCCTGCAGTTCAGTCAAGATCCTGGAAATGAATAGACCCAATCCGGATCCACCGTACTGAACGTGAGTGCGGGGTGAGGCCTGTGAGAAGCGCTGGAATAGGAGCTTTCTCTCATGCTCATCCAAGCCCCGGCCGGTGTCCTGGACGGAAAAATGGAGATTGATTTTCTCGCCGTCTCCCCAATCAGGGTGGTCCGTCAAGTCGTCCTTGTCGGCTCTGTCGCTCTGGAAGTACAAGATCTCCGAGTCGGTTCGCTCGGAAATTTCCTTGGACGCATCGAGAGTAACGATGATAGACCGCTGAGCACATGCTTGGGTGAACTTGATAGCGTTGGTCATCAGATTGATCAGCACCTGCAAGAGTCGCGAAGGATCTAGTTTGACCCAGTCAATACCCATATCGAGGTAGCGGTTCTTGACTTGGAACTTCATCTCAATGCCATTCGTGTTCAGCTCGCCCTCAAACATCTTGAGAACCCTCTGCACCACCGCCAGTGGCTGCACTTCGACAGGGGTGACCAGGAGCAGCTGGGAGTCTAGTTTGGAGAGTGTCAAAATATCGTCGACTATCCGCTTCTGATGGCTTGCACAAAGCGTGATCGTGTTGGCCGCTTCGAGACACGCTTCCAAGGCAAGTCTCAGGTTCTCGCTCTTCTCTGTCCACTCGCTGGAAGTGCTGTAGAATGTCAGAGTATTAGCAATTTCGTCCGCACATTGGAGAATGGCGCTGAGTGGATTGCGCATTTCGTGACTTGTTATATCGATGAAATTTTCCTGCTGGCGTTTGAGCTCGACGGCTTCCTCGCGGCGGTGCATTTGGATCTGCTCGGCCAATTTCTGCTGCGAAATGTTCGTGATGCATCCAAAAATTCCTTTTATGCCGCCGTTGACATTCCTCTCCGGATAGGCACTCATCAGCACCCAAGTGTCGATCACCGTTTCGCCTTCATGGCGAGAACATTTAAATCTGAACTCATGAGTTATGGCGACCTTCTCCGTGATCAGATGATGCCACACCTTCTCTAATGCAGGCCTGTCTTCGTCTTTCACGCTTTGCATCCAGTTGTTGACGCTATGTGATCTGTTGTGCCTCGATATATCCCACCACATATCGTTACAGTATGTGATGTGACCCATATGGTTGGCTATGAACATACCCACTGGAGCAAACTCGGCCATCCGCGTGAATTTGAGTTCGCTCTCCTCCACCTCCTGGGTTCGGATGTGGAGTTGCTTGGTCAACTCTTGCCGATCAGCGGCTGCCATCTGCGCCGCCTTCTGTCCGCGGCGTATCTCCTCTTCGAAAAGAACCACGGATGCCAACGATGTAGCCAGCTGTCTCGACAACAAGTTGACGAAAAGCTCGTAGTCTTCGTCAAAGGGTCGCCTGGGATTGACGCCCATGACGATGAAGCCAACCACGCTTTCGCTGCCGGTCGTGGGGTGGACTGGGAAGATAACGATCGAGTGGCATGGTTCGCCGCCACCTCGCCACTCGAACCCATCCATCAGACCTTCCGGTAACGTCCCTTTCTCCGCTGACAGAATGACTGGTCTTCCCGAATTGGACATTGATTCTCGCATATACGGAGCGAAGCCCTCGTTGCTGGTTCTCAGATCCAAGGCAGAAACTAGACACTGGTGTCCCTGTGGTACGCCGACGGAAGCCTCGAGGATCAGATGTGGCGGGTTTACAAAGCTGCCCGAGTGCATAGACGACACGTCGCTCTCGGGATCTTCTGTGACAGAGTATACCAAGTTGAATGGGACGTCGTCCTCGTTGTATTCCAGTCCTTCGTGGACCAGAGTCCAGAAGCCCTTGACCTCGCGGGCCAGCGCGGTCTTCTCGCCGACTTCGCGCAAGGTGTGCATTCTTCGCTCGGCCACCTTCCGCCGAGTATTCTCAAAGGCCGGGTTGTATAGGCCTACAACGGAACCGTCGTCACCAACGAGCGGAACAATAGACCACGAGAAGAAAGTCTCCTCATTGAAACCATTCCTCTTCAAGATGAGCCGATCATCGTTCTTCATGGTAGCTTGGCCAGATTCCCAGGCACCCTCGAAGACAGCGGCGACCTCTGGCCAAATCTCATTCCATGCCTCTTTGTAGCTTTGGCCCATGAGTTTAGGATGTTTCTGCCCTGCCATGGCGACATAGGCTTCGTTGTATATCGCCGTGAACTCTCGGCCCCAATACATGGCTGCGGGATGAGGACTGCCCATGACCATGTTAGCCATGGCTAGCAATTCTGCGGACCAGTCCTCAATGGGGCCAAGGGGCGTCGACGCCCAGTCCCTTGTGCGGGCGAAGCGAACATGTTCGGGAAGATCGGGTGTCAGAGGAATCCGCGTCCAGTCGAACGAAGGTCGCGGGGACGACAAGGTGACAGAGGGCGTGAAGTCGGTGCTGCGGTGCAATGATACCGGCTCTCCAGCGTCGCTACCGACACTAGGTTGGCCGTCGTCCTCCACATTGCCGAAGTAGTCTCGATCGGGTATTACAATGTCACTGGGCGTTTTGGGCTGGGCATTCGGTGTTAACCCACGACTCCGGGACTCGACGCTGGGTTCACGCTCGTGTGACGGTTCGGGTGAGGTTCGCGCAATGGAAGCTGCGCTCCTGTTCGCACTGACGAAACGGAATCTGTTCCTGAGAGTAGAGCAGGTCCAGTCAACACCCCCATAATGGTATGCAGGCATGAAAACATCCAGCCCGTCCACATTCACCCCGCCGCTCTTCACCCAGTTTTTGAAGCCGGAGAACTGGTCCTTGCCACCCTTCGCATCCGCGTCATCCTGAAAATCCACAAAGATCAAGTGGCGGATAGCATCAGACACATGCAGGGCGGGATTCGCATACAAAACAGCAAAGGGCCCAGGAGTCGTGTTGGCGGGATTTGCGCCATCGACGATGAAGGTGGGTCGGTCGTCACGCTCCAACAGCTCCAAGATACCTATGCTTTGGAGCACCTGTATTCCCGGAGTGGACGACTGGGTATCAGGACTTCGGGTTTGATTTACAGCATCGATCGAGGACCAGCTACCGGGAGTACTTGAAGATCTCGCGGGACTTGCTGAACTGACGGTGCCCCGCGCAAGCTTCAGAGTTGTCACCTCTCCACTCTCCCGAACGCTCTTCAACATTGTGGTGGCCTGAGACCCAGAGAAGCTGGGCGGCCTCTCGATGGGCGGCCTCTGCTTATGCGAGAAGAACAGGGGCGAGGTCAGGCCGGCGACGAGCTTTTGGGGAAGCGCGGGTTTGGTGAAGGTACTGAGGTCTATGGTGCCAGGGGGTGGAAGCCGTGTGCGCTGTTTCTTCGAAAAAGGTTGACTATTGTCCTGAGCCCCAGCCTCGTCGTCTGAGGACCTCTTGCCCACTCCAGACCGGGTCTGGTGCAATTGCTGTGCGGCAGCCGAGTTCAGTCGCGCCTTTGCGTTGAGATCGACCGATGGTAGGTGGGCTGTTCTGCTGCCGAAATTAGGGGTGTGAGTGGCAGGCCCAGCAGCTGTCAGACCATAGTGGCCGATCTCGGTCGAGGAATGCCCTACGTGGTGGACGGGGACATTCGTATCGTTAGCGAGCGTGTATTGGTTTTGTCGGATTGCTTGGGCGAAGGGACCGGAGACGGCGGACGCAGACGCGGATCGGGTGTGAGCGCGGAGGGCAGGAGTCGGGATTTCCCCCGGTCTGTTTGGGCGTGGAGGGTCGTCTCTGTTTGTTTCTAAATTCATGAAGTGACTGTTATGAAAAGCCTTCTCCGTCACGGTGGATGAACCTTTCTCCTTCACGAATCACGGTGGATGTCCAACGCCGAGCTCCAGCTGCGAAAGCAAAGACTGTGCCAAAGTACCTGTCCCGATCGTCAGGAATTGTGGAGGGGAGGGTCGTGTGGCCGTGGCCATTGACAGGTTCGGCGAAGGGGCGCGCGATGCTGGTATGGGAGATTGAGCAGGCGAGGTTCAGGGAGTTTCAAAGCGTACAAACGATGGATCCGGAAGAATGGGACGGTAGGATCGGGCTGTGTGCAGGTGGTAACAGTGGTATGTGGTATGTGGCATGGGCCAAGCTCGTACCGGCGTCCGGCAACTTCCCAGGCTTCCCCGCCAGAGGGCGTCTACCTACCTATTCGAATTTCGAAGATCGGGATAGGGCGACAGGCTGACAGACAGGGCTGGCTCGCTTCTTCCTCAAAGCAGCGTTCCTTTCCTCCAAAGATGATGCTAGAGGACGAGACGTGGCAGTCGCGAATTATTACAGTCGAACCACTCCTACAATATGCAGTAAGTACCTGACAGAAGTGTGGAAAGGGGGAGGTAGAGCCTGACGGGCGGCCAGGCGGACAGGTCGGCGACTGGGCGGATCGGTCAAGAGATGGAGACACTGGAGAGGCGATGCCGATGCGAGCACTGAGGAGAACTGAGCAGACAGACAGGCAGAGGAAGGATCTATCGACAAGGTTGTATAAGCAGGGGTTGCGACGACCACACAAAGGAGTGCCGAGTGAGAAGTCAGAACAGCAGCAGGGCCAGCAGGCGGGTTGAAAGTGGAATGATTATCAGTGATCTGGATCGCCACAGAGCTTCAGAGTGCCTATCGGAACCCCGGTTGACGACAAGGGAGGGGTAAGGAACTGCAGGGACTATACCTAAATAAGTACTGTACTGTTGGTAACGTCTGGTGCTATGCGGCTGCTTGCTGGAGCTTCTTGACAGTTTTGTTGTTGTTGATGATGCCAGACGAATGTATGCAAAACACTGGACAGGGCACTCGAGCATGGGTTCATCATTTCAATATCGTGTTTGACAACTTGACATGAGGACTCGACGGGAGCACGAAAATGTATCAAACGTGAAATCGAGGCTAGTAGAGAGTCTGTCTGTCAGTCTGTCTACTGTCCGACTGTCCGACTGTCTAGCGCAGAGAGGCAAACTGGCAGAAGTTGAAAGCAGCACAGTGAGCCCCCCCACGGCCCCTGCCAACATGGAAAGAGTGGTCCAAGTGTGGGTGATGGTTTGCGGAAGTGCCAGCGTCGATCACTGTTCCGACAGCCCTGTAACGCCCCAACGCCTGTAAGTGGCGCCTGCAGCCGGGTGGCAAGGGTGGTCCCCGGCGTGTGCTGATGAACCCCAGGGAAGTTTGGAAAAGTCTTGTCGTCTTCTGTTTCAACTTTCCACTCAGCCACTGCGCTTCCAGGGCTGCCGATGGTAATCGGTAACACTTATTTCAGTATTTCGCCAGAGTGTTTGGTGTGTGTATTCGCATCAGTTCTCAGACTTGTGGTTCAGAGGGGAGCCACCCACATCATCACATGTGCGCCTATCTACGGTAATGAAAGACTTGGGGGACCGGAGCTTTGGTGCGAAAAATAGACGGACTCGCGCCATCGTGCTGCCGGGCTGCTTACCTACAGCATGTACTTGGAATTGGGCCCATCTAGACTTCAGGATCGACGATGACCCCGTCAATGCTAACCACTGGAGTGCCACGAGGCATTTGCGATGGGTCTACCGTCTACGTCTTGGGCCAAGAACGGGAATGCCAGGCTGGGCTGTAGGTACAGGAGCTACGGTAGCTGTCACGGCTGTCTCATTCCATGCTACCAACGGCAGTTTACTAGTAAGAGGTAACCTTGGTCCTTAAGGCAGAGAATACCTTGGTGGATGAGAAGGAAATCAATCGGATTTAGAAGAATGCTATGCATGTCAGATGGGATTTATATTGAATGCGGTCCAAACAGCCGAAGTACTGTCACCCCGCTGCCGTCCCATCCGTGGGTCACACAGAACCCTATCAATCCTACAGGTCTGGACCAGCGGACCTAGGACTTACCTGGAATTTGCAACCTGATGTTGTGATACGTGAACTGAACGCTGTCATAGCTTTTTTAATACCGCTTGGGACGCAGAGTCACGATATACAGCAGTCGTTACGCGAGAGGTCTGGGCTCACGTGTTTGTGGTTTGGCTATGCGATTTGTCAGAGAGTTTCCCGAGAATCGTCAAAATTGTCACCGGACTCCAGGTTCCGTCAAACGCTTTACTAATTATTAGTTCAGAGTCTATTGCAAGCACCGTTGAAGGGAAGGAAGCACCAACTCCAGTCTCTTGACAGTGTGGCAGAGGATCATCAACGGTACATGACTCAAACCTTGTGTCGCGGCTGTTTGGGTCGGGTGTTGTCGACTTTGCCAAGCCCACTGCCTGGCTCACCACCACAACTACCTACACACACTATTCCAGTGTACACGGAGCGCTTCGATCAAGCATGCAACTCAAGACGACGAGGCAAGCGCCGAACCCAAGGACGAGAATCCATAGATTGCAGTCTCCGACTCTCCGTGATCAACCCCACCTCCAGCTTGTCCTGCTTGGAGCTTCAGTTCTGGGGTCCGGGGATCCGGCGTAGGAGAACGGCTTCTCGTCTTCCGGCTTGAAGTCTTAATGAATATCCTTCGATGTCTTCTCTTGCACAGTTGAGTCGCTACAGGTGTCTCTGCATCAAGTCCTTGACTCTACTCGTTTCTACTCGTTTCTACTCGTTCTGGGTAGACGGCAAACCGCAAAGTTCGACAAGTCGTCGTCTTCGGACTATTTGGGAAGATCTACAAATACGCCCACGCCAGATGTTGGCATATTTCATACATCACTGCTCCCAATAGGGAGTGAAGAGTGTTTAGGGGTCAAGTTTGACTGTGTGCCTCCGTACGATGATGCATTACCATCGATTTGGTTGGCAGCCGAGCAAGTTCTCTACTGTGATGCTCACTTCGTAATCACAGACAGACAGCACACGCCAAGCCATTTCAACGCGGCGTCAACCCTGGCTTCCACCTCATATACCGTGTATGCACGAAATGGAATCTGATACAGTAATACGCATTCAACCTGATGTAGGAGGACATCATGGACTAAGTCCCCAAACGCCTTCGCGGACCTCACAGGTGTGACTAGTGCAGCTGATGGAACAGTGACGAGAGTCGTTCCGGCGGCTGGTCGTGAACTGCCAGAGGCTGGAGAGGCCCCCAAAAACCGGCCCACGAAGCCCTCAAAGCCCCCAAATGGCCCGGGTCGGCAGGAAGGGGGTTCATGATAGATGGATGGAAGATGACAAGGCCAATGGGAACCCTGCCTGGTCTACGGCGTCTCGCCTGGTCATTGGTCACGATGCCGGAACCTGGAAGGGGCTGCATAACTGCAGCCGTGCTGCAGCCGTGAGGCCCAATCCCGGCGCGGCACGCCATGCCGCGCAGGAAATCGGCTGTGCGAAGCGCCCACTCACGACCACCCTCGGCGCTTACTGCTCCCTGACCTCGCCGCCGCCTGCTCTCATTGGCTTTCATTGGTCTTGATTGGACTTATCACCATGCAACCCGTGATTGACCTGCAGCCGCTTTGGGGGACACTTTCGATGCTACCACCCGCCTCTTCTTAAGATGTCGGGAACCCAACACCTTCTTGACCTCCAATTCCTTCGTGTCCAACCCTACGTAACCGTCTCGAAGTCGATCCCGCAATTGTCACGACAGTCGCCATCGCAGGCATTCCGATGTGAAGCAACGATCAATTGCTGGACACCAGCGACATAGTGTTCCAAGAAGTCTATGCCGGGTTTGATTTGGAAGGCGGTCACATCGATCTCACGGCTGGCCGGAAGACATCACGCCCTTGTCCCGAGTCCATCCTTCGCGGTTACGCGCTCCTTCAAAGCCAAAGTCGGTCCCAACATGGCCTACAAAGTTCTTCGCCGGGAATGGAGGTCGAAGAGCGCCATGTACATAATGATGTTCGCCGAGCTGGGCGCAACAGTAGCGATGTTGGTTCTATTCGGCATCGCCCAACCCAACCTGTACCGAACCAAGTTATGGCAAGCCGGCTATGAGCTCGGTTTCAACTCGAGTCCCGCCGTGATACTCTACGCATATGCGAACCACGTGTCGCAGCCGAATCTCCCATTTGTGTGGTCGCAAACGTAAGTGAACGCGGAGCTCTCTCTACTGCTTTCCTTAAAGCACAAGGCTGACATGACATGCGCCCTTCAGATTAACCAACTTCAACGTCGCCATCTCCGTCATCAGCCTCTTCTTCCTCCTCACCAAGCTGATCGCCTTCATTCTGCACGTGTGGTATCCCGTCGTCGCGCTGCTCTTCAACGTCTCGCTCGTGGCATTCTACGCCGCAAGCCTCGGTGGTCAGGCCGGTCCGGATTACCTGGATCCCACCAAGCCGAGCCCGGTGGCCTGGTACATCGCCAAGCCCTGCACCGTCGCCGCCAACAAGGCCGTGCAGGGCAACTGCACCCTGGCAAAGGGCACTTTCGCCGCGACGTCCGTCATGTTGTGAGTCAGAACCCATGGGGCCAACCAAACTCTCTTTAGCGGCACGATGCTAATTTTCCCCTCGATAGTGCGGTCACTTTGGTCAATCTAGGCCTCAACATCTGGGCTATGCTGCCCAATGAGGCCGACAAGAAGGATGTGGACTCTGATGATGACAGCTACTCCTCGCCGTCTGCCATGAAGAGGGGTGCGGAATGGGAGATGCAGGGGATTCCGCCGACGCCGCGGACGGCCACGATGCCCTACACGCCGCGGACAATGGCTTTCAACACACTGGAGCGCAAAATGCCCTTGCGTCGAGAATATGGTTGAGCCTGCGGCCACCTGGAGCGAGGAAAGGGATCAAGGTGTACAGCAGAGAGGAGATGGGGAACAGAGATCACTCACCCACCATGGGGAATGCACGTCTTAGTTGACCGACCGGAAGCTTTATTCATCGTCCAATACCGTCTTTTTAGAGCGAGCGAAATGCATTCCTACGTGTATAGGAGCAGCGGCGGCGGCCCCATTTTTGGGTATATTGGGCGTGGCGCAAAGCGTTGGGCGAGGACAGGTTGGATATGTCTGTCCTCTGCTATACGGTTCCATAATGTGTGTATACTACAGGACACTTGCCAACTATAGGTTAGGACTTGGGATGGATCGTGACATGAATCCACGACAAGCCTTCGTATCCTAACGCACTTCGTCGGGGGGTGGCGAATCGTCTGCCTCTTTACTCGATATGTTTCCATCTTCGTGATCGACGCGTTGGTCGCGCTGCCGTACTTCTTTTTCTATCCATCGGCATGCTGGAGATTGCGACTGGTATTTCATCAGGCCTACCCCCTAGGTCATTCTTATTACGCCCGGTGATTACCTCACTACGAGCTTGCATTTAGTTTAGCATCATGGCACGTTTGATCGTTGCTGGGAGGAATCTACCTCCATACTCGTGCCGGGTCCCCTTTCCCAACTCATACGTGGGTTCAGTGGGTCGTAAAAAGACGCACACCTCGCCTCCAAACCCCGCGTTTTCTCGCGTTTCCCTTCATCTCACGAGTCACGACTACACCTTCACGTGAAAAATGCCTGAAACTTTCGAAAACCCTCCCAAACCCAAGGGAGTGCACAAAACACCCCGTCAGCGCCATCAGATATACGGGAGACTAATCGAAGGCGAGAATTCGACTTCGGTGGCTCTTTCCGAGGAAGTGCAGCCTGCCCTATATCGCGGCATCAAACAGCGCTTCTCTCACCAAGATGATGCCGTCTCACCCAAAGGACGCGGACGACCTTAGAAGTTGACGGATATTGAAAAAAGACACATGTTACGAGAGATCAAGAAGAATCCTTTGTTTCCATTACTTGGTTTGAAGAAAGAGCTGGGTCTGAAGGAGTCAACGCGGATGATCGGTCGCTTCCTTCAGGGAGGGCCATCAAATGTCACACCACACCACAAACCGTCCCATTCCCCCTTTCCACCAACCCACACCTCAAACCGCCCCAAAATCCAACACCACAGCCTCCGAATCCCTCACCCCAACCTCCACCACGCCCTCCCCATCAACGCCCACCACCTCCCCAACCGTCACATTCGCCAGCCGAACGGGCCGTCCCACATCCAGCTCATACGCATAACTAACCCCATCCCACGTCACGCCCACCACCGCGTCACTCCCATTCGCGACCAGGCGCCTCACAGTCGCCGTCGTGCCAGTCTCCAGCCCGACATTAAAGCTATACCCGCGCACCGGCCGCGGCGCCGGATTCAGCGTGCCATTGAGCGTGTAGTTGTACGCGCGCATATTAAGCACCATAATCCTTGTCAGCGCGTTATCAACATAAGCCGCATAGGCGGCTTCAGCATCACCGCCCGTGAGCGCCAGGTGCGCGATACTAACGGGTTCGACGCGCGGGTCGCCGAGGAAGAAGGCGGTCACGATACTGCCGTAGTACGGCGGGCGCGTGCCGATGGGCGTGCGGGCCGTGGTCAGCGGCTGCCAGGCGGCGTACCGGTAGTTCGTGCCGAGGTGCATGTGCACGCGGCCGATGCCGGTGGCGGCGCTGTACAGGTTGAAGTCGATGCCCCAGAGCGCGGCGCCGAAGGTGTCGGAGAGGCCCGGCTTGCCTTCGTTGTAGAGCGAGTTGGCTTCGCCTAGGATGAGTGGCGGGATGCTGCCGGATGGGTCTGGGGCGATGGAGGCGTATTCGGCGAGGTGCGCGGAGACGCTTTGTTGGGTGCGCGTGTGGTTCATCAGGGTGCCTTGGAGTGTTACGCCGGGGGTTTCGGCGCCGGAGATGTAGCTGCTGGCTGTTAGAGCTGGGAATAGGAAGGCGAATTTGGGGGCTTCGGGACTATAGGGGAGAGGGGCGTAGCGTACTTGTGCGAAGAGTAGAACTTGATGTCCTTGTCCTCGTTCAACCCATCCGCCCAAGCCAGTGGCGCTCTCAAGTGGTTCGCGGTGCCGCCGAAGGACGGCGCAAGATACCCATAGGTATCATTACCGAGCATATCAGGGCAGTTCTCCTGCAGCACCGCCTTGATGGCTCTCGTGCCGTTCAGCCATTCGGCCACGAAGTCCGTCTCATCATAGTCCGACGGCCGCACCGGACCCTGCGAGCTCGTGGCGTAGAGATCTGCCTCGTTGCCGTACTCCCAGTCGTAAAGCCTTTCCCTTCCCAGGGCCTTGCAGGCCAGAGCTGCGGTCGCGAGGAGCGTCTCCCATTGCCTGTCGTCGTGGTTCCCGCCCATGTTGAAGCCGTGCGAGTACCTGACGTTTGGCCATGTCGTGTACGACTCGAAGAACGACGGCCCGATCTCGATGGTCGTGGGGTAGTCTGCCGACCTCGAGGTGTTGAACGTGCCGTTGAGCGCGATGGTGAGGTTGGGGTTGTAGATGGCGTAGTCCTGGGTGTTTCCTCCGATCCGGATGTATGGCTTCGTCCCTGTCAAGTAGCCGATGTTGTCCAGCAGATTAGTTGAGAACTCGTTGGGATTTGATGTATTCCCTGGTCATCCGGTCAACTTGAACTCGAGTTTACAATGGCAGGGAGGGTTTTACTCACCTGCAAAATCGGGGAATGACGAGAACTCGATGGAGAAGCTCACGAAACCCTCAAGCGGTTGACTGACGTTTAGGGCGTCGGCACGGCCAATATTGTCTACAACATGGGATACCGTCTTGGCCGTAGCGAAGCTGGCAAGGGCCAACAAGACTAATGGGGAACTCATGTCCACCATATAATAAGTGAGCTCGTTCTGATCACAGCTAGACGTCAATCACCTGGTCGTAAGTTGGAAGGTCGATAGGCTACCGCTGTCCCTATGATGGGCTAGCAAAGGCGCATTGAACAAGCTTAAACAGCCAGTCCGTGATGGCTTGCTTATGAGGGTCTTGACTGACAATATCTGCGTGAGTGACCAGTGCTCACTTTAGATGAGCTGCACACTTCAGTAAACTTGGCATTGCTCGTACCCCACGTAGTCGTAAGGTCCACGGGTAGATCTGATCGCAGGTGGAGGTACAGATGAAAGCAGGTTCGACCCGGCTAACTCCTCGCCTCCTATGCAATGCCGTGAAGTACCTTAGCGAATAGGGGCCCAAGGACGTGTTTCAGATTGACAAGAAGAATGCTAACAAGCTGCCGCATTAGGCATGACGAGGGCGGGCGAGGTCCAATATCCATCATCGGGGGTGGTATAGTCGAGATGCGGGGAACGCCGCCTGTGTGACACGACATTGAATGGCCGTCTATTGCTTGAAATATATTTGGCGTGAGTGATGCTGCTAGAGCCGATATCGCAATGGGAGCATTAGCAAGGCTGAATTAGGCAGAGCACAACGTCACCTGGCATTTATAACCCATCCAAGCCATCTAAGGAGACTGATGTTGGGAGTGTACATCCGCTCTCCTTTTGGTTTGACATTAGAATACATGGCAGTGAATAGGAAAGCAAGATCATCCATGCCTGATGAATACAAACTTATCCTTGCAGGTAAAGATCGAACAGGGAAACCTGCAGCGTGAGTGTGAAGTGTGAACCGCCCTAGACGCGATGACGAACGGGAGAGCAATGTAGAAGAATGTAGTTTCACCAGTAAGGGGCTTCTGACAGAAATCAGGTAAAAATCCACAGCTTATATTAAATGCTTTCCTAATGCAGTCTATTAAGTCAAACCATGCAACGCGACTCTTTCCAGCGCATTTCATACCAGATGCCAAAATCAACCATAGAACTTCAGATGCAAACGAAACAGACAGCCTAAGGAGTGGATGAAGAATAACCAGTTACCAGGTCCGAAATATTTGACCGGTGTCTACAGGCTGAAAACCAAACTGACTGCTCCGAACATGAGAGCCGCCATAAAGTACGGAGCACTGGCAACGCTCATAGCGCGACTGCCAGCCGGTGCCGTGGTGGACGGCGTCGCAGTCGCAGCCGCACCTCCGCCCGGGGCAGTGGCACTCCCGTTGGTACCCGCCTTGGGCGCACTCGGAGTAGTCGAAGTGGTGATGGTCACGCCTGACACAACCGTAGTGGCGAGAACGGGAGTAGCAGTGGTAGTGAGCGAGACGAAGGTCTGGGCGAGGGACGACGATGGCGATGACGACGAAGTGTCACTGCTTTCGGTCGACTCGCACAGAATGCTGCCGACCTGGACGGTGTTGGTCGACAGGAACGAGGGGGATTCCACGGTGAAGGGCAGCCCGGAAGTGCCGGTGCCGTCGGTCGACTGGTAGGGCGTGCAGGTGACGCTCTCGACGGGCACGGGGGACGCGCCCGTCAGGTACAGCGTCGACACCGCGGTCAGGTTGCTTTCTGAGGTGTAGACAGATCCGATGGGGATGAGAACGGTGGTGTTGAGGGTGCCGGCGTTAATTACGATCTCGGCGTTGGCTCCATTGGGTGCGGCCCCTGCGGAGGCGAGGCCTACAAAGCCGGCGGCGACTGTGGCGATGGTTGTGGTATGCATGTTGGCTGTTGATGTAGGAGCCTGAACGAGTGACTTTCCTTGCTGGACAGTGAAGGGAGGAAAAAGGAAGTAGACAGAGAAAGCGAAGCGACTGTGATGTTGAGACTGAGATGTGTGAAGAGTGATGATGAAAAGGGTCTTGGAGATCAAGGTCGCAATGCCCTTTTATCTTATTCCTGTACTCCATACGCCTAGAATATCACCATCGTGGCGGTGATACTTCTTCATCGTCTAAACTGGTACCTGCTGTGGTTCGAGGTCGTGCGTCTAACATGAGATCGTGAAGGATTAGCCTTTGGGGGCATGAAATCGCTCTACCATGCGGTCTTACGGCAGACGTCTCAGCTGAAGATTGGCTGGATATTCGAGAATTGACACAAGCCTCAGGGTTCACCCAATGAGATTGCTACTACAGCAAATGTAGGGTCAGTATAGCCCTGTCTGCTTACATGCCATAGCCACCGCATCTCAGCCCCAGAGGTAAGGTGGAACTTCTCCATGCATTGCCCCCTGCGATACCTACACAAAGGGGCTCTTTAGACGACGGGCATTTATACGATCTCTGCAGGGTCTTTATTACATGGCCTTTTGCACCGTCTTTACACGGCGGGAGAAGCAGCAACCACGTGTAATTGGGCAAACCCCTAGAGTGAGACGTACGAGAAAACGATGGGAGCCTAAAGGCAGTGCCCCTAAGACCATGAGCATCCATGGCCGTACACGATTCGATTGGCTATTAATAGCGGCTGAAGAGGGTACCAGAGTAGACTACGTACAAACAGCGCAGCGTGCTAATGCTAAGCGACGACAACTCCTTATGATATCAGCTTCACACATTGGAGCATAGACACTGGAGACATCTTAACCTATGAAATAACGCTAGGATATTACTATCGTAAGGACAGCTTTCGCCGTGTACGGTGTCCGCTGGCGATGATTTTGTATGGACTTTAGCTATGAAAACCACACTGAAACAAGCTGTAGCAGCAGTGCTTCAAGCCGAAGTTGCTAGGTTGACTTGAACCAGACACACGACCGCCAAGGGTAATTGATGGAAAGGTGTCGAAGGAAAGGTGTCGAAGGAAAGGTGTTGATGTCGTCTTGCTCTCGTCAACCTTGGCCATGGCATTGCAGTAATGTGGCTTGAAATTGAAGTTCGTGCTGGCACTGGTACCGGCACCCTTTGAAGCCAGCTGTTGAAGAGGCTACACAGTTACTCGGCATATCGTAGGTGGTAGCATAGCTTCCATGAGCGCCATTCCCCTGCGTGAGGATCCCTGGCCCCTTGCCGCGGCTACAATTGTGCCCTAAGTTAGAATCCGTCTTCTGATCTTCTTATAATATTTCTTCCCGAAAACATCCGGAGGCGGTGGTCGCGGGAAATGAGTTAACTTACTTTCGCTGGTGCTGAATTCTCAGGCAATTGTGTCTCACCCAGCTCCAATCTCTCCATGGCTTTCTAGAAGTTTGCGTCCATATCATAACGAAAGACTCTTCCGTCTTCATCATCTGAGGTAGATAGAGGGTTCTCGTCAATCAGAGGCGGCGTGTCAGCTGAACTTGTTCGATTATCTCTGCGTCCCTGTGAGGATCCGTCCACAAGGTCGAATCCTGACCATGACGAACCTCGCTGACTAGGTAGATATCTCACCCGCTCGCCAAGGTTGTCCATTGGCTCACCGTGAGTGATTTGGCTCCGAGTGCCCACGGATTGGTGGTCGATGAACTGAGGCTGTGGAGGATTGTTCTGTGGAAGATAGTACTGTGGAAGATAGTACTGTGGAAGATAGTACTGTGGAAGATAGTACTGCGGAGGATGGAACTGCGGAGGATGGAACTGTGGAGGATGGGGCTGCGGAGGAAAGGACTGTGAAGGGTGAGATTGTGAGGAAGAGATCGTGGCCATCGGCGGACTTGAATACACTGCACTCGTATGATTCCGAGCCGGAGTCTGGTTCGAGAACTGGTTGGGAGGATGACCGAAGCTGCTCTGAGATGTTCCCAGGTTATTAAAGGAATTTTGGACCCTCGTATAGTTGACAAGAGTGTGGTAAGAAACCTTCCCCAGCGCGTAAACCTCGCCGGACTTATAGGGGACTAAAAGGCTAAGCGGAAAGTCGATGTGGTCCTTCGTTTTTATGTAGCAGCCCTTTGTGAGTCTTTGGGTCGGGTTGTCTAGCTCCAACAGGATATTGTTTCGGGGTGTCGCTTGCTAGGCTTGATGGGCAAGTGATGTATTCGCGCCGCGCTATATGCGATGGGATGCCGCTCTTGTAGATCCTTGCCCTTAAATGATGTGAGCTGCATCAGTTAGACAGTGGACAAGACTATTTGGGCGGTGGAGGAAACTAGACGAGAGTCTTTGGACGTACGACGAGGACGGTGACGATTCCGTTACATGGTACACACAACTGGATGTTCGTAGTGACCACTTTGGTCAAGCAAGTACTCGGTGGGGACTTGATCTTTTTTAGGGAACCACATGATTGATCCTGCAATCTGCCGGAGAGGTTGTGGCGATACATTCGGGGAGGTTAACAGCTTTCATCGCTTGCTCCTGCAATCTGCTGGAGGAGTAGTGGGGATACATTCGTGATGGTTACCGGCTTTTCATCGCTTGCTCCTGCAATCTGCTGGAGAGGTTGTGGCGATACATTCGGGGAGGTTAACGGCTTTTGATCGCTCGCGCTGCCAGGTGATGATGCTGGGATCTTGGTGATGTACCACTCGTTCCGTATGATTCAAAGTCACAGATGGTCGGTAAAAGAGGGAACAATGTGGTAGAAGGTCCGATCGAAAGAGCAAGGAGCAAATGGACAGATAAATATACAGTAGCTGTGGGCGCAAAAGCAAGCGCTGACAGGATTTGAAGTTTTTAGGTTTGTGTGTTCTGCTTCTCCATCTAGAAAGCTTATTTGTGGCGTCTTATTCTGTTAGAGTTTGTGTATAGCATAGAGGCTCTGCTTCTGGTTGTTCATGTTTTCTATTTAGGTTTGACTCTTCCCTTGCGGTCAAAGAGCTTAATTATAAAATACATCGACCCCGATACGAGTCACACTGTTCTGAGCAGCTTGTTAATTTCTTAGGAGAATCTGGAGTAATCGTGCAACGAGAGCAGTGTGAGGTTGAAGTGCTGGTGACTTCCAAGTTGAGCTGTACGGTGTACCATTATGGATAGAGCTGTGTAAGTTTTCATAACGTTCTGTACTGTAAGAGGAATAAGGCAGCTGAAAGGAGTACCTTCTTACTCAAAAAGGTGGGGAATTGACCTCTGACAGCGATCAGGTAATCCCAGGATGACACGTATACTGCTCAAGGTCAAGGCTAGATACGCCACTGAGCACGTATTTTGACAAGTTGCCCCAGTTCACGCGCTGTGGGAATTGGTCGATGCGGAGAAACTCATCTAGGACATTAGTTTTACATCAAGCCACTGGCAAAGCGTTGGTCCAGCGGTTAACGATAAGCTTGAATAGTTGGATATCGCCAGACTCCAGTCCTACCTGATGTCCTTGCCGGTTCCGCTAAAGTGCCGCGTTAACCTACTGAACAATGCTAGGTGGCGCCCCTGGTCCCTCCTCTCGTCACTTCTCCAAGTTCCACCCCCCTTTCCACTGGTCCTGACAGCTTATCGCCGTAAGGCCATGGAAGCGAGTGCTAAGGCCCTTAAACAAGAAGAGCAGTTTATATAAGTCACCACCGGATATAATGTAATTTAAGATCAAGCTCAAAAATGTTCTTTATCGATAGTGTTTAATTAGTTTAATATTTTGAGGCAGGGTTAATACCTAGCCAGGTTTACAATATATAAAAGGCATCTTTTATTTTCCGTTTTCTCATTTATTTTTACGAACTTTATATTTTTAACCTAGTAGATTTAAAATCATATCGATGTTATAAATTAATTTAAGTTAAATTTGAATTGTAAATAAATAAATAATGTTCTTTAATAGCTTATAATTAAACTTTATTTGTCTTTTCTTTAACTTTAATATAATTAATAAAACTTTTGTATACTTTTATTAAATTAATTTAAGTTATTTCATAATTATAAGTTATTTAAATATAATAAAATTCAAAGTCTAGTAATAAAAAAGAAAAGTAAATTATATAAGAACTATACCTTTTAGTTTAAAAATAATAACTAAGAGACTATTAATATAGCTTTTAACTTTAACTTAGCTTTTTATTAATTACTACTAGTTACGTGGTTAAAAGAGGTTTTTTAAACCGCGGGGTTATTAATTAAGATTTTAAGGTCAATACCGAGGTAAACTTTAATAGTAATAAAGTTTATAGCTTTACGTTATAAAAAGTCTTCGTTATAAGTTATTTTAAAACTTAACGTAAGTTAAAACCTTTTTTTCTTTCCTTTTTAATATAACTAACTTAAACTAGAACTATTTTTATTTCGTTTCAAATACGAGGTTTAAAACGCTAGGATTATTTAATAACCGCTTTGAATAACGTTATAACAGTTTAATAACCCAGCCCTTACGCTTATAAAACAACGTAGCTTTATAGAACTGTTGGAATAAAACCTTAGTATAACTATAAAAAGAATAGGTTAATTAATAAAAACGTTATAAAGTTATACGTTACGATATAAAATAATTTACTTATGCGTTTACTCTGTTACTTTTTTAAGCTTAAAAGAACTTTTACCTTAATTAATTAAGCAATTAGCCTTATTTTGAACGAAAACGTTTTAAAAAAAAGTCGGAAGAGAGTTTATAACTATAAGATTAAAAAGTCTATCAGCAATTAGGTTTGAAGCTAAGTAAACTAGCTAATAAAAAATAAAAGCGTAAACATCGACAACAACAGTTAACAAAAAGCTCAACGTAGCTTAATAATCGCTAGTTTATTATTGAACGACTATTAATCGGCTAAAAGTCGCTCAAAGCGTTAATTAAAAGACTTAAAGACTGTAAGAAAACTTAACGGAAGATTTGAGTTTAAAAGGGGGAATAACCCATATATTAAACGGCTAAGCTAGATAAAGCTCGTAATAAACGGCTAAAGTATTAAGTAAAGATGTAATTAAAAGTACGAAAAAACTACATTTAAATATAATAAAAAGAGGATATAGTTAATGTGTATATAATGACGGTTTTTTCCCCCGCTTTATATTTAAAAAGGCACTTTATTTTAATAAGTTATAACGTAGATGACAAGCAAGCGGCAATTACAAGTGAACGGCAACGTTTACTAACCACCTAACCTTTTTATCAAGGCTCCTAATTGATCAACCAATAATAATGGCATTGCGTTACAACCAATCAGACTTACAGCTTGCTGTCTAAGCTAAACGATGCGACGCTTATATTACTATTGGCAAGCTTTCTAGACTTTCCATGTCCCATATAATACCTTAAAGGCTAGAATCGCCAGCTGACCATTACAACACGATAGCATGCCAAATACTTTGAAACTTCCGGTTTCCAAAAAGAATGCTATTCTTTCTTTCATTCTCGACCTGGATACGCGAGCATTTCTACCCTGGCATAGTTATGTTGAAGATATAGCAAATCAATTGTTGGCAGCATGCAGGGTTGGACGCGTTGGAAAAAACTGGACGCATAACTTCATTAAACGTATATCAGGCCTCCGGACACGCTTTCATCGGAGGATAGACTACCAAAGGATCTTGAACAAAGATCTAGACGCGTATCGCGTGTGGTTTTGCCAAGTTGCGGCAGCATCATGAAACATGCTATCCAAGACAGACATTCATAATTTTGACGAGACTGGGTTTATGATGGGCATTATTGGATCTGGCATGGTAATCATAAGCACTAAAAGGCGTGACAGGCCTAGACAAGCTTAGCAAGACAATAAAGAATGGTCTACAATAATCTCTGCTCTCAATACTGATGGTTAGGTGGTCCCGCTGTTCATCATTGTACAGGGCAAAACCCACCTCGCGTCATAATATCATGACACAACATTACCACGCAATTAGAAGGTGGCTGTATCTGACAACGGATAGACTACAAATGAGATCAGTTTGAAATGGATTCAGTATTTTGACAAGTATACCAGACCGCGTATGACTGCTGGTAAACGCCTCCTCATCTTAGACGTCCACAAAAGCCACCATTTTGTAATGAGCCGTCTAACCTATAAGGCTAAAGGGTTCTATAGGGTTTATGTTCTGAGATAAGTCAACACAAAAGACGATAGAGGCTTCTGTCAACTAGAAGACACTCAAATACTGGGGCTTGGTCTGAATTGGGTTCACTGAATAGTCGAGTCGTCAGGAGATTTCTCCCACCTTAGGGTTGGCTAAGATGCTTAGATTGATCACTGAGGTAGAGACTGTCTATCTGTCTAGCTAGGAAATGTCCATCCTTATATATTTAATCTGTCCCTCACTGATGGGGTGGATATGTTGGATAACCTTGCTATCCAAGCTATCCTGGATATGTTGGATAACCTCGCTATCAAAGCTATCCATCACGTGATGTCTTGATCACGTGACCTAGACGTTTCCTTAGCCCGTGCGTTCTCCCGGGTTCTTCCAGTTACTGTCCATCTTGTTGGGCCTGCCAGCGGGCCTCATTCCCTGTACGCCTCGTTGGTTCGTAACACATTTCTAGGTCTTTGAGAATTATTGTCAGAACAATGGTATCATTACCCTTTGTATGCTTACCCACTCATCACACAGGCTCCAGTCTTTGTGTATCAGTTGGTTTACTTTGCTCAAACGAGCTTATAGTCGCATAATTAAGGATCTTATCCGGTGTCATATAACCCATGTTTCAAAGGAGGACTTCCTTACAGCATTTTGTGAAGCAAATAACGCTGCTATGACGCCAAGAAACATCTAAGCAGGTTTCAGTACCACTGGTGTTGAATACAGCGGTTAGATGTGTTGTGTATTATGTTGTTGTGATGAGCAAGCTGTGCTCGTCTATCTGGTTCTAGCACTAATTTGGCTGTGTGGGCTAGTCCCATGCTAGGACCAGCTCATCCACGTGACATGGCCAGTACTAGACATGGCCAAAGCGGCACGCTGGTATCTGACAACTGGGCTTGTTCCTTTTGACCCAGAAAGTGTCATTTCAAAGCTGGATGCTGTTGCTATCGTATGAACACCGTCGCCAGACCCTAAACTGCCACCCACTACTTGGACTTTAAAGACGCCTATCAATATTAAGGAAGCAGTAAACCAATCGGTTTATATCCAGAATCGAGTCAGAAACCACTAGAGAAGCTTACTTGCATCAATAATTAATGTATTGAGCCCATTTTTAAAGGCTACATATGGTCTTATGCACAAGGTCACTTTGGTCAATTCCTGAGTCCGTGAGCTAGAAAAGGCCAAACACTTATTAAGTAAATGCCAGAGAACAAAAAACAGACGTCTAATAAAAAGAGGAATATTTTTTATTAGAGATACAGTAGGTCTTCAGGCTATAAAGGATAGTACTGAGCTGGCAAGACAGGAAATGGGTGAAGATAGTCCTTGTCCAAGGAGGGCGGCAGCGTGTGAGCGATGGTGTGGCGTTTGTAGCAATACTGGCCATAATACGCAAACTTGTACAATAGAGACAAAAACGTCTAAGGAAGAGGAATCCGATTGATTGGACTGAATTGAATGCATTATGATTGAGGTATTTGACATGGCAGTTGGGAGGTTGGTAAGAAGTTGCCGTTTGCTTGTAACTGCCGCTCGCTTGTTATCTCCGTTAAGAGCTTTATATAAAGACGAATATTTATACGGGAATTTCATGAAAGTCTTTCTTATGTAATATATATAATTTTTAAAAATGTTAGCTAAAATATCTTATATAAATTCAAAAGTTTTTATTATACATAGCTAAATCATTTAATAATTGCCGGTTTATAAAAAATAAATGAATATTTTAACGGCGGTATTACTTAAAATGTTTTAGTATTACGATAATTGCGAAGAGTATTTTTAATAAAACCTAGCGGTAGTTAAAATTACGTAAGCAATATTGTTATTGTACGGATTATTTTTGACGAATAAATATAATTGTTTTAATTTAATTTTTTAAACTTATTTCATCTAGTCCGACTTAAAATTAGAACATTCTTTAAGTATATTATAGAAACTTAAGCTAAGGCCGTGGTAATAAGGTAAATATTTTATTAATATAAACTATATAAGTAAAAAGCTATTAATAATGATTTTTAAAGATGTTAAATATTATTAAACGGAAAGATTAAATCGGTAGTAAAAGCTTTAAGGTTTAAAGGCGCGTTTAAAGGATATAATAAAAAGACGAAATAAATTAGACGGTAATCCGTATGCTGTAAGGTTATTTTAAACATAAATTTATAAGAAATTAATAATATTAATTTGGGAACAGGCTTGAACGATTAATCATAATACTCGAGTATGGGGTCAAAGTTATGATGTTGCTGATGGCTGGATTGGGAAGTCTAGCTGGACCTGCAGGTCTGGCTAAGTGACCTCACAATCTGGTATCTAATCTCTTATCTAATCATACATGTAGGTTCTGTATAGATGGTTTGACTGTGGAATCACATGGATCTAACATTATAACAAAGTTAATACTTTATATTTATTATAAAATGTATAGGATATAATTCTCGTGAAAACATATTAATTATTTTAAAAAGATTATCGATGTAACTACTTTTTTTATTTTAAAATACGGCTGAATAATGAGATATCAATCTTGATGTAAATATAATTAAAATATTGATTAGTAATAAAATTATAAGTTTTATATTACTTAAATCTAATTATTGTAGAGTAAAACATATTTAATTTAATAATAATTAAACTTGAGATTTCATTTATAACGCTGTTACTAGTTTTTTAATCGAATGAATGAGATTTTATTTTGTGGTTTGAAAAACCAATTTACTAAGTTAAAAGCATATTATAATAACATGAAAAAAGTTATCATACAAAAGTGTTAATTTATAATAATAATAATAATTAGACATTGCCGACGTTAATCAAAGTATTTAGCTTCGTCAAAATGGCTTTATTAAATGTGTTTTTAATAGTTATAGCTATTTCTTTATTATTATGTCTCGATAGTTCACACTATCTTCAACCTTAATAAAAGACAGCTATATATATATTATGCGAATAAATTAAGCTTTGAACTAGTAGTAAAAGAATAAGTAATAATTAAATAAGGCAACCTTTCTTACGTTTCAATCAAAAATAAGACTTTATATTTTATATAAAATTAAAACTAAGTCGTATTTACCGGCATTTCAAACATCCTTATACGAGAAAGCTTAGAAAAACACTTCAAACCTTAAATTTACTAATCCTAATAAAGCCTTTTTTTATCAGGAAAAATTTATATATCAATGCTATTTAAATTTAAATATAGCTTTAAGAACAATCGAAAATTTAACGTTAAAATTATGATTAATATGGGATGAATGAATAAATTAGATAAATCAAATACTTTATATGATATTTATATCACGATATCGTTTTAAAAGGCTAAGTCTTTACAAAAAAATATTAACCCTTGAAATATTCAACACGTATTATACTTAATATAAACATTCGTTTATTAAAAAGACTTAAATATTATTACATATAACTTAAACTTTAACCTTTTGAATTAAACGGTTTGAAAATAATTATTGGATCATCAGAGTCAGAACATGGGGGTGATGATCGGTCTAGTGCGTTGCATTTTATCTATGGGTCTGGGGGACCAATCTAGTACTAAATACACACCAAAATACAAAGATGTACCCATCCATTGATCCTCCAGCCAAAGATCCCTTGTCTATCACTAATGAAAGCCACCTTTCCTGGTGCTTCCATCCCTTTATTTTGCCAAGGTGCCTGCCTAGCCCCTTGTCAGCTGGCAGCCTCCCTGACTGCCACCATACTGCCACCACAATCCTCACAATAATCTATATATTAAAAGTAATAAAATAAAATAATTGCCTTTAAAATATATGGTCAATAATAAACTATTCAAGCTTATTTCAATTAATAAATTAAAATTCCGTGTAGAAATAGTATTAATCGTAAAACTAAGATAATAAACTAAAAACACGCATAAAAAGGTTTATAAACGAGATATATTAATAGTAAATTTAAAGCTTATTTGTGATAAGGTTTTTAAACTTTATATAATTATATATTATAAAAGAGAATTCTTCAATCTTAAATATTTTTAACGCTACTTTAATAAACTTATACAATAAGCTCAAAGCTTAAATATTATTACAATATATATTACTATAGCTATTAAGCTAGTATGCCTAATATTTTTTTAATGCTATGAATGTAATATAAATTATGATAAGCTTATTTTTATTATATATTTAATAATCTATTATAACATTTTGATAAGTTTAATAATTAACTAATATAACAAAGTCGATTTTCGCTTTACTTTTCGTTTTAAAATATATTCAAGCTATAGTTTTAAATTTGTTTTTACTAAGCTCTTAGCTTGGAAACAAGTGTGTTATCACTTCTAGTCGAATAGGCTGTTTATGTACCGAATGCTTTGTTGCAATCCTTTTTAAACGCCCCCTCCCCACCCCGCGCCCTAAGCTCTGGCGTGCCTATCAAACTGCCTTTCTCCGTTGTGACTCGTGAGTAGGAGTGTTACGCGATAGATCAAGCCAATTGAATGATTCCCGAAGTTATCTAGCTCCAACTGTTTCTCCTCTTTGCAGTCGCAATATTCACTTTATTAATCCCCATTGTCCCCCCGCTGACCTCGGTCTCCCATCCCACGATGGGCTTGCTACGAACCTTACAGACGAGTGCCATTTCGATCTCACGATTTGCTGTCAGGTCAAACTTCCAAAGAACAGGCCTCCCACTCGTAGTATCGCGATTAGCATCCAACATGGCGCCAAAGGTGAGAGCCGACTGACTACATGTACACTCTCGGTTTGCTGACGAGTGCCCAAACCCAACACAGCTCAACGACCCCTCCCTCTTCAAGACGGACGTCTGCTACGTCAACGGCGAATGGGTGAAGGCCGGATCGGGCAAGACCTTCGAAGTACACGATCCCGCCACCGGCAAGCTCATCGGGACCTGTCCCGAATTCACAGCCAAGGACACCGATAATGCCATCGCAGCCGCCGCCACCGCATTTCGCGAGTTCCGCACCAAGACCGGTCGCGAACGGTCCAAGCTGCTGCGCAAGTGGTACGACCTGATGATGGAGAACTCGGACGACCTGGCTACACTGATCACCTTGGAGAACGGAAAGCCCTTGGCCGATGCGAAGGGTGAGGTCAACTATGCTGCCAGCTTTTTCGAGTGGTTCAGCGAGGAGGCGCCACGGGTATACGGCGACACGATACCTGCGGGAGTACCAGGGAACAGAGTAGTCACCATCAAAGAGCCCGTCGGTGTATGCGGTCTGATCACCCCGTGGAACTTTCCCGCTGCCATGATCACCCGCAAGATTGGCCCAGCGCTGGCCGCCGGCTGCACGACCGTATGCAAGGCGCCTGGCGAGACACCATTTACGTCTCTGGCCATTGCCGAGCTTGCGCACCGGGCTGGAATTCCCAAGGGCGTTGTGAATGTTGTCACGACTCTCAACAACACCCCCGAAATTGGAGAGACCCTGACGACGCACCCTGCCGTACAGAAGGTGTCTTTCACCGGTTCGACGGGTGTGGGCAAGCTTCTGATGAAGCAGGCTTCTTCAACACTGAAGATTCTGTCTATGGAGCTGGGAGGCAATGCGCCATTCATCGTGTTCGATGATGCCGATATCGATACAGCAGTCGCTGGCGCTATTGCCTCCAAGTTCCGCTCATCTGGACAAACTTGTGTATGCGCCAACCGCATCTACGTCCAGAAGGGCATCTATGATGAGTTTGCCGAGAAGTTTGCCGAGAAGGTCAGGGCCTTCAAGGTCGGTAACGGTTTTGAAGAGGGCATTACCCACGGACCTCTGATACATGACCGGGCAACTTCCAAGGTTGATGATCACGTCAAGGATGCGGAGAAGAAGGGTGGAAAGGTGGTTGTAGGTGGACAGAAGATGCCAGACCTAGGGTCAAACTTCTACCAACCTACCGTCATCACCGGTATGACGAAGGACATGGCCATTGCCTCTGAAGAGACGTTCGGGCCCGTGGCAGGTCTATTCCCCTTCGACACCGAGAAAGAGGTTGTGGATCTCGCAAATGCTGCGGAAGTTGGACTTGCGGGTTACTTCTTCTCACGAGATCTGGAGAGAATTACCCGGGTGGCCGAAGCTTTGGAGGTTGGTATGATTGGTGTTAACACGGGTCTCATCTCTGATCCGGCTGCGCCATTCGGTGGTGTCAAGCAATCTGGTTTCGGCAGGGAAGGATCCAAGTACGGAATTGAGGAGTACCAAAACATCAAGACCATCACATATGGAGGCATGGGAAAGCCAATGCAAGGAAGCTGAAGCTGAAGAAAAGAAATAAGTACAATCACGAAGAGAAACAAGCAATGGCACGACGGGAGTCTCAATGTACATAGGAATTCGAACAAGGCTCTTGAATGACACTTGACAAGTACCTAATTAGCGATGAACAGTGAACTAAGTCAAGACTCCATTGATATCATACATGAATCGGATACCCAGGTACAATTGCTCTCATGTTCTCTCACCTACCCATGGTCTTTGGTGAGGGCGACATGTGATTCCGCGCCCCTTGAACGGCATTCCCCGCTTAAGCGCACGGCCCAAAATTTCCAGACTCCAAGCTCTTGAAAATCCAGACCCGAGCTCTCAACGACGACCCTCAACAACCTTCGCACACACAGTCAATTGGGGCCGCAATGATCCGGCACCCGCTATACTCGGCCGTAGGCCGCACAAGAGCCGACCTCACACGCGTCACGGACGGCATCGCCGCCTCGCTACGGCACTTCTCGGCCGCGCAGCGACGAAGCGCTCCTCCTCCCCCAGACAGCAGCAACGGCAACAACGATGACGGGAGCAGCAGCACCAGCAACAACAGCGGTTCCCGGCGCCAGCGCGCCGCGGCCGCCTTTGACGAGCTCATGTCCATTAACAACGACGCCCAGCCCTCCCAGTCGTCTCAGCCCTCCCGGCAGCAGCCGACTTCGTCGAACGAGTTCTCCCGGTCCGCGAGTCTTGGGAACAACGATTTCCACTCTTCGAGCTCGCGGCCGAATATGAACCAGCCGAATCTCATCTCTGTACCCCGCGGCGGTATGGGCGGGAGCATGGGCATGGGGAATGGCTTCCGCGGCGGTAACAACAATAACGGGGGCGGCGGCTTCCGAGGCGGTTACGATAACGGTGGCAGTGGTTTCCGAGGCGGAAGCAACAATAGCAGCGGCGGTCCGAGCATCATCCGCGGCGGCTTCCGCGGGCGCGGCAGAGGCAGCTTTGCCGGCCGCGGTGGACCGGGCGGTGCGAGTCGAGGCCGTGGCAGAGGCAGAGGAGGCGGAGGAATGGGCCCAGGGCGCGACGACCGCCCTCAACGACGAGGGCGCGGTCGTGGACGCGGAGGCGGCGAAGACGGCGGTGCGCGCGGCCGGAAGAAAACCGAGGACGAAGAGCACGAAGCGGACATGGACTACGTCGCGCCCGACGTGCAGGCGTACCTCGAATCGAAGGACATCGGCACACCGATGGCGTTCGACCCCTCCGTCTCGCTGGCATCCCTAACGGGCTACGGGCCCGCGCTCCCCACGTCAAACACAGGCACCTCCGCCTTCGCGGCCTCCGAGACGGTCGTGCGCCAGGCGCGCATCCTGGGTGGGGGGCAGGCGTACCACCCGACGCACCTGCTACACCCGCACGACATCCGCGCCGCCTACGCCAGCGCCGACGGGCCGGGCATCTTCTTCCCGACGCAAAACCCAACCGAGGCGTGCGAATGGACGCAGCGCGCCATCAGGAACAAGGACATTGCGAACCCCGTGCCAGACGAGACCAAGAAGGCCGTGCTGGAGGATGCGCTGCTGGGGCGGTACGACGGCCCCAAGTTCGCCGAGGACCCGACGGGTATTGTGCGTAGTTATGTCAAGAGGGACGGCACGTGGAATGCCGATGCGGAGCGGCGGATCGAGGCCAAGGTCCGGAGTCTGTTGCCTGGTGGTGGTGTGGCGAAGGCTGGGGGCGCGAGGCCGAAGGCTTGAACTTGGGGACTGTGTCTACTCTACGCATATATAGATTCCAAAGCCCGCACGCATATAGGGGACGGCATGTATGATGGTGACGGATAGATGTACTGGTTGGGAACCTCTGGATTCTAGCTCTAGACTTTTCACTGTACTATCACGATACACATTGTAACAAAAACCCTAGTTAGTGTACATATGTAGTTGTTGCACATTGTATCCGCAACTCTGTCGAGTATCGACCTCTCTACACCGGATCCTACTTCTTTCGTACTCAAATATCTGTTGGATCGTGGAACCCACCCACTCACCACCCTACTTGAACTCGGCAGCCTTGACGGCCTCCTTCTCGGCCGCGTCCACCTTGTCCATCCTGGCCTTGATGATCTTCTCGAGCTCCTTGTCGGCGGTCTTCTTCAAGTCGGGCAGGAGATCGCTCTCCTTGCGCCAGGTCGCGTGGGACTTCTCGCGCTTCTGGCGCACGGCGCGCACGCGGTCGCGCCACTCATGACACACGGTCTTGGTGCGCCGCAGCACCTCCTCCCTCTTCTCCGGCTCGATCTTCAGCACCAGCTCCAGCTCGTTGTCCGCGTCGCGCTGCGGCTGCTGGTTGAAGTCGGCGCTGGCCTGCACGGCGCTCATGATGGGCTTGACGGACGTCTCCTCGTGCACGAGCAGCGACACGGACCGGCCCCCGCGCGGGATCACCTGCGCTAGGTCCCGCAGGGGGTACGTGGTCGCGACCTTGCGGTCGGGTTGTACCCGTAGGGAGCCGATCACGTCGGGGTTGAAGCGTCCGCCTGTGCGTAGTTTTTTGAGGATCTCGGTGTAGTGCTCGTCGTGCTTCGCTAGGCGCGACTGCACGTCCGCAAAGTCGAGAGGCTTTGAGGGGGTTGGTTGGGGGTGCTTGGGCGCGGAGGAGGATGGGGAGGAGGTGTTGCTGCTGCCTTCGGGGGGCTCTTCTACTACGCGCTTCTTGTGCTCTGAACGCAGCTTGCTCTTGGCGTCCTTCCAGCCCGGCTCGCGGGCCTTGCCGGTGCTGGCGGTGGTGTGGAATGTGTGGAGGCCGAGGGGTGTGATCGTGGCGGCGGTGGTGGTGATGGATGGTCGTCGTAGGCACTGCGTCTGGTGGGCACGCGAGCTGGAGCTGGAGCTGTAGCTGGCCGCTGCGATGAAGCTCGGTCGGGCGGCATCATGACTGATGTTGCGTTGCAAGGTGTCAGCGGAGCTAAACATAAAGTCAATTGAGGGGACGGACCTGTGTCCCAGCTCGGCACAAGCTATGCTTTGTCGCAGGAGCCTTCTGGCGGCTGTGTTCCTCATGTTTGCAGCTTTGGTGTTCCAAGTCTCGAGGTGCTCTTTGGAGCTACAGTCCCTCGAGTTTTGAAGGGGTTTCGCTGCAAGCTAGATGTACCTCAGGGACTCCACTTTTGGGGTGTACCTTCCTAACATTGAAACTGAAGGCATCGAGGAAGGAACAGGCAAAACCTGGACCGCATAGACTTCAGACCAGCTTTATAAAGGCAGCCTACAAGGCAAAATACGCCCACGCTCAGCTTTGAGGTGAACATATCGTGGTAGCCTTAGACTTGTCTTGAACATATCTCGACTGTTAGGCTTTCACCAACAACAGGCTAGAGAGTGGTCCCAGTCCAAGTTCCAACTTGGCCAAAGGCTGTGTCTTAGACCACTCAAACTGTCAACACATATGATACTTTTAATCATAAAATAGTATCGGTTGCATGGTGTAGTGGTTATCACATCTGTCTTACAATATCCACATACTGTTTGCACACAGAAGGCCGGCAGTTCGATCCTGCCTGTAATCAACTTTTTGGTATTGTCTACTATCATTCTATGAATGGCCCAGATTCCTCGAGTTCTGGTTTTTGTCTTCCCACTACTCGTGCCCCGCACCACTTTCCACCTCGCTAGGGCTCACCATGTAAAGTGGTGCTCACCACAGTAGCACACCAACCACAATAACACACCAATCTTCCAAAATAACCACCCTCCAGCCAAAACCACACCAAAGTCATTATCTCTTTGGACAGACGACTTTTTCGCGATAGAATCCCGTATTTACGAAGCCGTAGAATATGCCGACAAGCATCCGGATGCCTCTGAACGCGGTATCTGCCGCCAATTTAGGGTTCCAAGAGAGCGTAGGGTTCCAAGAGAGCGCTTCCACAACCGCCTGCAGGGCATCCCTTCCAAAAAAGGACCACGAGAACCACCCACCAAGTTGAATGTGATACAAGAAAAAGCTGTCTATGCTTATATCGACCGCCTAGATGCCATTAATCTCTCCGTAAGGCCAGAATTCATCACAGAGGCTGCCAACTTGCTGCTCCAGGAGTCGGCGAGTACTGCGGTCACGGAACTACCTACAATTGGCAAGAATTGGGCCTCCCGCTTTATCAAGCGCCACGGATACTTCAAGCAGCCTCAGAAGGTCCTTTCACAAGATCGGCAAGCTACTAAAGACTCGAAACGCACTGAAGAGTACATCCAGAAGCTGGGGAGGGTCATCAGGGAGGAGGGCATCCTCCCTGACGACCTGTGGAACATGGACGAGACTGGCTTTCGATTAGGGGTTGGAAAGGACCAGATGGTCATTACCAAGCGAAAAAGAGCCCATTATTTCAGAATACCAGAAAATAGGGAGTCTGCTACTGGCATAGAAGCTATCTCTGCCGCCGGCGAGGTTATCCCAAGCTTCCTTATCCTCTCTGGCACCCTCCACATGTCTCCATGGTACAAGGTACCCAAATTAGACCCCAGGATGGCGATTACAACCGCGGAGAGTGGTTATTCGAACGACGAGATTAGCTTAGAGTGGATTAAGCACTTCAATAAGCACTCTAAGACCTCTCAAGTTGGTATAAAGAGGCTCCTAATCATCGACGGTCACGGTAGCCACCACACGATACAATTCATTAGATATTGTGACGACAATGGCATTATCCCTTTTGGTCTCCCTCCAAAGATGACGTATTTACTGCAGCCGCTCGATGTGGTGGTTTTCCAGCCCTTGAAGCACTACCATGTTAAAGCCCTGGATATTATGGTGCGTGATAGTCTCACGCACATTGGGAAGATCGAGTTCCTATCGTGTATTAAAGGGGTTCGCCAGCAAGCTTTTAAGAAGACCACTATCCTCTCTGCCTTCAAGAAAACGGGCATCCATCCTTTCAAACTGTCCGTTGTGATTAATTAGTTGAAGGAACGCGAAGCTCGCGCAAGGACCCCGTCACCCCCCCTAACCAGCCTGGTTCCTCTCCAGTTACCACCCCAGCTACAATGCGGCAGATTCACAAGGTCGCATATCAAGTAGACGAGGCCTTGAACAACCTGGACGATGGCGAGGATCTTACTCCTGAAGATATTGAGAGGATCAGGCTCTTATCCAAGGGGGCGGGCTTCCACGCCTCCCAGCTAGTCCAGACCAAAAGGGACCTTGGAAGGACCGAATTAGCCTCTCGAGTTAACAAACAGCGCAAGTCTGCAAAGAACACTCCTCTCCAATCAGAAGGAGTCCTCACAGTTGAAATCGGGCGTCAGATGGCGAGGAAAAAGGAGCAAGAGACCGCGGCAGGCCTCCAGAAGAAGGCAGATACCCTGGCGAAGAAGGAGCTCCAACCACGAAAAACCCTCGCTAAGGAGGCAGCAAAGTTGGCCAGGCATTGGAGGATTACTAAGAGACTACCTGCTGCTGATATCTACGAATCTGGCAAGAAGATGCGGTCACTACGTAAAATTTAATGCTAAATAACCTCATATTGGTGTGTTATTGTGGTTGGTGTGCTACTGTGGTGAGCACCACTTTACGTGGTGAGCCCTAGCGAGGTGGAAAGTGGTGCGGGGCACGGGTATTCCATGGTCGGGCTATTGAACATCTGGAGCCACATTGTTGATGAGAATATTGACTCCTGGACGACGGAGCTAATAAGTCTAGGATATTCCACCAGCTTACCGTAAGTTGTTAGCTTTTTGTGCATGCAGAACACCTCATTTTCTCTTGACCTTCTGTCTATACGCTTCGCTATTTACAATCAATTGGAATATGAGCTGACGTGAACCATCGCATCATAGTTTTGTTCAAGGTTCGATGTCTTCACCGACTCCCACTTCGAATCGCCTTCCCCCAGAACTTCTAATATTCATTGTGTCTTATTTGACGAACCGCGACATCAAGAACCTGTGACTGACATGTATTTTCCTCCGTGAGGCTGCCCCGTTGCGACTAACACGACCGTTTTTGTCCGCCAACCCGCTCAGCGTCGTTGTCTTTCGCTCGATTGCGGATCATTAATCGTTTTGCATGAGGGTAACCGAGGTCGTCTGGGATGATGCGTGCCTGCGTTCACATAATACCGGACGAGCATGTCGACGAGGATGTTGTCGACAAGGATAATTTCGAGGAAGACTACGAGGAACTCCACGAGAGCTTCTTTGCCGGAGTTCCACCGTGGTTCTCGGCAGCGTACCAATAAAATCTGGTAGAGTTGGAAGAGTGGAAAGGGGGAGACGTCAATAGCCCTGGACACGTTGCACGCTCGCGACAGGTGGAATGCCAGCTACCACTGCACAACTCATGGCTGTACTTTTAACACCTACTTGAGCACGAGAACGAAGTCATTACCATTGCGGCTGGTATCTAGGCCCTTGGGTATGGGTGAGGGGGTTATGATCGTGGGCCATGTCATTAACGCCTTCGGGTATGGGCTGCAGCGTGAATTACCGTCAGGCCAGCAAGTCTCTATTCACCTTGACCGATACCGATAGCGACTGGACCTAAACACGCACCAACCAATGGACAACATAAGATTAAAGTGGTAGCCAGCATCTTATGTCGATTCATCACCGGAACTATGAGCATCTCCATCGTCGCTGGGAGTATTAGGATCTACATCATCTGCATAAGAAACAGTTCCCGGCTTTCCAACGTGCCAGGGTTCTTCAGCGCCCTCCATCTCATCGGACTCGAAATTCCGAGGCACGCGCAACCTGATCACCAGCTCGACGCCCACCGCGGCCGCCATCTCACCCAGACGATATGCCCCCTTCCAGACCCCAATCTTCCAGTTGGGGTCCCGGTCAATAATCTCCCTCTCTTCAATGGTGATGGACTTGAGTATGTTGTTCTGCTCGCCCTTTCGCTTCAGCAGGCTCACGACCCAGTCTACCGACGACTCCTCCAAACGGTGCCGCCAAAGCTCGGCAAATTTGTGTTCGCGGGCGTGGCTTCTCATGTCGTGCAGCGACCAGTAAAGCCCCTGATAGCCGTCGAAGCCGACAGACAAGTGCTCCAGCCGCGGCGGCAGCAACCTCCACAGTCCCTCATTCAACGCAGGGGCCATGTCGGACCCAAAGACCAGCGCGCAGCTAAGTTTTAGCGTGGTCAGGTTTGCGAAAGCAGAAAGGTCGATCCTCGAGCCATCATGCGACGGATAGTGGACATTGTCCGCATCCAATTCCAGGGACGTGAGGCTGCTCTTCACGGGGGCCAGCAACTCGCCGTACAGGCGCGGTTGGACCGGCCCGTCGAGATCGTACCCGAGACTCGACGAGTCGTCGGAGTACTTCCGATTGACCTCGGTGGAGGACCCCGGCAGACCGAGGCTCAGACACGTCAGGTTCGGGGCTCGTGGGAGCATAATCTGTAGCGCGTCAAGGGAGACGGGACGCGCACACCAGAAATGCAGGTGCTTTAGATGTGGGAATGGCTGCGTTCCCATTTCGCGTAACTTGGCCTGGTCTCTGATTCCACCGATGGGCGCCATGACCGTCAGCTGCTCAAGGGCTGGCAGCTCGCACAGCCTGGACAGCCGCTCCGCCGGCAGAAAATGCTCTTTCTCAACGTGATCCAGCTGGACCTGCAGATGCGTCACGGCGGGGAAAGAGCCGCTGTGATGATCGTACAGGGCTGGCAGAGGCGACCCGGACTTGTGGCTACTCAATTGGGACTCCAACCGTTTCAGGGACTTGGAGGCGGCAAGATGTCGCAGCAACTCGTCGTAGGCTTCGGCGTGAGTGTCAGCATCCTCGAAGTAGCGGACATTGACAGAGAGGATGCGGTCCACGAGAGAGGGGTTGGCGCGACAGGCGCGGTCAAACAGGCGAAGGCGCTCAAGGTCTTTGGCTTCCTTCCGATTGACCTCGAAGACGATGTCACCGTACAGCTGACTGATGGCCACCGACGAGAGGCGGCGGCACGTGAGACCCAGCGCGCACAGTGTCGGGTGGCCGTGGTCTGCGTATTCACGTGTACCATCGTCGTCGTCATGGAGGTAGGAGAAGATGTCGCTCGTGGTCTCGACCGGGAGCTGTTCCCAAGACATGTTTCGTTTGATACAGTTCAACTTAAATGCACGTTTGATAAGTGGACGTCCAGTATCACCAACATTGAAGGTTGGACGGAGCTGGTGTTGCACAAACTTGCGGTGTAAGTGTGGCTGGGGGCACCCCTTACTACCAGTTGCTAGTTCACACGGAGCTGCCCCGATAAATGAGTAAATCGGTCGAGGCTAATAACTCGTGTTTATGACATCGGACGTCGACAACCGTCAACGTCCTCGGCTACCTGGTAACCTTAGGGACGCTACGAAAGGCCGCAGTCACAAGGACATCTCACGGTACACAAGCATTCGTTGGAAAATCATGCTGTATGCAAGAGAGCCACCATTCAACCTCGGGAACTCAGCCTTCATAATTCAGAATGGCCTCTGGAGGTCGAAGTCTTGGTCTACAAGTATGCCACTGCCAGCGAGACAACACAATGCTTGAGCGTCTTGGAAATCATGATGTATCTCTGGCATCATGGGGGGAGGTGCGGCAACAGAGATGCCATGGTGAGGAAGGACGGTACGTGTGCCTTCCTAAGCCCTCACATGCATCAGTGACCATTGAAGCCAGTCGACAATACCTACCTTACCAACTTTAGGTACATTCCCCCTCTGTTGATCACATGCCACGGTCTCGACTGCCATGTGCATCAACACGATGAAGGGTTATCTCGTGGGCCCGACTTCAACATTGGACCTCAGTTCCCGGCCTTCTCTCGCACGCAAACATACCCATCATACAGCACCGCGCTTCTTGCTTACCAGCATCTTAGACATCATCAGGTGCCTCCGGCCCTCCTCATTGCTAAACACACGTCTGACTCGTTACAACAACCTCGATAACGACGTCCAATACCAATCGCTCTCAGCATCGTCAACACGGCACCTCCACCGCGCTTCCAGCACTCGACCACTCGACTGCTGTCCACATTCTTGCGCAGCACTCCCGTGTCCAACATCCAGCACTACAGATACGGTATCTGCCTTTTTTCCTAGTCGCATTGGGTTACCCTTCGAACCCAGAAGATGGACAACCCTTCCCCAGCAGATGGCTCCGGCTCTCAGTCACCCGAGACGACCCCCCTCCCGGAGTATTATCTTGCCCAGGCTGTCCCTAGAGGAATGGGCTTGGGTATCATCAGGCCATGCCCGCCTGGAATGAACCCCCGTGAGGCCGTCTACTATGGAGTCAGCAAGACTCTTTCGCATATGGTGGCTATCAAACCAAGTATCGCGCACCAGCAATCACAGCATGCACACCGAGATGATCAGCACGGCCTTGACGGCCCTGCTGCTCCAGTGATCCCGGAATATGACACCATTAGAAGCGGGTCAGGCATTGCTTTTGTAGCTGTCGATCGCCTCGCGGATAATCCATATTTCGAATCGCCAATATACTGGTGCATTCCCCACTGGACAATGTGCTGCCCTGGAGTTCTCGCCGAATCGAAAAGGTACCTCAACGGAAGGCTTGAGGACCCTGATGTCCGGAGCCAGCAAGCGGAATGGGAGCGATGCATACAGTCTGGTAGCTTTCCAGCCCCGTCCAAAGCAATCACAAAACATGCAAAGACGCCTCTCCTGGAGCAACCCAGTGGTCAAGCCTTGTGGAGGTTATGGGGGGCCACCACGGAACTACCAGCCTTTCCAGCCTTTGAGGATTATCAAGTTACTCAGACCCTCCAGCAAGCTCTTGACACCTACCGAACCGAACTCCCAGACGACTTCCTTACCGACGGCCAGGTCAAAGCCGCCGTGTTCGCATGGTATCACTTTCGCACGCGTCATGTTTCCGATGAGGAGATGAAGGCGGAAGAGGTACCTCTAACGCAATTCATACCCTACCTTATTGAAATGCTGAAGAGAGTCGAGACGTTTGGGTGGGCATTTTACGCCGATGTCGATCGCTTTGCGATATACTGCTTGCACCACGGCGAGTCTATGAATGGTACCCGCCTTCGACTCGATCAACCTTTCATCGACGAGTATCTAGTAGCAGGAGAGCTACGCAAGCTGCGACCACAGATGGCGGGATTATTCTTCCCATGCGATCTCCGTGGTTCCACAATACCCTCGTTCGGGAACGTCGATATCCATCCCATGGGCTGGTTTAACAGGCGAACCACCCAGACCAGATTGGAGCCTTTGGAGCCCCTGCGGGAGTGCATAGGAGACATCAGAAGCATATGCTGGCATGACTACGAGCTTCGAGACCAGGTCGACTTGCAACGCCTAAAAGTCCTGCTCAGCCGAGAGGACTGGGACTCGTGGCGACCCTCTTTGGAACAGCACGGAAAAGATTTAGACGTTGACGCGCTACAATCAGAAACACAATCCGAGGGAGGCCAGCTACACCTGGTGAATGCGGAGAAAATTCTGAAATCGCTCACTCTTTGGACCAGAGAAACCCAACTCAAGGAGCTGATTTCGGATCACGATAAACGACTACGCAGCCTGCTGAGTTTGCAACAAAAGGCACAAGCTACACTAGATGAGGACATGGCCTATGTGCCCAGGGATGACGACATACGGGAAGCAAGATTTATGTACCTCCGGGCGGAAGGAAACATGCGCAGATATATCAAAGAGCAGGTCGAAGAAACCAATAGACAGCGAGCGTCGGCCACCAGTGAGCTCATACTGGTCCAGATGCAGGCCCTTGAGGGTTCTACTCTGCGAGGATCAACGACGGCGGCAAATTCCGAAGCGGGCACGTCAAGAGGCACCGGGCCCCTTTCGGGCTCGACTGGCACTGAGTGGGAAGAGGCCTCGATCAAGGCCGGGCCAAAATTCCGAAGCGTGCTCGTGCACGTAAAGAGGCGTTCGGGCCTTTTCTGACTCGACTGGCACTGAGTTTGAAGAGGCCTTTACGAGTATCCGAGCCGCTCGTCAAGATCTTGCCCAGCTCGACCAATGATGGGAGCTCAGTGCGTTGCCATCATCTCTATCGCAACTCGCCCATACTACGGGCCATTCATCAAACCTCTAGGTAGCGTTGTTTAAGTAGCGTTGTTTGGCATTACTTGTATACCTGAGGCTTGGGATACCTCCTCTGTTACTCACTTCCTGGAGTCTTGCTATTATTCGTTCAAGAATGCGTCGGTCTTCCCGAGTGGGTTTAGGGGCAATGAATAGCTAGGTAGTTAAGAGATGGAAAATTGAGGTATAATTGCAACCTCAAAACTACTTGCGATTGATCGTCAAGCCGTTGATGAGAAGATCTGCAGTAGACTGACCAGCCCTCCGGAGTTCAACCTTTACAGTTGCCTCAGAGTTGGCTCATATCAAGTGATTTTGCGAATATTTTCAAGAGCTTTTTACTTTCACGGAGGGGGCAGAGACTTCTCGTGGCGCAAGGCCGTGAACTCTATCACCATTAGAGTTCACGCTTGTGTTGCTGACCTCGGGAGCTCGACCAGTAGCCGCGCGGTTTAGGAGAAACTCTCTCAACCACGTGACCAAAGTGGTGGCTGGCAGTGAGCCAGGCTGAAGCTGAAGGCTGTATCAGCAACTTCCTAGTTACTGTTTCAGACTTGAAGGCGTGGCCTTTTGAACTGTTTACTCTTCTTCCTTGTTACTGGACCTCTGGTCCCACCACATCTGAATGACCTGTGGTCACCAAACAAAACAACTCGATTCATTTCACGGAGTATGTCCAGGACGGAGTATGTGATACACCGAATGTACGGAGCCAGTTTTGCCAGTGCAGTAGTGCATGTCGTGAGCACAACATCCAACCCAGTCGGCCTGGAGTAGTGAGTCGGCAACGCTTGTCAGGCCATCAAGCTACCAGGGTAAACCGCTCGTCGGGCAAGGGCATCATCGATTTCATTGCCCTGTTCTCGCCACTCCAGCACTTCAACCCCCAATGGCCCAGATTTCCATACCTATACCACATATCAGGACCCTCGTGCCTCCACCGTTACCACCATCAATATCATCTTCGTCCTGATCCCCATTCTCCTTACCCAAGACCTCCAGCCCCCCAGCGTCGGCTACGGAGCTGTACCGATCATCCAGCAGCTGAACTCTGACACCGTGATTTGCTGATGTTCTCGCTGATGCCGAAGCTGAGGCCGAAACTGAATCTGAGGGTGAAGATGAAAGGGAAGGTAATGACGACGACTGCCAGTCCACAACCCGCCACGTCTTGACGCGCTGGTCGTTGCTCGAGCTGACGACCACGGCGTCCCTGCCCCCGCGATCGAGCCGCGCGATCGCGACGCCCGTGATGGCGGCGGCGTGCGCGGAGCGGACGATGGATCTGCTTTTGACTTCGTATCCGTGGGGCGGCTGGGATGTTCCTGCAGACAGGCGCGGAGGCCGGGGGAGATACAAATGCAGCACCCCCAACGCGTCGTCGTCGCCGCCCGTGACGACTAGATACGACGTCCCCGTCTCGGTGGCGATCTGGCGCATGTCGAGGGCCTTGATGGTGCTCTGGTGGAGTTTCGTGGCCATTATCTCCTCGGTAGAATCGTCGTCCTTTATTTCAACCTCTGTGTCCTCGGTGGGAGGGGCTGTGATATCCCCAAATACAGCCAGATGCCCATCCGTAGCAGCAGTCAAGACCACAGGCCGCCCATCCATGTTGAACCCCAGATGTCGCAACTGCGTCAGACATGCACCCGTGTACGTGCGCCTTCCCAACAGCGTGAAGCCGTCCTGCGCGGTGTAGACATAACTCTGCACAGTGGAATTCGACAGCGCCATCGAGATGCAGAACCGCGACCCTTCTCCATCCCTATAGGTAGTTTCGCTGCTTTCATGTTCGTCCACGAGTGTGTGGACGTCGAAATCCATGATCCGCAAATCGCCCACCTTGGACCGGTCGGTGAACACGGCGTCGCACACGACGGCCAGCCCCCCGCCGTTCAATTCGCTGTCCATCAGCGCGTTGGTGCGCCAGACGAAGAACTCCTCGTTGCCGCCGCTGCTGAAGAGGTAGCGGTCCCCGTGCCACTTTAGCGCCTGGATGCCGGCATTGTGCCTCTCGAGCGCCGCGACGCAGCGGAGTCCTGCTGCTCCGTTTCCGTCTCTTTCCCTCGCGTTTCCCATCTCCCCACCGCAGTCCTCCCATATCCGGATGATTGTATCCTCCGCCGCCGTCGCCACCAACCTCCTCCCATCTCTTCCTCTTCCTTCCCTCCTCCCTTTCCCCTTTTCTGTTTTTGTCATCACGCTGGCGCTCACGGCCTTGATCTCGCGTCCGTGCCCGCCCGTCTTCACCGTGCGGTGCGCGACGCGCGTCTGCGAGAAGACGTGCATCTGCGCCGCCTTGGTGAACGCGAAGCGCAGGCCGTCGGAGCTCTTGGAGGAGATGGCGGTGTACGCGAAGCTGCGGTGCGCCCCGCCACACTCGACGGCGGCGATTTCTTGGGCGCGTGTGGCGTTCCAGACGACGAAGTGCTTACTGCGGAAGCCGCAGAGAATGAGGTCTTGGGGAGTGGTGGTGGTAGTAGTGGAGATGTCATTGGCAGTGGTGATAGCGGGGGAGGGCGTGCTAGGGGTGAACCAGGCCCCTTCGATATTGGGCCCAAAAGGGGGCGTTGTCTCGTGCAGGAGGGTGACGCCGAGGGCGCCGTCGGGCCTCCGCTGGATCTCGTGGATGCGGTACTTGCCGTCGCGGCCGGTGCTGTGGAAGTAGGCGGGCGAGTCGGCGGAGCGGCTGGGAAGAGGGAGGATCGAGGTGATCGATTCTTTGCGTTTGACTTCGAAGGTGAGTGTCGTAGTGTACTTGCCCTCGGCCGTCTGGCTGAGGATCGAGATGCTGCCCTTTCTTGAGCCGAGCACGAGATATCCCCGGCAGAAGGAGGCGGCGGTTACGTGGCAGCTTGCCTCTAGGGTGACCTCGGTACGTCGCGTCAGTGCAGCGCTGGAGTCGAGACTGAGGATCTCGGCCTTGTCGCTGCCGAAGATCGTGATGAGGATCTGGGTGTGGCCACTCTTCGAGGACGCGTCGCCGACATCAGATAGGCGGAATATCTCCGTGACCTTGCCGTGGACTTTAGTTAATGTTCGGAGCTGATTCCCAGTAGATGTACTATAGCAGAACACGTCACCACCTGTGGTTCCAACGAAAGCCATGCCAGCGGCCTGCGAGCTCTCCAGTACAGAGTACGATAGCATGGCCTGGCGGGTTTCATTGGGGATAACGAGTGCTTCCCACGTGAGTTCGTCACCGAAAGTGCCGACAAAAGCCCGGCCGGTATTCGTGACGACGAGTAGCCGGTCCTCCGTGACGAAAGTATAGCGGTGGAATACTTCCCTGAGGTTTTTGTTGCGTACGGTCGGCGTATCTGAGGAGTCTGTCAAGGCCGAGGACTTGGGATGCTGAGAGCATGACTCTACCACGTCTGCGAGGTACAGGCCGATCATCTGGCTTCCTTGCAGAGCCATCTGACCGTCTGGGTCTGGGAAAGTATCCGCTAGACCATCGCCAATGACGGCCACCTTGCCATCAGCGCCGCCGGTGGCGATCAGGACGTTACCCTCGTCGCTATAGGTCATAGCATGAGACCACAAGTTCTTCCCGCTGTGGTTCGAATACGTGGACTGATGCGTCAAGACCGCAAGCTGTTCCTTGCCACTCTTCGAGGTCTCGTTCGCGAGCCTCGCAGACGATTGTCTCTCGCCTAGCTTCAGATGCCATTTCTGCGCGGTAGCATCCTCCCCAAAGGAGTATAATTCCACGATGCCGTCTGTTGGGAAGAGCTTTTGCTTCTGTGGAAACTCAACCTGCCATATCCGCGACGCATGGCCCATGACAGTAGCCACACACCTAGAACGGCTCTCACCATGTGCCGCCACCTCGACACTATCACCAAACCCCGTCTGTCGTGCATCCTCAATACGCCTCCCATAGCCCTCGTCCCCATCCTTTGGCATATCCCGCCTCTCCGTGATATCCCAGACCCGTATCGTCCGGTCATCACTACAGCTCACCAGCAACCTGATCTCCTCCCCCGCCGCGCTCTCGATGACCGGCGAGATATGGACCCCGAAGATAGACCCCTCGTGGCCCGAGAACACAAACAGCACCTCGCAACTCGGCTCCTCCTCGCGGCCCTCTCCCGCCGAGCCCAGACGGCACTTCCACACCAGGATCTCGCCGAACACCGTCCCCGCCGCGACGAGCACGCAGTCCGGCGCCTCCCAGAAGAAGTTGCCCGAGTACAGGATCGGCCGCGAGGGCGACCTCACAGCGCCGGAGACGAGGGTCTGCCGGCCGTTTTCCTCGTCGGCAATGCTCACGCGCGCCTCGAGGACCTCGTTGTGCGCGGTCAGCAGCACGACACGGTCACTGTCGAAGGGCGAGACGCGGCCGTCGAGGATCCAATCCGGGGCCCTGGCCTCGACTGCGACTGCGACTGCAACTTCGACGTGGGATGAATCCCCTCGGGCTGAAACGAGTAACAGCTCCTCGATGAGCTGGCCGGGCAGCACGCTCACGGATTGGCCGCCCCATACGAGGACCTGCTTCCTCCCCAGGTCCGGAGTTCCATCTTTATCATCAGCACCAGTACCATAATTTTCTCTACCTGCACCTGTCACCTCAGCGGCGGCCGAAGGGGGCACAGCAATCCCGTGAACAGCCTGCGCGCGAAACACCTTCAGCCGCACACACAGCCGTGCAGACTGCACGTCGTAGATCTTGACATCGGTGTCCTCGCCGACCAGGACGTAGCGGCGTTTATTTGTCGCGCTGGTGTAGAAGGCGAGCGCCGTGATGGGGTTCAGCACGTGTTGTCTTGTGAGTTGGCCGGATGCTGCGGCCGGCTGTTGAAGCGGTTAGTGAGTGTGCTACTTGGTTGTATGAGAGTGTGACAAGAGAGTGTGATGGGTGTTGTGCCGGTGGTCATGGCTCAGATCGCGGGGCAAGCGATGATGAATGGTTATCTTCATTTGTTCCGCGAGAACACCACTTACCTCGTGAGACATTGAATCAGCTCTACGACGATTCTGCCATGAGATACTCGCTACAAGTTCCTCTGGTGGAAAGGCGCAAGATGACTATGATACATCTAGAGTGAGTTGCATTCGAGAGTTCAATCAAATAATTGGGCATTTTGAAAATTTCGCACGTGATTAGCGCCTTGAGTTTGCGATCCCCAAGCTTCGAAAACTGAAGTCATTGCCAACAAACGTACACATTGCACCATATAAGAATCAATGAAGATACGGTACACTTCTTGTCATTCGCTAGGTACTTCTATGCAGTAAGTGTGATGTGCTATCAGGGTATTCCCTCTATCCCAACCAAGGAGCTCGCACGGCGCTATCTTCCGGCCTTGACCTCATCAAGTACATCCAGTTCTCGTCATTTCCCAATCAAAGCGCCGGTAAATGCAAATTCATCATCAATGACTACCCAGTCTATCCACACTTGTACATGATCTCGTCGTCACCACTGGTCCAGTCCGTTTAGACATGGGAGGGGGAGTGAGAGTACGGCTCGTATGCGAGATCCGATCGTCCTCCTCCGCGTTGGGGTGCCCCGAAGTTGTTGTACCCGTAGCCAGAAGTGCGGTTTTGGTGTTCCCCGATGGGAGCATACGAACCAGTGGGAGGCAGGAACTTCTCGCTGCTTCCACCTCGCTTGTGGCTGCGCTTCTCGGACTTGCAGCAGCACGCCGAGAACAGCCAGAAGAGACTGGCGCCAAGGGCGAATGCGACACCAATCCAGATAGTGGCCAGAAAACTAGTGTCCACGCTGGCCTTGACACCGTACTGGCTCGAGACGCCCAAGACGGCACCGACGACGACGGAGCCCATGACCGTCATCAGGACGGCGGCAGCGATGACCGCGGCAGTGGCGAAACCAGAGATGAGCCAAACGAGGCAGGACACGCCGCGCGAGTAGGCGGAGAACAGGCCGACAAACAGTTCGAGACCGAGCGCCACCATCGAAATGATATACACCACCTCGGTCCACTTGTTGACAGTCTTGTATGTGTTGAGTCCGTCATTGAGCCCGTCTGGGATAGTGAGGTTCAGGTGGGAGACCTCGCTGAACTGGTCGATCCAGGAGGTATTCAGGTTCTTCGTTGCCCAGTCAAATTCTGCCTTGGTGCAAGTCTTGGACCCGTTCTGAGATGTCATACAGTAGCCCCAAATGTTGAAATCGTAGATGTTGGCAAGACTCAGGTTGGCGGCGTAGATGCGTGTATCCCCGACTTGGCTGGAGAGCGAGCCAGCAATGCCGCTGACATCGCCGGCCTTGTCCTCCGCCTCGTCGACGGCGTCGGATGCCTTGTCCAGGAGCGTGGAGTCGTGCCACTCGACGGGGTCGGGTGAGCGAGAGACGAGATCGCTGGCATTGTTGATGAGGCTTGAGAGTTGGGTAACGTCGACCGAGAGATTGGTGATGTCGATTCGGAATAGGTGGAGGTTGTTGCTACTGACACCGGTGAGACCAGCAATCAGGCCGCAGATGATGCTGGCTACTGTCAGAATGAATGGCAGAGCCACGCAGACATATCTTCCGACACCCATAGTTGGTGTTGGTTGGGTGAAGTCCTCTCGGTTATCTTTTGGGGTTCCTGTTGGCGTGTTGGTAGGTATGTAGGTGCCAGGTGGTTGGAAGGCGGGCGATGATGTAATGGCTGGCTGAAACGAGTGAAGAGGGACCCTCGGTTAATACCAGGTTGCGTAGGGGCCGTCGACTAAACGAAAGTGATAGTTTGGTGATGGTCGTGAATCAAGGCTGGGAAACCAGGTAACCTCTTCACGTACGACAGAGTGGCAGAAAAGATGAGAGGGAGCGAAATCCAGTTCCTGGCAGAAGGATGAGAATTGCTGTATTTATCAGGTAGAGGTAGTGTACAGGTAACAGGGCAGGGCAGGGTGGCAGGGTGGTGTGTGTGTGTGGATGGATGGCGGTCACTGGTAGGGAGTAGGGGCTGATGGTCACGTCCAACTCATTCAGCGTGGCGCAGTTTTAGGTGGTGCCTGTTTGTTTGTCACAACCTGCACAGGCCCTGTGCCGGTCCCTGCAGGCTTCCACCTTGGACTCTTGCCCCAGATATACGACTGCTCAGTGCTCAGCCTGCTCAGTGCTCACTGCTCAGGCCCTTCACCATCATCAGCCCCCGGCGATGGCGTCTAACCTGCACTCAGCCCCGGCATGTGACCAGTGACACGTCTCACCCGTCGCACTAACAGGTAACAGCCGCACGGGAACAGTGCAGCGGTTGTAGCCATTGTAGGCTCCAAGCTGGGACGCACTGCTCGCCCTGGATCCAGTGCTAATCGTCAGTGCTATATGTAGAGTATCGTGCGGAAGGTGATCCAGATCCCCAGAACAGACATCCAGTCTGCCAGTTTTGGGTCGACGACCAACCGGAAGAGATGAGACAGATCTCAGCGGTGCAGTGGAGTGCAGTGCTGAGGCTTGCTAGGTTGCCCTTGTCCCGGGATGACTTCTTGTTACCTAAAGGTAGGTAGGTACCAAACCCAAACACTGCAGGTTACCTTAATGAAGTGAGACCGGGCTGAGTCAGCCAAGAAGACGACTCTTTCTCATCAGGTTCGTTGAGCCATTGACCATCTGATGCCGCAAAGCCGTCGCAACGGCAACATGCGTCGATCAAACATGAGAAACGAGACTGGACAGATGGGGAAACAGTGGGAGGATGAGTCGCGTTGCCGCGTCGACTCTGCAGAACAAATGGGGGGAGAGAAACGTCAGCAGCAATGATGTGTGCAGATCCAGCTGAAAAGCCGCAAGTTGTTGTGCTCGCTGTGGCGTCATCGGAAAGTCTCCAGATATTTTCGAGGCGATGCACTGACGCGGCTCTCCCACTTCGGCGCATGGCGGACGGAGATGCCAAGGCTTTGGGTCTATGTAGCATGAGACAAGCTCAAACTGTCGCGGTGAAGATGGGAAGCAGGCATACAACATGATGAGTTGCTGAACAGTTAAAGGGGTTTGCTGAGACGCCGAGACGGTGCAAGATGCAATATGGCACTGACGAGAGAAGGGGCATGAGGAGGATCAAACGATGGTGGCTTGAGTGGCTTCCAATTATAATTGCAGCCCGGCTGCAGTCATCAGTGTTGGTGTTGGTGTTGGTGCTGCCAGCACACCGTGGCTGGGGAATCTACCGTACCAACGTCGCTGCTTACCTCATGGTAGCCCTGATCCCCTCTCCAGCATCATTACCTTAACCAATACACCCAAAACATCATAGGCCCGTGTGTAGAGCAAAAGGCCAGGCGCCATCTAACATGAGATATTACGAGATCAGTCCGAATATAGGTAGTCAACCTGTGCATTTTCTACATTGTGGGAGGTTGGCGCGGGTGTGGCGCGGGTGTGGCGCGGGTGTGGCGCGGGTGTGGCGCGGGTGTGGCGCGGGTGAGGCGAAAGGGACACCGAGTGGGGATTTCCCAGGACACAGGCTACCCCCCTGACTAAATTTAGAAGACATGCCCACCCCTGCCGCCGTTCCCCATATCAACGACTTCAACGTCGTCCTTCGAAATCTGGAAGCTTTTGCCTTTTTTCAACGTCCCGGCCGAGAATCTTCTGTCCACCACCGCCGCCGCCTCGGGAGCCCGGTCCCTCGCCACCGGTAACGGCCCGCCGGTAGTCAGATGCACCGAGGATAATCTTAACGCCCGTCCGAGTGCCGAATGCTTTTTGTTGACGGTCCATCGCCCCTTACTAGGTAGTCAAGCTCAAAGTGTCTGAGCTGCCCTGGTCTCGTTCTACTGGGTAGCCTGCTGCTCGTGGTTGCAATGGGTGACTCTCCGATACACGCATATTGTGGAGCGGTGATAAATGCGTCTATCATAAGTACGAGTCCACGTCACGAGCTTCAAAGTATTAACTACGACGATGATTATCCCGGGACGCATTCATTACCCCGAGATGCTATCCAAGACAGCTGGAGTCTTCGGAGGCTGTGCTGCCTTGCTGCAATCAAGTCATCCAACAAGACATCCATTTCTTTCTGTCTCTCCCGAGTCTGTAGTCACACAACATTCGCTCCAAAGCCAGATGAGTTGGAGCATCGTCAAATTGGCACCTGCAGACTCGCGACCATGAACATGATCAGCGAGCCCACGGCGATGGACAGGCATCTGCCGAGGAGCTGCGAGAAAGACGGAACAAAGGGGACGGCCATCAAGCCGCCCAGCGAGTACATTGTGTTGAGCTTCCCAGACGGTTGCTGGTTGGGTTGCCAAAGTTTGTTCATGGCACATCTGTTAGAATGCTTGGGACGATCCGGTGGAAACATGAATAAACGCGACAGGCAGGACATGTGATCTGCCCCATAGCATGTAACAAGAGCCGGGCATTTGTTGCCTCAGCGTTGATCGCAGTCACTTCTAGGCCATCCCATCCCGATTTGTTCCTCTCCTACGTAGCTTATACCTCAACAGGCAGGTGGGAGGATATGGGGAAAGATGTCAAATGTCAGTTATGGTAGGTATCATTCGGGACGAAGCGCATGCTGCCCTGCGGCTATGGTGCCGTCGAGACGACATGCCCCTATCTACTAGAATGACACGTAACGTGCAACCTCATAGTACAGTTGTTGGCTCCTTGCTGTTAAAAATCACATTCGAATCAGATAAAGAGGCAAGCAGCATGCTCAGAACCACGTGGGCCATTGCTCAAGTAAATTAAGGCTAACATCAGGCTGGCAGCTCAAACTGTTTGGTCGATGAATTGGTACGTACTGCCACTCTTGATGCCAATGAAACAATGAACGTTGACCAAGCCCAGCGGGTATCACTCACAACGTGCTCAAAGCTTGATTCCACTACGTCCGACAGGAAGGGTGCTTGGCTCTACTATGGAGAGGCTTGGTCAACGTCGATATCGAGTAACGTGGTTGAAAGCCACTCCAGCGGTGCAGCCAATGATGGCATTCATATCGCCGTCGAACTCTGGTACCTACCCTACCATAAGCCAGGAAGCAAGCATTAAGCGACCACGTGCCAAGGCGCTCCTTGTCTGGTCTTTTATTCTCCAATCTCTACTGGCTTGATGAAACAAATCATTGCAGTTCTTAGTTTACCTACCCCATCCATTATGTCGTGCGAGCTTGGCAGCTAAGTAGCGAAATCATTCCGGGGCCATTCGACGTGCCGCCACCACGATCAAGACATATCATTACCAACCCCCGGATGCCAAGGTGCCGTCGCGGACCTACCGACGTACGTTCTGGCCGTTGCGAATGCGAATTGCAGTTTTCCAACTTCTCAACTTCCCAATCGGTCTGTTTCCAGCCAAGCCGGGTGACGATGGTGGTTAATGGCAGGCGGTGTTAGTGGGCCGCGTCACATCATCGGCCTCGCACTATCGTGATGCCAGCCTTTGGTACTGAACCAGACTGCATCGCCGAGTCGCAGTCACTCGGCTGCGACTCTGGCACGGACAATGCAATATAACGACGAGGACAACGTGAACAACAAAGACAACAAAGACAACAAAGCCGGATCACGACAACACCCAACATGCACGGGAGGTATCGAAGTCTATGTCATTCAAGCAGGTGGCATCGGATCCCCTGATCGACACTGCGGCTTGTGTCCCATTGGCAGGCCGTCATCAAAACATCGAAAAGAAAACGAATCTTGCAGGTCAAAATGCGACAATTCGAGATATCGGGCTTTTCTGGATTCGACCGTGGCTGGCAGTCCTGCCAGTCACATCTCGCCAAGTAACTGCAGTTCATCAAGAGGATGGAGGTTCCATTCACTCTCCATCTACTGTTCATCTACCATCTGTAGGTAGGTGTTATCTGTCATCCACACTACCGACGGCGCAGCGACCCGCGGAGTAACAGCTTAGATTGGTGAATCCGTCGCGTCAGCGTTCCTGTTGATATCAAAGCGGACCCGGCGCAAGGTACAAGACACAGACAACCCCCCGCTCTGTAGGAAGTTGGCCCTTTGAGATTCCTGGATATTGTATTCTTTGTTGCTGCCTACTGCCTAGTAGTAAAGTTGCACGACTGTCGACTGTTGACTTTGACTGGATCTGACTCGATATCGACCTGGTTGGTTCATTGATTGACTGATAGACTGACTCGGACCCAAAGCCTGAGACGTGCAGGAGAAGAAAGAGACAGAGACAGAGCGGGACAGTCAAAGACGAGCCCCACCATTCATTCCCACCTGGGCAGCAGCCTGGCCGGGCCTGGCCCTTCTGTATTCTGTTACTCCAGTTCAACTCCCGTGAGGCAACGGCGACAAATACCATCAAATTAGCGACATCGCGAGTTGCGTACTAATAATAATTACCGACAATTCACCACCACGAGGACTCGCCCAACTCTGCGACTGCACCTATCACCATATCACCATATCTTTCTCGCCCAGGTATGAAGGCCCGCACCTAGATATCGCCAAGCCGCACACTCGCACACACGCCACCTACCTACAAGAGGGTAATAAACGTCCTGTACAACATCGAATTCCAGGCAAGCCCTTGCGTCCAGCACGCCCAGCACGCCCAGCACGCACGACCGACCCGACACGACGACACCAAGCCACCAAGCATCGTGCGTGGTGACCATCCAGCATCTTGCATCTCGGCGACCCGGTTTATCTGGTTATCAGTCGGGCAACGTACGTCTCGTCATACCTTCCCCTAGACTAGTGTACCCTCATCGAACCAACCTGATCAACCTCGCCGTCTCGCCTCGTCTCATCTCGTATATCAACTATCGACTATCAACCATCGACGCATCAACGCATCAACGCATCAACGCATCCTAGTGCCTAGTCAGCTACCGGTGCCCCAGCGAGCCCAGCCTAGCCCCCCGTTCGCGAAACTCTACTGTTGACCATATGCGCGCCGCGCCCAGGCTCTAGTCGCTCTATCCCCGTCGCTTGGCACCCTCCTGCTGGCACCGCCGTCGAATCCAGTGAATCCAGTGAATCCACCACCGTCCAGCGCCTTCTCTAGCCTGACGGTCCCGATCTCACTCTCTAGTCTCTACAGCAGGCCTCTCGCACCCGGTATGTATCCTGCGCCGTATCATTCGTCCCGCTGCTCATCCGTCCTGGCTCACTCGCTGCATCCAGCACAAACCTTCTCCCCGCATTTTCCATCGCTGCCTCTGCCCGTCTCAACCACGATCACAGTGATCGTCATCATTATCCTCCCTTGCGAGCATCTCTACTTCCTCGCCATCTCTCCTGCCGTCTTGTACCGAGCTCGCACATCTCCAGTTACAAGTCAGACCAGCGCCCTCAAAGCGGCGAGCGCGTAGCTAATTATCCGACCTAGACTAATCGTTTGGACTCCACGCCTGGCCACGTCGTCATAGCCTCTTACTCAGAGCACCCTTAGTTCCGACTTGTTCCTCCGATATCCCCGTCGACCCTCGACCGTCGACCGTACCTGTGCGATAACATCCTTCGTCAGCTCCTGCTACCCGTCCGCGCGCCTCATCAACCCACGTCTCTGACGTATCTACCAACACGGAGACCCAAACCCGCCATCGTTCTTCCCCCGCCGTACTCATCCTCTCCGTTCTAGTCCAGCTATTTCACCCCCCTTAACGCTTGTCAAACGCAGAAGACCAACGACCAACTTCATAAGGGGCCCACGTACAGCGGTGGGCGCCTGGGCACTGATTTCTTGGGCCGGAATTCGAAGCTGGACCGCAAAGCTGGAACGTGACGACTCTACTCATCAAGCTGGATAGCTGACACGGCACCATGGGAAACCAAAACTCCAAAGAGGGTGGAGGCTCCAAGGGCTCCGGGCCCGGAGACAATCTGCAGTCGTACCCATCCTTCGGCAAGTCGGACACAAAGGAATCATCGCGTTCATTTAAGGCACTGCGATCGAAGATACCTGGTAGTGGCAAGTCCGACAGCCCGCGCAGCTCGACGATACTCTCTAACGGAGATGCCTCGGGTGGAGACAAGTCAGACGCCGCATCCGTGAGGTCTGGGAGGAGCAGTCGATCAGGCGTGTCGAGGGCAAGTCGTGCCGATTCTACCGCAACGCCCGCGTCGCCAAGGTCCCGGCCATCTATAGACACGGTGACATCGCCCATGGACGACAACGACCAGCCGCCACAGCCACCCTCTCCCATCCAGTCTGCTTCTATGAGAGCCGGGCATGGGGACATCAGCGCTGCTCAAGCCTCGGGCGAGGTGGACCACGTGTCAGACCAGCCGCCTTCCGCGGGGGTGAACCCTCACCCGCATATGCAACTGCAGCCTGGAGCCCCGATTCTAGTCAAGAAGGAGAATACCATCAACCCGGTTTCGGGAGGGTCATCAAAGGACGACCTGACTCCGGGTGGTGTCGCTATGAGCGACATTAAGGATATCGACCTGGATGATTTCATCAAGCGCCTCCTAGACGCCGCATATGCCGGAAAGGTGACCAAAAGCGTCTGTCTGAAGAATGCCGAGATTGTCGCCATATGTCAGAGGGCACGCGAGTGTTTTCTGTCCCAACCAGCATTGTTAGAGCTCGATGCACCAGTCAAGATCGTCGGCGACGTTCACGGACAGTTTACCGACCTGATCCGCATGTTCGAGATGTGCGGTTTCCCCCCGAGCTCCAACTTCCTCTTCCTCGGCGACTACGTCGACCGCGGTAAACAGTCGTTGGAGACCATCCTACTGCTCCTATGCTACAAGCTCAAATATCCCGAGAATTTCTTCCTGCTACGAGGAAACCACGAATGCGCCAACGTCACGAGGGTCTACGGATTCTACGATGAATGCAAGCGCAGGTGCAATGTCAAGATCTGGAAGACGTTCATTGACTGTTTCAACACCCTACCGATCGCTGCCATCGTTGCTGGAAAGATCTTCTGTGTTCACGGTGGTCTTTCTCCAGCCCTCGGTCACATGGACGACATCCGCAACATTGCCAGGCCTACCGATGTTCCTGATTATGGATTACTGAACGACTTGCTCTGGTCTGACCCTGCCGACATGGAGGCCGATTGGGAGGCCAACGAGAGGGGCGTCAGTTACTGCTTTGGGAAAAAGGTTATTACCGATTTCCTCGCGACACACGATTTTGACCTGGTCTGTCGTGCCCATATGGTTGTCGAGGACGGCTACGAATTCTTTAACGACAGAGTTCTGGTTACGGTCTTCAGCGCACCCAATGTGAGTGTTCTGACATCGCTCATCAGTTCTTTTATGCTGACAATCCCTACAGTACTGCGGCGAGTTCGATAACTGGGGAGCGGTCATGTCTGTTTCATCGGAACTGCTCTGTAGTTTCGAGCTTCTCAAACCACTCGACTCATCTGCGCTCAAAAGTCACATTAAGAAGGGCAGGAACAAGCGCAACACCATGCTCAACAGTCCGGTGCGTACTCTTTAACCCGCATATCCTCCATGTCAAACTAACGTGTCGACTGTAGCCCGCTAGCGTGTACCCTCAGAGCGTATAGAACTCTCTAAGAGGGCATGTACGTCAACATTCCTGCCGAGAATTTGCTCTGCCAAGTCCTCTCGGTACGGAAAGGGTTGAGGGAATTGTCTAGGCACTCATAAAACACAGGACCACCTTTTTGATGAGGTCTATGAGCCTTTACGCACTCGAGTGCGTGGGAGCTGCATAGCAAGCCGATGAGCGAGGTTTTGGGCACAGGATGAATGTGCCCTATTCAGGCGCGCAGTGCGACATCGACCAATCTCGATATCGGGAAGTCTTTGGTAGATACGCCCCAGCCAAGCAATACGGTTGAAACGTCTCAAGTGAGGGTGTAACAATCTTTGCGAAGCAAGAGCAGGCCAGAAACGGTTTTGCTCGAAACCAGCCAGTCCCGGCTGACTAAAGGGATCGCATTACATAGGGATGGAATTCCCTTGTTCCGGCGAATCGGGTGTGAGGCGCAAGCAGACCGGTCGGCTTTACCATGTACAATAACGTGACTTGGGGTTTTCAGTGTTAGTTACCTATAATCCGCCCAAGCAGCTCCCATTGCACATTAGCTATGTCATCATGTCTGGTGTCTCGACCCATGAAACCACGCAGAAGAAGGAGCGAGGGCATCGCAACGCTGTCTGGAGCTAGAGGTCGTTTATTGTTAACTGTATTCCTTTGGTAGGTAAGAATAGATGTTTCGGCTCAGGACGTGCTGAATCCGACCCTCTTGAACATGTTTTCGTTTTCTTCGTTGAAATTCCAGCTGTACTCGCTATGGGTTACGCTCGCAGCATCGTGCGAGTAAGATATGAATCCAGCTCTCAACGTGTCTCCGGAATTGAGGACACTAAGCTGACTGGAAGATGTGACAGCGTGGAGATACTCCGCACTAAACGGAGGTAATCCGAAGTCGGCCTCACGAGTCACCTGGCTTATAATCATACCCAAGGATATGGCATGCGTGCATCAGTATCACAAGTAGCAATACTTCTTTCTCTGTTCCCAGCCTGTCGTTGTCATATATACGTTTTTCATTCAGTAGACACGAAACAGCGTGTCAGGAATCCCGCCTGAACCAACATGGCGGAAGCTTCGATAGCAGACGCCAAGATCCACGTCGCCGCCTCGGAAGCGCGCGCTTTCGCTGAGAACGTCCTCGTCGGCAACGGCGTGCCGGCCGAGAACGCCGCCACTGTCGCCAGGTGCCTCGTCGCGGCCGACCTGCGCGGCGTCGACACCCACGGCATCAACCGCATCCCCTCGTACATGACGCGGATCCGCCAGGGCGTCCTCGACGCCGCGGCCAGCCCGGAACTTACCAAGACCACGCCCGTGGTCGCGCAGGTCGACGGCAGGAACGGCTTCGGGTTCCTCGCGGCGGAGGTCGGGATGAAGACGGCTATAGACGTGGCGCAAGAGTTTGGCATCGGCATGGTTAGTGTGAAGCACTCGAACCACTTCGGCATGAGCGCGTGGATCGTGCAGCAGGCTATCGATGCGGGTATGATGAGTATCGTGTTCACGAATTCAAGCCCCGCGCTTCCCGTCTTCGGGGGGAAGAGCCAGCTCTTGGGAGTGTCGCCTATCGCCTGCGGCGCGCCGGGCGGAGAGGAGAAGGCGTTTATTCTGGATATGGCGCCGTCGGTTGCGGCGAGGGGCAAGATCTATAAGGCGAAGAGACGGGGCGAGAAGATCCCCCTGGATTGGGCACTGGATAGGGAGGGGAGGCCGACGGATGATCCGAGCAAGGCGCTGGAGGGGGTCATGCAGCCTATGGGGGGTCCCAAGGGGTCGGGGCTTGCGGTTATGATGGATGTGTTCTCGGGGGTGTTGTCAGGTAAGATATCATCACATCAGCTTACGACACATGGTAACGAGGAGAGACATTCTGACTATGGTGGTTGTAGGCTCTGCCTTCGCGGGAGAAGTCAGGGGCCCCTACGATCCGAGCAAGCCGTCCGACGTTGGCCACTTCTTGGTGGCTATCAAGCCCGACCTGTTCATGAGCCTTGAGGAATTTAGGGGGAGGATGGATTATTTGTATCAAAGAGTCGTGGGCTCAGATAGGGCGGCTGGCGTCGACCGCATCTACTTCCCGGGCGAGATTGAGCAGTTGAGACAGGAGGAGAGGGAGAAGACGGGGATACCGCTCGTGCAGGCCGAGATAGATGCGCTGAATGAGGAGGCGAGGAAGGTGGGAAAGCCGGCGTTGGTGGTTAGGGGCGAGTAGTGGCTTGGTGGGGGTTACTACGTTTGGTTTTCACTGGGTGGGTTTTAAGTGTGTTTGTAGTCAAGACGAATGCATGTTCGTGGTGTCGTTGACTTACATGGAGTACTCTATTCCGTGAAACATCCACACCTGAAATAGGTCACAGAAATTGACATGGGCGTCATCTCGGTGAGCCTGCTAACAATATCGAGCGGTAGACCGAGTGAGCACATCATCTTGAGATACGATGTATCATTCATGTTTCTCTTGGCCTAGCAATCCTTAAGGTTCCATCATGTTTTGACCCTCACCACCTACTTCGAGGTCAAACCGTATCGCGTGCTCCTCTGACCACCAGAGGTACGTGCTCGTAGCTCTCTGAGCTGTTTGAGTTCCGTGATGGCACGCAACAGTCGTGTCATGTTACATCAAGAAAAGTACATCTCTTTAAACCTAATCTCGAGTCCCATGAGACTAGGGACCCTCAGCTCGAAGGAAGTCAAAATCTGCCCCTTGATCTGCCTGGTTCACAGATCTCATGTACAAGCCCCTGTAGCCTCTCATCTTGCCCCTCGCCCTCCACGGCTGTGCATCTCGAGTCTTGGCCTCCTCCTCCCGTCTAGCTGATTGCCTTTGCTCTATCTCCTCATTGCTGATTTCGACGTGCAAGATGCGTTCGTCGACATTGCACGTGACGACGTCGCCATCGCGAACGATCCCCAGAACCGACTCCGGGTCTGCTGCCTCGGGCGAGACGTGCAGCACAATGGTGCCCCCCGCCGTCCCGCTCATCCTGCCATCGGAGATCCGAAGCATGTCCGTGACCCCCTGCGCTGCGAGCTTGCGCGGTATCGGGATGAGGCCTGCCTCGGGCATGCCGGGGTTGCCGACCGGGCCGATATTCTGGAGAACCAGAATGCTCTCTGGTGTGACGGACAGGTCCTCGTCATCGATCCGACGTGCCATGTCTGCTGATCCAGCGAATACGACCGCTTTGGCGGAGTGTTTTAGTAGTTGGCGATTCTTGGAGGCGCTTGCTTTCATCACGGCGCCCTGTGGAGCAAGGTTTCCTCGCAGCACCACGATCGACGACCCTGGGTATAGGGGTGAGTCGAATGGCTGGATGCACTGCAGTTCCCGAGGGATTGATGCTAGGGGTTCACGGTCCAGGCACTCTCCCAGCGTCTTGCCGCTGACCGTGAGGACACCGAGGTGCAGGAGTGGTCTCAGCTCGTGCAGCAACACGGTCATACCGCCCGAGTTGTGGAAGTCCGTCATGTAGTTGGAGCCGCTCGGCTTCAGGTCCACGAGAAGAGGCGTTCGCCTCCCGATCTCGTCGAAGGTGTCTAGAGTGATGGTGCCTGCGACCTTGGGATGACGGTTGATGATCGCCATCAAGTGTACCACGGCGTTTGTAGACCCGCCGATGGACTGCAGGACCGTGATGGCGTTGATGAATGACTCTCGTGTCAGGAGAGACTGCGGTTTCAGTGTCTCGCCCGCGGTGATGATGGCTACGGCGTTTGCTCCGGTTTCTTCGGCTATTCGTAGACGTGCGGACGATACTGCTGGTGCTGAAGCCCCTTTGAAAGGCACCAAGCCCAGGGCGACTAGTATGCAAGCCATGGTACTTGCGGTTCCCATGACTCCGCAGGTGCCGGCCTGGAATCAACTATCAGCACTCGCATAGCTGGCTCATGTTAGGTAGTATCAAAACCCACAGTCGGCGCAAGCTCCTCGTTGATCGTGGAGATCTCCTCAATATCCATCGTCCCAGCTCGGAAACTGGCCCAATTGTTCCGACAGTCAGTGCAAGCTCCTATTCGAGCGCCGTTATGACTCCCAGGCATCATCGGCCCAGTCACCAAGTGCAATATCGGCTTATTGGCCGAGATTCCGCCCATCAGCTGCGCAGGGGTGGTCTTGTCACAACCTGCGGTGGGTTAAAGTTAAACCAAGGAAGAATGCCAGTTTGACTGATGGGACGGGGTGAATCACCTCCTATCATGACAACAGCATCCACAGGCTGAGCCCTGATCATCTCCTCGGTATCCATGCTCATAAGATTCCTCAGAAACATGCTCGTCGGCGCGGCGAAGGACTCATGCAAACTAATAGTCGGGAAGTCGATCGCCAGCCCGCCGTTGAGCTGGACGCCCCTCTTGACGGCATCGATCAGCTGCGGGATGTTCGCATGGCACGGGTTGAAGCTTGAATAGGTGTTGATTATGCCGATTATGGGTCTTGTTAGGGCGTCTTCGTTGTAGCCTAGGGCTTTGATGAAGACTTTGCGTAGGAAGAGGGAGAAGTGCGCGTCGCCGTAGGAGGTCAGGCCTTGTCTCATGCCCTGGGATGGGTCGATCGGCCTAGAGAGGTCGTAGTCGCTGTTGTTGTCCATTATCCTTCTTGGTGTCGATGATTTGTCGAAAGTGCCGTGCCGTGTAGTGTGCTTGGAAGGGTACTGTATGCACCGTCAGATAAGCGACTCTGATCACGGCCAACTAAGAGGCACAGGCTCCAGCCTCAGTCCACATGAACGATGCTTCGGGGAGATATCACGCGAAGGTGGAGAGGTATCATCGTGGATCGACTGGAGCCGAAAGTTGCGGGGGCCCTCCGTCGTTACGACATGATACATCCCGGGGACATCCGCCCCCCTCATCCGTCCATGCCGACATGCGGAGGATCTCCGCAAGCTCCGTGGCTCCGCATCGGCTTGAGTCTTAAGGCTACCGATATAACTAAAGATCAGTTTGATGCTCAACCAGAATCGTAGGAAAAATAATGCCTATCATCCTGTGGCCTCAGTAGGGTGACAGACATGCAGCAAGCCGCAGTCGGGTTATCTTGGGGCCGTGCCCTGCTGCAAGGGAGAGCTTGTTTCACCGGACCCCCGGGTCAAGGACCCAAGGTCACCGCCCACATGTGGTCAGATCTCTTCCCTCGACATCAAGAGGGCATTGCTCTCGATAAGTTGATCTTCAGTCTCGATTGCCTTGTGGTGTGCGATCGATAAACATGCCGACGGCGGCGGCAAGCGTGGCTGCGATTCCAGAATTGCTCTGCCTTCTGGGTGAGAAGGTTAGCATGGTCAGCGCCTGAGGTGACGAAGTGACGATGGCGAAGTGGCATTATAGGGCCATTGCTGACACCATGCGGACAGATCAACAATCGAAAGCTGTTGTATCATCTTTGCCTTGTCAGTCACTGTTTCAATGCTGCGTTTAGCCCGCGACTGTACAGATGCCTGCGGTGGTCTGCACGCAACGTCGACTTTCTTTTGGGCCCAGAGAAGCAAGATATCCTGAAGCAGAACCCTTAACTATCGCAAACGAAAGTGTTCATCGTCCTGTCCTGTGCCATGCGTGAATGCGCGCAGGCTGCCCGTCGAAGTCTGCCTCAAACGGGGCAACTTGACGTGGAACGGTATCAACACACACGGGAGAGCGCCTACACAGCACTCAACAACGCCTTCGTTGACGTTTGCGGACACACGTCTCGCTTACAGAGCTTCGCGTAAGTTCTGAACCAAACATAAACTCGCTGGCTCAACTGATCCGACGCTGGCTGTTCCAGCTGCCAACAATTGGCACTGACACCTCAATGCATGTCGATGCTGTCCAACATTCCAACCCTCGGCAGTGTATCCATCCAAGCTGACCCCTTTCATGAACCCTTTATCGGCGTCGGAAATGGAGAAGATGAACCGAATGGGAACCAGCAACGACGTTTTACCCTCTTCGGTCAGCCGGAGACTGGGATGGCCTTTCGTGGTCTGCGCAGGCTCTCCTTGCTTGATCTCTTTGGGGATATACCGGCTTGGGGCAATCGAATCCTGCAAGTGATGCTCTCGTCTCCTCAACTCGAACACCTGAGCCTCTCAGTATCGTCCCAGACGACTATGAGATTGCGGATTGACAGCAACCTCAACCAGGAGCATGTAATGTTATGTGCTGGCCTGTTCCGCTGGATCTGTGAGAAGCACCTCATCGCAGCTGGCAAGCCTTTGACTTTGAAGTCAGTGAAGCTTGGACAGGGCCTTGTATTTCCCGATTATGTTTCTCTCAAAGGAATAATCAACCCCAACGCTTTGGAAGAAATACACATCTACAACTCTAGCGATTTCCATCAAGATATAACCATCCCATACGATCTGCTATCAAGCGACATATCGCCCAACTTACGGGTTATTTCTGTGTACGAGATGAAAAAGGATGTCCGGGATACACTCCTAAAGGCCAGGACCGGGACTGGTAGCCAACCAACAGGCCTTCGATTGGAAGGGCCCTGACATGTCTTTGAGCAGCACCAGACGACGCATGACCTATAGAATGCCAAAAGTGTATGAATTACCACAAGGCGTGCTCGATATCAAGCCCGAGATGCTTATGCTTCCGTCGGTTTCCGCATTGGACAGATACCTCGAGGACCTTCGGGATTGCAGCTGGATCAGGTGCTTGGCGGTAACCCTTCGGACTCCAGTTCTTCATAAAGCTGGACGTTTGCCGCCAAATGATACTTTTTCAAATGATTTAGGCGACGTTCTCGCTACTCTATCATCACTGCAAGCCCTTTGGATGACGTTGCCGTTCGCCGTGGAATATCGCATCCCATCTGTGGCCGAGGATTTTGCGTTGGCTTGTCCCAGCTTGAGCTACGTCAAGATTTCGTCAAGTGAAGCACAAGCGTGGAGAATTCATAGAGGCAGGGAGGCTTCGGTAGTTCTTGAGGAGCTGGACGACTGGGAAGATGAAGTGGAGGGACCCAGCTTCTTCCATGCGGCCGGTCCGGGGGCCTGGGAATGCGGTACTGTGGACTGGGACGATACGGAATACTAGTGGCCGTATATTGCGTGTGTCGATTATCACCTATACGGTACTCCGGAACGTAGGGAATAGCCTTGTGGACTGATTGATGAGCATGAAGAGGCCTTTAAATTAACCATCTTTCTATATACCGTCCGCCATCGCCATCACCGCTTCTCAGATGTTCTACTAAACATAAGGTGAAGCCATTTTGTCTTCAAGGAGGTACATACCTACGTGAACATGAGTATACATGAGATGAGATATGAGGGAACCATCATTTGTCTTGGCATATACAGTCAAGTGATGCCTACTTGACATTGTGCCTTGTGGTAGCGGTATCCAGAATAAGGACCAGGGTCACGAATGGTGGCTATTGGTCTGTATTCTGGAAGTTGCTTGATTGAAAGAAGGGATGGGTGGTGTCCCCATCCCAGAAGTAGCTATCATCCCAGTTGGGTACGAATCTGGTACAAACGGGTACCAGTTGGGCTCCAAGGTACCTTGTACCCTGGTCCGTGACCCATCCGTCATTGTGGCTGGAAAATGGGTTGAGGAGCCACAACATTCTCAAGACGATTACTAGTCATCCGCGGTATCAAGCGTTATTAGGGGGTTACATCTAGTCTTCACGGCTGTAACAGTCACAACATCTATGCAGCCGACAAGTAGCAATAATGAAACACACCAAGGCAAGAGTAGATTGATTAGAAAACCACTCACTTGCGTGCCACGCATGGTCAATTTTCTCTCCTGGATGCCCGGATGCTTGAGACACGGAAGGCCTTATGTAGTTATAAAGCATACCCCGATATAAGCATAGTGTGCTGCTCAAAGCGAGCTATTGGTATAGCACAGTATCGCGTCACCGTACGTCATCCGTACCGACCTGTTTCAAGGCCCGTTGCTGCGCTAGGACTCTTATTAGGTAGGAGCTGAAGGAGCTTCGAACATCAACAACGCGCGACATTCCAACCTTGGAAGAACCTCAACGCGGGGCAACCTCCGTCTTTGCTACATCACGTCTTCCACGTCTTCCGGGAATCGCCATCATCAGAAGAAAAGTACATCAACCCCGTCAAGATGGCCGCTGCCGGCTATGTCCAGACCTCCCTCATATGGGTCGCCTACGCCGTAGCAGTTGTCCTCGCCTTGATAGCTGCTGCCATCACCACCTTCACCTGGCAGACTCCCCGCGAGAGATCCGTAATCGTCAGTACGGTCGCCATCATCAGCATCACCGCTCTCCTTGCCACCGTCTTCCTCCTGCCCGTCGACATCGCCCTCGTTTCCTCGACAGCATCCACTGCCCTCGGTGCGAAGAAGGATTGGGCCACTCCGGGTCGAGTTAGAAACATCCTCTTTACGCTCAAGGTCGTCTACTACTCGCTATACAGCTTCGACGCGCTGCTATGTCTCATTGTCATACCCTTCTCCTACTTCTGGTACGAGGAATACGATGAGGTGGAGGAGCAGGAGGGAAACCAGACATTCGGGAGCAGACTCTGGGGTGCTTTCAAGTACACCATCGCCTTTATATTCCTCGTCGTCATCATCTTCCTTATTGGCTTCTTCGTGCCTGCTGCCGGAGACCGAAGCGGCAAACACCTCGACCTCGACTTCTTCAAGAGACTGTTGGATGAGAACCATGGCGAGAAGGCCTTGACCTTTGGGTTGGGACTTCTGATAACACTCGGAACGCTGTTGTACGTCCTCTACACTGGCGCTGGTCTGGCCCTTTTGCCTGTCTCGTTCATCAAATCGGCGCCTTCTGTCTCGGCACCGCAACTTTCGGAAAACACGGCATCGCAGCTCGAACAGAACAGGGAGCGTCAGAGACAGCTGGAAATGCGCAGTGCTGGCCGCTCAGAGGGGATGCCTACCAAGGACAGGCGCGAACTGGAGGCACTCGCTCGCGAAGAACGAACATTGGTGCGAAGGGAGCGATTGGCTGCCGAAGCCCAAGGCGAAGGCAAGAGTGCTATCGTGCGAGCCTGGACCAAGTTCTGTGCCGTTTTCCGACCGCTCAAGCTCATCGGAGGCATCCTCCTCATCTTGTTGGCACTTCTGGTCTGGGTTTCGATGTTGATTACCGGCATTGATAAAGCCGCGAACTCGATCTGCAAGCAACACTGCGGCTACATCCTCGCTCATATGAACGTCTTCCAGCCCGTCAATTGGATCTTTGTTCAGACCGCCAAGGCATTCCCGGTTGATTATATCCTCATGGCCTTCTTGATCCTGCTGTTCTTCAGCAGTTCTATCTCGGGGATCGCCACAATCGGAATTCGCTTCCTCTGGCTCCGCATCTTCGAAATCCGCAAGGGCAAGACCGCGCCCCAGGCCCTCTTGATGACCACCGTCATGCTGGCCCTCATCACGCTTGCTATCAATTATGCTATGGCCATGATAGTAGCACCACAGTATGCGACATACGGTACGCAGACCTTTTGTGATCTTCCTCCGCACCACCCAGACGAGCAACCCGACTGCACCAACCACCACGAGGCCGTGAAGCCGTGTTCCGAATGGGTCAACTCGCACAGCGCCATGGCGGTCTGCACCCCGACCGTCATGTCGACATTCTTGAACCGCATTACTCTGAACTGGCCCGTTTTTGGTGCTGTCGACTTCTGGGCGCAATTCGCGTTCCTGGGCGTGTTCTTGATAGTGTTCTTGACCTCGCTGTTCCGCACCCCGCGCCTGAACCTCAGCGACATGGACGAGGAGGCTGAGGCAGACGAGGAAGAGGGTTTGCTGGCGAGCACGGGTCGACGCTTTGGTGCGACCTGGCAAGACATCACGGGCAGGACAAATCACAGCACCGACGGTCCAGGTGTCGATAGCCATGTTTCAGGCTAGCTCGAACGAACGGTAATCACTGGTACGCTATTATGCTATCAGTACGGATGCCTAGGCAGATTGTTAAGGCAAGAAGGGCAAGAAACACGTGGGTGGATCAATGGAATGTTATACCCCAATATACGATAAGAGGATTGGAACGGTTTGGAGCGGCAGTTTGACAGGAACAAGCTATTGCTTTCCTTAAGGAATCGAGTGAGATTCTACTGCAAATGGCAGTGTCCGAATACTCTCTCCGGTAGGATCTTGGCCGTGGCGAAATTGAGCTGGCATCGATGTTGGAGTTCTGCATTGCTTCGTTGCTTACGTCTTGGTAGTATATATAACTGCTAGCATAGCCCAACCAACGTGTTTTCCCACCTGCGATTTTGCGACTAGCCATCGTTTCACCGAGTTGGCATTCAAGGCTTCTAAGAGGAATACTATGGAAGCTGAAGCTGGAGCTGATGTAGGCCGCAAGGGCTTAGACCTGACTACAAATGGGCTAAACGCCGCCTGCAAGATACAGCACATACCAACACTTGCTTACCGCCCTGTGCAATACAATACCACGATGGTCTGGGCCGTCTAGAGTCACTCGAATTTCCGCTTGTCCCTGGACCGCAAAGCCTGACCATACCTCGTCAGGAGCAGCGGGACGGGTACAAAGGCCAGCGCAACGGACCCCAACACCGAGTTCCCCCAGCCCAGCCCCAGGTTTTGGTATAGCGGCGGTCCCGCCGAGGATGGCTGTTGTGATGATGGGGAAGATGGGGTGGGTGTGGGTGTGGGAGGAGGAGGTCCAGCCGTAGATGAATAGGCCGATGGGCAGGATGATGCCTCCGAAGATGAGGGGCGGGAGGCGTTGTTCTGGTTGTGGTTGTGCGGTTGCGGACGCGGACGTGGACGCGGATGCGCGGCGGACATGGAGGTCGAGGGTGAAGCGGCAGAGGAAGACGCCTGTTATGCAGCCGAAACGTGTGGTTGGGGAACGTTTAGCTTCAACGGCGGTAATGGGGGATCATACAGTAACTCACCGAGGCCCAGAAAACTGAGGTCGACGACGCTCTCCGAGAAGTGGTACACACCCTCGAAGACGCCGGTAATGGTCGTCATGACCAAGTACAAATAGCCGTACACGACGCCGACGTACAGCTACATGACGAACAGGATCGGCGTCGTGCACAGCAGCTGCGTGGGCCGCACCAGGGCGTTGCGGAACACCTGCTGGCGCTTAGGAGTGTAGGGCGTGTAGAGGTTGGTGGTCTGCTGCTCGGTCTCGTACCGGGACCGCAAGAGCTCGCGGGGGTTGTTTGTTATCTGGCGCAGGCGCGCGGCTTTGTGGGCTAGGATCTGCCAGGCGTATGTCTCGCGCAGGAGCAGGAGGAAGGCGGCTTCGAGGGCGCTGGTGAAGATGGTGATCTGGTATTGAGCACAGGAGTCAATGAGCGCTCTTCGTGGGTATTATGGGTGAGAAGTATGGTGCTCGAATACATGTTTCGAAAACCAAAAGCTCATGGAACAGGCCCCAGTAGGGATTTCACTCCCACGACAGGCCCATAACGTTAAGTGAAGAAAGCTGCAGAACATGATGAATCCTGAATAATACACATACGAGCCAGAAGCATCAGCGCCAGCCCAGCTCGGAGCCGCCGACATAGCCACCGATAACGGGGCCGACGACGGGCCCGAGCAGCGGCGCCAGGTCGACCATGGCCATGGCGCGCCCGCGCTCCTCGACGCGGAACAGGTCGCCGACCATGCTGGGGTTGAGCGCCGTGCACACGACGACCATGCCGTTGAGGAAGCGGAACGCTACCAGCGCGCGGATGGACGTGCTCAGCGCGCACGCGGCCGAGAAGGCTATGCATAGGATGTTGCCCGCGTCGTACAGGTAATACCGCCCGTAGAGCTCTGATAATGGTGCTGCGATTAGCGGGCCTAGGATCTCGCCGAGCTCCCAGATGGACACGAGGAGCTGGCTGTAGAAACTGGTCGGAGGCTGCTGGAACGAGGAGAGGACTTGTGGGGTGATGGGAGCGCAGATGATGGTTGCGAGGTTTCTGGGGTGGGTGGTGTGAGTAAGTTAGGGGGTCAGCAGGCTGAGAGTGAGAGCTGTGTGTGTGTGTGTGTGTGTGTGTGGAAAGTGATCATATCAGAAAGAAGGTTATCGTCAACTCCCACTGCGAAGTCCAGGAGAGACGCCGGCGCGATGAGAGACCACTTGAGCCTCGGGCTCCAGTTCTGCGTGTTGGTGAGATCGGTCTCATCTCCAAAGTCGATGATGTTCGTCTGGACTGCGTTTTCTCCTGGGTCCCTTGAGCGTCGTCGACGACGACGGGTGGGCTTTCTCCATTGCGTCTGTGGTAACATTATCTACCACGCCGCTCCGCTTGGTGACATCGTCGGCGGTCGTCTCGACATTCTCGACATTCTCCATCGTCTTGGATAGAGGTTGGCGAGCAACTTCCGTCTCGCTATCGTAGTCTAGAATTCCGTCTACAAAGGCTTGCGTTTGAGATGAAGCTGTGAGCATGGTGTCTCCGCAGCATTCAATTATCACATGTCACCTGATAAGATCTGCTGGTGGTGTCCGGCTTCCGGGCCCAGATATTGGCTCGTCCTACGTCCGTGAGAAGGGAGCGGGGAGGTGCATCGGTATCACGCGAGATGATGCATGTAACCCGCCGTGTTATTTGTTATATTAGGAAGGTGAGCGGCACTGTGCTACATGTATTTGCCGGCGGATGTAAGGGATCGCGTCCCAATTGGCGATTTTAATATTTCTGGTCATCCATACCATGACAGCTACCTAGATAAGCTTTGCTGTTGGTGTGTTGCACTCTTCCAAGCTATCGTACACGAACCAAGTCACCGCAAACATCAGAGTCCGACCGTGACCTACCAGGCTATAATGCGGGTCGGATTGGCCGGATTGCGAGAACGATATGTGCTGGGGCAGTGAATGCTCTCTTCGGTTCGTTGTTGGCCGCTGCGTCGCGCGTGGCGATCAATTTCATCGCCACTGGCTTCGCCCGTGATGAGATAGGTAGGATCAGTTGACTACTCTCCCGTGTATAATGTTATCCGTGTAAAATGTTAAGGGCGCGTCGGGATCGAGGTGGCAAGAGAGGCAAAAGAGGTGTTTGTTACCGGTGGTCGGCATTCGAAAGAAGATTCGGGGGCAGCGAAGTTGAATCTTTCGGAAACGGGGCTACCCACAGTCTTTAAAAGAAAGAAAGAGAAAGAAAGGATCTGGTCTCTCTATTAAGTCCCGGCCCGGTGTCCCCTTGCTCCACTAGAGTTAGCCACCTGAATAACGGCGAAGCCCGTGTCTAATGCAATATATATTTTAAGATACCCATCGCAACTGCCGGTGGGCGATGGGGAGAGAGAGGGTGGCCGACATGTGGCAACCTTGTGACTCGAGGATTCTCGGTGGGCGCAGAGGATGAAAGGGTCCACCCCTTCTCGAGGATCCTCAGATAAGGCCAGTTGCCGTCTCGCCGATTCCGATTTTGCAATTCCTTCTTCACACCGAGCTTATAGCTTATTGTTCCTTTGCGACCACACGTCATATACTCGATTAGGAATAAGGGTTCAGTATACCGTAGACACGGAGCAAGGACAGTCACATTCAACTGCGTATAAGAATCTGCCCTTTCTCGTAGTCAAAGTGAGGTATGCACAATATTCAACTCAACTGCTTTGATCTCCTCTTTCAATTCCTCGCTTCTTCTACTCCCCAATCCCATCTACACAATACCTACCACCACCATGCTCCGTCCCAACGCCTTCCTCGTCCTCTTCACCCTCCTGTTCAGTTTCATCTTTACACAGGCCGCCGTCCTTGACCACACCAAGCATCCCAGAGCCGGCGGCGTAGAGAACTCCGCCGCAGAATGGCTTCCGGCAGAACTCGTCGCCATGGTAGCCGAGTACCAATCCTACATATGGCGCACCACCGTCTGGCAACCACTTGTCGCGAGGGTCAAGGAGCACAAGCTGGGCGAAGTTTCCAAGGCGGTCAAGGCCAACGAGCCCCTGCCGGAAGCGTACCGGAAAGAACTTCTGAACATCGCAGGAGCGGCTGCCATCGGATTGCTAGGTGAGAAGGAGATGCAGGCAGTGGGGATCCTAAGTCTGATTCGGAATATGAAGGTCACGAAGGAAGAGGTGTTCAAGTCCGAGGGCGATGAGGACGGGGAGGTCTATACTGAATTTCACGATGCGATTCTCCGCGGCGAGCCCAATCAAGTCAAGGATCTGATTAAAAAGCACAATAAAGACGGCAAGCGCCTCTCCCCCGAATTGAAGCAACAGCTTGTGTCGCAAGCATCAGAAGTCCGTAAGGCGGAGAATTTCTACACTGGGGGAAAGGCGAACATGGAAAGCATTGAGGAGCAACTTAGCCGGATTCGTACGACCTAATACTTGCGGTGGCCAACTTATCATATTCGGATACTAAGCACCAAGTCGGTTTTCAAAACCTGCTGCAATCCCGACTATATTCAGACTGTAAGGAGGCATGGAGGGAAGAAAACATGGATGGAAGAAAGCATGGAGTGTGACGGTGTAGAGCTGTATCCACCTGGTTGGATGCTGAGTCATCAGGTCACGTGTAGATTAGATAACGAGATTTGGACCATATGTGCTGCAGCCTCGGCTGTACGCACAACTGTTCCTTTTCTCTCCCACCTTGTTATTTTCGGAATATAACACCAGTGTCCAGCACACCGCCGCAGGCTTCGTGACATGGAGGGAAAAGGCGAAGAGGCGAAAAGGCATAGACGGAAACAAGAACGTATCTATGTACATGTACATCGCTTCCACGCCTAATTAGTACTGCATCATCCGTCACCTCATATCCAGTGCCGACCAAGGTCACCGCGTCTCTGTATGTTCCTGTGAATTTCCTGCTCGCAAGTACTGTTTACCTCATTCCTCATGGGAGGCTTGTAGACGAAAGTTGGCAATTAAGTATCGCGTAGTATGCCAGGATCGTATCCTAGTTTTCAGCAAAACAGTACTCTGCAAAGCCCTGCTAGTATCTCAGGATCTGCCGGTGCAGCCCCTTTTTTCTCCGAGCTCACTCTTCTCAACGAACCCGAACCACCACCGGCTTCCATGCCTTTGACACTGGGTAGAGGTCGGGTACTTGTCTGTCATGCGGGTGGTGATTGTGAAGGCGAGATTTCATATACTATATATACTCCGTCCAGTATTCTAGATACTGCTCTCTCCTCGGGCCAACAAGCCCTCCTCTGCAACCTCCTTCCTTGGGTATCTTGCCCGAAGAATCTTTGGTCCGTACATCGGCACCCTTCTGAAGCAAGTACTCTGCCACTTTGATAGCTCCACACTTTGCAGCTTCGTGAAGGGGCGTATTGGCCACCTGCGGGTCAACAATATCCGGATAGGGCAGCTCATTCACATCAGCCTTTCCCACCTCGACGAGCAACTTCGCCTTCTCTAGACTTCCCTGGCTGCTGCTGAATACAGCGCCATGAACGTAGCCTGCGCTCCATGAGCCAGCAATGTCTTCATCGCCCCCATGTCATCGCGCCTCGGTAACCAACCAGCGTCCTCGTGAATCAGTACCGTTGGCCAGGAAGTGGCCGAGTACGGCGACATTCTGGTCATGACACCTGTTATTGCGTACTTTGGGCTACTGGCTGTAAACGAAGTGTAATAACCAGTTTATTGAGAGATAGACAAGAAAGGAAGGTGGGTGGTTCGATTCCACCTTCGGGCTTCTTTTTATTTAAAAAAATCTTCTTCTTCAAAGACGAACTTTCTAGTCCTGCAAGTTTGGCGAAATCAATCATGTGCAAAACTTCTCCCGGACTAGTCCAAGTTATTATTGCCTGGGATGTTAGAACTGATACACGTTCCTCTCGCGACCGACCGTGCCTTTTAGCTGTTGCTCATGTTGTTGTGGACAGCATTACAATGTCGACGGGTGCGGATCCTTGCATCTCTCGTTAGTCTTCTCCAATCACCCAGCACGGCCTCCCGCGGTAGACGGAACACACCACGATGATTGTGTACTTGTCGACCAAGACATTGCCATCCTCGTTCCTCTGGAAATGCATCCACGCCGCCCAGGTAAACGTTGGCTTTGCCACTGAGCGACACGTTGTCGCTCCGCCCGTGGAGCAGGATCTCTTCCGCCTGGTGTCCAAACGGGAACACGGCGTAGGCAGTGTGGTGGCCCTCTTAAGGGTTTGCGATTTGGTTTTATTTTTAAGCTCTTCGACCGAATAGGGGAGCCAAACCCAAATACCCCAAAAAAAAAAAAAAGCAGAGCCCCCGTGCTGTACGCTAAGCCTATCAAAATAAAACGCCACAATCATCCCAATCCACCAAAACCTGTACCACGCCTTGGTGACCCGGTCGACGAGGGGTAATGGGAAATCATTTTCAGCAGCTTGTCATTGCACAAGTGAGTTACGGTGGTGCCCATGGTCTTGGCGGAGAAAGAGAGAAGATAGGAGCTACCTACTTTGTCGCCCTTGACGTTGGACGTGCCCTTCTTCAGCTCGGCATCCTCTGTGAAGTGAGTTGCACAAAACTCGCTAGCGACAGCACCGTACAGCGACGTAATATCGTTCTTGATCCCCGGGTCGAGAACACGTCGTCACACGCGAAGGTCTTGGGGAAGGACGTCGTCCACTTCCACACGGGTGTTCGCGAGGTCTACCCCGACCGCATCTTCGCTTTTGGCTACACGCCGCTGTACGCCTACGCCAAGGCGGGCTTCAGCGCCGAGCAGATCCGCTTCCTGGGCGGTCGACGACCTCGCCAAGATAGGCATCATCTGGCAGGTGCAGCCTACGTGGGCGGCCAGCGGAATCAACATGCACATCGAAGACTTTGCGCGGGTCTGGCAGCGCAACGGCATTGCGGGATACCTCGAGACGGTGGCGAGGCCGTCAAGGGAACGGACGCCGCTTGTGGATGACTTCTAAAAGCTGGGATGTGCGGGTTCCTATCTGGCCACGCCTACTTTGTTAACGTTGCGGGTAGGGGCATTGCGCTGCAGTGACATCGGGAAAGGATGAAGATGGTCAACTCTGGCACTGGGGTTGCGGCATTAGAGGCCAGTAAGACGGTTATCAACCTTGCCCATAACATAGCTGCTTGTGGCCGCAGTCCAACCAATCGTGTATTAAGTAGATATTAAGTAGGAAGCACGGTACCGTTGTATCGTTCTGGCCCGTTTCCCATCATGACCGCTTCGGCTTCGGCTTCGGCTTTCTCCATATGACGGTAATAAAACCCTGGCGACGATGACCTCGTTTCGGGTTTTCTGCCCATCAGACCTGAAGTGATTCTTCCAAGTGTAACTCCTAGCAACCACACTTCCAAAATAACGGAACCTTACTCTGCGTACATGCAAATTCTGATAGCGTCTTCTCTTCAACGTCAACCTTTTGACATTTACTGTTGCACCTGTTCCGTCCCAACCACCGCGTTCCGCACGTTGCGCCGCAATCGCATTGGTACCCATGTCCGTCATGGAGCTTGCAGTTTTTCTCGGCATTTGGGCATTTGGATTTACAGTCATCCTCGAAGTTTTCCATCTGCGCGTCGTTGTCCATGTCGCCGTCCGTGTCGTCGTCGTCTCGATCCTTTCGCCACCATTTGCCGCACTGGGCCCAGTCGCCGTTGTCGTCTCGCATGAAAATTTCGCGGGCGTCGCGCGCGGGGTTGATGTTGCTGCGCACCCCGGGGCTCGAAGAGGCGCCCAGAATGAACGGCAGCGCGAATATGAGATACCTAGTCGCATTGGGAAGATGCATGTTGGCGGTCGCTTTGTAGTTTGAAGCTCGCTGGGTGGCGATGTTCTGAGATGGTAATCGGTCGTGTGCTTCGAATGTGGACGACGAATTGACGAAGACGAGGTTTATTACAATTGGTGTCCCGTTATAGGTTCTGCCATCGGGGTATTATGACCGGTCCAAGGATTGAAATAGGATGATCATACATCAGCGTGCATCAGTCAGTCATTGCATCATTCTACTGGCCCGTAGGATTGTTTCTATTGATGGTAACGAGGATCTGGCATCGTGGGCCGGTGTTCCTTACAGTGGACCACGAGGAGGCAGATTCGCCGACCCATAGGATCTAGCCCTACCTTGTATGCCATCCTACTTGACATTGGAGAAGAGGGCATGCCCAGGCCAGATGAAAGAAGACGCTTAGAAGGATCGAAGGAAGAAGCCTGCGACGGCATCGACAGGATGAGATGACGTTGATTTCGCAGTCCGAGCTTTCAGATCGTGCCGGGCCATTGATCTGCCCAAGGATGGCATCTTCGTGTCAGAAGTAGGTGCGCGGTCGCTTGCTTAACAGCTGCTACACGATACTGGGGATGACAATCTCACCGAGAATCTCATCCAGCATTTAAAGGAAGGGTGTGTCAGAGATGTAGTACTGTGTTTTTGATGTCTCGCATCGGCTTGTCCCGCGACAAGCCGTCCCGGGGCGAAACGTCGCCACACTCGGCCGTATCCGCAACAACTCATCCAGGTGTATACACTACTCAACTGCCTTCCGCTATAGACCTCCCTCCTCCCTCGTGCGCAACCAAACTGTCATAGTGGGAAACGTTATCATGGTGACAAGAGCGAGATTCGATTAGGACCAGACCGGGTTCGAGGCGCGGTGGTAGATTAATACCCGACGCACTAACTCGAGTGGAACTAACAGATAGGCAGATAGGTTTAGTATGGATCAAGGAGTGCCGGCAAGATGGCGGAGTGGTGGGTGGTATCGGTACAACATCGAAACCAAACATGACGAACATTATTAATACCCTGGTACTGAGCTTTGATAGTCTTGCTGCCGTCTTCCAAGCTGCTTGATCTTTGAGGCAGTCAAGTCACCGAACGAAGGGCAATCGCGCCGGCGACGACAATGTCTACTTCCCACGTTTCCAACGGCGTTGGCTACGTCGCCCAGGCCGTGGCAAATGCCCACGCGGACTACGTCGCGCGCAATCCCACCTCCGCGAAAGCTCACCAAGATGCCCACGTGCACATGCCCGGCGGGAACACCCGCACCGTGCTCTACTCACAGCCGTTTCCCATGGCCATCAAGTCCGGGTCCGGCAACACGATCAATTCGGCTGATGGCGCCAGCTACGTGGACTTCCTGGGCGAGTTCAGCGCTGGCCTCTTCGGGCACTCCAACCCGCGCATCGCCGAGGCCGTCACCGAGGCCTTGAAGTCGGGCTGGAACTTTGGCGGCGAGTCCCTCTACGAGAAGGAGTTGGCACGCAAGGTTACGGAGCGCTTCGCAGCCTGTGGACTGGAGGTCGTCCGGTTTACCAACTCGGGGACCGAGGCCAACACCATGGCCGTTGGCGCCGCGCTCGCGTATACTGGCCGCAAGAAGGTCATGGTCTTCACCAATGGCTACCACGGAGGTACATTCACTTTCCCCGTGGACCTCTGCCGCTGGATGCATGCTGGATGCTCGGGGCCGCCGCCCTGTCAAACCATGAACCTCCCGCATGAGTTCGTGGCGACGCCTTACAATAACGTCGCCGAGACACGCGCCATCATCGACGGACTGCCAGAGGACTCCCTGGCCGCAATCCTCATCGAGCCTGTCCAGGGATCGGGTGGCTGCCGGCCCGCCACGACCGAGTTCTTGACCTTCCTGCGACAGAAGGCGGACAACTTGGGTGCGCTACTGGTTTTCGACGAGGTGATGACCTCCCGTCTAGCTCCAGCGGGACTCGGCGCCAAGCTGGGAATCAAACCCGATTTGATGACGCTCGGGAAATGGCTGGCAGGGGGCATGACGATCGGCGCGTTCGGTGGGCGACGAGACATCATGCAAATGTTCGACCCGGCCTCGGGCTCCAAAAGCCTCATGCACTCCGGCACTTTCAACAATAATGTCGTCAGCATGGGCGCGGGCATTGCGGGCTTGGATATCTTTGATGCGGCCAAAGTCGAGGAACTGAATGCTAGGGGTGATCGCTTGAAGAAGGGCGTCACGGACCTGCTGCTTGATACGGGTATTTATCCCGAGAAGGAGGCTCAGTATCTCGGAGATGTCCTGGAGGTGGATAGTTTCGAGACCAACACCAGGTTATACACCGGCTCTGGCGAAACATCTAGCCTACCCCCATTGCTAATTTCCAGTGGGGGCAGCATGCTGAACGTACGTTTCACCGGCACCGATGCCGCTCTCTGGCACAACCTCTACTACCACCACATGCTGAATAGAGGTATATACTTGGCCGCCCGGGGATTCACGCCTCTAAGTCTCGAAATCACGGACGAGAATGTGGATATGTACGTTGGCGCAGTCAAGGAGTTCTTGGATAAGCATTTGGAGTCCTTGCGTTGAGCACGTAGACAGGATGATTGCAGAGGTCCCGTTGAGGTTGCACTATGTACGCATTTAGCAACTCCGGAGTTTCAAGCGCCGTCTCTTTCGAGAGGATGGTGTAATTATGCGCATGCTGGCCGAAGTCGTAAACGTCACGGCACGTCAGAACTTCATCCCATGTACTGCTCCCGTTCATCTGGTACACACATATCAATGAAGCTGAGGTGATGCCCGCAGCTCGAATGATTGATTTGCCGACGAAGGGGTTATACACTCAGCCCTCAAAAGTCTCCGTACGCGCATGTTGGCAACGTTCCAGACCACTAGTAGGATAGTTGGAAATACTGGAATAAACGCCCTGGAATAAGCGTCAAGCATGGCCAATAAAGGTCAAACTGCTTATTCCTGTGTGCTTATCCCGATTTGATGAATATACCATTGCTTGTTGGAAAGCCGAGACTCATGAGGGTTCAATGTACCTTACTGAAACTTCCCAAACGTAATATGACTCTTGTTGCCAAATGTTTGGGAATGAGACCAACAGGTCAAGCTGAAGCGACAGTGTGTCGGTCATTCTAGTGGGGGATTTTGCGGGTGCGTACAAAGCAAGAATTGGAATCGTATAAAGAAAGCTGTACCAACAGAGCTGCTGCGAATAGGCAATGCTGTGGCCTGGATCTGCTCTTGTCCAAGTTCAGCGTTTATATAGGTGCCTCAGGCAATGAACTAATAATATGCACTCCGGCCTTTTGGGGCGGTTGCCCGGCACCACTACAGAAACCGATACCTGGGAGCTTCCCTTGGTTTGAAAATTTTCATGTCGAGAGATCTACAACCACGAGATACAACACGACGATCAACACCACACGCACACACACACACACCCAACCAACCATCTTCCCATCCACAAGAATTCCGAGTAAGTAAGCTACAGCATAGCGATCCCTGTACCGCGTCACTTTGCCACATGGAATGCCTCGCGGAGGTCCAGTGACCCAGCGTCCTCAACAGATGATGTCCAATCTTGGATTCGACGGCTCGCTGACCTGAACATCGAAGTACACACCCATATGATGTCCATTCCCGACGTGGGAGTATGGCAGAGCAGCTGGACGCACCCTACTGATACGAGCGTGGGCGCATTCGAAAGGACAAGGAACTCGCGATGGATGCCACCTTCCAGCTATCTCAGAACTTCACCGAAATCCTGAACCACATATTCCCTTGTTTCAAAAGCAGTACTCGCAAGCCCGTGTGTTCTGGACCCGTATATCTGGACGTACCCTCGCAACTTCTGGTGCTGACTAGCTACCTGTGTCTGATCGAAACTTACGATAAGCTAACTCCGACTTGAAGAATGAGTGCACGATCGCCATCGTGAGTGATGTGAGTCGAGTAGATGGGCTGTCTGGGTGAATTCAAGCTTCTTGGCTGGGGAGTAATCGAGATTCGAGCAGCCACAGTGACGAGTATGATGAGGACAGAACGCCGGGGATGTTGCAGTGTAAGGGCACTTCGTTGGGGGCAGTGCTTCGGAAGCCAGTCGACTAGCGCTTTATAGCATCAACTGCAAGACGAATGAATGCGTAGACCGTTTTTCTCTGGATTACAGCTCTGCTCGAGATCACCATTAGGTTGTGCTCCAACCCCAGCTATATTCTATGGGTCTAGGTTCGGCACCCCGTAGACAACCACGGCGCCACCCGCGTTGCTGCACCTCATGACTATAGTGCTTACGAGGGCCGAAAGTGCAGCGACTTACTTCTGACATGCATACGGGACACAGCTTCCGTTGCGTTCCAGTAGTATAGCGCTTACCCGGACCGAAAGTCTGCATCTGGCAGGATCGACATGCTTGCCATATAACTAGATATCGTGGTGGAAATTGCCGAAAGTTTTCGGGCACTGATTAGTCAAAGGCACGTAGGCAGTAAGGTCATGAGTCATAGCTTCTCGGAACCACGAGGTGGGTGTCGGGTCCGAAGCAGCGCGTGACAACACTGAATGCTGAATACTCGCGGTTGTGCATGTTTTGCCACTCCATGGTACGAAGCTGGCCTCATTGCTGACCCATGAAAAGGAGGCATGTGCGATGCTAGGATCCTAGGGCTCCCTGACAGAAATTCCTCACGCGTAACTAGGAAAACCGAGACCTGAGCTAGAAGGGCTCCAACGGAGCAAAGGTTTCGATATATATCAGCCAACCCTAGCCTCGCATTGTAATGTAACCTGCCCTTCTTGCTCATATGGCCAGGCAAAGTCTACGCAACGACCCGGGCTTTTTCTTCATGATTAGTTCCGTCTCCCCAGCCTCATCATCCATCTAAGAAACTACAGAATGGCCTAAGTTCACGCCCCGCGGGAGCCCATCGCCATCATCGGCGCAGGCTGCCGTTTCCCAGGTGGTGCGAGCTCGCCATCAAAGCTATGGGACCTCCTTCGCGAGCCTCGCGATGTCTCCAAGCGGAACCCCGACTCCAGGTTTGACCCTGCTGGATTCTATCACCCAAATGGCGAGCATCACGGTGCCAGCAACGTTACCAAGTCGTATTTCCTCGAAGACGACCCGAGGCTGTTCGACTCCGTCTTCTTCAACATCACACCAAGGGAAGCGGAGGCGATTGATCCCCAACAGCGGGTGCTGCTCGAGACCGTCTACGAAGCTATGGAGTCGTCTGGTCTCACGCTCCAAGCTTTGAGGGGCAGCCAGACGTCCGTTTACGTCGGACTGATGACATCGGATTATACGGATACCCAGGCCCGTGATCCCGAGAACTTCTCGCAGTATATGGCCACGGGAACTTCGAGAGCCCTGATATCCAACCGCCTGTCCTACTTCTTTGACTGGAAAGGACCTTCAATGACGATTGATACGGCGTGTTCTTCCAGTCTGACTGCAATCCACCTGGCAGTTCAAAGCCTACGAAGTGGCGAAAGCACAGTCGCCTGTGCTGCTGGCGCCAACTTGCTCCTGACCCCGGACTTGTTCATCGCGGCAACAAGTCTTCACATGATCTCGCCATCCGGGAAGTCTCAAATGTGGGACGAAGGGTGTGTAAAATTTCGAGTCTCTTATATCTACATATGGCCATGTCCTGGGCGCGAATTTCCTCTTCTAGCCTGTGTCAAGAGCCCTGCTCCCTAGACACGCGTTACGACTCTTCGTTTCTCGGCAAAACATCTAAAAGGAGTAACTACTGACACTGATTTTGCAACAGTGCTGACGGATATGCGCGGGGTGAGGGGTTATCAGCTGTCTTTCTGAAAACTCTGTCCCAGGCGCTCCGAGATGGCGATCGGATCGAAGGTCTCATCCGAGAGACTGGTTTCAACTCAGATGGAGGGACACAGGGCATTAAGCTTCCAAGTCCCGAGGCCCAGGCTGCATTGATTCGGGCAACGTACCGGAACGCTGGCTTGGATCCAGTGTCTGACCGTCCCCAATACTTCGCAGCACACGGTACAGGTAGGCAGTTTTCCCGTTGAAGTAATGTTCAAGAAGCCAATGCTAACATGTTGTCTCGCAGGTACTCAGGCTGGTGACCCCAGAGAAGCATCGGCCATCAGCCAAGCCTTCTTCCCACCCGACAAGATTCATGAAGACGGAGCGAAACTCCTCGTCGGGTCCATCAAGGTAAGCCATCTATTGCCATATTTTATCTCAGCCCTCGTGTCACATTGGCCTCTCATAAATATACGCACGTACCCCCCGACGAAAGCTCAAAGTATCATAACTTTTGATTTTTCTCCATTGTCATAAAGATACAGTGCGGGACTTCTGGCCTACCACATTGGCTGACGACCTTGCTTTCAAGACCATCATAGGGTACACAGAAGGCTGCGCTGGCGTTGCTGGCGTGTTGAAGGCTGTCCTAGCAATGAGAAATCGAACAATTCCACCGAACCAACACCTGCTAAACCTCAACTCAAGCGTGGCACCGTCTTATAAGCATCTGTTGGTGCCGACTACAGCGACTCCATGGCCGCCAGTCCCTGCTAACCACCCCCTCCGTGCGAGCATCAATAGCTTTGGCTTCGGTGGTACGAACGCCCATGCCATTGTGGAGACATACGAGCCGACTGTCCACGATATCGGACCATGGGGAATCAAGTCGAAATTGTCGAATCAGGACCCCGTTGATGAACCAGACGCCCAGAGTCATCGTGATTTCACTTCCGTACCTCTGGTTCTCTCCGCCAACTCCGAATCGGCGCTTGTCGCCATGGTCGAGAGATACATCGAGCTTGCCCAGGGAGACGACATCTCACTCGGTGCTTTGGCACATACGCTGTGCAATCACCGTAGCACCTTGCCCCAGAAAGTGTTCTTCTCCGGCCCTACGAAGGGTGAAGTCCTTCAAGCAATGCGGACAACACTGGACAAGGTTAAAGGGGCCCAGGGAGTACTCATGGGCTCGAGGTCTTTATTCACCAGCGAGGCAGGGTCCGGGACGAAGTCACGGGTGCTCGGCGTCTTTACCGGTCAAGGCGCCCAATGGCCTGCCATGGGTAAAGCCATCATCCAGAGCTCGCCGGTCTTCGGGCGCATTATCCAGGACCTGGAAGAATCGCTGGGCCAACTTCCTGATGCGCCTGGGTGGTCGCTGAGAGAGGAGTTGTTAGCCCCGGCCGCCAGCTCTCGCCTTGGTGAAGCGGCTCTGTCCCAGCCACTTTGCACGGCTATCCAGATCGGCTTGGTAGACCTCCTCAAGCACGCAGGCGTGTCGTTCGATGTTGTCGTCGGCCATTCATCGGGCGAGATTGGTGCAGCATATGCCGCAGGTCGTTTCTCTGCAAGCGACGCCATCCGGATTGCTTATTACCGGGGAGTCCATGCCCAGCTTGCTCAAGGAAGCAGAGGCCAGAAAGGCGCCATGATAGCCGTTGGTTTCGGCTTCAAAGAGGCCTTACAATTTTGCAACTCGTCCTCAACGAAGGGCCGTCTTGCTGTAGCAGCGAGCAATTCACCGGGTAGCGTCACTCTCTCCGGAGACCAGGACGCCGTGGACGAAGCGAAGCAGGAACTTGACGGCAAGGGACTGTTATCACTCCCATCACATGCAAGCGTGTGGCGAGGCTTACATGGCCTCCTTGCGGTCGTGCAACATCCAAATACGCGAACTTCAGTCTCGGTGTACCTGGATTTCAAGCGTCAGCCCGGGACTCGAGATGGGGAATGACATGAATGCCCGCCTCGCGGATTCTTACTGGAGAGATAATATGGCCCAGACCGTGCTTTTCTCCCAGGCCTTGGAAGCTGCCATGGATTTAGGAAACATTGATGTCGGGCTCGAGGTCGGACCCCACGCGGCATTGCGCGGACCTGCGCTTCAGACCACCAAACAGGTCTCCGGCTCGGAAATTCCGTACGTGGGTGCGCTGGACCGCAAGAAGAATGAGGTTGCGGCTCTCAGCGATGCTTTGGGTTCGATCTGGACAAGTCTGGGCCCAAGCGCGGTCGACCTGGCACGATATACCTCGGCGTTCACGCAAGATGGCAGGCCGCTGTCTTTTCAACCCCTAGGCTCTCTACCAACGTACCCCTTCGATCATCAGACCATTTTCTTCAGAGAAAGTAGAATCAACAAGCAGTTCCGGTTGCGATCTGACCCGCCTCATGAACTTCTTGGCACAAGGACCCCAGATTGCACAGCTTGGGAACCAAGATGGAGGAACTTCTTCAAGACAGAAATGTCCTGGTTGAAGGGTCACCGAATTCAGGGCCAAATCGTCGTTCCCGGGGCTACTTACTGCGTCATGGCATTGGAAGCCGCGAAGGCCCTCTGCAAAGGCAAAAATACCAGCCGTTTCGAGCTGCGTAACATCAAGATTCTCAGACCCATTAGCCTTGATGAATCATCTGAGGGCGTCGAGACCTTGTTCTCCTTGAGAAGTGATATAGACTCACTCAAGGGAGGAGAGGGTTTGGTACATGCCGACTTCAGCTTGAGCGCAGCCAATGTCTCGGACGGAAACATGAGAATGATATGTAGCGGAGAGATCCGAATACATCTTGGAGAGCCTGACTCGACCGCCTTCCCTACCAGGCCCCTACAACCCCGGACCGAGCTATTGTCGATGAATGTGGACCGCTTCTATTCGGCTCTGGACAGACTTGGTCTCAACTACTCTGAAACTTCAGAGGTTTAACGCACGCCGACAGGCGGATGGATATGGCTACCGGTGTCGTGTCCGTTGACAGGGATATCTGCGGCGACATTCCAGTCCATCCAACCTGACTAGATGTATGCTTCCAGTCAATGTTCGCAACCGTTGGATCTGCAGATGACGGATCCTTATGGACTGCATTCCTCCCAACAAGCATTGGTCGCATTGTGGTTTCCCCTACCGCCGGGCATGCCGCCACGCTGACGGGCTCATCCGTCACAGTGGACGCTTGCCTTACGGAGTTTGCGCCGCCTTCTCCCGGATCAATGTCGACGATCCGCGGGGACCTGAAAGTGTTCAGCGCGTCTGATGCACGGCTGGAGATACAGATCGAAGATCTGACGATGACTTCCCTAGTACAGCAAGTCCGGCTGATGATCGCAAGCTCTTCTTGAAGACAGTTCTGCGGCGGGACATCCTCGACGGTGCCGATTTCGATACAGAATGGTCGGAATACGACCCGACGGAGAAGGAGACAATCGAGGCATGCGAAGCTGCTGTTACTCTCCTTCACGCAGATATAGTCCGAACCTTTCCACCCATCGGCGGTGTAGTCAATGGCGCCATGGTACTCTCAGACGGATTACTCGTCGACATGACCTTCGATAGCCTGCAAAAGGTTATGAAGCCGAAAGGAGTGGGCTCCAGCAATCTAGATGATCTCTTCAGAACACAGCCGCTTGACTTCTTCCTGATGCTATCTTCGCTATCAGCGGTTGTGGGTATGGCCGCTCAAGCGAACTACGCCGCCGCGAACCAAGTAAGTATAGCCCAAGACCTCAAGCTGGTGCTCATCTGACCTCGCTCTACTCGACAGTACAGACCTTCTTTTAAAATTATTTTTCTTGGCGCCCACTGTTAGTGGGTAGCCTACCCCAGCCAGCCATTACGCTAACAGACGCCTCCATCTGGCCAAAACACCAAGCCCCGGATCTCACGATCCTCGCTATGGCTTACCAGCCATTAGCTGCCGCCGTCCCTGCGACACCTCCCATGGGGGACAGCGCAGCGCAGCGGCACCCCCCGCCCCTCAGCTCAGCCGGGTGTCTGAGATCGCTCCACACGCGGAGAAATTCATCACGATGGGCCCCAATCCTGATGGTGCTTTTAAGAAGGGATAATAAGGACAAGAATAACGCTGTCTCCGGAACAGCCTCTGCCCCCATCAGCCTCTTTACAAAGCCTGATGGTCTCAGAGCCTCCATACATGCTACCCAGGCCCAAAACTCGGCCTTATAAGCCCTGCACCAAGCAGTAAATAAACGACGCCGCAAGGAAAAAATTCAAACGGATATCCTGGAACTCGTCGCCGGATCCCTCGACACAATCGTCGCGACCGTGGCAAAGGACCCAGAACAGCTGGCCTACGCCCAACAGATAGCCACCAGCTTTTCCCAGTTCCTCCGCACGAACGTATTCACCAACAGCGAAGGACAGGAGCCGGCAGGAACAGGACCCCTGCGCAGCAAAAGAGGTACCCAAGCGCACCCCACCACAGACCCAACAAAGACCACAAACAACCCCCCGTACGACCCACGTATGCAGGGGTCACCGCAAATGGCATCCAGCCCCAGGCAGCTGGAAACGGCCCTAAGAAACACGCCGGGACCAGACCGCCGACGCAGAAAGAAGACCTCCGTATCTTCATAAGGCTTCCAAAAGACCAGCTCGGCTGGTCGAGAACTATCAGCACATACGCCCTTCGGAAAACTATCACCAAGGAACTAAACCTCGTGGCTTCCGATGTGGCAGATGCACACAGAATCCCTACCGGCTTGTCTCTTCGACCAAGAGATAAAACTGCACAAGGAAGGATCCTAGCATAAAAGGCAAAACTAGCTCAGCTCACAAAAGCCTCTACAGTAGAACTACCCGTTAAGTGGTATACTTATGCCCTCCCGAACTGTCCAACTAGACTTACCAACATGGAACTTGAAGACGTGGAGATCACATCAGAAATAACCCTAGATGAATGCGAATTCCAGACTGGCCGCCGCCCGGTTAATACACGCATATCAAAAAACGGTCTTAACGACTCTGGCCAAGTCACATGGCTCGTTTTGTTCACTGAGAAAGTAAGAGCCTTTAGAATCTTTGGCCTCTATTCAAGGTCTAGGCTTATCAAAAAAAAAAGCCCTCCCTTACAACATAACCCAGGATGCCAAGGTTGGCACCCTGCATGGCGGTGTGCCCGCCCTAGCCGCTGTGAGAGGTGCGGGACACCGAAAGACGAAAGGCACGTATCTCCATGCACGCTCCCCCCTCAATGTGCCAACTGCATGGGGCCCGAAATCTCAATACATGCAAACTGCCCAGCTAGACCTAAGAGAATAGGAGGCCAGTTGGTCCACCCCTCGAGCCAGGAAAGGAAGAAGCTCAGGAAGTCATGTCTAAAGCTCTACAACAAGGTAAACGCTATAAGGAACCCACCAGCTCCTCAAAGCCTAGCCCCGGTACTGGCCGCACTCTCTCAAGAAGAAACCACACCCAGCCCTAACATCCGAGCCATGGACAGTATCATAGTAGCAAGTGTGAACACACCCAAAATCAACCTCACAGACGGTGAATCCACGTCAGAGGAGGGGCTAGACGAAGTCGACAACCTAGACAAGGAGGATACGGAGATGACCGGTCTATCCCCTCTCCCAAAAGAATCACAGTAGGGCACAGGATCCGTAAAGAGACCTCGCCGCCAGCAGAATCAAGTCGACTATACTGGTAATAATGTCAACCCAGCCTTCGAGTGTCACTCAGACCTCCGGGACTAGGCTCCCCCGGGTCTCTAACCAGAGACAAGGCGGTCAGGGGCACCGCAGACAGAGGATCAGTCCTTTCAGAATTGCTCAAAGAAACGTCCAGAAGATGCACGAATCACACGCGGCTCTCCTACAGAACTGTTGCGAGGCGGACATAGACATGGTCCTGATTCAAGAACCATGGGTCAGTGTAGATGGGAAATGTTGCTATAGCTCCCACCCCCAATACGACGCATACGTTCCGATAGACCATTGGGAGGGTACATTGAACAGGCCAAGAGTTCTGTCATACGTACGAAAAGACGCCAGACTCGAGACATAACAAAGCAGGTCAGCCCCGTCCAGAGACATCATCTGGCTCATAATAAACAGAGTCACACTTGTGAACTTCTATCGCCAAGGAGAGGAAGCACTAGACCTGCTGCTTACCTGGCCACCTCCTGCCCACTGCGTAGTAACAGGAGATTTTAATGTAAATAACCCCTCTTGGGAACCAGGAATACCAAGAAGAGCCCGAGGCAGGGAAATTACACAATGGGCAGCAGAAAACCAGCTCTTGTACATTGGGGAACCGGGCGTCCCTACACACGACGATGGGCACGTCCTCGACCTGACCTTCTCGAACATCTCCTTGGTAGGACGATGAGTGCAGGAAAGTAAAAAGGACGTACAAGCTGGCAACGAAGCAATTCAGAATAAACACCCCTACAGAAAAGAGACGCGCGTATCGGGCGGTAGTACGACAGGCAAAAAGAGAATACTGGAAAGCCCGCATCAAAGGCATACAGAAAGACTCAGACCTCTTCAAGATAATCAACTGGCATAAGCTCGGTCCGGACATAAAATCACCACCACTAAAAGTCGGCAATTTGACAGTAGAAGACACTACCAAAAAGGCATATGCCCTCAAGACGGCCTTACTAGACAGGCACTCGGCTGAAGACGACCTCGTACACGACCCGTTAGAGATTCCTATCGCCCCCCGCGCTGCATTGGAATGGGACTCTGCAATATTGCAAACCGAACTTGCTAAAATGGTTCTCACAGAAAACACAGCCCCCGGAATAGACTCTCTCTTAACACGGCTCCTCAAAGCGGCATGGGTCCACCTAGCAGAGCTGATTCAGCTTCTATTTCAAGCCTGTCTTAAAACAGGGCACCATCCAACCCCTTTCCAGTCAGCAGAGGTAGTCATGCTCAAGAAGCCGGGAAAAAAGGACTATACCACTACGAAATCATACAGGCCGATTGCTCTGTTATCATGCCTTGGAAAGGGCCTTGAAAGGCTAGTTGCAAAATGGATGGCAACAACAGCCCTACTAAGAGGGGTGATTAGCCCGAACCAAATTGGGGCCCTCCCTAAGCGCTCTGTGGTCGACCTTACTGCAGCAGTCACACACGACATCGAGTTAGCCCTGGAATCTGGGCAAAAAGCCCTTTCTTTCACCCTAGATGTACAAGGGGCGTTTGATGCAGTACTTCACCGGAGATTGATCCTCAGGCTCCGCCAGTAGGGCTGGGCACCAGCCCTTGTAAAATGGGTAGATTCCTTCTTATCGGACAGAACTGCTCGGATTAGACTGGAAGGCGTTATTACTAAGGTATTTGGACTGAGCTGTGGGCTCCCACAAGGATCACCAGCTTCTCTGATCCTCTTCCTGCTGTATATTGCAGATATCTTCTTAAAGGATAAGCATAACAGATTCGGATATGCAGACGACGTCGGCATCCAAATAACGGGCAAAACCACTACTGAGCTAGCAGCCAAGGCAGCTAGCATGGTAGACAATATTCTATGCTGGGGCCTAGACAACAAGGTCATCTTTGAAGACTCCAAGGCTGAAGCCATCTATTTTGATACTGGGAGGAGACCTCTCACACCAGAAATAGTCACCCTAGGAGGCTTCACCATCAAACTAGTGCAGCCGGTAAAAGGGGCGGTGGTCCGCTGGCTGGGGATTTTCTTCGACAAGTCCCTCAAGTTCCGGGAGCATGTCAAAAGACGGGCAGCTAAGGGCCTCGTCGTGGCCAGACATATTCGAAGTCTTGCAAACACTGCCAGAGGGCCCCTAGCAGCAGCCCTCCGCAAGGTGGTAATTACATGTGTGATTCTTACTATGACCTATGGGGCAGAGGTCTGGGCGGCCAGGGATTACAAGAGAGCAGGAAACGATCAGGCCCGGGACGTGAGCACCCGCCAGAACGGCCACTCGAACGACCTCAAAAGAGTCCTTACAAAGGCCATCAAGGGGATTCTCCCAGTCTGGAGAACTACACCAAAAAAGGTGCTCTTCAAAGAATCAGCCTTACCAACAGTACAAACCATACTCAGCAAGATCCGGATGCGGTTCAGCCTGAGAATCAGAGCTATGGATAACATGCATCCGTTAGTCCAATGTGTTATAGCCCGGAACACTACTATGAACAGATGCCTGAGGGGTCTAGTTAAGATAACCGCAAGGACACGGCTCCAAAGGACGTATGAACTCACACCGGATTTTCCAAGACCAATCCTAACGGAACCAAGATATGCAACGAATGCTGGCAAAGTTGTTATAACAAGAAGCAAAGCCGAAAAAGCTAAAGTCTTTATAGACTGACTAAAATCGCTTCTGCCTTCACACATAGTCACCTATTCTGATGGCTCGAAATCCCTGGAGGGGGCGGTGGGCTATGGATATGTGATCTATAGAGGTCGGACAAATGTAGCCTCGGGCTGTGGCAGACTGGGCCACCCAGCTGAGGTCTTTGACAGTAAGGTCGAAGGGGCCCGCCACGCACTCAGACAGGCCCTGAGGCTCAGCAGCGGCGCCACTATCCACGTGTGCCTGGATAATACAGCAGTGATCTCCGGACTGTGGAGGGAACCAGCTCAGAGCTCCCAAGAAGCTTTCCTAGAATTCCACAAAATCTCGGACACGTACGCCAACGTACAGGTCCGGTGGGTATCAGGGCACATGGACATCCAAGGCAACAAAGAGGCTGACAAAAAGACAAAGAAAGGCACCATCTTGCCAATCCCTATTGGGGCCAAATCCATACTTATGGGCATTTTAGGCCTTCTTAACGAAAAGACTCGAAAAGAACACCAGCAATAGTGAAACAAGAATATCACTAATAAATACAAAAGTCTCAGCCTTCAGAAAATTACACTCAAGTGCCCAGAAGAGCTCAAGCTGGACAGGCGAACGCTCCACAGGCTTATCGCATCTAGAACTGGCCACAGCGACTTTAGCTGGTACCATAGGAGGTTCAAGCACGAGGAACACTACAACTGCTCTTGCAGGAGAATTAAAACACAAGCCCACTTTGCTTTCTGCAACAGAGCCCTTGTGAAACAGTCTAGGTGGCCACAAAGAAACCGCGGACCCAACAGAGAACCCAAACCAGAAGGGAGAGCCTATTGGACATGGCTGATAACGCACCCAAAGAAATTCGGAGACTTCTGCAAGTGGACAGAATTCTACACGAAAGTCTGTCCCAGAGTTACAGAACATCAGTTCATCGACCACCAGGTGTAACTGCGCCTGTTACCACATCTCCTTACTACTTTTACCATCTTTCCTTATGTTTTTCATTTTCTTTTAGCTTATAGCCTTTTAAACGCAAGGCACTAACTGTCAACAACGCTTTTCGGACTACCGACTACGAACCAGATATCACAGAGCACGAGCCCAAATGGCGGGGCCAACGGAAACTGACGGAATAACATGTGTGCCCTCGAGGTTCGATTTGCAGGTTATTGTGGGAAATAGGGAGTCATGCCCTGCTTCCCGTACAGTAAGGCTTGTATATTAGCCCCTGAGATAGTCACCTGCACGCCAAACATCCACAAGGATCTGGAGCCTAGAGCCCCTACGGCGTTAAATAAACTAAAATAAACTAAAACAAACTAAACTAAACTAAACTAAACTATACTCAACAGTACATGGTAGGTCTAGCGGCACAGAGACGGGCACGCGGTATGTCGGCTTCTGTTCTTGATATTGGCATAATCATCGGCATTGGTGTAATCAGAAGGTCGGACGGCGATGATCCAAACTCCACCATGGAGACCAGTCTGAGAAAGCAGAACTACATGCCCATCTCCGAGCGCGATCTCCACCATCTCCTTGCCGAAGCCATCGTCGCGGGTCAAGGGAACGACTCCGTGGAAATATCTACCGGATTGCAAGAAGCCGACCCTTCAGCATCTGTCAAACCAATATGGTTCAACAACCCTCGCTTCTCACACCTCATCAGCCATGGTAGTGTAATGCAGTCGACTTCCAAGGGCACGGGCCCTGAAGCAAGTCTGAAGCAAAAGCTGGCCTCGGCGTCCGGACACAGCGACGCCTGCCAGCAACTCGAACAAGCCTTCACTGTCTATCTTGGAGCTTTGCTCAAGGTAAGTACCGCGTTAGTAACGGCAAACTAGGTACCATTCTGACTCGCCCCACAGCTACCCGTAGAAACCATTACTGCCGAAGACCCGATCATCGACCTCGGTATTGATTCTCTGGTGGCCGTCGAGATCCGTGGCTGGCTTGCAGCTGAGGCCGGCCATGATATACCTGTTCTGAAGATACTGAGCGGAGCGTCGATCCAACAACGTCAGTCTTTCTGCCCCTTTGGATCCCTGTGATATAAGCTAACTTCTCTGGTCTTGCAGTATGCTCCGAAGCCTGTTCGAAAATGTCTTTCCAAGAGGATGTCCCGTCGGCTTCTGCCCCCGCTGCCACACCAGCTGGCCCAACTGTTGCAACTACTGACTCGAGCTCAACCTCTCCTTCCGGATCCATTACGTCTCGACGACAATCTGTCGGTAGCCCGGACACGTTATCTTCCTCGGGCACATACACTCCCCCGGAACGGCCGGAGAAGCCATTGCCATTGCGAACACACGCTGCTTCGTTCGGACAAACGAGGCTGTACTTCGCCTCGCAGTACCTGGATGACGCAAGCCCATTCAACTGCACCACGTCGTATACGCTATCTGGGCGTATTGGTGTCGCCCGGTTTGAAGCGTCTATCGCTAGCGTTATGCGACCCCACGAAGGCTTCCGCACCATGTTTTCTACGGACAGCTTGACAGGGACTGCGAGGCAAGGCATCTTGGATGAACTGTATGCCGCCTCAGAACGGTGAAGAGCTCTGCTACCACCATCGATACCACCATCGGCGAGGAGTTTAGACGTACCCATGCGTATCCCTTTGACTTGAGCAATGGCGATACTTTCATGGTCACACTGATCTCACATGGGGACACGTCTCATACAGTGATCTTCGGTTACCACCATATCATCATGGATGGCGTGAGCTGGCAGCTGTTCCTGCGAGACTTGGCCAAGTTCTACAACAACCCGCAGTCTTCGGACCCCCCCCCCCCCCCCCCCCAGCACAGCCAGCCGACTTTGCCCTGAAACAAGAGGCGGACCTGACAGCTGGCGAATATGACGAGCGCTTAAAGTACTGGCAAGACCAGTTCCCGCACGTGCCTGAGCCAATGCCTCTGTTTCCGTTCTCCAAAGTCAGTGCACGGAAACCGCTCACATCTTACGAGATGCGAGAAGTTGTCTCGTACGTTGACGCGGGGCTAGTTGTTCAGATCAAGAAGGCCGCTCAGGCCTCGCGAACTACATCGTTTCACTTCTGGCTGGCAACCTTTCAAGCAATGTTGAGCCGCTTTCTCGACATCGAAGATCTCTGCATAGGGATTGTCGATGCCAATCGGTCTGATCCGGCCTTCAGCAACACCATTGGGTTTCTTCTAGAGATTCTGCCAGTCCTCTTCCGCGTCAAAGGGAATCACCAATTCAAGCAGGTTCTCACCGCAACCCGCGCAAAGCTACGCGGTGTTGACACGTACGGGTGTGCCCTTTGAAGAGATTGTCAAAGCCTGCAAGGTCCCTGCTTCAACAAGCCACACACCGATGTTCCAAGTTGTATTCAACTACCGCATGGGTGCAACAAGGACTCCTAGCATGGACGGCCTCGACATGCGGTTTCACAACTACGCGGATGCAAAAACTCCGTACGACTTGACTGTCTCGGTCGACGAGATGGATGATGGGAGTGGGATGCTCACTTTCACTACTCAAAGCAACCTCTACGACCAAGAAGGGACTGAGCTCCTGGTCGATACCTACAAACACTTTCTCCAGCTTTTCGCGGAGGATACCACTAGCAGTATAGAGGAAGTCCCGCAGTTTCATGCGAGTCAGCTTGCACAGGCTGTCGAGCTGGGGAGCGGGCCAGCGGCCACGTCTGGATCACTCGAGACGCTGGCAGGGCAGATTGACAGTTGGCTGGTTCGGGACCCCTCAGCCATAGCCATCAAGGACGTCAATCATAGGTCCATGAGCTACGACCAGATGTCGATACGAGCCAACGACATAGTTGCCGGGCTGATCGGTGCCGGTGCCGTTGTTGGCTCTAGGGTCTGTGTTCTTCTCACCCCGGCCCTTGATACAATCTGCTCTATCCTGGCCATTCTCCGAGTTGGCGCTGTCTATATTCCCCTAGACATCCGCAGCACGGATGCACGACTTGGCGACATACAGGAAGAGTCCAATCCTGATATACTGCTCTTCCACCCAGACACCGCTGAGCGAGCAGTAAAGCTTAAGGGCAGAGGGTGTACCCTGGTTGACCTCTCCGCGGTGTTGAAGAGCAATGCCAAAGGCCTTCCACCCGCGTCTGGTCTTGACGACGTAGCTATGATACTCTACACGAGTGGCTCGACCGGTAAGCCCAAGGGCATTCCTCTGACAAACCGCAACATCAGGTCTCCAATCTCGGGCATGAATCGGAGGCTCAAGCTGGGTAGAGAGGTCGTGCTCCAACAAAGCGGCCAGGGGTTCGACGCTGCCATATTCCAGATCTTCATCGCGCTCGCGAACGGCGGAACGATCGTCATGGGCGATAATCAGGGCGCTCCCGCAGATCTGGCTGATTTGATTGAACGTGAGCGCGTCACGTTTACGCTGTTCATCGTCTCTGAAATGCAGTCGGTGTTCAAGTGCGGATTCGAAGCATTGCGAAGGGCCTCCGCCTGGCGCACAGCACTGTGTGGTGGGGAGGCATTCACCACAAACCTGGCAGAGAAATTCCAGAGTCTGGGACACACACAGCTAAGGCTCTGGAATGCGTACGGGCCGACCAAGGGTTCAATCATATCATCCTGCGCAGAGGTACAGTACTCCGAGATAGACAAGGACCAGGATTTCCGAGTGTCCATTGGCCGACCGCTTGCGGACTACGCGATGTATATCGTCGATGCCAAGCGCGAGCCCGTTCCCGTTGGTTTCCCGGGCGAACTGGCAATCTGCGGCCCCGCTGTCGCCAATGGGTACTTGAACAGGACAGACTTGACAGCTACGAAATTCCGCTCTGACACGATATCAGTTCGAAGTACCGGACAGCTCTCCGTTGGGGGCCAACTGTACCTCACTGGTGACAAAGGCAGATTGCTTCAAGACGGCACCTTCGTAATACTAGGCCGCATCGACGGAGATTCTCAGGTCAAGATCCGCGGCCAACGCGTAGTTTTGGACGGCCTGTCCAACGCGGTGCTGCGGGCATCGGACGGAGATCTGGCCGATGCCACAGTCATTGTCCGAGGCGAAGACGCAGAGAATCAACTCCTCGTTGCGTACGTCGTTTTCGACAAAGCCGCCACAGTGAAAGACGAGGCCCAGTATCTCCGGAGACTCTTGCGCCGCCTACCACTGCCCTCTACGATGCGTCCGACGCTGGCTGTTCCTCTGCCAAGTTTGCCCTTTACGGACCGAGGCAAGCTCGATACTCGGGCACTCGCTAAAATGCCGCTACCTGCGCTGTCCGCGGACGAGGACATGCCAGAAGAGAAGCTCACGGAAACCGAGAATCGACTCAAAGCCGTGTGGAGAGGTGTGCTAGGCGAGGCCGGCGCCTCCGTTCCGATATACCGCGAGTCCGACTTCTTTTCTGTTGGCGGGAATTCACTACTGCTACTTCGGCTCCGAGCCGAAATCCGCCGGGAATTTGGTATCGCCATTCCTGTGGCGGAACTGTTCCAGGCGACTATCCTGAGATCTCTGGCCGCTCGATTGACGGGAGACCACAACAGCGATGTTTCCAACCACGGGACTTGTCTTCAGTGACCGGACCGGTTGCTTCAGGAACCCAGACTAGGGCTCAATCAGTTTCTGTCCTCCTTACCGGCGCAACCGGATTCCAAGGGTCGGAGATCCTGCGACAGCTCGTCACTCGGCCTGAAGTTGGCCGTATCTACTGCGCCGCAGTCCGACGAGACCCCGGATGGAAACCCAGAGAAACTCAAGGTCGAGTCGCCAAAGATTGTGTGTTACACAGGAGATCTATCTCTGCCCATGCTAGAAATGTCCGAGCAGCAGATTGCCGAGGTCGTCCGGGAAGTGGACGTCATCATCCACAATGGCGCAGAGGTATCGCACATGAAGAGCTAGCAGAGTGTGCGCGAGACGAATGTGTCGTCCACAAAGGAACTGGCCAGCCTGGCCCTTCACTGCAACATTCCGATCCACTACATCTCCACGGGAGGTGTAGCCCTGCTCAGCGGGCTAGACGAGCAGCCAGAGGAGTCGCTTCGCTCAACACCGCCACCGACCGACGGCGCTTATGGCTACATCGCTTCCAAGTGGGCTAGCGAGGTTCTGCTGGAGAAACTGCATGACCGATCAGGCCTCCAGGTATCGATCCACCGGCCCAGCAACGTGACTGGCGACGACGTCCCTGCCAAAGATATCGTACACAGCGTCATCCGTATGTCCAAGTTAATGCGCACGGTTCCAGACCTGACTGGCTCCCGCGGTAGTTTCGACTTCATCCACGTGGAGACCATCGCGCGGAACATTTGCGACGCGGCGATCTCGAGCGCTGCGAGCAGGTCACGCTCGTCGCTGTCCTTTGTGCACCAGAGCGGGGAGACTGTGGTACCCATACATGACCTCAAGAAGCACCTTGAAGACTCAGCTCGCGACCCGTTCAGCACGGTGCATATGGCGGCTTGGGTTGAAGCGGCGAAGGAAAAGGGGCTCAATGACTTGATAGCTTCGTACTTGCTGGCCACGAAGGGGGTCATCAACATGCCGTTGTTGAGAGTCTGCAGGGGGGAATAGACCGGTTACTGATGGGTGGTATTTGCATATAGGGGATAGGTTATAATATGGGTGCGCCTAATACAATGCCGCTTACCCATATCGATTGCTATTTTTCCAGCTATTCAATGGATGTGCGTGGACATGCTGAATCGCCATTTTCGCGGTGTCTGGTTGCGTGATGGTGACGACCTTGGTCGGTGGCAAGGATCCAAGTCGAAGCACGGAAGAGCAATTGGTTAAGGCTTGAGTTGAGCGGAGTTGCATGTGGCCTAGAGGAAGCTCTATATCCACTTAGATGTGCAATGAATAACTTCTTCTTTTGATTTCCTATACGCACCATGCTGGAAGGATTCCAGATCACACATCAAATGAAGAACTAGGAATACTATAATAAACAGACAGGAATAAGGAGCTCTAGTTTGGTACGCCACTTCTAGTGCTTATTCCATAGTGCTTATTCCGAATCGATAAATGCACCGTCCAAATGTTTGCTAGACGGGTGGTGTACGAAGACTTAGAGGGCCTAGTGTAGAATCATCGCTGATATGCCAGTGAGCTTGTTCGAGCCCTTACAAAACTACGCAGCACCGTCCAGATGAATTGACTCCAATGTGAGGCAAGAGGTCACCATCAGCTGCGGATAGCTTAGCTAGATGTACAACTGGATTAAAAGTGAACTTTCCCCTCATATGGACCTCTATCTCTTGCCGACCAGCAGGTGAACTAGAGGTGACACCGTGCCATCCGCGTCGTTAGATTACCGCAGTTGTCTTGATACCTGAGGACCAAATGAGCCATCAGCTTGCCTGTCTCTCGACTCTCACAATTGTGCATCCAGAGATTTGTGCAACTCATCACTAACTCGGGGTTCTGTCAAAACTGCAGCGTTATTCACTCGGTACCTGCAGCAATCCTGAGGTATCAACTTCGTTACGCACACAATTATGAATCTAGCACCCTAACTCGCTTAATCTGAAATCTACTCCGTCCTACTTCTTCTACACGTTTTGGGCAGAGTCTCTCCCGCACACCATCTCTTCTCTCCCACACCCACCCTTTCGTCACCAACATCGCCTCACAAACCTCAACTCCCACCGTCCCCCATCATCGTCAAGATGGCTAAGATACACTGGTACCACCAAGACCACCTGGCTGCCATTCATCGCCAACGCTGCGAGGCGTCCATGGTACACCCCATTCGCAAAGAAGGCACCGACCGCCCTCTCAGCCGAGAGGAGAAGAACTGGCTTTGGGAGCAAACCTGGGCAGGCTGGGACGTGGGCGCGTATCCCATGGCCCCCACCCCCGCCGACAGACCCATGACAGACTTCGCCACCTATGGGGGCACATTCATGGTCGACCTGCCCCCCGCCCCCCCGGCAGGGGCTCTGGCCATCATGTCTTCACCGAAGACGACGATGTTTTCAAGCCCGCCACGCCGACAGGCCGGAAGCGAAAGGCCCCTTCCTCGGCTCTGTCCAAGCAAGCGCCTAAGCGCCAGGCAACTTCAGTCAAGCCCCACCGCAAGGCAGGTCAGCCGGTATACATACGGCCCAAGAAAGTCCAAGTGTTGAATACTCTGGAATGGCAGATCATGGATGCCAGAGGCACCGGCGCATCGCCGGCTTACGTTAGATGGCCCAACGCCAACCCGGCGGACCCGGCAGCTACGGGCACCTTTTCTCCAGATCTGCAGATTTCAGCCGTACGAAAGTACGATACGTCGCAGAGAGCTTGGGTCAGCCGGTGGAACAACCGCGTCGCGGTGTACCTGATTCGACGCTACCTCCACGAGAAGTACACCGGGTTGCCCCCGCAAGACGGCGCGATGCGTGTGCTTACCGAGGCCGACTTCAAGGACTATAACCTATTCGGCCCGATGCTCCTCTCTCACGCACAAGGTGTCGTCAACCAGCTGGAGCACAACGGCGGCGGAATTGGGGATGAATGGCGGCCCTCTTACTAAGGCCTTCGTGCTCAGCAAGCGCGTGAAGCGCTCTGGACCCCTGCCCAAGCACATCACACGCACCCAGCAGTCCCGAGACTGACAATCTGGTCCTACACGATTGGCAATGCCGCACGGCGACGACATCGAGTCAAGAACCTCGTCCCGACTAACAATTCTCATCATACCTAGTAAGTACTCATGGACAGTTTCAAGATATATACCGTATACTAACTGCATTCGTTGTCTGGTACGCCCATGGCCCTCACACACATTCGGCAATGCCGCGAGGCGACGACTATTGGTGGCACTCTTCGTGCTGGACCTTCTTCGAGGGAAGGTTTGGGATGGGACTGGACCAGTTAGATATTTCTGCACCGCCGGTAGGCAGTTTTTCGAGCTTCATTTCACCAGGGATAGAGGGAAATCGCTCGTATGATGACACTACCATTGCTTAATAACCAACATCAACTGCACTACACCCTTGTTTCCCGCGTAGTTTCCACCATGTTAGTAAGCACCGCACGCAGTTGTGCAACAGTGATTCGAACTACCTAAACATCATCGTGAGTAGTTCGAAAGCACTTTATCGATAACTATGCATCAAGCAGATCGCAGCAGTCACTCCTGAGCAACAGTTTTACTTCATTCTACAATCAAGTGACTCAGCTGCGATGGTACCATCAAGCAATTCCATTGTCCATCGATGCATATATGAAGCATCATGCCAGACTGAGAATGTCTCTCAAAGATTTACTCTCTATTCCGAATGTGGAACCTTGCCCAGCCACTGGCAGGGCTGGCATTATCACTGCTACTGTGTCCATGTCTGATACTTGTTCACAGCCGACCGTTATGTATAGAGAATACCTAGTAACTGGACTATCTAAGACGGCTATGACTGGGCGCCTGCCATTATCATAGAGTCAGAGATGGGACACTTACCATCTGCCAGAATCCTGACAGCGAAACAAGTAGGATCGTGTGATCATGGCTCGAAACAAGTATTGTTAGGGGTTAATCCCTTCTGATGTAGCTTGATAGGCTATGTGAGATATATAGCAGTTCACAAGATAGAAGCAGTCGTTTCCTTTTCCCTCTTATCACATCACGTTGTTGTTATTTCTACCTTTCGCTGCCTTTTCCGGTGCTTTTGATCAGCTCTCACTGGCGGCCTCGAGCCGAATGAGCGTATGTACGACGCCACCGATGCCGACACTAGCAACTTCATGGCCTACCTGCGGGTCTTCCTCACACATCCCATGTGGAGTCGTGATCTCGGCCGTCTGCGGTACGTGCTGCAGATGGCCGTGTCAGTCACGGTGGAGGGTCACGTCGACCCGATATGCTCGGGCCCGGCCCACGAGGAGTCCGTGGGAGACGTGTGGCCCCACCTGTCATCACAGGAGGACCTTGGAAAGCTACAGTGCCGCGACTACCTCAAAGACAACTCCGGCCGTGATCCGGCCATGGGCGTGGTCACACAGTTGAGTTCGTGCTGCAATGGGAGCATTGTGAGTTGCTGATCCATGCGCTAGACGCGTCAAAGGTGTTGGGAAACACGCTGTCGACGCTGGCCCATCGGGTCATCTTCAAGAAGCACCATGGAGACTCCCTGAAGAAGATCCGTCCGCTGGACTTTGACGAGGTCCAACTGCTCTTCACTGGGCATGCCGCCTCTGAAACTCTACCATGATAAGCAAAATCATGTCAATAGCGCAGGAGCAAGACTGTCTGGGGTACACCGACAGCAAGAATGAATGCGGCTCTGCACAGCACATTTTCCACCGTCCAGTGCGGACATACCAGCGCAGTACGAGCGATGGTGCAAAATGGCTGTTCGGTTGATACTCCGGTTACCACCCTGGTTTCGACCCCTGGATGCTGCAGCTCATACGCGGGGAGATCGAGGACCCTACATGGGCCAAGATGGAAGAGCCCGACAGGCAAGATGAATCCCGGGCCAGGGCTCTCGACGAGATGTCGGCCACGGCAGAAAATATGAGCATAGTCAAAGGAACGTCGATCACAGCATTGCGGGAAGCGCTGGGCGACCACATTAGAATAGATTAATTAATAGTGATCTAAATTGTTCCCATGTGCAAAGCCGAAGGACGTATCCGATATGATTACACCTCGCAGTTGCTTCGCCGTATTTTGAACAGGCGAGTTTTTTTCCGAGCAACCAAGGCATATACAGTGAAGCGAGATATTTGCCGCGACGTATATCCACCGCTTAGAGCAGGGCAGCGATCAGAGCACCGAATGAAACAAGGCCGAACGAGGCAGGGACAAAACCAGCAGCGGCGCTGCCCTTGGTCTCGGTCGCACTGCTGCTGTCGGAACTCTTGGTGGAGGACGGGTCAGAGGAGCCACTGGAGCCACTCTCGCTCGACGAGTCGGTGCCAGATGAGCCGCTGCTCGTGGTGGTGGCGGTGGAGATGACCTGGGTGGTGGAGCTGCCGACGCTGACGACGAACGAGGTGGCGCCGGTGCCCGACGCCTGGGGGATGACGATGGTGGTGGTGCCATCGGGTAGGCCGGCGGGGATGGTGGCGACCGCAGGCTGCGAGGTGACGGCAGAGGCCTGCGAGGTCTCAGCGGCAGGCTGGCTGGTGAAGGCGTCGAGCGAGGCGGTGATGATGCCGTCCGAGTTGGTTTGGGTCAGGAGCGAGGTGGCCGGGTTGGAGTACTCGTATGTGTAGGTCGTGACGGCGGTCACGGCCTGGCCGCCGGTGGTGGTGTAGCCGATGGTGAGGACCTGTCGGAGCGGTTCGTCAGCATGGCAGCTACAACACAGACAGCATTTCCGAAATGGGCGCATTGAGCAAACTCACGGTGGTGTGCTGGTTGTCATCCTGGGCCAGGGCCATGTTGGCCAGGATAGGGGCGGCGAGGAGGGCGAATGAGCGCATCTTGACGGTCTTTGTGAGGTATTATTAATGGAGTATATATAGGTACAGAGGCGAAACGAAGGCGGAAAAGCGAAAGACTTGGGTTGGGAATAGCGAAGGACGGAAGGTTGAAAAAGTGAAAGAGAGGGAGTCTGGGGAAGGGGGGAGAGGTAGGATGTAGCCGCTATTAATAAATAAATGAGTAATAATACGACCATTCAAGCCGTTCTGACTCGTTCTGACGCGACGGTCACTGGCCCCTTTCTGGGGAGATTGAGATGCAGGGCGGATCCCGACGGTAATAAATACGAGGCGGGGCGGTAGCATTGCGACCCCCTATTGACAGGGTTAAACCTTGCAGTCTGACATCAGCTTCCCTGTCCGCCCAATCCGCCGTCCACCCGAGTCCCAAGGCGGTACAGGTATTGTTCAATGATTGAGCCATGTAATGATATACGGCAGGGGAAGCTCCCACGGTTTTCGAGGATCCTACCTTGGCGAACCACAATTCGTGCTTAGCCCTCCATCTCGTAATAGTGCAATTTTCCATGTTGTTATTATTAACATGGTGATTAGACGATGGCGACGACGCCACCGCTGCTAAGCCGACAATGCCATTCTCTCTCATAAGCTTGTGCTCATTTTCGCTTTCGTAGCTTCGGGTTTTGTACCAGTGCACCACAGTTCTGTCGAAGTCAGAGGTCTACTGCGATAGCTTCTCAAGGCAGGCGAATTGCAGTGCTCGAAATACAGGGCCATGGTGAATAGAGAATGCTTGCTCGCTAGAGCACACAGCTGGATGAAAATTTTCTTAGAATCGAGTCGCCCAGGGTTTAGATCGCAGTCCTGAGTCAGCCAAGAGCTAGCTACTGTGCAGACTAGCAGTCTACCAGGCTTATAAGCTTCGGGAGTCATCTTAGGGCGTGGCTGGTCTGGCCCTTGGTTGTAACACGGAGGCTCTGGATGTCGGTTGGGACACGGCGCCAAATTATTCAAGGACGACATGATTTGAGTGGGCAAACGTTATTCGACCTTGTGCGTGGCTGCTTCGTTAAAGAATGTCTTGGTGTATAATGCGATTGTTATAAGCATCGGACATCCTATTGTCAGCGGCCTACCTTTATATGAACGAGGAAATCGCGGCCTTGGGATGAACATCGAGTTCAGTTGTCGTCAAGAGGACACGATACATGCGGTGGAATTTTCACGACTGAGCTACTTACCGCCTGAGACCTTCTCTCTGAATAATGCCATAGAAACGAGCGTTTCGGCTGTAAGACACGCCTCCCTTTGTCTAGTCTGGAAGATATTCAAGAGACATAGTATGCTGTAGTTGTAGCGTGGAGTGCTGTTTTATGATATGATAGTATTCTCATAAACTCCATTTTACATCTCTCTCGGCTGTGCATTGGACGTTCGTCACGATCCAAGGAAATACTAGATTCCTGCGTAGTGATCTAACCGAAGCGCAGTTCGGCCCTCAACGCATACTTGGGAGGGGGGATTTTATGGACAGGCCAATCTGATCGCCCATCCGATTCAGCAGCTGCCGTATTTAAACATGGATACAAAGACTACCATGATACGGCCACCGAATGCCGCAATTAAGAACAGCACCAGGTCCGCCGACAAATAAAGCGTTTACCTCCTGGGTAAATCTAAATCTAATTTAATTTAGTTTCGATAAGTGCCTATGTTTTGAAAAATCGTAATATGATAGACTAAATTAAATTAAGTACGTTAGAAATAAATGCATCTATAACCGGATATTCAGACATTTTTTAATCAATAAATGTAATTATATGAAACAATTAAACAATATAAGAGTATAAAATATTAGTGTTATTGTGACGAGCCGTCTAATTTATAAGGCTAAAGGGTCCTATAAGGTTTATGTTCTGAAATAAGTCAACACAAAAGACGATAGAGGCTTCTTTCAACTAGAAGACACTCAGATGATGGGGCTTGGCCTGAACTGGGTTCACTGCATAGTTGAGTCGTCAGGAGATTTCCCTCACCTTAGGGTTGGCTAAGGTGCTTAGATTGATCACTAAGGCAGAGACTGTCTATCTATCTAGTTGGGAAATGTCCGTCCTTATATATCCAATCTCTCCCTCACTGATGGAATAGGATCACCTTGTCCCAGAGTGATGCTCACTGGCTCACTCCCTGATCCAGTGATCCTCGCAAAGCCAACTCAGGCTAAGCTTCTGGCTTTCCAAGAAGAAATTGCCGACATTCTCAAGGCACAAAAGATTGAGACCCACACAGTCTGGCATCATTACAAGGTCAATGGATGCCCAAGAAAGGTCATCAGTGCAGAAGGGTTCACAATCGATATTACTGACACTGTTGTTGCCGATGAAGTTGAAGCCCAAACAGGCGACAGACCTCTGAGGTGCATACTCTCAAAGAACACGATTGATTCTGATCCAGAAACTACATGGATAATCTCTCTGCCCAGTGCAGCAAGGAAACCATTCACGCTTTTTGCCCACTCAATGACCTCAAGGCATATACAACACACCCCCAAGGTTCACCAGTGTGCAAGCTGCTTCAGATACCATGGTAGGAATTACCGATGCGAAAAGCAAGTATGTGCACACTGCGCCAACACAGTACACCAGGGAGAGTGCGAAAAACCAATCCCAAAGTGTGTCAACTGCAAAGGACCTCATGCTGCCAACTTCGACAAATGCCCTGCCCGCCCCAAGGTTGTGAAAGGTACCATCCATAAGCACACATGGGAGCAAATCCAGGAAATAAGGCTAGCCGGAGAAAGAGCCAGATCCAAGGCCTTCAACGAAGCAGGCAGAAACCAAGCTGGGTCAACACCTAACAATAATAACAAAGACACCACAATGCAAATCGACACAACAGATACAACTCATCCCAGAGATGCCGATACCATTGTTGTCAGTCAATGTTAGGTACATCAAACGAAACACATCGACACGGGCATCTAGTCATCCATTCTGTGAATACAGCAGGGGGACAAAAGAGTGCAGGCCCTACAGAGTTAGCCATCAACCTGGCTGACTATAAAGGAGAACAAGCAGACATCATTCTGATGCAAGAGCCCTGGGTTGGCATACCACCAGGCAGGAGAATGGGAGTAAAGACACACCCCAATTACGATATATACTCCCCAGTGGATTCCTGGGACAGCGACAGTACACGGCCCAGATCTCTCATCTATGTGAGAAAATACCTTCAAGCGGATCAACTTCGGCCCTATGCTACACGAGACATCACCTGGGTCAAGGTACAAGGCATTACATTTGCCAGTGTCTACCGGCCATGTGACAACCCACAGGAAGTGGATGACATTCTGGAAGTATGGACTCCACCTTTTGGCTGCGTTATAGCTGGAGATTTCAATGCTGGCGACACATCCTGGGACTCAAGCAATCCAGGATATCATGGTGGTACTATACTTGCACAAACTATGGCAGACCACGGACTGGATCTGATTTCTGAACCAGATGTCCCGACACATGATGACGGAAATGTACTAGATCTGGTGTTCTCTGATGTCCCCATGGCTGAAGCCTCAGTCAATGATGCACTTCAGTGCACCTCAGATCATGAGACATTACGAATAGTCATTCCAATCCAGGGAGATCTGGACCGAGTACCCAAGGCCAATCATTGGATAGTACCGGACGATAAACTACAGGAGCTGGCAGATAATGTCCAAACCAGGATTCATGAACTCCCCCGGCTGGGTGTATCCCCTGGCCAGGTGGACACCTTTACACAAAGCCTGATCAACATGATCCAAGGCTGTATCAGGACAGTGGGCAAGAGGCCCCGTCAATCTAGGCCCACTGCTTGGTGGAATGATGACTGCAAAGCAGCTGTTCAGACATACAGGGCCCTTTCCAAACAGACTACAAGCCAAGAAGGACGGAATTCAGCCCGACGGGAATTTCGCGGCGTGGTTCAGAAAGCTAGGAGAGAGTACTGGCAGACTCTAATCAATTCAGCAACTGAGCCAAAGGACCTATACAGAATCGTCTCTTGGCACAAGTTATCAGCAGGAATGCGTTCCCCTCCAATCATCATAGGAGACCAAATATTCGAGTCACAAGAGAGCAAGGCAAATGCATTACGCTCAGCCACGCTTGAACGAAGTACCTCAGACAACGATATCATCGACCCCTGGTCCGCTCAGATCATACAACCCAAGCCACACATCCCCCTTGAATACCACGTCGGACTGGAAGAGGCTGAAGGGTGCACTTTAGGAACCAAGAGCAACTCCCCGGGAGTAGATACCCTCACAGTACGGATTCTGAAAGCTTGCTGGCCAGTCATTGGTGAACATATCAGAGCCCTTTTCCAGACCTGCCTACTGATTGGACACCACCCTAAACCATTCAAAGTAGCTGAGGTGGTGATGATCCCAAAACCAGGAAAGAAAGACTACTCCAATCCCAGGGCCTACAGACCAATATCGCTACTGTCATGTCTTGGCAAGGGCCTAGAACGACTCATTGCGAAAAGAATTACCTGGTTTGTTGTCAAACTTGGAATTCTAGCCCCACAACATTTTGGAGCTCTACCAAAGCGCTCTGCCACTGACCTGGTAGCTGCACTCATACACGATATTGAGCAGGCCCTTGACCAAGGCCTCGTTGCAACGGTAGTCACATCAGATGTGAAAGGGGCCTTTGATGCTGCCCTAATGGGACGGCTGGTGGTTCGCATGAGAGAACAGGGCTGGCCAGGCTTTCTCATAAGATGGGTCCAGTCGTTCATGTCCGAGCGGTCCGCAAGAGTTCGGTTTGAAGGTACTGTGACCGATATAAAAGCTCTCACTTGTGGGCTCCCACAAGGCTCACCAGTCTCTCCAATCCTCTACATGCTGTATACAGAGCCAATCTGTGCCCGACTTGGCATGAAAAGAAGACGCTTTGGATATGCAGATGATCTAGCAACACTCTGCATTGGAAAGAACCTTAAAGAAACAGCTGCAGAGGCTTCTGAAAACCTTCATTTGCTCAACCAATGGGGACATAACAATGCTATTGAATTTGATCCCGACAAAACCGAGATCATGCACTTCTCACGGAAAAAGAACTCAGACAATCCCCCAGTTTGCCACGGAACAATGAACAAAACAGCTAAGCATTCCATGCGATGGCTAGGTGTCCTTCTGGATAGGAAACTAAACTTCAAAGACCATGTTTCTCACTGGGCCAAGAAAGCTAGTAGGGTAGCAAATCACCTTCGAGGACTATGCAACACAGTCAAAGGACTTCCAGTAAAGTCAACCAAGAGGGCTGTGAAAGCTTGTGTTATTCCTATTCTCACACATGGCCTGGAGGCCTGGTACCCAGGAATCGAGAAAACTGGGAGCTTAGGTGAGACATCAGCATGTCGCATTAAGGGGCTTCTTGGAACAATAGATGCCGTACTACGAACGGCGATCAGGGCTATCTTGCCAGTCTGGAAAACACACCCTGGACATATCTTACACTTTGAATCGCAGATTCCCCCAGCAGGAGTTCTTGCAGAGTCAATAAGACGACGTCACGGCCTCCGACTAGGACGAATAGATCAGAGACACCCTCTGGTTGGCAGGCTCCAAATACAAGCTCGCAAGGATCCAACAAGGCTACAAAGAAGCTTCCAGCTAGTCCCTGACTTCCAGAGACCAATACTTACCAGGCCATCATGGAGGAAGCGCCCAATCCGCAAAAACAAAGACAAAGAAACAGAGCTCTTCAAGCAATGGTTACAAGAGAGAAACGTGAACACTGACCTTGTCATCTACTCAGATGGATCACAGTTGGATGACCAAGGCACAATCCGCACTGGATGGGGTTATACCATCAGGAAAGGCGGCACTACACAAGAAGTATACCGGGGAAGGGGCAGACTTCTACAAGCAGAAGTAGTAGATGCTGAAATCCATGGTGCTCTCCAAGGTCTTGCAGCAGCCAGGGCAATTGGACACGGAAAACAGCTATATGTCTGCCTGGACAACACGTCAGTGGTAGATGGGCTCAATGGGACTCCACCCGAGACATCACAAAACATTTTTCTACGATTTCAAGAACTTGCCACAGCACACACTCCTGGAGTGACCGTCAAATGGATTCCTGGACACAGAGATATTGATGGCAACGAAGCTGCCAACACACTAGCAAAAGAGGGTGCCATGCTGGAAACAGACACAACAAATCTTCCTACAATCTCTTGGGTCAAGAGAGATCTCAAAAGACAGGGCAAGAAAGAGTTCAACCAATGGTGGAAAGACCAATCAGAATCTAGGTATCAAGAAGTATACTCACATGCAGTAACTGAAAGAGACCTTATATCTTTTAAGAGGAGTACTTTACACAGACTTCTAGCGGCCAGATCTGGACATGGCGACTTTGCCAGATACCATGAACGCTTTGGGCACACAGATTCAAATGATCACTGCAGCTGTGGTGAGAAGAAAACACCACAACACATTTTCTTTTGTAAGAGGCTGGGGAAAAATCGGCTACTGCCTAGGCATTCACCTAGGGCAGCTTGTTTACAATACTTAGGGGAGAGGAGCACAGAATGGGCAAAATTCGTGGAGAAGAGCAAGTTCTTTTCAACAATCTGCCCCCGATAGATAGCCTTCCTTGAAGGACCAGATGGATGACCCCAAGGTCATACCGCCGCAATAACGGGGATGGGCCCGTGAGCGGGACTGACTGTACTTATTATCTTGAGACCTCCACAACCCTGCGATGCAGAGGCTCTGGGAGGCGTGGTTTGCACTACTGAGGAGCTACCCCCACGTTAAATACAAAACAAACAAACAAAACAAACAGTGATCCTCGCAGGCTCACTTCGTGATCCAGTGATCTGTCATGTGACTTTTTGTTATGTAATCCGTAATAACCATTGTTCCGTTCCTGGCTTCTGATTCTATTGGTTCTTGGTGTACTCCCCTTGGCCCTCCAACAGGCCATGGTATTTATTGGCTCGTAACAGCTTACAGCGAAGTTCAGGAATACTGCTATAAGCAAAGCCACCAATTTCGGCGGCGGATGTGACTGCGGTGTTTCATGATTTGAGCAAACCGTGAACTCCTTCTTGAGCATGCGACCAACGTATGAGAGGCAGCCCGATAGGAAGCTACCAAGATGGGATCTCGTAACACTTGGCGTCTTGCTTCGGCTCAAAAGCATCATTTGATTACCCAGTGTTGTGGATCGTGCTCCCGCTCCCTTACTCTTATCTTTGACCAGCACAAAGCTCAGAGCCCCGGGGGCGTGTACAACAACTATCAGCACCGCCCACAAGAGTGGCGCAAAAGTATTTGTGCAGCTCCACGCCAGAATTGACCACCGGCCCATATCGAAAGCGGTATGAAGAACATTGGCCCCGCCCCGAGAGCTAGTGCATACTCCAAGGCGCTCAGCAGAGCCGCCTTTTTATGTCCCAATGGACTGATGCTCCACTTGCCCTCCGCCGAAACAAGGATCTGTGAAGGGTCTTGATACTCCAATAAGCGCGCGATATTGATGACCGGTGCACCGATACTGGTGAGCAGGGAAAGCAGTGGCCAGTGAGAAGAGTGTAGCGCCACCCCCGCGATGCTGAGACCGATGGAAGACATGAGCGTCGGGAGGAGCCCCAGCAGCACGGAGGCGCCCTGCATGTTGAGTGCAGCGTTCGTCGTCATGCCGTCGTATACACATGACATATGCTGATAGCATTTCTACAGCAGCCGGGACTCAGAGATATTGTGCTCAGATAAAAAGCTAGAGCCGTGGGCAAGATTTTTATAGGCAGCATGATAGTCGCTGAGCATGACATTGCACAGGTCTGTCGACAGCTCCTCGAGACCCGGGCCGTAGAACGGGTACCAAGCCCTGAATTGCTCGGTGAGAGGTTGCTGGGTGCTGCCAGACGCGTACACTCTGGCCCCCAGCGTCCACCAGAAGCTGTCGCGGGCCCCGGCAAGTGGTGCCCCAGCTGAGAAGAGGAGTATGGCCCGTATGGGCAACTGACTCAACCACTGCATCTCATAGAGACCAGGTGCTATGTGCGGCTCCCTGGTCAGCACGTCCGTTTCGTCGTCTCGGTGAGGAATATTGACTGGAGATAAAGGGCTGCGGTCCACGCCAGCTACTCAAGCTCGTGATAGTTGAGAATATAGTATTATATTAGAATGTTTGAGATGTATCGCTGTAGTTTTTAGAGGATGAGGACTAAGAAGAGATGGGCTGGCAGCCGTTCATGTTAGTCCTTTAAAACCGAGAAGTCGCGCGGGGAAGTGAGAAAAGTCACCTCGCGTGTGTGCCTCGTGGGGGCTAAACGCGCGACACCCAATACCACTTCTAGCAAGGCGAAATGTGAAGAGTTGCCCGGTTACGTATAAGTATGGCGCATTCAAAACCCGCCGGGGGAAACGGATCTCTTTCAATTCCCAGCACTCTCTGACCATGATTGGGATCTGATCAACTTGAAGTAAGGGTAATTGCCCATTAACGTATGTCAGGTGCTAAGTTTAAACCCGCCGCTGACAACATTCTGAAAAAAGGCATCTGGATCGTACATTCGCGCGACATGCTTCAGGCCGCCCCTCCACCATAGCTGCCAATTGGATCTTGCCATGCAGCGGCGTAGTTCAAATACTTGAACTTGATTTCCTCTCCAACCAACTGCTGAACCGACATCACCAAGCTCTTCGCCACAGAATCGACTGATGTAGAGTCTGTTGCGTCAGGCCAATAGAAGGAAAACAGCGCCAGGACAATATTCTCATGCGGGGTAGAGCCTGGTGCGAACCCGAGTGAATTCTGAGGGGCGTTCACCTGTGGAGGGGGTGGAATGGACTGAAATGTCAAGACACTTGTTATGTTCGGATGCGCAAGTGCAAGGGTACTCGTGGCATTCTTCCATAGCGAATGGACTTTGGGAAGAATGTCAGTAGATACTGGGAAGCTCAAGGTTGAGTAGATTGCGCTGAGTATCATCAGTATCTGACACCAGATCAAGAATACAAGCCGAAGCTTGAAGAATTCAGGAACGGTCAACATACAATTGGTCCATTGGTTGCAGCGTTTCTACCTCCTCTGCGAAATCCGAGGCTTGGGATATTCGCATCGTATTGGTGGTCTGTGGTTGTATATCCGTGAAGTAATGCAATCCACTCGCATTGACCACTGGCCTGGTATAGAACATGTTGTTCGTGCTCAGGAAAGTCTTCTGAGACCCGAAGTAGACAAAGGTCTGCTCGACCTCTGCGAAGGGATCGTAAGGACCCATCTTGAATGCTGCGAATGCGGATAGCTGCGCCGCATCAGCCGAAGCTGGGTTTGTTTGTTTGTTTTGTATTTAACGTGGGGGGTTGCTCCTCAGTAGTGCAAACCACGCCTCCCAGAGCCTCTGCATAGCAGGGTTGTGGAGGTCTCAAGATAATAAGTACAGTCAGTCCCGCTCACGGGCCAATCCCCGTTGTTGCGGTGGTATGACCTTGGGGTCATCCATCTGGTCCTTCAAGAACAGCTATCTATTGGTGACAGATTGTTGAAAAGAACTTGCTCTTCTCCACGAATTTTGCCCATTCTGTGCTCCTCTCCCCTAAGTATTATAAACAGGCTGTGCTAGACAAGTACCTAGGCAGCAGCCGGTTTTTCCCCAGCCTCTTACAAAAAAAAATGTGTTGTGGTGTTTTCTTCTCACCACAGCTGCAGTGATTATTCGAGTCTGTATGCCCAAAGCGTTCATGGTATCTGGCAAAGTCGCCATGTCTAGCTCTGGCCGCTAGAAGTCTGTGTAAAGTATTCTTCTTAAAAGATATAAGGTCTTTTTTAGTTACTGTATATGAGTATACTTCTTGATATCTAGATTCTGATTGGTCTTTCTACCATTGGTTAAACTCTTTTCTGCCCTTTTTTTTGAGATTTCTCTTAACCCAAGAGATTATAGGAAGGTTTATTGTATCTGTTTCTAGCATGGCACCCTCTTTTGTTAGTGTGTCGGCAGCTTCATTGCCATCAATATCTCTGTGTCCAGAAATCCACTTGACGGTCACTCCAGGAGTGTGTACTGTGGCAAGTTCTTGAAATCATAAAAAAATGTTCTGTGATGTCTCGAGTGGAGTCCCATTGAGTCCATCTACCACTGACGTGTTGTCCAGGCAGACATATAACTATTTTCTGTGTTCAATTGCCCTGGTTGCTGCAAGACCTTGGAGAGCACTATGGACTTCAACATCTACTACTTCTGTTTAGAGAAGTCTGCCCTTTTCCCGGTATACTTCTTGTGTAGTGCCGCCTTTCCTGATGGTATAACCCCATCCAGTGCGGGTTGTGCCTTGGTCGTCCAATTGTGATCCATCTGAATAGATAACAAGGTCAGTGTTCACATTTCTCTCTTATAGCCATTGCTTAAAGAGCTCTATTTTTTTGTCTTTGTCTTTGCGGATTAGGGCCTCCTTTTATAATGGCCTGGTAAGTGTTGGTCTCTGGAAGTCAGGGACTAGCTGGAAGCTCCTTTGTAGCCTTGTTGGATTCTTGCGAGCTTGTATTTGGAGCCTGCCAACAAGAGGGTGTCTTTGGTCTATTCGTCCTAGTCAAAAGCCGTGACGTCGTCTTATTGACTCTGCAAGAACTCCTACTGGGGGAATCTGCGATTCAAAGTATAGGATATGTCCAGGGTGTGTTTTCCAGACTGGCAAGATAGCCCTGATTGCCGTTTGTAGTATAGCATCTATTGTTCCAAGAAGCCCCTTAATACAACATGCTGATGTCCCACCTAAGCTTCCAACTTTCTCGATTCATGGGTACCAGGCCTCCAGGCCGTGTGTAAGAATAGGAATAACACAAGCTTTCACAGCCCTCTTGGTTGATTTTACTGGAAGTCCTTTGACTGTGTTGTATAGTCCTCAAAGGTGATTTGCTACCTTATTAGCTTTCTTGGCCCAGTAGGAAACATGATTTTTGAAGTTTAGTTTTCTATCCAGGAAGACACCAAGCCATCGCATGGAGTCCTTTGTTATTTTATTCATTGTCCCGTGGCGGACTAGAGGGTTGTCTGAGTTCTTTTTCCTTAAGAAGTGCATGATCTCAGTTTTATTAGGGTCAAATTCAATAGCGTTGTTATGTCTCTATTGACTGAGCAAGTAAAGATTTTTAGAAGCCTCTATAGCTGTTTCTTTAAGGTTCTTTCCAATACAGAGAGTCGCTAGGTCGTCTGCATATCCAAAACGTCTCTTTTTTATACCAAATCGGGCACAGATTGGCTCTGTATACAGCATGTAAAGGATTGAAGAGGCTGGTGAGCCTTGTGGTAGCCCACAAATGAGAGCTTTAATATTAGTCACAATACCTTCAAACCAAACCCTTGCGGACCGCTCGGACATGAATGACTGGACCCATCTTATGAGAAAGCCCGGCCAGCCCTGTTCTCTTATGCGAACCACCAGCCGTCCCATTAGGGCAGCATCAAAGGCCCCTTTCATATCTGACGTGACTACTGTTGCAACGAGGCCTTGGTTGAGGGCCTGCTCAATATCGTGTATGAGTGCAGCTACCAGGTCAGTGGCAGAGCGCTTTGGTAGAGCTCCAAAATGTTGTGGAGCTAGAATTCCAAGTTTGATAACAAACCAGGTAATTCTTTTTGTGATGAGTCGTTCTAGGCCTTTGCCAAGACATGATAATAGCGATACTGGTCTGTAGGCCCTGGGATTGGAATAGTCTTTCTTTCCTGGTTTTGGGATCATCACCATTTCAGCTATTTTGAATGGTTTAGGGTGGTGTCTAATCTGTAGACAGGTCTGGAAAAGGGCTCTGATATGTTCCCCAATGAATGGCCAGCAAGCTTTCAGAATCCGTACTGTGAGGGTATCTACTCCCGGGGAGTTGCTCTTGGTCCCTAAAGTGCACCCTTCAGCCTCTTCCAGTCCGACATGGTATTTAAGGGGGATATATGGCTTGGGTTATGTGATCTGAGCGGACCAGGGGTCAATGATATCGTTATCTGAGGTACTTTGTTCAAGCGTGGCTAAGCGTAATGTATTTGCCTTGCTCTTTTGTGACTCGAATATTTGGTCTCCTATGATGATTAGAGGGGAACGCAATCCTGCTAATAACTTGTGCCAAGAGACGATTCTGTATAGGTCCTTTGGCTCAGTTGCTGAGTCAATTAGAGTCTGCCAGTACTCTCTCCTAGCTTTCCGAACCACGCAACAAAATTCCCGTCGGGCTGAATTCCGCCCTGCTTGGCTTGTAGTCTGTTTAGAAAGGGCCCTGTATGTCTGAATAGCTGCTTTGCAGTCATCATTCCACCAAGCAATGGGCCTAAATTATCAGGGCTTCTTGCCCACTGTCCTGATATAGTTTTGGATCATGTTGATCAAGCTTTGTGTAAAGGCATCTACCTGGTCAGGGGATACACCCAGCCGTGGAAGTTCATGGATCCTGGTTTGGACATTGTCTGCCAGCTCTTATAGTTTATCGTCTGGTACTATCCAATGATTGGCCTTAGGGATTCGGTCCAGATCTCCGTGAATTAGAATGACTATTCGTAATGTCTCATGATCTGAGGTGCATTGAAGTGCATCATTGACTGAGGCTTCAGCCATGGGGACATCTGAGAACACCAGATCTAGTACATTTCCGTCATCATGTATTGGAACATCTGGTTCAGAAATCAGATCCAGTCCGTGGTCTGCCATAGTCTGTGCAAGTATGACACCACCATGATATCCTGGATTGCTCGAGTCCCAGGATGTGTCGTCAGCATTGAAATCTCCAGCTATAACGCAGCCAAAAGGTGGAGTCCGTACTTCCAGAACATTATCCACTTCCTGTGGGTTGTCATATGGCTGATAGACACTGGCAAATGTAATGCCTTGTACCTTGACCTAGGTGATGTCTTGTGTAGCATAGGGCCGAAGTTGATCCGCTTAAAGGTGTTTTCTTACATAGATGAGAGATCTGGGCCGTGTACTGTCGCTGTCCCAGGAATCCATTGGGGAGTATATATTGTAATTGGGGTGTGTCTTTACTCCCATTCTCCTGCCTGGTGGTATGCCAACCCAGGGCTCTTGCATCAGAATGATGTCTGCTTGTTCTCCTTTGTAGTCAGCCAGGTTGATGGCTAACTCTGTAGGGCCTGCACTCTTTTGTCCTCTTGCTGTATTCATAGAATGGATGACTAGATGCCTGTGTCGATGTGTTTCGTTTGATGTACCTAACATTGACTGACAACAATGGTATCGGCATCTCTGGGATGAGTTGTATCTGTTGTGTCGATTTGCATTGTGGTGTCTTTGTTATTGTTGCTGGGTGTTGACCCAGCTTGGTTTCTCCCTGTTTCATTATAGGCCTTGGATCTGGCTCTTTCCCCGGCTAGCCTTATTTCCTGGATTTGCTCCCATGTGTGCTTATGGATGGTACCTTTCACAACCTTGGGGCGGGCAGGGCATTTATTGAAATTGGCAGCATGAGGTCCTTTGTAATTGACACACTTTGGGATTGGTTTTTCGCACTCTCCCTGGTGTACTGTGTTGGCGCAGTGTGCACATACTTGCTTTTTGCATCGGTAATTCCTACCATGGTATCTGAAGCAGCTTGCACACTGGTGAACCTTGGGGGTGTGTTGAATATGCCTTGAGGTCATTGAGTGGGCAAAAAACATGAATGGTTTCCTTGCTACACTGGGCAGAGAGATTATCCATGTAGTTTCTGGATCAGAATCAATCGTGTTCTTTGAGAGTATGCACCTCAGAGGTCTGTCGCCTGTTTGGGCTTCAACTTCATCGGCAACAATAGTGTCAGTAATATCAATTATGAACCCTTCTGCACTGATGACCTTTCTTGGGCATCCATTGACCTTGTAATGATGCCAGACTGTGTGGGTCTCAATCTTTTGTGCCTTGAGAATGTCGGCAATTTCTTCTTGGAAAGCCAGAAGCTTAGCCTGAGTTGGCTTGTCCCTTGGGTGTAAGATAAATCCAGAGGGGCACCGGGTCACTTCTCTAAGCTCTTGAGAGTGGAGCTTAAGTCTTCTGTTTAGTGTAGACTTTATTTCATAAGACTCTAAGTGGTTATTATCCATACAAATAAAGACCCAGAGATCATCCTGTTTCTTCTTTAGTTGGTTAGCAGTGATAAGGGCGCCAGGCTGTGTTTTCCTTATGGTAGTGTTGACTGTCCGTGGATGCTGTTGCTGGCTAAAGGAGACAGCTTGGGCGAAGGTCATGGTGGGCTTCACTATCCTTATCCCCCCAGGAATGGTCTTCCTTTTGGGCAGATCTCGGGTTTCTAGCTACTCGTTCAGGCATTTAGAGAAAAAAGTACTGAACTCCTTGGCATAAGAGTATAGTTCGGTTCTAGCTTTCTTAAGTGTCTTATCAACCGCTGTAACACACTCTTAAAATATTATTATCCTGGTTTTATAGAGATGCTTGTCTTTAGCCAGTATTTTGGTAATTTAATCCTGGCACTCTGAGGAAAAGGCTTTATTCCCTATATCGCGTGTAATGGCTTGATCTATTAAGATTTCGTTTAATTGAGGTCGTTTCATTCCAGTAGTGCTGTTATCATTAATATTTCAGGATTTTCCTTTCAGAGGGGAAATAACGGTAAAGTCAGCCTCAGAGACCTGTGACGGGCTGCTGCTGATGTCGTCAAGCAGTGCCTGGCGGAGCCTGCTCGGAGTTGCCCGGCCGTATGTCTTTCTAGGGGCCGGGGATTTAAGCATGCTGCCAGTGGTCGTCTTTGGGACGGCCATGGGCGTGTTTGGGGGCCCGTTGTGGAAGGGTGCCATCCGGCTTATGAGAAAAAAAATTTTGTGCCTTGGCAGAGATAGTCAGTTACGGAGAGAAGTGCCTGCTTTAGTGCAAATATCGAGGTTGCGCCCTAACAGCGGGGCGCCAAGAAAAATGAGCCGAAGCTGGGTATTGAATCGCACCGCCCCAGAACTGAGGTTGCGGATATGTGATAAGATCGAAGCGGGTGACGATCCCAAAATTGCTTTGCCCTCCTTTGAGGGCGCGGAAGAGACGGGGATTTGAGGTGGCGTTCGCGTCGACGATTGTGCCGTTTGCCAGTACAACCTGCATGTTCGCGACATTGTCGCAAGAGAACCCGCACCGCGGCGAAAAGAAGGACAAACCGCCTGCGAACATATGTCATTAGTTTTGAGGATCGAACATGGGCAGTAGGGTCATTTGCGTACCTCCAGTTATGAAGCCCCCTAAACCTACAGAGGCAACCCGGGCCCCCACAGCAGTGCGATTCAGGGGGTCGAGAACCTTATACACATCGTTCCAGAGTGCACCGGTGCCAACAGAAACAACGCTTGAATTTCCTCCTTGCAGGGTGATCTCATTCAGCCCACGTAGATCGATGGTAAACCCATGATCTGTGTTCGAAAAGCCTGGATTCGGAGAATGACCTCCGCTCCTCAAAGCAACCTGGCCAGTTGCGCATGGACCAGTTGCTTTTACGATCTCGGCCACCTCTTCTACTGTAGTTGGCGCAAGGATGTAGGCTGGGCTTTGGTGTTCACCGAGGAAGAAGTATGAGGAGATTGAGTCATCGTAATCGGGGGTGCCTGGGAGGAAAACCTTCCCAGCATATAAAGAGGTTAGGTTGGAACACGCAGTGAGAATCCCGCTTGGCAAGAAGAAGACCGCAAAGAGCAGAGGAGTCTGCTGAGAAGACAACATTGTGGAGGCTCCAAAAAGAAACGTTATCAGGTGTCGAGGTATCGAATAGACTGGTTGCAGTGAAGGGAGGGTACCACGTATGTCTAACGGAAATAGCGGAGATGCTGGTCTTCAAGAAGTCAGAAGGCAATAGGGGGGGAACGGGATGCTCAAGCTCAGGCGATTGCCGTGAATAGCAGGTGTCGGGTGTTGCAGCTGAGCAGCAGGCTTTGGATTTTGGCATGGTGTCATTGTTGGAATGGATCTCTTGACAAGGTTTGGTACTAACTTGTACTTGGTAATCCCTGACACATTTGCATCGCCACGAACCGGTTCCTACAACACCCGATGCAGGTACTCCTGCAGGAGCACAGGCGGTACCAGAGCAGTGTGCCAGCACAGAAGCTGGGGCATGGGACTGCAGGCTCGGTATCGTTGGTCTTGGTGTTAAGAATAGAAACGAGTGGCTCGGATATGAAGTCCTTGACAGACACGTCACATCGGTCCTCCAATCAGTTGAAGCTCACTATTCTAAGCGATACTACCACATGTTAAGAGTGGCATGATTTGCACGCGAAGCGTGGCATTTGCTGCAAGTCTCACAAGGCTCGAGGCCTAGAAACTGGGCTGGTTGCATCGTCATTATCAATCGGCGCCACATTCATACCTCCCTAAGCAGACGGGGCTAGGTCTGAGATCACATTCTATTCGACTTGCTCTAGGCTCAGTAACACTCATCACCTCGACTACGTTCCAATGCTACCCAACCTCAGCTGCTGAGATAACATGACTGGAGCTACGTCGAGTACCTACATCCGTGCCTGATACCAGGGCACCCTCACAGTATGAACAGTCGCATATACGCAATGAAGGCTGTATAAAGGCATAAAATAGTATCGCATGTGATCTACATAAATGAAAAACAAGCATTACTCAGATTGCTCAAGGGCGATACCACTCAGACTCGGAGGCTCATCAGGTCTGATGTCTGGCTTATTTCGCCAATGCATCAAGTCCAGTTCCCATGACAGCTCCAGCATCCTATCCTCGGTTAGCATATTCGAGTGGGGGGGTGAACTTAGCTTACCATCGCGGACTGTGGCACTGCTACCGCTGTTGTGCTCATCTTCACACCCTCGACGTTTTGGCCATACCAGAAACGACCCGTGGCCCGTTGCGTAATCTGATCAACAACGGCTGCGGCATACTCCAGTGTGTCCATTTTGGGCATGCCATCAAGACCCCGTGCCCGACCAGCAATCGTATCCTCGATAATCTTGTACAGCGAGTTCGCTGGGAGCTCGAAGTTTCCGAATGACGTCTGACCCATGGTTTTGACCCCGCCTGTAACAACTTCAAGCACGTCGACTCCGAAAGGAGCCAGCTCTATATGTATATCAATATGATATCCAAAGATCCGCATGAACAGCTTCTGGTTGAGAAATGAAGCATAAAGAGAGAATCTGCTCGGGAGAACAGGGCTTGTGTGAGAAGAGGGATGGACTTGGACTCACCAAGTCGGAGAGTGTCAGCCACGATCTCTATCGACTTCTTAGAGGCCGAATAGGTTCCTTGCGCACCGTGTCAGTGTTTAAAGGCGTATCATCAAAGACAGAGGCACGTACCCATGTACGGGATGTTGAGATATCCAGAGATCGAGGTCACGTACACCGCCATACCCTTCGCTTTGATAAGCAACGGGGCAAAAGCTTGAGTCAGAGCGATGGGGCCAAAGAAGTTGATCTCGAAGAGTTGCTTGACTCTCTCAAGGTCCTCATTTAGGATGGGCATGAAGTGGTTGCGTCCGGCGTTACTGATGAGATAGTTGAGAGTGCCGCCAGTCGAACTGGTGACTGCCTCGACAGCAGCCCTGATATCAGCCGGTTCAACCACATCGAGCTTCAGCAGTGTTACGTTCGAGAGGCCCTTCAGACTGGACATCTTGGAGGGATCGCGGGCTGTTGTGAAAACGTGGAATCCACGCTTTTGGAAGAGTAGGGCCTATGCAGAGCCAATGCCGCCATCGCTACAGCCGGTGATGAGGATAGTCCCGCTGGAGGGCATGATGAGACTAGATGCGCAGGATCTCTGGGTAAATGGTATGAGATTAGCAGGGGGCGGGAGGCGAACGAGAGGATAGTAGACGTGAATAGTAAGACTTGCAGTGATATGCTGATGGCACTGGAGTCAGAATCGACGCGAGGGTAGAGAAGGAGCGTTTGTGCGGTTTAAGAGGCAGTACCTCTCAAGCAAGAACATCAAGGTGGGGAGAGGGAGATGTGAGAGTCCTGCTGACAAACGAGAACAAAGACAACGAGAGCCAAGTCTCCGTGGACCGTAGAGCTGCAGTCGCACAAGAGCGTGGTCTAGGGCGGTATGACGTCCCGTGATTCGAGGCAGGCTACCGATGCTACCTATCCAAGGTCGAGGCCTTACATGCTGGGCCCCAATCGAAGACTGTAATCGCGGGTAGTCAACGCAAGTCGAAGTCCAGCGTAAAGCCCAATGTCTGGTACAGCTTTGGAGCAGACAGTACATACAAGCACGCAAAGTCTTCATCTGCTTCGCAATCCTGCACGACCTCCCAAATTCTACGTGTACATTCCAGGTCCCCTTGTCGTGTGTCGCTCATATCCCGTTCCTCTTCCTCTTCAACAGTAAGAATCTCCGCGCCCCAACTTGAGATCAAAGCAGGTGTGCTTCGCATACTTTCGTGCTTAGCTATCCACTTCTTCTCTCAGATCTCGCATCGCTGCTCTCCCCTCCCTTGCCGTTTGGATACTTGCTCGACCACTACTATTCATGTAAAGGCTCTAGCAGCGATTCATTCTATCTCCATCCTCATCGGACGATTGTATCAAGTCGTTCATCATGGCAGACGCCCTTGCTACCATGACGCCTGAACAGTTGTCTATGATACCGGCAGGAACACCGCCGCCTGGCGTCATACCCAACTTCATCGACCCTCCTACAAGCGCACCAGTCTTGATTGCAGTGGGTACTGTGCTTATGGCTATCATGTTATTATTCGCCGGCATCAGGTTCTATGTCAAAGTGATCATCCGCCGCAAGGTGACTCCTGATGATTGTGAGCAGCCCATTCCATTCAAGATTAGCCATGCAATCGTCAACGCTGTACTGACGGGTCTGAACCAGGGACTACTCTGGCTGCCGTGGTCAGTCTTCGACTGCTTTCGGAGATCCAGCAACACTTCGGAAAGGCTAACGTTGGTTGCTCCTAGATCGGGACTTGTTGGTATTATGGCATCTGCATCCACGGTACGAATTCCGCTCGTTCCCAGTCACTGTGTTACGAACACGAACAGTGTTCAGCCGTTACACGTGCGAAATTTGGCACGCATATGTGGGACATCTCCGTGGCTCATACCCTCAGCGACGACTTTTTGATAGTAAGATATGATTCTCAAGTAGGCCACTCTGAGTTGTTCCGACTGAAAGACTCCAGGCCAGTTTCTTCACCAATTGGCCCTCTGGCCTCGTACGGGCATTCGCCAAGTCATCCTTCCTTCTCATGTATCTTCAACTCTTCAGTCCTTGGGCTTGGCTGCGGCGGAGTGCCTTCGTCGGCATGTTCCTGAACTGGGGATTCTACACATCAGTCATAATCGCAAGTATCTACTACCAAGCCCCGAACCCCGGACAGACCTGGCAAGAAGGATTCACCAACGAACGCTACAACAAGAGCTTCTACATGACTTTACCTATCGCTTCCGGTAGCCTCATCTTGAATACTTACATCTTCGTGCTCCCACTCATCGCCGTGTGGAACCTGCGACTCAGCCCGCGCAAGAAGATAGGCGTCATGGCCGTATTCGCGACCGGTTTGATGTACGCATGTCTCCCACACGTGTCTGGCCGTATGGCGCAATGGTCAAATGCGCCTGGTGTGTTCTCGTTTGTGCGGTGGGCGACGAGAACAAGTGGGTTCGAATCCTGCTATGGCCCCCTTCTGTCCCGGCTTGTGCGAGTCGACAACCAGTATACGACAATGGAGAGGCCCCATTATCGCAGAGCCCGATAGCCAAATAGCTTGTCTCCATAATACCCATTCCTGCGAGGTTTTCCCCCTTGTGGTTTCCCTCGCCAGCAGATAACAAACACCTATTTCATCCACCAATACGACATATATCGAACGACTACTGGAACGATGTGTACACCAGAGGACTGAGGTCTACTGGGTCACTTTGTCACTGGACAGGAGGTTTTTCTGACGGAATCGTGCTTGGGTATTGACTAAAACCATCTGGGCACTCCAGATTGGTACCGCTACAGCGAGGATAGGCTCGTGCGCGGATCTGAATGTATCTAGACTGACACCTCTACAACCTTGCGATGCAATGGCTCTGGGAGGCGTGGTTTGCCCTGTTGAGGGACTGCACCCACGATAAATACAATCAATCAATCAATCCCACACGTGTCTTGATGTTGAGTTCTAACATCAATTGATAGAGCATGCGTCGCTTCTTCCCTCAGTATCTATATCAAACACAAACTCAACAGCCACCTTGACGACTACACATATTGGGTATACATCGTGCTACTCATGGCTTTGGTCGAGATGTGCGTAGGAATCTCTTGCAGTTAGTTGCATGCCATCGGCTGCTGGCTTCTTCAAGAACAAGTCTGGCGGTTTCGGCAACTGGGGCGTCTCTGCGCTCAGCTCATTGCGAAGTCTACTCCGGCACGGCAAGTCCAGTAATGCGTCCAGGGACTTTGAAACCTCCTGGAAGAGCAGTAGATCTAATGCCATGGCCAAAAATGCCCTACGTTGACATTGAAATGGATGGCAGCAGTACTCGTGAGCTCACACATGCGGCATGAAGGGGGTACGACCAGAAACGACATACTCCAATCGGATGGAGGTTGGACCACTGTCAAGCTGGCTGTAGGAGAATGAGCGGAGAGTGTACAACTAGTTTTCATCCTGGATGCTGCTTTGTTATCAATACTGTCTTGAACCAAAAGGCTGAACGTGAACTGCCTCACATGTGCTCTGTGTCAAACAGCATGTATGAGGGTTCATACGGTGATAATCGTGTATTCTGATGATATCTGATGATTGTTGTTGTGTGAAGAATCTGCAGTGGAGTGCTACAGCACACTAATCAGCCCTAACAGCCCTGTTGGTGCACTGCCACGTCCCTGAACGCCACTGTGGCTTGCGCGCCATCCAACACTCTGGCTCCATCCTACTCCAGCGCCTATCGAGCAGGGCACCTCATAATGATTAGTTATTCGAGGATCAGCAATGCAAGCATCTGGCCGACATCAGCCAGTATGTGTCAGATGCAAGCGAGTTCAGATTATTCAGGTTGTCAAGTGTGTTCTCTTCTTCTTCTTGTTTTGCTCTGCTTCTTCAGCGTACAGAGATTGATCATCTGTCTTCTTGGTGGGTCAGATGCCCTGTGCGTCTCTGCCCCACTGGAGATCTTCCGGTGTCTATCTCCGGCTCCCATTCAACAGAAGGCGCACCACCTGCAGGTAAGAGATTTAGCAAAGGTACCTCCGTACCTCGAAAAAATCTGGTGCTGCGGGCCGCACCCATCACAAATCTCAGCTGCACCCCATCTCAATTCTTCTCCTCTCCTCCACAACAACATTCCTTCACCACACTCTGACTTGCGCACCAATCTCCTCCGTAGGATACACACTCTACTAGACGTTGGTCAAGCATACAAGAGCACATGACGCAGCACTGTTTTCTCGGGTTCGAGCCAATTTCTCAGGAATGGCGCCCAAGGATTCAGCGCCCGGTGACGGTGGATGAGGAGACGCTCGCGGAGGGCAGCGCGATGGTGATCATGGTGGAAGAGGCGGCACTGTCCGTAATTCCGACCATGATGCCACACGCAACCCCGGCCGTGGCACTCGCGATTATCCTAGCGGCGAACGCAGTTTCACGCAAGGTATTCAATCGCGCGGTGACCCTGGTGGTAGCGATCGGCAGCGCGGTGCCAGAGGCGACGACGGTCGTCCTCTCGGTCGGAACCGTGACTCCGGTCGTGACGCCAGTGGCTTTCAGGACCACGTACCCAGTTTCTCGCCGAGTGGACAGCGGGGCGGTGGCTCTGGAGGTCTGGCGGACAGCGCGGTGGCAATGGCGGCGGAAGAGGCGGCCGTAACCGTCATTCCGACTGTCGTTACGGCCGTGGCTTTAGCCTTGAGCGAAGAATCACGATACGTGACCCTCCGGTTGGCGAGCCTCACATGCCGTCTTTTGATGGGACCCTTGCAGACATGCAGTGGCTAGCATCGCATACCCCAGCTGGCACCGATCCGTCGCAGATTGTCAGCTACAATGGACCTAGTCCTATCGACTACTACGGACTTGGTCGGTACTACCCGTCTTACGGCGATCGACCGGCTCAGATGTTGCCCAGCATAGAGGCCCCTGGCGACCGATCCACTCGTCAGGACCCGGTCCAGGTGAGTACAGCTCCTCGCTCCGATGACGTTCATTAAAGCCGTCGCGAGTTCGTCTATTGCGACAACTGTGGAATGTGGGTGGCCCGGCCGCAGCTGGTTCGAACCGCTACGCTGTCTGTGGTTTGACAGCTCAAGTAGTTGCGCTGACCGCTCCCCAGACCCAGACTAAGAAGTCGTAGAGGCTTACTTTACTGGTAGGTGCTCCAGCAGTTGACAGAACGAGTTGCACGATTGCCTGGTCTAGGTATTCGACTATTCTGGGGTCACTGACTGTAGTAACCACTGGCTGGATGCATATTCCGTCGTGAGGCTCCTCGTCCCGTGCCAGACACACTCTACGATGTCTGCTCCTCGGGATGCCCTTGCCGGCGGCCATGATAATGCGGAGGAGAGAGCAGAGGATGCAGATGATACCACGCCCCGGGGGCTGAGCTCTGCTCGTGAACAAGGAAATGTTCGTCTCGTGCTCCATCCGAAGACTTTCTAGTGAAACTCCGTGATAATGTCTTGCATTAACGTGTTCCTTATATTATTATTTTCTGCTTCTTCCACTGTCAATTATGTTGTCGGCCCGCTGGTCTCACGGCTGAAACATTTTCCAGTCGGACTGGACAATATACAGACGAAACGTACGGGCTCATGATCGCGTCAATTTGAGGGTATCTAGAATGCAACCGAAACGCCTACTCTCTAAACTATTCCTGACCGCCTTCCACGACCCCTCTCCTCAGCCAGCGAATTTCCCCTGCCGTGGGATCCATGATCGTCGCAAAATGGCTCACTTCGTTCATCGTCGGATACTGTGAAACCCACCTGCGCAGTGTACCCTCAGTGATACTGGGTCGGTGCTCTGCATCCACGACAGGTAGGCTGTTCGCTGATATTGCCGAGTTCTTAACTGGAGCTCTCTGCGTGTGGCGTCTCCATCTCTTGGCGATACACTCCAGGCGGTCTACCGACTCGTCGATCCACCCCTCAACCTCGAACGACGATGTGATGATCTCGCGACGGTCCGCGCGGGGCTCCTCGTCCGTCTCCTGGGATGTCTTCTTTTCATCCTGGTGGTCATGGTTCGTCTGCGCAATGAAGTCTGTCGAAGTCCTGATTCTTCCCGTCTTGTAGTCCTTTTCGATGACAGCGGCTTCACGACCGTCGCAGAGAATCAGGTAGCAAGGGGCGCTTAGTATGGAGGCCAGAGTCTTTGCTTGCGCGTGGATTTTCGAGACGGGCTTTTCTGAGATTTTGGGAGGGTTCTCCTGTGGCGACTCTTTTGCTTTGGTGTGCGACTGGAGAGGCTCGAGGATGGTAGACCGCACGATGGAGCTGATTGATTTGCGCCTACCGAGCACAACGAGCAGCTGGTGCCAACGGACGCTCTTACTGAAGTGCGAGTCGTGATTCGGGCGGAAGTTGAGAGATATCGACAAGTCCTTCCTGTACCGACATGTCAGCATATGAATAACCATGGTTTCACGCCATGACAATACTGACCTTACAGCCGTGAGCATCCCGACGAAACCGGCGTAGGTGATCGATCTCGCAATAACCCGATCTGGAGCATCCGATGACGAGTCCACGAATTCCAGCACGACGAGCAGATCGCGAAGCTCATCCATACCCCAGTCCAAAGTCCTGAAGTGCATGAGCCTCGGCTGGCCGTCTTCGGCAAGCCCTTGGTCGCCTCGAGACGACGAGCTCGACTTAGACTTGGTGGACTGCGACACGGGAACCGCGCCAGAAGTGCAGCCCAGCAGAACGTCCAGCAGGCTGTTCAGGGCGACCAGCAGGTACAGGGGCACGCCAGAAATCTCGGCGATGCCCCTGATCTCCTCGTTCTCCTCGTCGCCGTAGACGCGTCGCAGACACAGTTTCGACAGCGTCCCAAGCATGGAGCGCATCCACGACGCGGCGATGAACATGGCCAGCAGGTCGTCGAACAGGGAGGTCAGGGACCGCATGCGCAGGCCGAACCGCTCGACCACCTCGGTGTAGCGCTGGCGGGGTGGGCGTGCCAGGTCGATCTTAAAGGTCGGGATGGGCTGGGCCGCACCCTCTGGCGTCGACATGGTGGCGGTTCCTCTGGACGAGGTGAGTGATGGGGTTTCCGCGGTGTGAGGTCGGGCGGGTAGGTATGTTGACGAGTTATAGAAGGCGAGTGAGCGCAGATGGGAAGAGGTCTCGGTGTGCTACCATACTCAGGCAGGAATGAGTCACGTGCAAGGCGCAGCGAACGACACCAGATCAATCGCATTGAATGAGATGATCTGGCAAAGGGGTTGGAATTTGTCTATAGAAATGCTCATCTAAAGGTAGGTGATGGAAGAGTGGCCGCCGTCGACATTAAATGTATTCTCTGCACAATCACTTTCGAGTAAAACGTTGAAATAAACATGGACCGGGATAAACACCGAGCCGCCGCTTATACCGCTGCAAGTCATTCCGTCCCCCGTCTGCTTTCGCTACCTTATTTATAGAGTCGCGGACCAGCCGTCCAATGCCGTTACCCCACGCCGTGTCACAAGGCAAGTGGGATGTTCCAATGTGACTGTTCAGGGCAAAACACATATGTGTGCTGTAGCTGGCGACGATCCTGTGTCAGACACACGACTCCTGACTTGGACAGTAATAAAGTCCTCTTGTAGGGAGCTTAATGAAGAGTCAGGCAGGCCGCGCATTGAGTAGGAAATAGGGGCCAGCGGGCGATGGCCGCTAACCCAAGCCACCGGCCGCGGCGCCGGGAAATCTAGATTGACGCGGGTCAATCTTAGGGATGCGATGACGCACAAGACATTGGCGCGATCTGAAGAAGCCCTGAAATTTGAAAGACAGCTGAACCTCGTTGAGAACACAAAGACTACTAGTAGGTCGAAAGATAGACATTTGCCACATTTAATCCAGCTCATTCAAATCTGTCTCTTCTTCTCGCCGTCACCTCATGCGCGTCCGCGTCACACTGTCGCGTACTGTCTCGCTTCACCAGAAGCTCCTGAACCAGCTACTAACTACCTATACTTACCCGACGCGGCTTCCGCCAACCATTCAATACGCACACTCATATCGCGAAAGCAGCGCTGCTTCGAAAATGCCTCCAAAGAAGACCGTGAAGCGGAAAGCCATAGTATCCAGCGACGTCAACGGCCACCCCATCAAGAAAGCCAAGCTAGACATCTCCTCACCCGACGACGATCCCCTGCGCCAACCCCATCACTTCGCGCCCGAGACCGAAGAGCACGGCATCGTGCTGCGGAAATACTACCCGCCAGAAATGAGCAACGCGCGCGCCGCGGCCTACAACCACGACGCCCTCCCGCGCCCCATCGAGCAGCTCGTCGCAGCACAAGAGGAGACCGCCGAGGCGCGCAGGAGCACCAAGGTCAAAGATGCCGTGATCCACTGGTTCAAGATGGACCTAAGGACAACCGACAACCGCGCGCTGTGGGAGGCCAGCGAGAAGGCGGCGCAGGCGGGCGTGCCGCTGATTTGCATATACATGGTGAGTCCCAAGGACTTCGAGGCGCACCTCACGGCGCCCGTGCGCGTCGACTTCATGCTGCGGACGCTCGAGGTCCTGAAGAGGGACCTGGCGGCGTTGCACATACCGCTGTATGTCGAGACGGTCGAGAAGCGCCGGGAGGTCCCCGAGCGCGTGCTCGACTTCATGCAGGAGTGGGGCGCGAGCCATCTGTTTGCCAATATCGAGTACGAGGTCGACGAGCTGCGGCGAGAGGCGAAGATGATCCGGATGTGCGCTGGGAGGGGGCTTACTATGGAGGTTTTTCATGATACTTGTATTGTGCCGCCTGGCGCTCTGGCGACGGGGGCTGGGAAGCAGTATGCCGTCTACTCGCCCTGGTACCGGTCCTGGGTTGCGCATGTACATGCGAATCCGGACCTGCTGAGCACTTTCGAGCAACCGACTGCAAACCTGCCCGAGGCTCGAGACAAGGTCGCCGCATTGTTTGATGGCGAGATACCCGACGTCCCGCATAACAAGAGGTTGTCTGAGGAAGATACGAAGAGATTTCGCGCGATATGGCCAGCGGGAGAACGCGAGGCGATCGATCGGCTCGAAAAGTTTTGCGAGGAGAAGGTTGCGCAGTATACAAAGAGACGCAACTTCCCGTCGGATCCCGCAACGTCCAATATTTCGGTGCACCTGGCGGCTGGAACTTTGAGTGCGAGGATGGCGGTGCGTACCGCGAGGGATAGGAACAAGACCAAGAAACTGGATGCTGGTGTTGAAGGCATCCAGACGTGGATTAGTGAGGTGGCGTGGAGGGACTTCTACAAGCACGTTTTGGTCAACTGGCCGTATATATGGTAATCTACCGACACCCCATCTGCGATACGGCTGCACCTTGCTAACAGCTCTACAGCATGAATAAACCTTTCAAGCCCGAGTACTCTAACATCGAATGGTCCTACAACGCAGCGCACTTTGACGCCTGGTGCACAGGACGCACCGGCTTTCCCATCGTGGACGCGGCAATGCGCCAGGTTCGGAGCATGGGCTGGATGCACAACCGCTGCCGGATGATCGTGGCGTCGTTTTTAGCAAAAGACTTGCTCGTCGACTGGCGCATGGGCGAGAAGTTCTTCATGGAGCACCTGATTGACGGCGACTTTGCGTCCAACAATGGCGGCTGGGGCTTCAGCGCGTCCACGGGAGTCGACCCGCAACCCTACTTCCGTATCTTCAACCCGCTGCTGCAGAGCGAGAAATTCGACGTCGACGGCGACTACATCCGCAAGTATGTGCCGGAGCTTAGGGACGTCAAGGGCAAAGCTGTGCATGACCCTTATGGTAGGGGCGCGGGCCCACAGGCGAGAAAGGCCGGATATCCAGAGCCCATTGTCGTTCACAAGGATAGCCGGGAGCGGACTCTGGCTGCGTACAAGGCCGGTCTTGATCGAGATAAGCCGTAAGAATCAGGCAGCGCCATCGTCTGCATGGATCCATATAGAGAAATGCCGTTTCGCCGTCGAATCTTCCAAGTAAATTTACCCCGGAATAACTGCTTGCGCGAGGTAAGTGTCTCTAGGGCCGTCAGCGAACATAAACACCAATAGGATCACTCATACACGCGGACCAAGTTTGGCGGGCGACGCAAATGTGCTGACATATATGTATGACCGGTATCTGTGCCATGATGAACAGCTCGAGCATCACAGCTTTTTCACGGCCATTAATATCAATCTTCGGCACGGAAGCTATCGAGGTAGCTCCAGACTCCTCGCCCATAGGTCACCCGGGAGTGGATGCGAGAAGACTTCGCCAGCCGGGTACGGTTTCCTTCACACGACCAAGCAGTATTTCACGGAGTCGGACAGGTTGGGTATGGATCGTTTCGCATTTGTGTCCCTGGAGTCGTCTCGGTGTCTATCCGGCTAGATGCAATATTGAAAGCAATCCCATGCCAACCATGTGGTCATGATTTCCCCGTGAACACCAAAACCTGCTGCAATGTCAGTCAGTCAGCCAACGTAGACACACGCACAGCGGCAGCGACCGAGCATGAAGAATGCCTACCAGCCTATGATCAAATCCCTTATCGCTGGGCGCTCCAGACGCTCTTGACGAGACCATCGCGTTGGACCAGTCTGTTCATGGCGTCGTCGCTCTCTCCCATAGCCCGCACGAAACCGCACAGGGCGTATACATGGTTCTCGCCCTAACCGTGGTAGTCAGCCTGCTGTTCTTCCCTTCGCTCATTATCTCGTAGATGTACCTGGACTTGTCGGCCGCTCTCGTCAACCTTGGCGATCGAGATCTGGACGGAAGCGTGGTCCTATGGATGGGCGGTCAGTCTCAGTGTTCCGATCGAATTCAGTCGAGTGACGGTTCGAGGCGATTTACCTTTGCCTTGATGATGCTGCTGCAGTGTCAGCAAATCCGAACAACTTCCACAGTCCAGCTCTTGAATACATACCGGTTGGTGGCGCTGCACTTGCGCGGGACGTAGCTAGTAACCCAGAGTCAGTCGTATGTCTGCCTGTCGAGCTTGACGCTCGGTCGGAACGAGGGATGCGTACAGGTCCACGATTTCTCCCTAGTATGACACCATGTTAGTTACCGCATACCCTTGCGGGGAGGGAATGAGATGCAGCAATTACCTTGTCGTTCTCCATGGCTGCGACTGACTGGTGATGCGAATTGAGGAAATGGGTAGGTTCGTGGGAGTTTGCGGTGTAGTTCGTGGTAGTGTAATTGTCTGTCGCAAGAGAGATTTCGCTGGCTGCAAGATGGGACAGCCCAAATCGAACAGGCGCTAGTAGCAATTTTGACCCCTCGTAGAATGTTGGTGGACGTGGGGTTCTCGCCTGCAGGTCATGTGACTTAGACTTAAGAGATCACGTGCTTTCGAGTCGGTTTCGCGAGGAACCGGCACAATCGATAGCGTAGCCCTGCAACTGGTCGCAGCTGGGGCAGCTGGGGCAGCTGGTCACGGTCGACTGGCGCTGCGGAAGCCAAGACCGAAATGCGCCTCATTCTGACACCACCCACCCAGACAGACAACAGACTAAGCCACGCCCAGGTTTGAATCTATTCGCCAGTATGCAGCATTGACGGTAAAGTTGCCACTCGGATTACGATATTTCACTCCACCCTGTTGCTCGTTCGCTCCCTATTTCGCGCCCGGCGCATGCCAGTCCCCTTTCGACGCCGGCCCGCCATGTCCACAGCCGATGTATTCATGTCGTCTCCCCCGCGACCTGCCAGATTCGACCCCTATGCAATCTCTTCATCTTCGCCCTATTTACCTTCAATAGACGAATTATTCTCGAAAAGCCAGAAGAGACCGTCCCTGCGAAGCGAAAGCCATGTCGCCCCGATACCTGCCAACGCGCGGACTACCTTTACCAGCGCGGCTAGTCTACTGAGGGACGCGCCTGAAATCGACATAGAGACAGAGCAGATAACGCAGTCGCCCCCGCGCAAGCCCAAGTCCAACCGGGGTCGAAAGAAGAAGGTTGCGAGCCCCGAACGAGCCCCTTTCGAACTAGGGGATGCACCCGTTCTGCTTGAATCAGTATCACCCAAGGAGAAGCCGTGGCAGAAGTTCAGCAGCAAAAGCAAAGAACCTGTTTCGCTAGACGAACAACAGACTCTTCCGAAAGGACGGGTGACGAAGGCAATACCCAAGACGAAGCCGCGCCGCAAAGCTGAGACAATGTCCAGGCACTTCGCCAACAAGAAGGTTGATGCAGCAAGATCAGATGACGAGACGGGGCGCAACGATGGGAAGTATGGCGAAACTCTGGAAATTGATCCGGCTTCGATATCCGAAGCAGCCATGGCACGGAGAGGCACCTGGACACCCCCGCGGCCCGACAGTCTAATGATTCTCGACTCGGATTCGGACGCTCGCGAACTACTTTCCTCTATAGACAAGGCGGCAACATCCAAGGACGTCTTCCACACGCTGTTCGACCAATACAGTCTGAAAGATGACACTCCTTCCGTCGGATCAGGGCAGCAACCACAAGCAGAGTTCCTGAAGAAGCGAAAGTTGATTGAACTACTGTCTACAACTCATGATGCACCAGCAAGGGAGACATCACCATTGAAGGTCGCGGACAAAACACCGGTGGAGCCGAAACCAAAGAAAGCGCCAGCTGTGAAGAAGAAGGCCAGAACAATTACGGATTTGGCAATGGCACCCTACGCGCTGCCTATAGAGCCCGAACAAGACATTCCCGGCCCTGCTACAAAGGACTCCTTGTTGAAGTACTTCGACGCCGATGGCGATGTCCAGGCTCTTGTTGAGCACCAGACATCAGTCATGTCCCAGAAGAAAGGAAAGGGCAAAGCGACAAAGCAACCTGCCAGGCCAAAACGCAAGACGAAAAAAGGTACAGTGGCGGACCCGATCTTGTTGTCTCCGAGTTCTGCTCTCAAGCAACATTCCAACCAAGACTTTATATTCGGGACTTCGAGTCAGCTGGTTAGGGAGGAGTCGCCTACAACCTTGAAAGATCTCCACCTGGCGATTCAAACGTCCAATCAAGTGGACTCGGATCCCTTTGGTGAGAGCGACAGTCATGGGCTGTGGCATGCTGGTGCCAGGGACATGGACGGAGAACTCATGGATTTGGAAATGGTGGACCTCCGACAGAAAGTGGGCGTTGCTCAAGAACATACGGAGGATGGGCGCGCTTTGCAAATGGCCGAAGATTTCGTGGATATTGACGACATTCTCACCTCGTCAATCACTCATACCAATGCAGCACAATCCACGGCATCCCCGAAGCCCGAAAACTCTCATTTCTTTCAGTCGCAGCCCACTTCGAACGTCGTACCATCAGAAAGCGGCACGTCGGAATCCTCTAAACAATCTACGAGTAAACCACGTCCGAAGTATGAACTATTCACCGATGCTCAACTCGCTAAACAGATCACTTCCTTTGGCTTCAAGCCGGTCAAAAAACGACAGGCCATGATTACCCTCCTTGGTCAGTGCTGGGCTAGCAAGAACGAAGATCAGCCAAACCCAACTTCTGCTAGTTCCCCAAGCCCACCAAAGAAGCAACGGACTGTCGTCGCCCCTACCAAGAAGCCCGCCAAACCACGCGGGCGCCCCAAGAAAATCGCAAATACCGAGGTATCGACAGTGGTCGCTTCAACCTCGGAAACACCCAGTCCACCTAAACCTCGAGGCCGTCCCAAGAAGACAGCACCAAAAGCCGTCGAGATAGCTGACTCTGATATGGACGAGCTGGACTCTCCATCGCCAACCTCATCGCCAGATCGGATCTTCTCATCTCCCCCACCGGTCGACCTCTCAACCTCGGACGAGGCCGATATGTCGCTGACGATGTCGCCGACAGACCAACAAGCCCACCTGTTCACGCTCATCACCAAATCAGTAAAGTCCGCGCCACGCTCCACAGATCCTTCGAACCCGTCATGGCACGAGAAAATGCTTTTGTTCGATCCGATCATCTTGGAGGATCTTGCTTCCTGGCTGAATGGAGGGGAGTTGACTCGGGTTGGATATGATGAGGAAGTGTCGCCCTCGGATGTAAAGAAGTGGTGCGAAAGCAAGAGCGTTATCTGTCTTTGGAGGGCAAACTTCCGCGGAAAGGAGCGAAAGCGTTATTGAATCATGATGACGATTGCATACGGAGCGTCATTGGGTAATTCACATCCATAGGTTTCTATAAGCCAGGGAATTCTCATTTGTTCTACAATCTGATGCTATCGCAGGGACATGTTAGGAAGCTTACAGGCGGGATTGCAGCACTTGTCACAACTTGGAGACTCAAAGACAAGCATTCTTCGCCACCGCAACCGGGTGCGTGGAATCTGCAAATCAGTGCATAACAACATCCCAAACAGAAGGACTGGGCCGGGCAGACGTTCCTGGACCGTCGCCAGTGGAAGGCTCTTCTCCCATGTGAACGTCTGCTGTCTGTTCTTGTCCCATGATATTTAACATCCCCAAGGCCTGATGGGCAACTGTCATGGACGCGGGAGGGATTGCCGGCGTCACAGTCTTCGAGAGAGTCTGTCGAGCCGCTTGTGACTCGAGTGCTTCCGCCGCCTGGTGAAGGTCACCTTGCTGCGAAACAACGACAGCCGGGTCCGGTTCGTTCTGGACACGACCATTGCGAGCGGCCTGCCGACGAAGTTTGTCATAGGCCCGGTGCTCATCTCCACACTTTTTACAGGTTGCACTGCCGCTGGAACTTACGGGAGCGCTGCAATTAACACACTCTCCTGCGGCCGTTCTTGCGATCCTTCTCGCTCTCTGACGATCGGTCCGTATTTTCCGGCGACTAGTGCAGTACTCACACCGTTTTCCGCCTTCAACGGCTAGTCGACCCGGACAGCGTTTGGGGCAGGACATTGATACCGCATCTTTATTACGAAGTGGTCCCTCTTTGGCCCGAGAACGTTCTTCCTCTGCCTTGCGCTTTTCCTTATAAACCGCGTTCGCGTGGCGTTGCTTCTCCTTGCAACCCGGACATTTCAAACCGGTGGCGCCATGGTCGAGGGCCTTTCCGCAGTTGGTGCAGCGGGCCTTGGTTCTGCGGTCGGAATACTTGAGCTTGTCCGCTGCTTCAGAGTCCTCGCAGGTTCGCATGCCCTTCCGATAGGGGGCCTTACCGCAGCGTATGCAGAGATCTGCCATGTAGAAAGCGTCTCTTTTAACTATTAGACTCTGTAACTGCTTAGTGCGTCTGGGGCTGCTTGACGTTATTTCCTTGGGAGCATGTGCATTATGGTTGTTCCCAGCAGCGTCTGAACCGGTCATGGGCGCTACAGAAGTGGGCGCAGGGGAACGGTCTTCTTCGTCGAGAACCCCCTCCTGGGATTGCGTGGTCGACATTGCGGTGTAAAATGCTGCTGTCGTGGAATTACCCAAGTTATCGGCCGAGTATCATCTCGGCGCCGAGACTCCCTCTTATGTCCTGTATGCTTCGGGTACGCCTTTGTGTGAACAATAGTCATAGTTGAGGATCGCGCCTGTCTTGTTCTTTGTGTAATCATGCGAATGACTTTGTGCGGACGGGATGCTGAGTTGTTCTACTCACAAAGCCGGATGAACAAAGCGTGTTTCGATAGACCAGATCTTCAGTTCACTGATGGGCGGGTTGTATAAGCCATTTGTTACTCACCCTTCAGGTGTAAATGTCACTGAGTGGTCTAAAGGCAAGGCGTTGATATCAAGGCTATGTATGGTAGGACGATTCACATGATCCTGGGTTCACATTGCCCACTTAGATGTAATCTTTGGTTTTCAAATGCAAATCTATGATGACAATATTTTGTATGAAAAGCTAACCATTACTGTGTATCACGGGATATGTTATGTACTCCCGCCACTCAGGAGAAGCAATGCCTCCGCAGCATTCACCTCTTCGATAAGTCGCTTCTCAGTCTTCGCTGTGGTTGTGTCATCTAGAGTGTCACTCCGCGGCTGGGTGTTGTTAGCCCGCTTCTTGCCAACTTTTCCTACCCTCTTCTTGGCTACTCTCTGGCCTCGGCCGAAAAGGGGACAATCTGAGCAGATTTCCTTCCCCGGAAGCGCCACATTGGCACAGAAACCACATTCCCCACCTGCCACTCTGCAGTCGTAAAGGGTACGGGAGTACTCCCTGTGGCGCTCGTCGTGCTTCGAACACAGGGTTCTTCTTGGGAGCCTTTGTTTATCACATAACTGGCAGAGAGAAGCATCCCGTCCAGCGGTCATTTGCTATACCTCGCGTCTCTGCTCGTTCATGCGGAACCAGTTCCTGTTATGCTCTCTACAGCTGAAACAGTTCTTGAACTTGCTTGTTTCAAGAGGCCCACGGCACCGCAAACACCGGAGTATTGGCTCTGGCATCGGACCGGATGGTCTCTTAGAAGGCAAAGGTGTTCGCATCTTTTTCGCTTCCAGTGACATGATGATGGTGGATTAGTTAACATTCCGACCCAATTTGACACCGGATGGGAACCAGTAGTATATATATCAAACCGGTATCACCCGATCTCAGCCAGATATGAACAATCCCCATGTAAAGCTTACTGAAAGACAGTGTCTTTGTAGAGGGGACATTGAACAAAGACTGTGAACTATCAAGGAAGTGGTGTTTGTCTTCTTTCTACATCGCGCAGCGGGAAGACCTGTGGAGTCGGGCTGATTCGTCACATATGAAACCCGATTTGGATAACAACGCAGATACCTCGTTAAGTGTATTGTACAGTTACTTGTATTGGTCTTAATTCCGCCGGTGTAATGCCTAACTGGCTCAGATAGGTCATGCGTAGATATCGGGGTTTCGTAGGGATTCGAGTTTATTTTTATTTGTAACTAGTTTTATTTAAGGTTAAAGGCTTACATATATATTGTAAGGTTTCAATGGACGGTACTAACGAGTATTTAAATATATTAATATACTTTATAAATTTAATACAACGTAGCGGACAAGCGAGTTGGCATTACAAGCGAGTTAGCACTCGTTATAAACTTTCCAACCAACACGATTCAAAACATTATATCTCCACCAACAACAATGGCACCATGTTACAATGAATCAGACTTACAGCTAGCTGTCCAAGCTAAACGACGTGACCCTCATATTTCTATATTTCAGCTTTTCACGGCGAGCGTACTGAGGAGCTGGGACATGGCCGGCAGCAAGCAGCTATTACTCTATTGACGAGAATATCAAGACTAGAGAGGAAAGGAAGAGAGAGAGAGAGATAGGTACAGTGGGAGGTTGCCCCTTTAAGGGGATCCTCTGGTCAGATCCTTCCCCTATTGGGAAGTATGCGCTTGTCATGTGGGAAGGTCTGTGCAGGCCGTCACAGGCTCGGGGGTGGTGGCGTCATACATCGTGGCTCACTGAAGTCGTTGAGCCCGGTGAGGAGGTGCCTGCACTTCTAACGGACCCGTTATACTTTGCGAATCAAGCAACTGATGTGATTAAGAGTGTTATTCTAAGTCGTTAGTCATCGTATATTCATGGATAAGTTATAAAGGCTTTAACCCTATACACATCCCAGGATGTAGTGGCAGTGGTATCGAGCGCATGCAGGAGAAAAAGTGTCTTTAGTCATGACGTGTCCGATCTAGGCTTGCCCCTTGAGGCTCAGATCCTAAGTCAATGTACCGGTCGAAGCTAGCGACTGGGCCAGAGCTTCAACTCAACTCTTGCACTGTGTGACACATGAACGTCCATGTATTCCCAAGTACCCTGAAGTGAGGTGGCCACTCCTCGGCGTGGTGTTAGTCCATGTATCCCCAGGTACCTTGCAGCGAAGCAGCCACACCGCGGTGTGGTATTAGTCCAGGAGACTTAACAAGATCGTACTGACCACGTGGCGCCCGCGCCGGCAGTGAGTGACGCTTCACAGCTCCGTGACTTGGACGGATACAGCCCATCTGGCCAAAGATTCTAATCTACTCTCAGCCTTCAACCCTGTAGTTCTCCTTCTGGCGAGGGCGAGAGCCTCATCGTCTCGAGCCGCTGGTAGGTGAGCAGCGTGCTTCATGCAGTTCGACGCGTCGGGAATGTGTTGTATCATTGATTATGCAGTGTAGCCGTAGGTGTAGCGCAGAATGCAGCGGACATGAGCATTCAGTGGCCCTCGTCGTGCTCACGACAGCCTCGGTGCGTCGTTGCCCACAGCGGCGCACCCACCGTCCTATTTTAGGAGCCCAGAAATAAATCCAAAGTGTCATGTTACCAGATGACGTGGTCCGGAATGAGGCAACGAGCCAAGAAACGCCGGACATCGCAACCGTCTGGCAAGGCTGGGGCCAGCCGCGGGCCGTTGAACGGCGCAGACTCGGCTCCTGAAACACCGGCCAAGATGTGATCTCCTGATTGGGCGGGCAATTCTAGACGATGACTATGCAAGGTTTATGGCGGCAGCTGCACGTCTCGCGCATATGCACGAGACTTATACGCGCCGGCATTGTTTCCTGGCTCGTGCATAAGAGGGCGGAATACAGCCGAGCACTGATTTCAATCAGGCCGCCAAATGCAGCGAGCCCATTGCTACACGAGCCCGTCGCAGATCTAGGCTTCTCGTGAGACAAGAGTGACCGGGGTTGAGGGGGGTGGGTTCTTCCCCACGTTCTTGGGTGGAGGAGTGGTTCAGCATAACAGAGACATCGGTAAGGGGCTGTGTCTTGTACAACCGGGACGTTCCCAAAAACTCCACATCGAGTTGCGCAATGGTGTCCCAGCTGCGACTAAATCGATCAACTGCTGCAGTTGTGTCGCGAGATATTCAACGTTAGATGTCACACCGGGTGACCCCCGAGAGGAGAAGGCCGTGCTGCGTAGACCTCACCGATATGCGACGTGAGGCGAAAGTGGCATGCATGTCCACGTCAAGCGTCGTGGTATCGGAGTCAACCGTTGGGAGTTGGGTCTCGAGTAACAATAGGGAGGTAACACTGATGTTACGATAGGGGCTCTGTCATCGGCACGCAGCGACTGTGACATGTTTCATCACGGCCCATTGGCACCAACATCCGAGGTTTTAGGTAACTCGAGCCGGGTAACACGAGTCACAAGCCTGAGGCATGGAGTGGGCGCAACACGTCGGGAAGATGGGAAATTAGGGAAGAAACCATTGAAACAAGGGACGCTAGCTCGCGCTTTGCATTTTCACCTCAGATGTAGGCGCGAATCGGACTTTTGGTCGAGTAATGGCGTGACGACACTCTGGATAATGCACGGGATCACTCATTGGGCTAGAACCGATGACTTGAACTCAACCAGGGTCCCGCCGGCCACACGTGCGTGAAGGATAAATGCACGTTGGGACACGAGCGTTGTGGACATTGATGAACGCGATAGCATCAAATGCGAGGCTCACACAGGTGCCATAGTTGGGGGATATATTGCTAGAAGTATTGATCACGATTGGTGTGATCGTGCTGGTTAGAAGCGTCGCTTCTTCTTCGCTGGCGCCGCCGCTTTTCGTTCGAGTTCCTTCGCCAACTCAGCGCGCTTACGTTCTGCCTTTTGCTCCTCAGTCTCTGGCTCTTCTGGGTCTACGGGTGATTCGGGCCGCGGCCTTTTGGCATCTGCTTGGGGTCTGTGTCTAATTGCTCCGATTCTTCGTGCTGGTGGCTTTGCCGAACCTGCCGCATTGCCTATTTCTGTATCTGATGGCGTATCTTTCCGTTTTTCGGGCGTGGCAGTTGGTGTTTTTGATCCCCCTCCGATTCGACCCAGCCCTCCCCTCCGCTGTGGGGTCGAAGCAGGCTTCGCGGAAGGCCGGGGATGTGCTGAGTTATTGCTATCGGAGTCGGACCCAGTTGCTGTGTCATCGCCATCATGAGGTGGCGGAGGGGCTGGAGACGATGCTTTCGCCGGAGACGGTGATGGCTTCTTATGTTTACTGATAGTCCCTAACAGAGTACTGGGTTGCTTGCGATACGTGGGCTTGATAGGCTCGTCGTCTGACTCTGATGCAGTCTCGTCTTCCTCAGTGGGGAGAGTCCGAGAAGATTGACTCGCCGAATGGTCTTGAGTGACTTTCTTGGTGCCGCCAAGCGCCCCGATGAGCGACCGAGGCTTTTCTTGCGATGGAGCCGGATGACTATCAGGAACAACTTCACTGCTATCGTCATCCGTCATGTCACCGTCGGATGCAATCTGGTTTGGATCATTTCGGGTAAAATGCCTAGACTGTAGATGCGGTGGTGTGGCCTGTACTTGAAAGTCGTCGTCATCCCTGGCGGCGGAAGGCTTCGAATGGGTTGGCGGGGACTCCTGTATTCCTGTTGGCTCCTGTGTCTTCCGAGGTTTGACAGCTTCATTGTTATTGGACCCAAGCTTCGTCCACCAGTCGTTGAGCTGGTCGGAAGCGCCAACCCCCAAGTCTGTATCACGTTCCAGTCCCGCATTCCCGAAGACGCTCTGGATTAGAGTTGTGACGTCTTGTGGGTCGGTCTGACTGACGCTCTGTTGCGCTCTCCAGTCGTCTTCGTGAAAGGGTGCTAGTCCCTTCACTTTGGCCTCTGCTGCTGCCCTCGTGACACTGTGCCTCCCCGAAAATGCATTGAAGACCTGCTCCAGGCCTATATGGCTTGCCTCTAGCTTATCTACCAGTTTTGTGATGATGGCATCTTTCTCCCGGAGCCTGCCCATGAGATCTTCAGCCTCCCGGTTCTGTGCATGATGTCCTTGAACCAGTGGGAGCACAAGTTCCGAGGCAAGCGAAGCCGGCTGACACTTGGTCAGGTACACAGGCCACTTGAGGGGCTTGAGCGGCTTCGGAAGCACGCAGGTGATGTGTAGAGTTAGCCCGCCCTCGGAGTCGGGCGTTGGGGAGGCGCGCAAGCTGAGGCTGGTCAAGTGGTGATCTGGTGAGGCGGGGTCCAAGGCTGCCCCAAGCTTGGACAGGAACACGGCCCACTGTGCTGGATCAGCGTCACTGAGGTCGATGCTCGTGTTTTCCTCCAGGCTTCGCCAGAGGATGGCCCTGCGATCGAGCGACTCGACCCATATGTTAGCGAGGTCGGTCATGTGGAGCGTGTACGACGAAGACGCGAATCGCGGGGATATGAGCAATGTCGGCAGATCGGGGAATGCCGGCAGCGGTAGCCATCTCGTAGCTGGCGGCACCATGCTGCAAAATGGAAATGCATGAAATGGTGAAGAGACTGGAGAAAAGCGCGTCACCCCCGGGGCGCGGAAAAGGAGGTTGTAGTGAGAGGTAGTGAGTGACGCAGGTGGCAATGGAATGGTTCAAATTCCATCTCGAAGCTCTGAGATGAGACGATGAGACGCGCCTGCCTCACAGTGCGGCGTGGCTGTAGCCTAAGCCTCGCACTGTCACTGCCACGTGCAGCCATAATGGCCCCACTTCCTTTTCCCCTTTCCCCCCTTTCCCCCCTTTTCCCCATTCGACAAGCATCTTTTCAAATTAAGGTACGTCTTTCTGTCTTTCTTGGGCGTACGTGGGGTTTCTTCTCAAATAGCTAGACATCCAGTCTTTCTTCAGTGTTACTTGATGCAGCTACCATACGCCCTCGTTCTTTCTGCCGTGAACTATTCCCCCGGCCCCGAACGTCCCCCGTGCCTTTAGCAGTACGAATCTGCTCCTGCGTTCATTTGCAAGACTGGGGGCCAAGACTGGGGCCAGTAGACGCGCCTTTTTAAATACCACCACGTATCCAGGCGTGATACAGATGAGCTTCGGGGCAGTGGGCAGTGGGCATCATCGGCCTGTCGTTTGGGGTTGCAGTAACACCGAACACGGCAACGGAAGGTCGAGGCATGAGTAGGCTACGTACAGGTTCCAACTCTGCTATGTGAGGTCCACGAGATGAGTAGACGTCCTTTATTGGGCTTAACTGTCTATCACATTACCATCTTGGGCATCTACCTGTGCACCTCATAATCAAGCTTGTCTGCATGGGTACGACGGCATCCCTGGTGTCTCTAGCGATTCCGAGATACCACGCTTTCTTGCATCATTAATGACGATCGCCGACACCTGTAGCTTGGATCACAACCGGCGGGTACATGCCGCCTGTGTACAACCCCAGGCACGCATACATAGAAGCTCAAGCCACTGGTGTAGATAAGCTATATTTATCCAAATCAGATGCCGACAACAAGCTTGGTGCCGCTAACAACCTGCACCAGCTACAGGCCGTCCTCGATGTCCCAGATAAACGGTCAACCAGCCTGTAAAGTACAATCATTGACAGGCGTATAACCAACTCCGCACCCCTTCCCCAGCGCGGTCCAGGCAGCCTGGACAGCACCGCCTAGCAACCATTAGCCCTATAGTGCGTCCATTTGTTGTCCCAGCCAATCATGCATCCATCTTCACCCTGTGTTCTTGCCACGTCGTTGCCGTCGAACTCAAAGGGGTTGTTTCCATATCTACAATCGTAATGGCTGCGGAACATCGAGACCTGGCAACCACTGCCGGTGAGGATCTCGGAGACAAACATGCTCCTGAATTCGGACGTATACGCCGGGAGCGACGTGCAATCCTTGTCCCCTTCCCCGTGGATGTACATGTTTGGCGTTCCCTCGCACCCGCTACTGGGGATGCCATCGAGCACCTCCCTATCGGGGAATCCGGTCACGGCCCATGGATCGGCGGTCACGGTAGGTGCGGCGAAGAAGGCGGAAAGAGCGCACAGGGTCAGGGTATTCGTTGTAAGAAACATTTCGATCGTCGTATTTGTTGAAATGGCTATCGATATTGAGTTGTTGTTGTTGTTGTTGTTGTTGTAGCATTTAACGCCGGGGGGACTGCCGCGTAGCGGCGTCAACCAGGCGCTCCAAGAGGCCGCTCAGGCGTGCTAGGCTAGGTCTTCTATGTACATACACTGCCCATCTAGCAGGTCAAGTCCGTAAACAGCCACCACACTTAAGCAGCGGATCACACCGTGTCCCCCCTCCTCCGGGTGAGGGGAAGTATCGGCTGGGGTCCCAAATGTTCAGTTTTCAGGGCGCAACGCCAGGTTCAGTGCTCTTAGAGCTTACAATAGGTGCCGCGACATGCCGCAGTGGTTCTTACGCGCCCCGTGAGACATTAAAAAGGAAAGATGGAAAGATAAAACCCCCAGACGCCATAACAGAAGGAAAGAATGAGTATGCCCTCAGCGAAGAGGGCAGATATTGCCATAAAAGTCGGTAACTACGAGTAGGTCCATGTACTCCTGTGAGATAGTCATAAGTTCGTTTAGATACTCGAGCCTGGCTCTGAGCTCCGGCCGGGATGCCGGGGCCCTTGGCCAGACCATATACCGTGCCAAAGTCTTCCGGCAGTGGATGAAGTGCGTTGGAGTCTTGCTCCGGCCGCACGAGCAATCGAGGACGGCGTCCTGATATTTGAACTTGACATGATACCAAGAGAAGTCGCCATGCCCTGAACAGATAGCGAGGAAGCGGTGTAATGATGGCCTATTAAGTACCTGCAGCTCCTCATAACAGCGCAATTTGTACTTCAGGTCCCAGTATTTGTAGCGGGCCGACAGCTTAATCTGGGCCTTGGTCCATCACATGTCGCGCGAGACTTCGAGTTTAAGTCTCGCCTCTGCTTTAATGCTGTACGCCGTCGGCGTACAGTCAGAGTCGACATTGGAGAGCTTAGAGCCGGCCTTAGCCAGCTTGTCTGCCAGTTCATTGCCCTCAACGGCGCAGTGCCCCGGACACCACTTGATGTTGACATTACGGACTTCAGCCTCGGCGTGGAACTTCAGGTAGGCCCACTGGCAGGACACCGTGGCATTGCCGCAGAGCCCCCAGATCGCTCCTGTGTTGTCCACGCACACCCAGATCCTACAGCCAGGCGTGAAATGCGGCGGCACCAGTAAGGGCCGCTGTATAGGGGGTAGCAAGCGAGCTGCTAGCTGTAATTTGGTTTTAGGGCGTTGGAAGCTGCCTGCCCTGCGGCCCCGTATAATCGCCGGGAGTTAGATTTGCTTGACAAAGGGATGCTTCTTGTCTACACTCCGTAGCCTGAAAACAAACCGCCATAGCGCTATATTAAGCGCCGCCTCCGCCGTAAGGAGGCCAGTGTCACGGCGAGCGTACTGAGGAGCTGGGACATGGCCGGCAGCAAGCAGCTATTACTCTATTGACGAGAATATCAAGACTAGAGAGGAAAGGAAGAGAGAGAGAGAGATAGGTACAGTGGGAGGTTGCCCCTTTAATGGGATCCTCTGGTCAGATCCTTCCCCTATTGGGAAGTATCCGCTTGTCATGTGGGAAGGTCTGTGCAGGCCGTCACATCACCCCTTCACGATTACAGCATTTATATGCCAGGCAAGTAGCATCAATGCTTTAAGCATACGCAATGGACGACTCACATAAGTTACTTGAGCTGCAGAGGCGCCTAGCACTGGCAGAAGAACGCGCGGAAGAGGCAGAACGTCAACAACAAGAAGAGAGACGACGCGCCGAGGAGGCGGAACGTCATCAAGAGGAAGAGAGACGACGCGCCGAGGAGGCGGAAGAGCAGACGCGAAATACAACATTGAACGAATACATCGCAGCGAGCCATCATTTAGTCTTCGGCCACTTTACCATTGAAACTAACACAGACCGCACCTCAAAGGGTTCCATTACCAATCCACGCAACAAGCTTTGCCCAACCAACCTCCGACCATGGTCGGACTTTTTAGACCATCAGCGCACCACCCTGGGAATCCTTTATAACACATTTCTTACCAACGAGCGGCGTTTCGAGTCCCGGAGTGTTCTGTACGGCCTGGGTCAAAGAATCTCCAATCGGCGGATATCAAACGAGAAGGCTCTCGAGTACTTTTTACACACCAGTGTCGAAGACCCGGTGCGACTGGTTGTGGACCAGTTGAAGGCGGTGGAGGAGGTCAGGCGTGCATTTGGAATCGGAGATGGCATCGTCTTTGAAAACCACCCCAACGCGCTTAGTGATATCGCCGATGAGGTCCGGCAAGCCGCAACGACACTGCCGCAGACACCAGACCAAGGACGGGGTCCTAGTCAGATCCGGCCTGGTCAGATCTGCGTGCACAGGTCTGATGAGCGCCCACAAGAGCGCACCATGCCGTACGTTTCCGAATACAAGGCTCCGCACAAGCTTACCGCCCCCCATCTTCGCGTCGGCCTGCGTCCCATGGATATCTACAAGGAGGTCGTGAACCGGAAGACGATTCCCACTGCCGCCGACCCTGAAGGCCGGTTCCAGTATCATTCGGAAAGGCTGACCGCCTCTGCTCTCACCCAGACCTACCACTACATGATCGAGGGTGGGCTTGAATACGGCCTGCTTACCACAGGCGAGGCCATTGTGTTCCTCAAGGTGGACTGGCAAGATCCCGAAACGCTATATTATCACCTGGCTGAACCTGGCCCCGAGGTTGCAGATCATCCGACTGATTTTCATTCTTGCACGGCAGTTGGTTAGTACCTGGCATTCAGCCTGACGGCTCTCGGTGCGCCAGGGGAGGCCCGCACCCACCGGCAGAACGAGCGTGAACAGGCAATTAGAGGTCTCAAAAGATGGGCTGAAGACTTTGAAACCACGTTGCGATCCATTCCAAAAGACGAGCGCCTGCTGCCAACGGGCTCATCGTACGCACCTGAGACATATGCGAGTGTCAGTCGGTCACCGCACCTTCTCCGGGACAAACCTAACCGTCGGCGTGTCGAAAGGGATGGCCGTGTTGATCAGCCCAGGCCGAGAGACCAGAGAGAATCGTCTGACGATGAGTCGCAGCCCCGGATGCCAGAAACCCCGACTCCGACCGAGCCGCGTCGTGGTCAAGGTCCACAGGGTCAAGGACAGGTGACTCGGCGCAGTAGGCAAAACTTGGCTCGGCGGCCTCGAGGAGGCGGCGAACAGGCCCGAGGATATTGCACCCAACTATGTCTCCTCGGGATGGTCAGGGGTGCTCCATTGGACAAGCAGTGCCCCAACGCGGCGCTTCACCAGCGAGGGGCACCTCGGAACTATCACCCGATCAAGCATGCCGACTTCCTTCGAATTCTCCGCGATCAGCTGAAGACGTCGCTGGACGAAGGTGTCACAAAGCTGGGGCTAGGAGGCTCGCGAGGCGTGCTGTTCCAGGTCACCCTGCTAGCATACGGGTACACCTTCGTAAGCAAGGGCACTGTGGCGGCGTTCATACCAGACCTGGAACACGAAGCGGCTGTTTACAAGCACCTTGAACAAATGCAGGGGACTACAGTGCCTATATCTCTAGGGGCCGTGGATCTCCGCAACATGGGCAAGGTGTATTATTATGATCATCGGGTCTATATCGAGTATATGATGTTCCTCTCATGGGGCGGCAACACAATCGACTCGTCGGTTAGCGTGGACGAAGTGCACCAATGCCTGCGTTCGATACACGAGCAGGGTGTTGTTCACGGCGATGTGCGGTGGGCAAATGTGCTATTTAATCCCGCCACAGACGGAGTAATGATGATTGATTTCGAACGAGCATCAATTGTGAAGCCGCCCCGAAGCCCGCTCAGTCAGGTAGTACTGAATAAGCGGCCATGGGACCACGGAAAGGATAAGGAGAAGAAGAGCATGATGCCTTTTAACTCCAATCAAGTGGGGTTTCAGGACGATATCCTGGCAGTGAATACGGCGTTCTCGGGATGCGCGGGTTATTCATGTAAATTTCTAAAGACCTAATTGTTAAGTCTTGCGAACTAACACCAGCACATATTGCAAGGCATACATCTAGGTATTGCTCTATCCATTGCTACGAACAATCCTTGCAATGTACGTGTTTGTCGGCGTGTGCAGGGCTCTACCCAAACGATCTAATAATGCCTATCATCCAGGCAGCCTAGGTTGTGGCTAGATGTATGGCTCAGTGAAACCATATCGATCTCGTCCACTAGCCGCGGCGCTGCCATAATGCGCGCCTATCAACGACGAGCCTCACAAAAGCAACTATTTTTCTTGGCGCCCCGCTGTTAGGGCGCAACCTTGATATTTGCACTAAAATAGGCACTTCTCTCAGTAACTGACTATCTCTGCCAAGGCACAAGAGAATTTTTTTCACAAGCCGGATGGCACCCTTCCATGACGGGCCCCTAAATACGCCCATGGCCGTCCCAAAGACGACCACCGGCGGCATGCTTAAATCCCCGGCCCCTAGAAAGACATACGGCCGGGCAACTCTGAGCAGGCTCCGCCAGGCACTGCTTGACAACATCAGCAGCAGCCTGTCACAGGTCTCTGAGGCTGACTTTACCGTTATTTCCCCTCTAAAAGGAAAATCCTGAAATATTAATGATAATAGCACCACTAGAATGAAACGACCTCAATTGAATAAAATCTCGACAGACCAAACCATTACACGCGATATAAGGAGTAAAACTTCCTCCTCAGAGTGCCAGGACCAAGTTGCCAGAATACTGGCTAAAGACAAGCACCTTTATGAAACCAGGATAATAATGTTTCAAGAGTGTGCTATAGTGGTTGATAAGACACTTAAGAAAGCTGGAACCGAACTATACTCTCATGCCAAAGAGTTCAGCGCTTTCTTCTCTAAATGTCTGAACGAGTGGCTAGAAACCCGAGATCTGTCCAAAAGAAAGACCATCCCTGGGGGGATAGGGATGGTAAAGCCCACCATGACCTTTGCCCAAGCTGTCTCCTCTAGCTAACAACAGCATCTACAGACAGTCAACATTACCATAAAGAAAACACAGCCTGGCGCCCGCATTACTACCAATCAACTAAAGAAGAAACAGGATAATCTCCGGGTCTTTGTCCGCATGGATAATAGCCACCTAAAGCCTTACGGAATAAAGTCTACACTAAACAGAAGACTTGAGCTCCACCCTTAAGAGCTTAGAGAAGTGACCCGGTGCCCCTCTGGATTTACCTTACACCCAAGGGACAAGCCAACTCAGGCTAAGCTCCTGGCCTTCCAAAAAGAAATCACTGATATTCTTAAGGCAGAAAAGATCGAGACCCACACGGTCTGGTATCACTATAAGGTCGATAGATGCCCAAGAAAGGTTATCAGTGCGGAAGGATTGACAATCAACATTACCGACATTACCAATATTGCTGTTACTGATGAAATTAAAGCCTAAACAGGTGACAGACCTTTAAGGTGCATACTCTTAAAGAACACAGCTGATTCTGATCTAGAGACCACATGGGTGATCTCTCTGCCCTGTACAGCAAAGAAACCATTCACGCTTTTTGCTCACTTAATGACCTCAAGGCATATTCAATACTCCCCTAAGGTTCACCAATGTGCGAGCTGCTTCAGATACTATAGTAGGAATTACCGATGTGAAAAGCAAGTATGTGTACGTTGCGCCAGTACAGTACACCAGGGGGAGTGCGAAAAACCAATCCCAAAGTGTGTCAACTGCAAAGGACCTCATGCTGCCAACTTCGACAAATGCCCTGCACGCCCCAAGATTGTGAAAGGCATCATCCACAAGCACACATAGAAACAAATCCAGGAAATAAGGCTGGCTGGAGAAAGAACCAGATCTAAGGCCTTTAATAAAATAGGCAAAAACCAAGCTAGGTCAACACCCAATAATAATAACAAAGACATCACAATGCAAATCGACACAACAGATACAACTCATCCTAGAGATGCCGATACCATTATTGTCAGTCAATGTTAAGTACATCAAACAGAACACATCGATACGGGCATCTAGTCATCCATTCTGTGAATACAGCAAGAGGACAAAAGAGTACAGGCCCTACAGAGTTAGCCATCAACCTGGCTGACTACAAAGGAGAACAAGCAGACATTATTCTGATGCAAGAGCCCTGGGTTGGCATACCACCAGGCAGGAGAATGGGAGTAAAGACACACCCCAATTACGATATATACTCCCCAGTGGATTCCTGGGACAGCGACAGTACACGGCCCAGATCTCTCATCTATGTGAGAAAATACCTTCAAGCGGATCAACTTCGGCCCTATGCTACACGAGACATCACCTGGGTCAAGGTACAAGGCATTACATTTGCCAGTGTCTACTGGCCATATGACAACCCACAGGAAGTGGATGATATTCTGGAAGTATGGACTCCACCTTTTGGCTGCGTTATAGCTGGAGATTTCAATGCTGACGACACATCCTGGGACTCGAGCAATCCAGGATATCATAGTGGTGTCATACTTGCACAGACTATGGCAGACCACGGACTGGATCTGATTTCTGAACCAGATGTTCCAATACATGATGACGGAAATGTACTAGATCTGGTGTTCTCAGATGTCCCCATGGCTAAAGCCTCAGTCAATGATGCACTTCAATACACCTCAGATCATGAGACATTACGAATAGTCATTCTAATTCAGGGAGATCTGGACCGAATCCCTAAGGCCAATCATTGGATAGTACCGGACGATAAACTATAAGAGCTGACAGATAATGTCTAAACCAGGATTCATGAGCTCTCCCAGCTGGGTGTATCCCCTGGCCAGGTGGATACCTTTACACAGAGCTTGATCAACATGATCCAAGGCTGTATCAGGATAGTGAGCAAAAAGCCCCGGCAATCTAGGCTCACTGCTTGTTAAAATGATGACTATAAAGCAGCTATTCAGACATACAGGGCCCTTTCTAAACAGACTACAAGCCAAGAAGGGCGGAATTCAGCCCGACAGGAATTTTGCCGCGTGGTTTGGAAAGCTAGGAGAGAATACTGACAGACTCTAATCAATTCAGCAACTGAGCCAAAGGACCTATACAGAATCGTCTCTTGGCACAAGCTATCAACAGGATTGCGTTCCCCCCTAATCATCATAAGAGACCAAATATTCGAATCACAAAAGAGCAAGGCAAATGCATTACGCTCAGCCACGCTTGAACAAAGTACCTCAGACAACGATATCATCGACCCCTGGTCCGCTCAGATCATACAACCCAAGCCATACATCCCCCTTGAATACCACGTCGGACTGGAAGAGGCTGAAGGGTGCACTTTAGGAACCAAGAGCAACTCCCCGGGAGTAGATACCCTCACAGTACGGATTCTGAAAGCTTGCTGGCCAGTCATTGGTGAACATATCAGAGCCCTTTTCCAGACCTGTCTACTGATTGGACACCACCCTAAACCATTCAAAGTAGCTGAGGTGGTGATGATCCCAAAACCAGGAAAGAAAGACTATTCCAATCCCAGGGCCTACAGACCAATATCGCTACTGTCATGTCTTGGCAAGGGCCTAGAACGACTCATTGCGAAAAGAATTACCTGGTTTGTTGTCAAACTTGGAATTCTAGCCCCACAACATTTTGGAGCTCTACCAAAGCGCTCTGCCACCGACTTGGTAGCTGCACTCATACACGATATTGAGCAGGCCCTCGACCAAGGCCTCGTTGCAACGGTAGTCACGTCAGATATGAAAGGGGCCTACTAGAAGGTGCGAGCTGCCTGTGAGCGACGGGCTTGGCGCGAGATACGAGACGGGAGGAGGCCGAGGGTAAGATGTGAGGCAAGACAACCGAGAATCAGCCACCCAAGCCCCACAGTAGATACTCTATTGGTCCGCAGAGCGCCTTTGTCCTGGCAGGAGACCGCGGAGCCCCCAGATCGCTCCTGTGTTATCCACGCATACCCAGATCCGGCGCTGGCTCAGCTCCGGAGGGGCCTTGGTTACGTACTGGAGCCCTTTCCAGACGCCCACTACCTCCGTGTTGAACACGATGGAGCATGGGCCTGGGCGGCCCTCATTTGAGACGAGTAAACGCCCGCCCTGATAGACCGCATAGCCATATCCTACGCGTCCCTTATTTGATCCGTCCGAGAACACTACCACATCCTATTACGGTATTACATAATACCATCCCCCACCTAGTACTCGGACACCCCCACTACTCGTACAGCCAAACCCCGCATCCACCACCAAAACACCCCCTTATTCACCCACACCTAAATGAAGTCTTGTAGATCAGAAAAATTCAGCAAAATTATTATTCGATAGCGGTGGGGCTGTTTACTCGTACAAGCGTGCGGGCGCCCGAATGGCTCGCCCCGAACGGGTGTGCCTAGGCTCCTGTATGGCCTCCAAAACGGGCTCTTCAGCCGAGTCTTTGTCTTCTTCTTCTTCCTTCTCGTCCTTATCAACCACAACTTCTGGTATATCCGCAGAGACACCAGGGGTGATATTACCACCTTTATTTAGTACCTCTGTGACTGTTCTGAACTTTTTGTTAGGATTATGGATCTTCTGGCGCTTCTTTGGCCGTAGCCGCTCCAGTTCAGCCTCCAGGGCCTTGATCTTCCTGTCCTTAATAACAAGGTCGGTATTCTTAGCCTCGAACGCGGTGGTTATCTTCCTATACTTCAGCCGGGTGCCAGGGGACTTATTTTTGCCGAAATTCATGATCTGGCGGCTCGTAGTAGGGGTCCGTTGGTCCTCTGGTTCAGAGCTCTCAGGGGTCTCAGGCTCAGGGGTCTTCTGCTTCTCTTCCTGGATTTCTGGGTGCGTTAAACACTTCCTGCAGCTGATAGGATAACATCCAGTCGTTCTGAAGCCAGAGAGGATGTTTGCTTTAGTAAAAGCAGCAGCTCTGGCCTGGCTATAGCACCGAATGAAGTTGATCTTGTTAACAGGCGAGGCGTCCGTCAGAGAATTTAGCTGGGAGAGGAATTTCTGGTAGTGAGCCTTCAGGGCGTTATAGGGCCCGTTATCCAGGGGTTGCATGCCGTGATTAGTGTGCACAGGGAAGAAACAGAGCAATATGTTGGCAAAATAACAGATGGTCATGAATTCGTCCTTATAACACGCGTTAGCCTTTATTAAATCGGGGAAAAATGAAAGAAGTCTATGTAGAATAAGGAAAAAACATATACGTACGGAGGTGTGGCTACCATGGCCATCTAGTATCAAAAGAACAGACTCGGCCTGGTCTTTTCCTCGTACCTCGTCCACCTGCGGGATGAAGACATCTTCTAGCCACTGGCAGGCTATTTCATTCGAAGTCCAGCCGTTTTCTGAGCATATGTAATGCCAATCGGCAGTCTTTTGGAACTCCTTGATAAACCACTGCACTTGCAGGTCCTTCCCCTTAAAGATAATACCTGGTTTGAGGATTTTTCCAGTTGCAGAGATGGCCTCGATAAAGGAGGTCCAGCTACGGCCCTAGGGGCTCTTTAGGAAGGCTTTCTTAGTAGTAGAACTACCCAGAACGAGAGAGTCGATGCCTGCGAAGATAATTAGAATTTCTGTGGATTTAAAAGGGTAGGTAAAGCTACCAAAACCCGCCATAATGCCGCCCTTATCGACATTGTACGTGTTTTCTGACTTTACCCAGCCGTAATCTTCCAGGATATCGAAGAACCAGTTAACTGCCTTCGGCATAAAGCCCTTAAAGCGCGCTGATTCCATCCGCTTGCCAACTTTGGTCTTTATTTGGGGGTTGCGGCGCTTGAAGCCGGCGATGAAGTTGTCTCCAAGGGGGCGTGAATCTCCGTTCTTTTTCGACACCTTCAGGATGATCTCACGCACCAGGGAGTGCGAAGGGGCTAGTCCCAGCTTCTCCTGACGTAAAATCCACTTGACTATAGTGCTCTCTTGAGCAGGGGAGAGTCTCTGTTGTTGTATATGGGCCTCGGACTTCGAGGGCTTGCCGTTGAGTCGGTCAGAGAGCGTCGTGGCAGGGATGCCGTGCTTTTGAGCGCTTTTTTGCAGCGAGAGGCCCTCATCCGTGATATCTAAGATGGCATTCGCCATGTGATCCTCCGTATACGAATAGTGAGGCATTTTTGGCGGCTGTACGATGCTGCGGTGCATACAGAACAAGGCTTCAAACGAGGCTCAAGCACTGTAAATTTCTCTATTCGGGGTAGGAAACGCGGGGTAATAGACAGCCAATCACGTAGGCCGCGCGGGGTAATTTTTGCATTGGAAGAAACTTTAAGATCAGGGCTATCTAGAGAAGTAATTACATTCTAAATAGCTTCAATATCAAGCCGAATCCGTATAAGTGAACATGTGGGAGTTTAGGTGGTGATGGTGGGGTTTGGCTGTACGAGTAGTGGGGGTGTCCGAGTACCAGGTGGGGGATGGTACCTCCACATATCTTTGTACATATATACCATATCTTCCCCTTTCTCTTCCTACCTTGTCTTTTCTTCCTTGACGTATATGTCGGGTCAGTGGTGCATGTGGGTCAGTCGAGCACGCCCGCGGAAGTCGTCTAATAACTTCCCGTACCTCTTAAAAGCCTTCGAACACTTTTATAGCCCATTGCGACTCCTTTTTGTCATAATAGCTAACGTCACTCTCTATCAGCCACCGCAGTGCCGGCTCTTTCTCGCTGCCTTGCGGCTCTTGTACGGGATGAATAGTAAGCCTTTCGGCTACCACTACAGGAGGGTTGGCAGTTTCTCGGCCCCTGGTAATATGAAGGGCAAAGAACACCTCGTTTTCATCTCCCCACTTCAAGACCTGCTTGAGGTCGTCGGCTAAGGCTTGATGATGTGGCGCCGCCCTTCACGTATCTGGAAATGAAGGCTTTCGGTATCATACCGTTCCCCTCCGAGGCGTTGCAATGGAAACAAGTGTTATAATTAAAAGGGCAAGCACAGGTGATTGCACCCCATAGGTTGTGGTGGTGGCAGATTATTTCCCGGAGTGGTACGCCTTTGGAAGTGTGACAACTGTTTGGAAGCGCGCCAGCCGATGATTAGTAGGCCTGAGGGGCAGGACCAGCATGAACTCGTGTGTCCCCGTAGCTTGCTATCCCGGCGTAGGGTCCATCCGGTTTGTACGGAGGGATCTGGTGTCCATACGGAACCGAGTAACCCAAGGTGGACAAGGAGGTCAAGACGAGTGGCATTTCGCAGTTGGCCGACGACCACTTCCAAGGAGAAAGGGAAATCCAAGGCCTTATGCGATGTTCCTCGAGGTTCGATGGCGCCATATGTTTCAGTGTTCTAGTCGCTATGAAATAGTACACAACACGTTGTCAAACAGCTGCATACAGAAGCGGGAGAATAGGCTCGCTGGACGAAAAGGAGACGATGGACAGGAAGAGGAAAACAAACCGGCCAGTACTACCAATGAGGAACACGAGGCAATGAAAACTGAGATTAGGGAACTTATTGCGGACCTGCTCGTGGAACTAATAAGTATGCGTCGGGAAAGAGACTCGGGGTATCATGACGAGTGATTTTAGCCAAAAGAGGAGCCCAAGGGTGTGTGGCTGAAGGGAGGACGAGAAAGGCTTCCTTGATAGATCTCATCTGAGCTAGTCGAAAAATGTGGTTAGCTACGGTCGGCTTATCTGAGATCAGCAAAACAACAACCAATCTGTCACGGACCAGCCTACTATGGCCCATAACAGGCCCGAAGAGGATATTCAAAGGAAAGGAAATAAAGCAAACACCAAGCAAACAATATATGTTGTTGATAACCCTGCTATGTGTCCTACTATTCCCAAACATTTTAGCCAGTGAGAGATAGGAGCTTGTTGTAATTGGAAGAGGGCCGGCCTGACTCACCTCATCACACCGAATAGCCAAAATCTTGTAAATATGCTACAGTACACCCATCGGCCTCTTCTAGTCCAACGTGGTATTCAAGGGGAACGTGTGACTTCGTACCGGCCTCCGGCAGGGGCTTGGGTCTTTTTTTACTAACAGCGGTTTCCAATCATTCTCAGGAGATATGAGTTCGGTATCGCGCGGCAAAGCCTTTATTCCCAAGGCCTGTGTAAGGTCTGTAACTCCGTACTAGCCCCCGGTAGGTGGTTAATGCCTCATATTACTACCAATGTTAACCACAAGCGAGAACTAGGCCACAAAGCATCGTTTGCAGCCCCGTTGTCTGCATGGGGCCCATGGGGGGCCGTGGGAGCAACGGGCTTGCCAAGGACGTCAGTAGCAGAGCACTTGCGTTTCGCACCCGTGAGGGTCTTGCTGCCGGACGCGTTGTCGCCACTGGGGGAGTCGCTGTCAGGATTGGCGACACTTTTGTATTCATAATCTACCCATGCATGATTCCAAAAGTGAAGTAAGGGGTTAGGAAACAGTAGCCCAGCCTGGTTAAGGAGAGTAAAGCGCTTCTTAAACAATCAAGCGTTTTATATCTAGCTACTAGCGAACCTGAGGCCATAAGTATGCATATCATGACTAGCTCCTTGGATTTGAAGTGGTATTGGTGACTTGGTAGTGATGGCAATAGGGCTAGCGGCCGTGGCCCGATAAACGACATGAAAACCCCCCCGCTTGCTGTCACCTGCCACCTCCCTGAAACTCGCCTACCCTCCGATAAGGGCCGCCTTGGTTCCAACAGTCCGGAGTCAACCTATTTGCCACAGCAAGCGTCGTAACTCGTACACAAAAACTATTTGACAGCAACTTTGTCCAAGACTCGCGGATCTTGGGGGCGCAGCCGCCTCTGATAGTCCCGCAGGTACTTGTATGATTCGTCTCCAGCCCGAGGGCTCATGATCAGCGCATCCCCACCTTCAGGCTGCGGAGCTTGCCCAGCGCCCGGATGAAGTCCTTGTCACAACCGCCTCCGAACCTGGGGAGTGTGCCGTGTCTGTCCCAGTCTGCAGCCCAGTAGATCTTCAACGACTCCAGGCTCTGGGCATGCTTTGCGAGAATTTTAAGGATGGCATGCTAGAGTTCCTTTGCGGCTTCCCCGTCCTCGTAGATGGCGGCAATATGGAAGGACATGGTCTTCAATGTGGCGATCTTGCGGCGGTCCATTGCCTGAAGCCACTTCAAGCCGTGCAATGGCTCATTGAACCGGAATTCGTGCTCTCCGTAGAATGAGGGCGAAGGCTCTTGGGATCGCGCTTGAAGAGGGGGCTTTCTGTTCTGCTGGACTTTTGAAGTTGAAGATCATGACAAACAAACAAAAGGTGGTTTGGGTCACCAGCAGCCATGATGAGCTATTCATGAATGCCAGTTACGAAAGATGTCGTCTTGGAGTCTTTTTGGCTTTGGGATAGTCAATCATGAGTGGAAAGTATAATTCTGGGCCTCTTCGACGAGGGTGTTACGGTTGCACAGTGGGTCTCTGTGCGGAGTAATGCATATAGTACAGAAATAGGAGTCGATGACCGTTCGGGTCATCTTTGGAGCCTTTGCCACATGGCGCAACGATTGTCCTATACGCGTTGTAACAGAGGGGGGACTGGACAGTGGACGTTGATATAGGTAGATGCGGATGCCTCACACGCGCTCGATGCAAGCCAGTCAGCCCAGGGCGTGTTCCAAATCAGCGTCAGCCAATCCGACATGGGCTACTGTAGTAGAGCATTTCGGCGCACCCGTGAGGTGACGCTGCAGGCCAATCTTAGCTAGTCGTTAATGTCGTGGTCGGCAACCTGCAGCTACATCATACGATTCAGGCCACTCACAATATGCCATGTGTTTATTCGAAATCGCGTAGGACTATCTTGAGGCTCTGCTGCTGCATTATCTTGGGAAACTCTCGGAACACTGTCAATATTGGCGTGTTAGTTTGGGCCCGATAGGGATCCCGGGAGGCCTATAATATCCGTACAGTACTTGGACGCATACTGCACAATGCCTCGGATCAACGCCTCCTCTCCAGGAGTCGTTAACAGTGTCGCTTCTATGGAGGTATGCGTGTAAACACGGGTGACAGGCTCCATAGCTTCTGTCAGTTTGGAGTTGGCCGCATTGCGACAAGTTAGTCAATCAATCTGCCAGGCAGGTCAGTTTCGGCAGCTATTACCGATACGCGGCTGTAGGGTCCAATGGCAAGATGTGCCCGGGGCATAGCGTGTGACAGAGACGGCTATCAGCGCTTGGTAGCCGGGTAGTGGCTGCGTTATGCATGCAAGGCATTGTATACCTTAGTGACATGGGAAGTCTATTTCATATGTACGCCAAAGATGCGGACTATGTGTTCATCCCAATCGTTCACCAGATCATCTTTATACACTAAGTCCCCCAAATCCGTCTACAAGTCAAACAACGTAGTGTTCATAGATCATCACCTCAGCCTCACACCCGCTTGCGCGAGCCACACTTCTTCTTCGGGGCAGTAGCCTTCGCACAATCCAAGCCATCCAAGACGGGGAAGATCGTGCCATTCAAGAAACTGTTGGGCCGCCGGCCCTTGCCCTCCAGCCAAGCATTGATGGCGGCGTGGACACCGGCCGGTTTGCGCTCGGGGTTGAGAACAGTCGTCAAACCTTGAGTAAGGTTGTGAATAACACCGCTGGCGACACCGTCGACATCTCCGACAAGATCGCCAGCGTGGCTGTTAGTGATGGCAGAGGTGCTGTTGGTCCAGCTCTGAGAGGTTTTGCCCTGGGGTGGTACCACTCTGGGCGGTCTTGCTCTGGGTAGTACCGCACTGGGTGGCATCGTTCTGGGATCCACGGATGAGATCGACTGCCTTTTCGACGGTGGCATAGACGGCACCTTGGAGATGACCGCCGGGAATTATTAAGTTAATGTGACGGCCTGCACAGACCTTCCCACATGACAAGCGGATACTTCCCAATAGGGGAAGGATCTGACCAGAGGATCCCCTTAAAGGGGCAACCTCCCACTGTACCTATCTCTCTCTCTCTCTTCCTTTCCTCTCTAGTCTTGATATTCTCGTCAATAGAGTAATAGCTGCTTGCTGCCGGCCATGTCCCAGCTCCTCAGTACGCTCGCTGTGACAACCAACACAATTCAAACCATTATATCTCCACCAACAATAATGGCACCGCGTTACGATAAATCAGACTTATAGCTAGCTGTCCAAGCTAAATGACGTGACCCTCATAGTTCTATATTTCAGCTTGCGAAACTCTTTAATATCCCTCGTTCCACTTTGAGCAAAAGAATCAAAGGAATGCCATCACGACGCAACAGCATGCCCAATACTTTGAAACTTACAGTTTTTGAAAAGAATGCCATTCTTTCCTTCATTCTTGACCTGGATGCGCGAGCATTTCTACCCCGGCACAGTTATGTTAAAGATATGGTGAATCAATTGTTGGCGGCATGTATGGCTGGACCCGTTGGAAAGAACTGGACGCGTAACTTCATTAAACGCACACCAGGCCTCTGGACACGTTTTCATCATAGGATGGACTACCAAAGGGTCTTAAACAAAGATCCAGACGCGTATGGAGCGTGGTTTTTCCAAGTTGCAGCGGCAATCGCAAAAGATGGTATCCAAGACGCGGACATTTACAACTTTGATGAGACTGGGTTTATGATGGGTATTATTGGGTCTGGCATAGTCATCACAAGCACCGAAAGAAGTGACAGGCCTAGACAAGCTCAGCAACGCAACGGAGAATGGTTTACAATAATCTCTGTTATTAATGCTGATGGTTGTGTGGTCCCGCCGTTCATCATTTTACAGGGCAAAACCCACCTTGCATCATTAATTGCGACACGACATTACTATGCGATTAGAAGGTTGCTGTGACTGACAATGGATGGACTACAAATGAGATCAGTTTGAAATGGATTCAGCATTTCGACAAGTATACCAGACTGCGTATGACTGCCGGTAAACACCTCCTTATCCTAGATAGTCATGAAAGCCATTATTCCCAGGTCTTTGAGAATTATTGTCAGAATAATGGCATTATTACTCTTCGTATGCCTGCCCACTCGTCACAGAGGCTCCAGCCTTTAGATATTAGTTGTTTCAGCCCATTCAAACGAGGTTATGGTTGCTCAATTAAGGATCTCATCCAGCGTCATATAACCCATGTTACAAAAGAGGACTTCCTTACAGCGTTTTGTGAAGCACACAATGCTGCAATGACACCAAGAAACATCTAAGCAGGTTTTAGTGCCATTAACCTTGTTCCTTTCGACCCAGAAAGTGTCATTTCAAAGCTGGATGCTGTCGCTGTCGTACGAACACCGTCACTAGACCCCAATATGCCACCCATTACTTGGACTTCAAAGATGCCTATCACTATTAATGAAGCGGTAAACCAATCAGTTAATATCTAAAATTGAGTCAGAAACCACAAGGGAAGCTCCCCTACATCAATAATTGATACATTGAGCTCATTATCAAAGGCTACATATGGTCTTATACACAAGGTCACTTGGGTTGATTGCTGGGTTCACGAACTAGAAGAGGCCAATTACTTACTAAATAAATACCAGAAAATAAAAATAAATATCTGTTAAAGATACAATAAGTCTTTAGGCTATAAAGGATAGTACTGAGCTGGCAAGACAGGAAATAGGTGAAGGTAGTCGTCGTCCAAGGAGGACGGCAGCGCGTGAGCGACGGTGTGGAGTTTGCAGCAACACTGGCCATAATGCGCGAACTTGTACAATAGAGATAGAAACCTCTGAAGAAGAGGAATCTGATTGATTAAATTGAATTGAATGCGTTGTGGTGAAGTTATTTCACATGGCAGTTAGAAAGTTCATGGCGAGTGCCAACTCGCTTGTCAGCTACGTTATAGTAATAAGCTATTAATATTATGTATTGCTTGCTTGCAATGAGATTTTTTTAGTATTTAATATCATGGTTTAAATGCGTTTTTTAAAGTTGATAGTCGTAGAGTCTTACTTTTTATACTTTTTTTATATTTATATATTTTTAATGCTTTTTAACATATTTTTTTTTTCGATAGCTATTAAAGCAGTATAAGTAACAGCGCTGTTAAGAAAATCCATAAAAGTTAAAGCCTTTAATGGTAGCAATAAAGGCTTCGAAACATTATTTTTAAAGTTGATAAATAATTAAAAAAGGAGAAGAATAATATTAAAGAAATTATTATATTGAAAATACTAGACTTCAAAATTAAGTCTTCAAAATGGGTTTTTTTCTTGCAATTTAATAAACATGTTATCAATAGTATATGCCTATTTTTGTATCTTTACGCAAGGCGCGGTTAGATTTAATAGAAAATTGGTTGATATAATTATAATTAATTACGAAATGTTCGTTGATTAGAAAAGCACTTGCTAATCTATGCCTATAAGTATTCAATAGTATATAAATAGTTTATATAATATGAAATGTGGTATTTTAATAAATCTTGTAATCTTTTACTAGTTATTGTGAAGGTAAAGAATCTGCTAGTATTGTGAGGGCAGTATGAAGGCACACACCAGCGCAACCTACTGCGCCCCACATCACACCCTGGCCAGGGGTTCATCTAGATAGCTCTGTCTCCCACCTGTATCTAGCTCTCTTTCCTTCCTTTCTTCATCTTCGATATTTTCGTCTATAGAGTCGGTTACCCCCTTGTCGTCTGCTTTGTCTCGTCTTAGGTGCCACTCGCCGTGACAAGTATGCTACATCACACCGAAATGCCCTAAGGGCTCTGTTGTTGCACTGCCACCCCCCTGAACGCCACTGTGGCACCCACGCCATCCAACACGCCTCCGAAAAGAAGACCCCATGCTATCCATCGACCGCTTTGCTGAGAGGTGTGTCCATGACCTGTGTGATGCTGCAAGCTGGGTCACCACCCCCTTGCCACCAAATACTTTTGGAACAGCCGGCACACAGAAGACGAGTATCATGCACGTCATCTCCGCTATTGCGCAGAGGGTTAATGAAGATATGGCATATACCGTATCGGCGGCAAAGAGCCATGATGAGATGGTGACATATAGTCGGAAGGCTGAAGAGAATATGGCCCTGTAGCAACGTGTAAGCAACTGGTCTCACACCCGGAGCTAAGTAATGTCCCCATAAGAAGCTGTACTCACAAGATCCCGATTGCGAAAATGATGGATACACCAACTTTCTTCTTCGTGGGCATCTGCAATTTCCATACGATTCGTTGAGGGAGAGCCAGGATGATGAGATCTGAAACCAGATTGACGACACCCGCTACGGTGTCGGCAACCCTGCTATCAATGCATTTCCCGCCGGGTATTGTTTTATCCCAAATCTTCGGGACCGGTACGCAGGCGAAATTACACACGAACTCTCCGGAGAAGTAATAGCCAACGTTGATCCAGATCAAGACCTGGCACGTCCACCAGAAGGCGTTGCGAGTAGGCCAAGGCACGAAGATGTGGCTCCAATCTCGGAGGATCGCTACCTTGAGGAGACATACGGCTACACCGTAAAGATTACCACCGATATAGATGTGCTGCACCTGATCAAACCGACTGGCTACAGGACATGGAGATGATGGTGCAGGTCAGGGAACTTACATAGAGAATGTCCGCCACGTCCCGAACACGGATGTCCCATTAATGAACGAAGAAGCCGTATGAGTTCAGTAGCCAGTAGTTCATGTAGAGGTACCCGACGTAAAGCCCCTGTAGAAATCGCAATGAGTCAATATCAATCATTCAGGCTTGGTCGGCGGCCACTTACGAATCCTGCAAAGGCAAGTACTGCCAAAAGGCAGCCTGGTTCTGGGAATTGAGCCTTGGGTTACAGGGGGGTGCGTACAATCTTCGAGTCGTACGGCCTTCACGATGAAGACCCGGGAGCAAAATTGGATCATAGCAGCGAGTATTGATAAGATTAGGCAAATCGTCAAAGCAGCAGAGGCTGCAGTATTGTTGTTGGGCGGGTTGTCGAATTGAGGGATGGCGCCCTCAGGGGGTGCAAGCGCAGGGCCATTGAGAATAGCTTCCTGTTGTTCAGGGGGCAGGAACAAAATCTGGTCGAGAGACATGTTGAAGATGGTTCCCAGGACAAGTTGATAGAGCCCAGGAGACCTGCTGTGGGTCAGTGAAGAGGACAGAACGAGAAGCACCGAAAAACAGAAATGGGAGTGTAGTGAAGGCCAACTCACAGACTCGTTATTTGCATATAACCTTGTGTGTTCATTGATAAATTATTTGAGGCAGGATTCTCGGTCAAGGAGATTTCGGTTGCACTGTTTATGCACCTTCTACCCGAGGCACGATACCCGTCTCAAGTCGTATCGATGTAGCATTGTTGGTGTAGGACTTGCCCTGCTCTGCAGCCGCTTTCAATCCATGACACGGGGCTGCTCCCGACGCTGAATACAACGTGGTGCCAACATGGTGGTGGGGGTTGTGGCGGCTTTCAGCTCATTAGGTTGCGACGAGGCTCTTCGAGATAGAGTCAACCACTCCAAGCATGGCGCCGCGTCTCAGATGAAGACCAACGGGATCTGAACAAATCGTAGAGAGGTAACCCACCATATGCACGCGCTTCGCCCGTATGGAGCAGGCTGAGATACATGTGAGCCGGGACAGATTGGTTGCATGCGATAACAGTTAACACAATACACGTCGGAAGCTTACAGCAGTGGTAGAGATGCTTACAGACGATGCGTGGATGTGACAAGAGGTAACACCGACTGGATATTCAATGTTCCATGTGATACCTCATTGCTATTTAGGCGAGGTCTGTACGGAGAGTCTGTCAGAGCCCTCCTCATCGTACTAGTCTTTGGACACATGTGATCTTGACCTCCTGAGCTATTCCATCTCGCTAGCCGTGAGATCTCGCCGTTTCATTTGCGCGAGAATTCACACTGCCCCGACTTCGTACATCACTAAAGCCCTTGGGTAAAGGGAATCCTCCACCGCGCAATATTCTGTGATCCTTTCTCAGGCCATTGCTTTCCTTTACTTGATGCTAATAGGGCCACAAAAGAACGGGTCTTGTGATAATGGCGTCAAACGACATTGCTGTTGTGGGAGCGGCTTTCAAGCTGCCCCAAGGAGTGGAAGATGAGTCCAAACTTTGGGATGTCCTTAGCAGTGGGCAGAATCCCATGACAAACTGGCCCGAGTCTCGAGTGAACATTGGATCGTTCTACGATGATGATCCGACCAAGATCAACAAGGTCCGCGTCAAGTCCCCATGACTAATATTATTGATATCTTACGAAGCTGACCGCTTACAGCTCCATTCAAAGGGTGCGCACCTCTTGGACACCGATCCGGGTGCTTTCGACGCGCCATTCTTCTCAATACCGGCTAGAAAGGCTGCCGCCATGGACCCACAGCAGAGATTGGTGCTGGAAGCGTCTTATCATGCTTTCTAGAACGGCAAGGGTCCCATTCACCCACCTGAATCGATAGGCTAACAGCCCGTAGGCGGAATTCCTATAAGCAAGATCAAGGGGTCGAAAACTGCCGTATTCAGTGCTTCTTTCTCAGACGACTATGCCAGGGTGGTGGGCAAAGACCCGGACAACTTCCCACAGACTGTGGTGACAGGCACAGCACTATCCATCCTAGCCAATAGGGTTAGCTGGTATTTTGATCTCCGAGGTCCTAGCGTTCACCTGGATACAGCTTGCTCGAGTAGTCTGGTAGCAGTCGACCTGGCATGCCAGTGCCTTGGTAATGGCAATGCCTCGATGGTACGTTGAACGTTCTTCCACAGACAGTCCCTTGGATTCTAATTATTCTCAAGTCTCTAGTGGCGGGATCAAACCTAATCCTGGGACCTGAACGCTCTATGCAGCTTTCGAATTTGAATTCCTGTCCCCCGATAGTCTTTGCTACAGCTTTGACCATCGAGCTAATGGATACGCTAGAGGAGAGGGCGTGGTTGCCATCGTCTTGAAACCGGTCTTGCAAGCGGTTCAAGATGGCGACATCATCAGAGCTATAATCCGATCAACAGGATCCAACCAAGATGGCAAGACAGCAGTCATCACGCAGCCTAGCCCAGAGGCACAGGAGACTCTGATTCGGAGCGTGTATGATAAGGCGGACCTGGATTACTCGCTAACCAGGTACTTCGAGGCGCATGGTAAGCACCCGCAACCCAACTGCAGAGTGATATGTGTACTAATCCGTCCTATTCATATGGCACTGGGACTCCAGTCGGCGATCCAATCGAGAGTAAGTAGTACCTATCTCACGATACTCATGTTACAAACCAACAAAGACATACAGGGGAAGAAGCCCGATGGCAGGCCCAACGGAAGAGACAGGGACAGAAGAGAACCAGGAAGACACACGGGCCACGGACCAAGAGCAAGGATTACGTGACCTAGGTATCACGTGACGGATATGTTGGATCATACGTATCCAACATATCCACCTCATCAGTGAGGGAGAGACTGGATATATAAGGATAGATATTTCTTAGCCAGATAGATAGACAGTCTCTATCTCAGTGATCAATCTAAGCATCTTAGCCAACCTTAAGGTAAAAAAGATCTCCTGACGACTCGACTATTCAGTGATCCCCTGGATCAGACCAAGCCCCAGCATCTGAGTGTCTTCTAGTTGACAGAAGCCTCTATCATCCTTTGTGTTGACTTACCTCAGAACATAAACCCTATAGAACCCTTTGGTCTCATAGGTTAGACGGCTCGTCACAGCTCAGCTCATACACGGGCAATACTCTCCGATGAAGCCATTATATCTTCGTGGGTGTGTAGCTGACCTGTGATCTGTAGTGAAGACCATTGGGAGTGTCTTCAGGTCATCGCGCTCCTCTAGTGAGCCGCTGTTCTTGTGAGCTGTCACCTTCTCCTAGAATTGAGCAGCTTGGGTTTATGTTTTTCTCAGCGGTTCCGTGAAAGCAAATCTGGGCCACCTGGAAGGGTACAGCGGCTGTAAGTGTATTTTTGCTTTTCTTCATTTCTACCATCGTTGCAGACAGGAATGACGGCCGTACGAATCATCCCGCCACGATTTCGACAATTCGGCATGGATTTTCGAGCATCCAACGGGTGATCTTCCAGCTAACATAAGCTACCAGTGGCCGGCATCGTCAAATCATTGATGGTTCTCGAGAAAGGGATCATCCCTCCGAATGCCTTGTTCGACAAGATCAACCCAGAAATGGACACTGAATACTGGGGCACAAATGCCCAGTTGGTCATGGATGATGCTTGGCATTACCTTCAGACACGAAGTCTTGTCGCGCTCTCTCGCAATACGCTGCCGCTAGGCGCAGGAGACGATCCAACCCGGGATTCCAATGGATCCGTTCTCCGTAAAGGCGCCGAAGACCAAGTGGCGAATACACTCCTGGGGGCCAGAGCAGCAAGACAACCTGAGGTACTGCTAGCTTGGTCCGCTCCAGATGAAAAGTCCCTGGAAGGCGTAGGCCAGAGCTACAACGAGTACGATCTGGAGGCTATGGCGTTCACACTGGCGACCCGCAGAAGCCAGTTTCTTTGGCGAACGTTCTCAGTTGTGGATCGGGAACACTCTCCTCAACTCACAGGTTTTCCAATGGCAAAGGCAGGCCGAGCATCCAGCAGAGCAGCCATCGCTTTCGTCTTCACTGGCCAGGGAGCTCAATATGTCCAAATGGGTATGGGCCTAATCCAACATCCCATATTCCACGAGACGATGAGGAAAATGGATCTCATATATCTCAGCCTTGGTTGCAGCTGGTCGATCTTTGGTAAGAGTACCACCCCTCCCGATTGATGAAGTCTTGCTGATCAATGTTGCATTCAAGGTGAGCTTCGAAAAGTCGACACAATTCACAGGCCTGATGTCAGCCAACCTTTGTGCACGGCGCTCCAAGTCTCGTTGGTTGACTTATTGGGGAGCCTGGGTGTAGTCCCGAAGGTGGTCGTTGGGCACTCTTCCGGGGAGATTTCAGCAGCGTGAGCTCTTTGCCGAAGTTGAAGTTTGGTATAGGCTAATCGTGAAGAAGATACACGATCGGCGCCCTCTCTCTTGAGTCCGTGTGCAAGGTGTCTTATTGCCGTGGGCAGGTGGCTGAGAAGGTTCGTGGGGCATCAGCATCCTGCCCCGGTGCCATGATGTCTGTGAATATTGCCCATGATCAAAGCAACGGGTACTTGGACATAGAAGGGTACTCCGGAATGACCAATATTCAGGTCGCTTGCATTAACAGCCCGCTCAACACAACTCTTTCGGGAAAAGAGGATGCCATTGACAGCCTCAAAGAAAGGCTAGACAGAGACGGAGTCTTTGCTCAGAAGTTGAAGAAAGGAGTGGCGTATCATTCGTCGGCAATGCAGTCTATTGCGGACGAGTATGCATCGCTTATGGGCTCGCTTGATACGGGACGATCGAGCGCTCATCCGACAATCCCAATGGTTTCGTCTGTCTCTGGTTCTGCACTCAACCCAGAGACCCTCACGAAGACTCAATACTGGATTGACAACATGGTAATGCCCGTGAGGTTCTTGGATGCTGTACAGAACGTCTTGCAGGTTGTCCCCACGATCTCCGACTTCGTTGAGGTTGGCGCCCATTCGGCCTTGCGAAGACCGGTGCAGGACATTCTGAGCGGTTTCGCTAACAAAGAAGGGGCTGATATCAGTCCTGGACAGATCAAAATCTGCATCGCGCTCTATCCTGGAGTTGCTCGGATCGTTGTTCATTCATGGCCATCCCGTATCTGTCCACAAGGGCAACCAGCAAGACCCAGGCGATAGACCACTCCCGATTCTTCTCGATGGTCCAGCATACTCCTTCGATCACTCAAGAGTGTACTGGGCCGAATCGAGGTTCAGTACCGACTACAGATTACGCAAGCCAGCTTCAAGCGATATCCTAGGCTTACCTGTATCCGATTGGAATCCTTTGTGGCCTAAATGGCGAAGTTGCGCGAGCATCGAGACTGCGCCACGGTTACGTGACCATGAAGTAAGTGATACTATTCTCTTTTACGTCTATTAATTGGAGCAGTGGTTGACAGGCGAACTCCAGGTGTCTGGTACCATTCTCTTTCCCGGAATGGGCATGCTAGTTATGGCACTTGAAGCAATCAAACAGAGTTGTCCTTCGATGCGGTTGATCACCGGCTACCAGGTGAAGGAAGCCAACTTCTTGGCGCCAGCTATCATCCCCGATACGCCCTCTGAGCACACGGAAATGGTGACTGAGGTTCAACCAGTTCAGATGGCACACGAGAAGGATGCCGTGTGATTTCATGTGAACATCTTCGCACAGTCACGAAAGCAATGGTCTGAATGCTTTCGTGGGAAGATTCGGGTTCAGTACGAAGATTTCACCGAGTCCATGTATCACGGTATTGAGACCTTCCTGGCCCACGCCGAGATTTTGGGGGACTACGAGGATGCCACGCGCACTTGCAAGAAGCAAATCAATCGCCAGACATTCTACAAGCACTGTGCAGATCAAGGAATCAAATACGGGGACTTCTTTACCCTGCTCGACAGCATCTGCTGGGACGGCAAGAAGCTGGCAATTGCTCGAGTGGATATATCTGATGGGAAGCATGGATCCACAAACCTGGTCCACCCTGCTATACTGGACTCCGCCGTACAGTCACTGTTCGTTCCAAGTTCAAAGGAAGGCTTCAGGACTGGGACAATGGTCCCCTACTAACTATTGGACGGGTGGAAAACAGCTACCGGATGGCAGCACTCTCAGACTTCGACGGTGCGGTACCTGTCCAAGTCTAAACCAACAAGCCAAGGGCTGCAAGGTTCTGTTTGCGCAGTGGATGACAGTGGCTCAATCTTGTGTGAGATGAAAAGGTTCATCTTGAAGCCAATAGGGAACAATGGTATCGAGCAGCCTATCAATACCCAGAGGCTGCTTTACGGCATCAACTGGAAGCCACAGCTCAGTCTCCTGGATGCGACGCAGCTACGCCACCTTTGCCATGCCGAGTCCTTTGAGAAGGACGACACAGCCATGGAACTCTACCGTCAGAAGCTCGATGTTGCCTTGGATCAGGTCATACACAGGACCATCAGGCTACTCACCGACAAGGACCGTCAGTTGGTCCCACTCGGTTTACAAAAGTAATTGTCTTGGATGGAACACCACGTCAACCAGACTTGTGTTAAGAGGCAAGAGGGCCAAGATAGTGACGACCTTGAGCCTATACTCGAAGAATTGGAGAGACTTTATCCGCCATTTCAGATCTTCCCGGTTGTAGTCCGCAATCTTCGACCCATTCTCTTGGGAGAGACGAACCCCTTATCCCTTGTGTTCGACACGGGCTTGGCTGAACGACTTTACGCGGACATATTTGACAACATCTCCGACCACAGGTTCACGGCCCTCCTGCAGTTATTAGTGCACGAAAAACCCAACCTAAAGATCCTCGAGGTGGGCGCTAGCACTAGTGGATGGACCAAGCGCGTGCTGTCCACATTCGATGCATTTGAAAGAGAGACCGGGGCGAACACCTTTTCTGAGTACGTGTACTCAGATATATCAGATGCGTTCTTCTTGAAGGCTTCTCAGCAGTTCCAAGAATTCGAAGGACGTCTCCGCTTCAAGACCCTCGATCTGGAGCAGCCTGCAGCTTGTCAAGGGTTTCAACTTGGCTCGTACGACTTGGTCATTGCCGGCAGCGTCCTACATGCAACATCAGACTTGACAGCAACCATTCGGAACGTCAGAAGCTTACTGAAGCCAGGTGGCAAGCTCCTCAACATTGAGATCACCTCACCGCAGAAATTAGAGACCAACTTTGCCTTCGGTTTATTGCCTGGATGGTGGCTTTCGTGCGAATCGTACAGATCCCTGTGCCCCGGCATAGGCGAATCACACTGGGATCGACTTCTACGAGACAACCACTTCTCAGGTAATGATCTCGTCTTGCGCGATCATGAAACAAACATCTGTCATGCTTTCAGCCTCATGGTATCGACTGCCCAAAATTCCATCCTTCCAAGCGACTTGACCAACGGAGCCCCAAATACGAACGTCCTGTTGCTTATTGATGCTCGATCAAGCCGACAAGTAGATTTAGCCAGAATAATCGAGCCCAATCTTTCCGCTCCGTCGGGATACGCGGTAAAGGTGCTACAAATGGACAGTTCGGATCTTTCCGACCTTGCAGCTTCACACACCGTGGTGTCCCTTCTCGAAATCGACCGGCCCCTGCTTTCTGAAATGGTAGACAGCGAGTTCGAATCTCTGAAGGCCATAACGAGACAACTACATAAGTTGCTGTGGGTCACTTCGTGTAGTGTGCAGGATGAGCAATATGCGCACTACGCGTTCATGCAAGGACTGTTCAGGTCTCTGCGTTCCGAGGCGGCAGAAAAGCAAATCGTAACACTTGCGATCGAATCCCTAGAGCCAGACCTGCCCACTGCAACCTGCGCCGATTACATCCTCAAAGTCTTCGACGCATCCTCCCACGCAGAGACGCCAGAACTAGAGTATATTGTGCGAGATGGCATGATTAGGACTGGACGGCTTGAAAGAGATGCAATCGTCAGCGAGAACGTACGGTCTTTGGCTTTGCCTAAGATGATGACCGAGCCGTCGTCTGATGGCCCGGCCCTCAAGCTCGCGATCGCTACCCCGGGTCTTTTGAACACCCTTCGACTAATTGAAGACACCTACCATCAGGCCGAGCTAGGTCCAGAAGAAATCGAGATCGAAGCGAAGGCTTGGGGACTATCATTCAAGGATATCTTTGTCGCTCTCGGCCGCCTGGAAGGAGATGAACTGGGCATTGACTGTTCAGGAGTTGTGACGCGAGTTGGGTCTGAGTGCCACGGGATCATCGCGCCTGGAGACCGCGTGCCCATGTGCTCTCTTGGCTGTATGCGGACTTATCCCCGCGCCCCAGCATGCACCGTGGTCAAGATCCCGGACTCCATATCCTTTGAAGCCGCAACTTCAATCATCAACGCCGGTATTATGGCGTATTACTGTCTGATTGAAAAAGCACGGCTTGGAAAGGGAGAGACAATCTTGATCCACGCAGCGGCTGGAAGCACGGGACAAATGGCCGTTCAGCTTGCGAAAATGATCGGTGCTACAGTTTTTGCAACAGTGGGCTCTTGAGGCAAAGCGGCAACTCATGATGGAACAATTCGACATTCCAGAGGACCATATATTCTACAGCCGGAACCTTTCCTTCGCGGACGGTGTAAAGCGCATGACGAATAATCGCGGTGTTGATGTCGTGCTCAATTCCTTGTCTGGAGACGGGCTTATTGCTTCATGGGAGTGTGTCACCCCATTTGGTAGGTTCGTGGAAATCGGAAAGGCCGATATCACTTCGAATTCGCCTTTGCCGATGACGGGCTTTGCTAGGAACATAAGCTTCCACGCTGCAGACCTATGGCATGTAGCACAGTCATCGTCGGAGCTCTGCGGCGAACTGTTTAGGGGCATCATGAACCTAATCACTCAAGGCTTGATCCAGCCTCCGGCACCTCTATGCTTGTATCCCGTTGCAGAAGTCGAAAAGGCCCTTAGGTTTGTGCAGAGCGGAAAGAACACTGGGAGGACTATCATCACTATCGATCCTTCCGAGAAGGTCCAGGTGGGTGGACTCAATGAACGGCCCGACGTTTTACTGACTGTGTATATAAATATATTCGCCAGAGGAGCCACTGGAGGTTCGAAGAGAATGCAACCTACGTCCTCTCAGGAGGGTTTGGGGGACTTGGTAGGACGATACTGAGATGGATGACACAGAAAGGGGCCAGAAACCTGATCGTCCTCTCACGTTCTGGGCCGTCGTCCGAGATGGCTACAGAAATCATGACAGAGCTCAGCAAACATGGCGTCAACATTGCCGCGCCAAAGTATGATGTTTCATCGATCAAGTCTCTCTCCGATGCCCTATCTAAATATGGGGTAGATTCACTGATGGCTGTGGAGTTGCGCAACTGGATTGGTACGGACTTCAAGGCTCAAGTAGCCGTCTTTGACATCATGGGTGGCGGTACAGTCATATTCGACATCGGTGACTTGGTCCTTAGCAGGAGTCAGTTGGTTGGGGTGAAGGCTGAGTAATAGTAGAAACGCCATTCCAGGTGTCTTTTTCTATGGTCTAAAGATCAGACTTCACGGTTTGTCTCTGTCATTATCATAGGTTATATTACTATTCTATCTGATTGTTGACTGCCCACAAAACGCCGTAGGTATCAGTTCACCGAAGTGCCGTTCTCCGCAATCGTACACTACCTCCGACCACTCACCAGAAGGACCATCCAAGGTGGACTTGGGCACGCTAACCGACATGGCATCCCAGTACGCCCGGAAAAGTGTGGAAGTGGTCAAGTCTGCCGACTCGGCTATCAGCTAGCTCGAAAAGTCAACATAGCTATAGAGCGTTCCTGTCGACGGAAATTAGACTGCCACCTCAGTCAGGTCGAGAACCCCCTTCCAGCCCCAGGGTATATCAGCAGTGATAGGCAGTTCAAACCAACAGTACTTCATGAGCACCAACAAGCGGCCCCCTAGATACTATGGCAGCGTCTCACTCCCAGACGCTTATAAGGTACAGGACCCCCGGCCATGCTGCCCAGCTCCTAGAAGAAAAGCGCCAACTTCCGGCGGCGCTGCCTACGACCATTGATCATATCTCATATCTGCCACCGGAAGGCCATCCGCTGCAGAAAATCCGCAGCGCATGCATGTGCGTCCAGTTCAACGGCGGGGATTTCTATCCGTTCATGGTTAACGACGCCAGCGCACTACGACACTGCAGCGTTTGATTTCTCGGCAGCGACGTCAGGCATTCCTCCTGATAAGGGCATCTCCAACATCCCATAGGGCATTAGGACTATCGTGAAAATTGAGTACGGGCCGGGCGTGTACATATACGCATGTCTTGGCTGACGCTTACTGATTCATATGCAAGCCTACCGCATCTAGTCTAACGGCTGCTAAGGGTACATATATTCATGCAATGCAACCTAGGCACACGTGGAGCCACCGGAAAAAGAAGCATGATGGCTGGCACCTGTTGGTGTGCATATTAATACGCGCCGCTAAGAGGCTCTGCGGGTTTTAAGACGGGGTGTGCCAATGTATAGTATATGCAGACAGGGATGGGACAGCCAGGGCCCGAATAAGAAGTCAGGGGAGGTTGGGGACACTACCCCAGAACTTCCTACCTCCCATTCACTTTCGCCATATGCGGAGAACGGCATCGACGGACATGTAATTCTTCGCAAGTGAATGGAAAACTGACAAGTCACTTACAGCACACCCGATCACTTTCGACCATGCTGCCGCCTTGCATCGAGCGTTGCCCGTTCGCGCCCTTGCGTCAAACGACCATGGGCCAGGGGCCGAGAGCCCGAGCAGCAGGTCAGCTCATGCTGCCATGCACTTCCCAATACTACCAGCAGACTCGATGGAGGTTTCGACAAGGCAATTCAACCCGCTTGCGTCGGCAGAATTGCCAGAAACGCACCACATGGCCGAGCAAAAAACATGGCGTTCTGCGCGACGGCTACCAGCAGATCCCAAGTACCAGGTTTTCGTCACCTGCCAGAGACACCATTTGCTGCTCTGCCGCCGTTCCATCCATCTGCCTGCCTCATCTAGATCTTCGGAGCGATGATCAAGATAATGCACCAGGATCAAGATTGAGGGGAAACCCAGCGCCATGCTCCCCCAACATGGAGGGAGTACCTACCTACTCAGTGAGGAGTGAGTGGTGCGCTTAACAGGCGCAAGGATCATTTCGGAGCTGCCGCGGCAAGCCGTCACCAATGTGCTCGTCTATAGGCCAGGGACCTGCATCTCAAACCGGCCAACACGACCCTGGCGCAGCTCGCTTGTCATAGGACAGCAAGTCAAGTGGTGGGGGCGCATTCCAGACTGATATGCCATCGGCCATCACCGCCGTTGGCTTATTGGAAGTAAATATGATATATGACCAAATCCACACAGTAAGGGAATACGCGACGGCCACAGGCCTCTACAATGTATCAGTGGGTGATTTCCAAGAAATAAAATGTAATGTATTGATATAGCTCTGGGATAGGTAACGTACTGGGGGCACAAAGCCGGACGATCTCCTCCCGACGGTTGTTGGGCACACTCAACAAAGAACCTTGAACGAAGACAGTTTCTGCATCATGCAGTCGACACTATTTTCATCCCTGCATCTCACCAGCTCGTCACGAAGTATGACCAGCGTCGCTTCCCTCCTCATCATTCACTGTTCATCTCCCCACCGATGACACGAGCCCTGGCTTCATGGATAAGCCTGTCAACCCGTAGCGCATGACCGCCCCTCGAACCAACACCGATCTGCTCCCAACATTTTGGTAGTCAATAAGACTACCCCTATCACTCAGCCCCCTCGTGGCCTGATATGAAGGAGGGATGTGAGCCCAGTCCATTGGGCGCCAATGGGCCAATGAGAGTGGTGTTTCAGAAGAGAAGCCCTCGTGAGATGAGGGGAGGAGATGTGCAGAAGTAGATTGAAGAAAGTTCGTGATCAGGGCTCTGCACCCTGATCATATCTAGTTTGGTCTGCTCCCTACATTACCCCGTATCCGCCATGGGGGCAGAGACGCTCAGGTACCAGGGAGAGATCCGTTAGACAGCCATAGCCACAGTCAGGCCACCTCGACAACGAGGACAAAATTAGACATGCACACGAGTGACACAGCAGACCAAACCCGTGAAAAACATGACGGATTTGACATTGTGGTATTATTTTCCAGTTGCCTAAAACCACGCTTGATGTAATTCCAGCTTTTCATATCCCACGGCTCGTGGGCGGGCGCTTTCACCCCTGAATAACCATACGCTAGTAGTACTATTTCGATCTGTGAATGCAGCGGGAGGACCGAACAAGGGGGTCCGTGACGATCGTACTCGGGGATGGAACCGACAACGCTGGCTTGCGTTCATCAGGGGATAGACAACGTGAAACGAAACAAATAACCTACGCCCATCCCTTGGTTCTGGATGCAGTTGCCTTGAAGATTCCGGGATACTGGACTCGGGTGAAACACTCCCTGCCCAGCGAGTGCTCAGGCCGCCTTAAAGAACACTCCCACTTCCACCAACAACGGCCCCCAAATTGTCATGTCAAAGCAGAACGCCAGCCATGTCGGGGAAGCCGAGAAAGAAGACGCCAGGCACCACACCACGCGACGCCCACGCTCGTGTTGTCGTCCCCATCCCTTGGTCCCGGGTTGCACATCGTTCTCTGCTGGCGCCCATGGCCCCCCCCTGCCGCTCCTTGCGTCGGATCTGCTGCGAGGTAATATCTTTAGAATTGTAAATAATTCAGCGCTGGTTGCAACCGTGTGGTAGGCAATATAGATTGTACAAAAATCAAACGCTGGTGTTAACAGAAGACGACACGACACAGTGTGCGCTATTTGCAACTGGTTTTTGTAAGTTGCAAGTCGCTTTCTTTCCCTTCCCCTTCCCCTTCCCCTTCCCCTTCCCTGTCATTCGATACTGGACCCCTCCGGGCCCTCCCCATATCCAATGCAGACAGACATGCCAGTTACCAGTCCCCAGGTTCGTGGTCAGACAGCGTGTCTGTGTGTGCCATGCGGGTTCTAATCATAGGGCCGCCCTCCCTAGCAGTTCCAATCGCTGGTTCCGGCGATCGTACCTATTGTCCTGAGCTGATGAGCGGCCCCCACATCGTAAAGTGATCACCTATCCCTGACAGACACGCCTGGGGCATTCCTTGGCATATGTGGCCGTCCGCACTGGACATCCCAGCCTATTACGGCTGGTATGCGCCGCCGCTGCCGGTGCCCGGGTCCTGCCAGAACATCGAGTTGAATCGGTCTAGTCTGCCCTCTTCATCCGGCTCCATCGCGGCAAACAGGGCATTGTAGCTCGATGGCAGTGTCGTCGCTGTGCCTGGAATTCGACCGGACGCATGGGTTGGGGGCTGGTATACGCCGGCGAGATTGTCAATCGTGTAGATGCCCGGATGGCCTTGTTGGGAGTAGGCGGGATGGAGCTGCTGGTGATGGGGATGGTTGTTGTAAGGGTATCCGTGGCCGCCAACACTGCCGGCAGCCAGCCCGGCCGCGTTCATGGGGTCTCGGAATAACAGCTCAGTCGGGTCTGTCTCGGGCGGTGTGACGGCGGCATCTCTGCCGTTGGATACATAGTGGTAAGCCGCAGAACGATCGTACATTGACTCGTGAAGGTGGTCGCTATGGCTGCCGAGAAAACCGGGGCGGTGTGTTCGATTTGCGGTAGAACGTCTCGAGGCGGCGGCCTTGGTCTTGCTTGCGGTGATCCCCCCCTTTCGACCTGAACTCGCTCTTGCTGAGGGGTTTCCATGCGATCGCCCGTGACTGCCGGGACCTCCTCGTCGACTGGGGTTTCCCTTGCGGTAGCGAGTCGTGCTTTGTACTCCGTCGGTCACTGCCCAGTCTTCCAGCACCCACTCGGTAGACTTCTTGGTCTCGCCCGGGTCTACAGCCGGCTCACCGGGCCCGGCTTTGCGATCGCGCTTCACAAATGCCTTGAAGCTGTTAGCGGACTTGTGTCCAGGTGGTGCTGGGCCTCAGGGTCGGAAAGTGTTGTGGAGGTGACTTACAGCATTCATGCTTAGGTTGTGCCGGATACTATTTTGCCAACCCTTGCTGGCTTCGTTCTTGGCCTTCTCGGTATTATCACGGAACCACTGGTAGATCTCTTGCAGTGTCATCGCGTGTCGTTCCCGGCTCATGAAGGAGCGGTAGATTAGTTGCGCGTAGGGTTCGTCTACCTTGCTGCCCTCCTCGCCAGCTTGTTGACCTCTGTGGCCTGCATCCTGCATCTCCTCGTCCTCGTCGAGCTGGTACGGGCTTCCAAACTCCTCTTCCTTCAGCCGGGGGGAATCTCCGTTGGAGGACAGAGTAGCGCTGGGCTCGGGAATGTCTGGCATCATAGGGGGAGTGTCCTGATGTCCAAAATGTGCAGGGTGCATGCTGATTTCGTTGCGAAGCGTGAAGCGTCCGCTGCCATAGGTGGAAGGCGCCATCTGCTGATAGTAATGCTCTTCATATGACGACGGGGTACCAACTCCCATGTTGTAGGGAGAAAACTGTTCGGATGATCTCCAGATGTCCGGCGGGAAGCCGACTTGCTGGGCTCCAGGGGAGGACCAGCTTCTGGGACTGGCAGCCGAGGAGTCAACGGGATAGTGAGCGGCGGGATGGACAGCCGAGTTTCCACTCATAGGCGAGCTCTGGAACGAGTGGCCGTCGGTGTCTTCTCCTTCATAGGTCGTGGACGGTGGCGGAGTAGGCCACATGCCCTGCGTCGGCAACGGTGCAAAAGAGCGGAGCTGCGCCTGCAGAGGGGGTTGCGGGTGGGTGTAGCCCTGGAAATCTGTGTTGATAAATCCCGGGTACGAGCTTGTGGGCGGCAGCTGGAGCAGCTGGGACACGGGTTCAGCGGCGTGCAAGTCCGGCGGTGTGGTGTAGAAGGATTCTACACTGTCCAGGTCGGTTGACCCGCCCGTTGGTGATTGCGTTGCGCAATGCCGGGCTGGGTCCGTCGCTGAAGTGGAGGAAGAAGCAGAGTAGCTGACGGGCAAGCCGTCACAGTAGGTTTGGCGCATCCCTCCCAAGCTCGATCAAGACCCGATGCCTGTTTTGGTCCCGCTGAAACAGGACCTTGTGGTTGAGACGGCGAGGAGGCGAGAAGAACGGCTTGTGTGCGCGGGGTGCTGAATCAAATCGACAACGAGATGGAGAAGATGATTGTGTGCGAGTGTTGGTGTATGTATGGCTCGGATACGACGCACGCTTTTGGATTGTGTTGGAACAGACGACTTGTGGCAACAATGCTTGGTGCTTGGAGGGGGGAAACAACGAAGTGTGCAGACGGGTAGGCAGGAGAGAGAGAGATTGTGTGTATGTATGTGCACCTGTGCAGCAGCGCAAGCCTGGGTGTTGAAGAACGCAGGTGACGTGTAGGGTAGGCTGCGTGGTGTCTGCTTGGGTGTGTCTGTGTGTTTACGGGTTTGGGGGTTGTAAGTCGAGGCGAGATATTGCAAGACAGGTCTTTTGGGGGAGTGCTCTCTTGAGCCTCGCAGCAGGGGACTATCTCGAACCGATCTGGCCCTCGCAACTCTACTGGCTACAACTACATAAGGTACTTGGACAGCAGCGGCAGTGGCAGCAGGAGGCTAGCTATGTTACCTTGGTGGTACACTGGGCATGCAGAAGATGGACCAGACCCCAATCTGGCAACGGTAGGCAAGGAGAATACAAGACGACAGGTCCACCACGTTGGTCTGGGGAAGATACAGGGCGTGTAAATAGACGGTCTGTAAGTGAGGCGGTGTCGACCTATTACATGCAAGGTGTGACGAAGGTAGAGGTGCAGGTGCAGATGCAGGTGTATCTATAGGCCTACTAGGTACCTACCGTTCACTAGCGCTGATCTGGCACTAGATGAAAAGGGGGGCAGATGGGGAGATGGGGAGATGGCCAGATGGGCAGATGCGGACATGGGGGTCGGGGAGCAGGGGGTGGGCATGGGGAGGCATGGGAAGGCAGGGAGGTACGGAGGCAGGGAGGCAGACAGCACAGTCAGTATACTGTTCCCACACATGGAACTGGCACACGTATGTTAGACGCACACGCACATGCACACACGCGCCGACGCACGTCCTTCTCAGGAGCCGTTTTGGGATGTCACGCTGGTAGCTGGACAAAATAGGTCTAGGGTACTTCAAGGACCTGAGGATCTTGTTCATTTTTCCCTCATTCCCATCTTCTGCCAACCTGTTGCTTGCAATGTTCATCTGGTTCTGATTTATTCTGTCCCGCCAATGCACTGCCCAGCAAAATGCATGTCATAAACCTATGCCTTCCAAGTCGTGCCGCGCAAATAGGGCAGTGTTTTCATGCATGTAGGTGTGTGCGTTTGTACTGCAATACTTGCAGATACATACATGACCATGCGGTGTGCAGTGTGCGTCTCGTGCAAACGGCCGGTTGTTGTTGTGCGTCCAACTCGGTATCCTGTACATTGTTGGTTCGGGGAGATTTACTGCTTGTGAGAGGCCAGGGAGGGCAGAGATAGGAGCAGAACCATCTCAGCTTAACCTGTCGCTACACCACCCACGTAGGGAAAAAGGAGATGATACATGACATAATATGACATGACACGACAGGATGACCTGGGATGGCGAGCACCTTCAGGGACTCCCAACGCCCCCACTATAGATCTCATTGAGATAGTGTACTGGATACATAGGTATACACATCCCTCAAAAGTGTCTGTCTGCGCACGTTGCTGGAGTTCCAAACCATAAGTATATGTTGTCTAGAATAAGCACCCAGGCGTAAACAGCTGGAATCCAATCAAGCGATGATACCACTCGTACTAGAGTGCTTATCCCACAGATATGATGTTCCTGGAATTTCAGGACACTGGTCGAGGGGTATCCGGAGTCGTTGGAGGGCTCAGTCTAGTCGACCAACAAGGCCATTGTGGGCTGCTATTGTGAGCTGTAAGCTTCCATTACGCACGATACAGGGCCATCAAAAGACCCGGACCACAGCATAGCGGCGGCATTCAGGGCTCTGCTCCCGCTCCCGGTTACGTGCATGCCCCCCAGTGGCCTGCTGTCGGCCATTCGCCAAAGCTCGCCCAATCCATGGTTACACGAGCCGTCGTCTGCTGGAGTCCTTTTGGGGGGCCCTTGTTCATTCGGAGGGCCTGGAGCTGGGGCCGGGAGATCGCTTTCCTGACCGCTGTCACCCTATGCAGATCATCGCTGCGCCTTCTAGAAGACGCAACGGGTCGGCTGGACATGCAGAGAGCCAGGGGCCCCCAGTAGGTGGAGAGATTCGAGGGTCATAGGTATCTTGAGACTGAGAGACATTGTCATACTGAAACAGGAAGGGGTTCTCTTGCACATGGGGCGGCCTGTCCTCTGGCCTGAGCTGTAAATTACCGGTATGAAGCCTTTGTGACCAGAGCTCATCTCACGTGGGCTGTTTTTATCAACACACCGCCGATGGAAAAAGTGTTGGGCCCCACAGCACAGTCACGTCTTCGAGCATGCCAGACTCTCTGTGGGCGTGATGGGACGAGGTATCTGTCTGGAGTGAGGAGAGTGAGGCAGCGCTTCTCCGGGCGTTGTATCACCGAGCCGGGGCGGGTCAAGACTGGCTGCAACTTGGTCATTGGTCATAGTTCTGCAAATTACTATCGCTAAAGCCCTATCACGCACCGTGCTCAACGTCCACGCCTCTTGCCTTGGACGAGTGCGTGAAGTAACTCGTACTGTGTGACATGAGCGGTGACATGTTTGTTGGGTGCCGGCACCATGGCAGCCCGGGTATCTCCATTTACTTTCGGTAGTAGATCTGTACATGATATGTCAGTACGGATCCCCATTGGTCCAGTAGTCGCAGGAAGATGCTTACCTTCTTGAATTGGAAGTGGAGCTGGAGGATGCCCTGTGAGGTCGTGAGTTAGCTAAGACATCACCAAGGCGGACCAGGAACACAAGACTGCAGGTTCCGAAATCGCACGTCACGCGGGTGTATCGGACGGGCTGACGGTAGCAGACACAGGCCACCAAGTCAATGTGACGTTAGACGCTGCCGACTGACCATGCACCAACCACACACAGCCTTGTCTGGGCTGGGCGACCCTGCAACCACGTGAAGTGAAATAAAGGCGACTGTGGAATGAAACAGGGGGAACACTAGCTTACCTTGTCAAAGCTGCTCTTGAAGCCGCGATCCTTTTTGGCGCTGTAGTCCCACTCGCGGTCTACTATACGGAAAGCGATATCCTCATAGGGCGGCCCAGCAATGAACCGAATCAGGCATGTGTCCTCCTCGCCCGCCGGTGCGAATGACTCGCCCCGTCTTCTCCCGTGTTCTCGGATGATCTTGAAGGTGGGCGCCTTTATCTTGTCGATGAGATCTGGGTAGAAGATGTTGAACTTGTAGCCCTGGACTACCTTTGGCGGAGGGTTGTCGTGGTCGTAGTGAGTCTGGTTGTACTTGTTCCATTCGTAGCCCATCTGCACCCGGTTGAAGTATCGCGGCTTTCGAGGTCTGTACTTGTCGGCCCATTGTGGTTTCGCTCCGCTCGCCACTGTCTCCTCCGCAGTGAAGATCTCCTCGTTCTCGCTAATGCCTCGAGCAACCTCTCGCTCGTATAGAGCTTTCGTGGCTTGGGAGAAGTCTTCGTTGCCGGTCATGGCGAATCTTGCAGTACCGGGGGGTGGGTTACTCGTGCTGGGTGAGGGTACTACCGCTACACTCTGCTTTGCGCTGGGGGCCACTTGTGCTGTATCGTCTCTTGAACCGATGCTAGCAAGCCTGGTGGCAGATTCAGGGTCGGCCAGCGCCTTGGACTTCTCTGGATTCAGGTCCTTCAACAATGCGATTCTGCTTTCCTTGATGGCCTCGTAATTCCCCTTGAGCCTGGCCTTTGCCTTGAATACCATCAGGCTCTTCAGTAACTGCTCCCAGTAGTCGGTGTCCATCACTTCGTCGGACCGCAACTTCGCCTTGATCTGACCCTCGAGCTTCTCCAGCTGTTCAAAGGTCTTAGGTCCGAGTATATTATCGACATCCGACGTGACGGAGCTGACTGCGCGCTGTTCCGGGGCCATCGGCTTCAGCTTCTGTTTTCGGTCCGCCGCAAGCGTCCGCAACGCCGTCCAGTATTCCCGATTCCGCGCATTCGTCTCAAGTGTGTGATATGAAGTGATTTCGGCATTGAGCTCTTCGAGCTCGGATTCCTTCAGCGCCTCGATTACGGCACCCGGGGCAGGCACGTCGATCTCGGCATCGGCATCGTCCTCGTCAAAGACGTCCCGGTCGGTATCTATGTATCGCAGATTGAACGCTAGGAAATCGATCGGTTTGGCTCGCCCGTCCCTGACTCGAATGTCGGCTTTCTTCTTGGACTGCTTCAGCACGAACTTGTCCTCGTCCGCTACGAAGCGTTCCGACTGCTCGTCCTGACTGAGGTAGGTCTGGGCGGCGGACGTTGGTGGTCTGTTCTGGATTGGGCGCGTGGGCTTGGTGATCCTGGTATTGGGATCTCGTCTAGGAGATGTAATGTCGCGGCGAGGGGGGGACTTACGGCCAGAAATCAGAGCTCGCCGACCTGGATCCATCTTTGCGACCGCCTTCGTGGTGATAGTTCTCGTGGCGACAGTAAATATGCTGGGACAGATGTGGAAGCTTGAATGTTGCCGACTCTAATGTTCAGAACATTGAATAGGATAGATCGAAGGCACCGCCACGAGGACGCCACTCGGCGGCTGCGCCACAGAATCCGAAGGACCCATTTTACGCCGCCCATGCCGGACCGAGACGCCAGAACCTCAAGACGCCCCCGCCACCAATCCCAAGGTCCGGAGCTTCGACAAGGAGGAAGCTGTGACTTGTGGCAACTGTTCACTCTGGTTTTTTGATGTAAGCTTCTTCATTTGGAAGCTGGAGTGTTTCCCCACGGACGCATGACAGCGCTCTCCTAATGGTTGAATGAAACCACCGCCAAAGCATCCCTTACCCCTGAATCCTCATAGGGCCTCCAATAGTCAACTGGGACAGCTTATCCTTTGAGTGCAGCAGTCACGACCTCTAAATCCAAGCTAAATTGGCCCTATCTGTCGTTGCCCCGGGAGTTCAAGACAAATCTGCTGAACATTGAGACATGGAATCCGAACAGAACCTCACACCTCCTCGGCTGAGTAATATGGTAGGTTCTTGGGAGTAGCCACGTCCGTGTGTGGGCGGAATCGAGACCGAATTCCGTCGCATTACTTGAAAGTACGCCGTTTGTTATGCATGACATTGCTCAAACTGCAAGACGCACGCTGCAGACCAGATAAGAGACTCCAGGAACAGTGAGAGAGTAAGCTAGGCACAGAGGAAATTGACTTGGCTGGCTTATTCGCATCACCGCTAGTCGCCCTGAGGGATGCAGTTCCGATGTTTGGCACAAGACACGAGGCAGGGTGCAAACTTCGAACCTGTCACGGCACTAGACAGCCACATAGGGTCAAACTCTATATTTACCGCATCATGTCTTCTAGCTAGCTTCATAGTTTTTTTCTTTCTTCATGTACAACAACATCAGTCATCCCGGGGTCACCAGCAGTTAAACTGTGACATTAATATTTGGTATCTCGTCTTTCCTCTGTACTATAGACGTTCCTAGATGTTTACGCTACGTTGTCGACGGCAGCCAGACAAGCCAATGTGCCTCCTGGTCGTGGGGAATGGCAAGGTGCCTCGCAGGCGACCATCTAGACATCCATAACCTGGATCAGCTAGACTTGGCCAGTCGAAACCACGATTGATCCATTCCACGATTATACTGACCCCAAATGCTGATGACTTCTGGGATCAGTGAAAACACCAGGGACACGAGGTATTCATTGTACCATTTCCAAGCACCACCGATTGGTCCACTCGACCGTCATAATTCTCCGTGCGCGCCATGTTGACTGGATTTTAGACCACACGTGGAAATTTAAAAATCCAGGTATAAGCAGACAGGAATAAGCAGCTCTGGACTGATACCCCCCTTCCTGATTATTCCGGTGTGCTTATTTTAATTCGATAAATTTACCCTTATTTGATGCGACGGATCAAAGCTAGACATGCCCGAGCGTTTGGCTTTGCAAGATCGACCTTAACCACATCCTTCTTCCACCTTCATCTCGCTTACGAGCACAACCTTCGCCGCAAACACCACCAGCCCGGTTGTTTGGTCTGCCCCACTTCCTCGGACATCACTGATATCCAGTGAGGTTTGGGGCTCAAAGGGATTCCTCCTCCACGTTCGTCTCTCCAAATTCATCTTCTCTTTTCTACCCAACGCACCGATCAACCACAAACCTGCAGGAACACCTCCGCAGCACCCAAACGCCACCCGAACCAATCATGGCGATCATCCCCGACATCAAAGGTCCGGAGGTGTCGGTCGTGATCAATCACGTCACAGCTGACGAATATGACATTCCTGGAAGCATCTATCAGGATGCAAATGCCGAGGCCATCCAAGCCAGCCCTATCGCAAATGCCCTCCAAAGCATCAAGTCCATTGAGGCACGGTCCAAGGCAACCTTTGGTGTTCAAATCACAAAGTCGGCTGTCTTCAAGCGAGACACTGAACGCATCGGATATGTCCTAGAGCTCAATGGAGTGATCTTGAAAGGATGGTCTGAGACTAATCTTGAACGGCTGCAAAGCTGGACACACACCCGAATGTCACGACCAGTCCTATCTGAACGAGCACAGGACATACCGTTTTCCTGGAATGGAGATCTTCAAATTGGTATACCCATCACCCAAACATAAACTTGATCACTGTACTGATTATGCAACAGTCGAGGACGATACTTTCTCTTCTCAGCAGATCAAAGACGTCTATCGTGCAGCTGGGCATGGATCAATCCGAATCCATTTCCACCATCTGCTTGCCGTAACGAACCACTTCCACGGAGCGACACATGAAAGCTGTATGCACTGGAAATATCAGGATCCCAACGCGCGTCTGTTCGCAACGTTCGAGTTCCTTTATAGATCTACAGGTAGGTGATATTGCTTTGATGCTACAACTTCGCATTCTAGAATTCTCCCCGAGGGTACGCCAACACTAGCTGTTCTTTAGGCGACCTCCTTCTAGAAGGCATCATCACTCCTCACCAGGCTATGAAAGAGCACAACAAGAAGAAGAAGGAGCTCAACGACAAGAAACTCCGAGCTCGCCACGCTATCAAGGACCTCAATGGGGAGCAGCTCTGAGAAATGTAGGCCAACCTCCTGGCCAACAACGTGGGCGCACTCGTAGTGGCTGAATACCTGGGTGCAAAGCGTCGTGCCGTTGGACCGGCCAGCGGTGCGACTCAGAAGAAGCAATGCCGAGAGGAGGGAGGCGGTACCTAGAGACTCAGCTCTGCTACTGCTATGCGATAAAACCGCTGAAGCTCGGAGGGTTGCACGTTCAGTCTACGTGGGAACACTTCTTGCTGGCCTCGGGTATGGTTAGGGAACAGGATCGTGTCTGTGACAGACATAATTATAGCAACATATCATTGTCGCTCTCCAGCCTCGTGCGGGCTGGCGGTACATAAAGCATAGAATTCTAGTCACTTGAGTCTAGCATGAATGTACAGGTAGTCTACAAAATGGCGTCTTTGTTCTTGAAGTAATCACTGCGAATTAAACATAGTATGGAGTCAGCTCTCTGCAGATCACTTCCATGTTATGGTAGCGACATGTCTGAATGCTAGGCGTGCTGAGGTGTGTGAATACGCCATCATGCTGTGTCAGGGTCTAACTGTTGCTAGAGTCTAGGGGCACCTCCAATGAAGCAGAGCATACCAACAGTTGAAGGAGTAGAAGGCAGGTTAATAACCAGTACCTCTCTTTGGTACCTCACCCGCAAGGTGGTATACCAGGTCGCGCCAGGCATGCCTGATGATTGAATTTTCGCGCTGCCAGCTGGCGACTCCCCAAAACGCGCCAGCCGCAGTTCCTCAGCAACGACTGTTTTGTTTGTTTTGTTTTGTATTTAACGTGGGGGTAGCTCCTCAGTAGTGCAAACCACGTCTCCCAGAGCCTCTGCATCGCAGGGTTGTGGAGGTCTCAAGATAATAAGTACAGTCAGTCCCGCTCACGGGCCCATCCCCGTTGTTGCGGCGGTATGACCTTGGGGTCATCCATCTGGTCCTTCAAGGAAGGCTATCTATCGGGGGTAGATTGTTGAAAAGAACTTGCTCTTCTCCACGAATTTTGCCCATTCTGTGTTCCTCTCCCCTAAGTATTGTAAATAAGCTGCCCTAGGCGAATGCCTAGGCAGTAGCCGATTTTTCCCCAGCCTCTTACAAAAGAAAATATGTTGTGGTGTTTTCTTCTCACCACAGTTGCAGTGATCATTTGAGTCTGTGTGCCCAAAGCGTTCATGGTATCTGGCAAAGTCGCCATGTCCAGATCTGGCCGCTAGAAGTCTGTGTAAAGTACTCCTCTTAAAAGATATAAGGTCTCTTTTAGTTACTGCATGTGAGTATACTTCTTGATACCTAGATTCTGATTGGTCTTTCCACCATTGGTTGAACTCTTTCTTGCCCTGTCTTTTGAGATCTCTCTTGACCCAAGAGATTATAGGAAGATTTGTTGTGTCTGTTTCCAGCATGGCACCCTCTTTTGTTAGTGTGTCGGCAGCTTCGTTGCCATCAATATCTCTGTGTCCAGGAATCCATTTGACGGTCACTCCAGGAGTGTGTGCTGTGGCAAGTTCTTGAAATCGTAGAAAAATGTTTTGTGATGTCTCGGGTGGAGTCCCATTGAGCCCATCTACCACTGATGTGTTGTCCAGGCAGACATATAGCTGTTTTCCGTGTCCAATTGCCCTGGCTGCTACAAGACCTTGGAGAGCACCATGGACTTCAGCATCTACTACTTCTGCTTGTAGAAGTCTGCCCCTTCCCCGGTATACTTCTTGTGTAGTGCCGCCTTTCCTGATGGTATAACCCCATCCAGTGCGGATTGTGCCTTGGTCATCCAACTGTGATCCATCTGAGTAGATGACAAGGTCAGTGTTCACGTTTCTCTCTTATAACCATTGCTTGAAGAGCTCTGTTTCTTTGTCTTTGTCTTTGCGGATTGGGCGCTTCTTCCATGATGGCCTGGTAAGTATTGGTCTCTGGAAGTCAGGGACTAGCTGGAAGCTCCTTTGTAGCCTTGTTGGATCCTTGCGAGCTTGTATTTGGAGCCTGCCAACCAGAGGGTGTCTCTGATCTATTTGTCCTAGTCAGAGGCCGTGACGTCGTCTTATTGACTCTGCAAGAACTCCTGCTGGGGGAATCTGCGATTCAAAGTGTAAGATATGTCCAGGGTGTGTTTTCCAGACTGGCAAGATAGCCCTGATCGCTGTTCGTAGTACGGCATCTATTGTTCCAAGAAGCCCCTTAATGCGACATGCTGATGTCTCACCTAAGCTCCCAGCTTTCTCGATTCCTGGGTACCAGGCCTCCAGGCCATGTGTGAGAATAGGAATAACACAAGCTTTCACAGCCCTCTTGGTTGACTTTACTGGAAGTCCTTTGACTGTGTTGCATAGTCCTCGAAGGTGATTTGTTACCCTACTAGCTTTCTTGGCCCAGTGAGAAACATGGTCTTTGAAGTTTAGTTTCCTATTTAGAAGGACACCTAGCCATCGCATGGAATGCTTAGCTATTTTGTTCATTGTTCCGTGGCAAACTGGGGGATTGTCTGAGTTCTTTTTCCGTGAGAAGTGCATGATCTCGGTTTTGTCGGGATCAAATTCAATAGCATTATTATGTCCCCATTGATTGAGTAAATGAAGGTTTTCAGAAGCCTCTGTAGCTGTTTCTTTAAGGTTCTTTCTAATGCAGAGTGTTGCTAGGTCATCTGCATATCCAAAGCGTCTTCTTTTCATGCCAAGTCGGGCACAGATTGGCTCTGTATACAGCATGTAGAGGATTGGAGAGACTGGTGAGCCTTGTGGGAGCCCACAAGTGAGAGCTTTTATATCGGTCACAGTACCTTCAAACCGAACTCTTGCGGACCGCTCGGACATGAACGACTGGACCCATCTTATGAGAAAGCCTGGCCAGCCCTGTTCTCTCATGCGAACCACCAGCCGTCCCATTAGGGCAGCATCAAAGGCCCCTTTCACATCTGATGTGACTACCGTTGCAACGAGGCCTTGGTCGAGGGCCTGCTCAATATCGTGTATGAGTGCAGCTACCAGGTCAGTGGCAGAGCGCTTTGGTAGAGCTCCAAAATGTTGTGGGGCTAGAATTCCAAGTTTGACAACAAACCAGGTAATTCTTTTCGCAATGAGTCGTTCTAGGCCCTTGCCAAGACATGACAGTAGCGATATTGGTCTGTAGGCCCTGGGATTGGAGTAGTCTTTCTTTCCTGGTTTTGGGATCATCACCACTTCAGCTATTTTGAATGGTTTAGGGTGGTGTCCAATCTGTAGACAGGTCTGGAAAAGGGCTCTGATATGTTCCCCAATGAATGGCCAGCAAGCTTTCAGAATCCGTACTGTGAGGGTATCTACTCCCGGGGAGTTGCTCTTGGTCCCTAAAGTGCACCCTTCAGCCTCTTCCAGTCCGACATGGTATTCAAGGGGGATATATGGCTTGGGTTATGTGATCTGAGCGAACCAGGGGTCGATGATATCGTTGTCTGAGGTACTTTGTTTAAGCGTGGCTGAGCGTAATGTATTGGCCTTGCTCTTTTGTGACTCGAATATTTGGTCTCCTATGATGATTAGAGGGGAACGCAATCCTGCTAATAACTTGTGCCAAGAGACGATTCTGTATAGGTCCTTTGGCTCAGTTGCTGAGTCAATTAGAGTCTGCCAGTACTCTCTCCTAGCTTTCCGAACCACGCAGCGAAATTCCTGTCGGGCTGAATTCTGCCCTGCTTGGCTTGTAGTCTGTTTAGAAAGGGCCCTGTATGTCTGAATAGCTGCTTTGCAGTCATCATTCCACCAAGCAGTGGGCCTAAATTATCGGGGCTTCTTGCCCACTGTCCTGATATAGCTTTGGATCATGTTGATCAAGCTTTGTGTAAAGGCATCTACCTGGCCAGGGGATACACCCAGCCGTGGGAGTCCATGGATCCTGGTTTGGACATTGTCTGCCAGCTCTTATAGTTTATCGTCCGGTACTATCCAATGATTGGTCTTGGGGACTCGGTCTAGATCTCCCTGAATTGGGACAACTATTTGTAATATCTCATGATCTGAGGTGCACTGAAGTGTATCATTGACTGAGGCTTCAGCCATGGGGACATCTGAGAACACCAGATCTAGTACATTTCTGTCATCATATATTGGGACATCTGGTTCAGAAATCAGATCCAGTCCGTGGTCTGCCATAGTTTGTGCAAGTATAGCACCACCATGATATCCTGGATTGCTTGAGTCCCAGGATGTGTCACCAGCATTGAAATCTCCAGCTATAACGCAGCCAAAAGGTGGAGTCCATACTTCCAGAATGTCATCCACTTCCTGTGGGTTGTCACATGGCCGGTAGACACTGGCAAATGTAATGCCTTGTACCTTGACCCAGGTGATGTCTCGTGTAGCATAGGGCCGAAATTGATCCGCTTGAAGGTATTTTCTCACATAGATGAGAGATCTGGGCCGTGTACTGTCGCTGTCCCAGGAATCCACTGGGGAGTATATATCGTAATTGGGGTGTGTCTTTACTCCCATTCTCCTGCCTGGTGGTATGCCAACCCAGGGCTCTTGCATCAGAATGATGTCTGCTTGTTCTCTTTTATAGTCAGCCAGGTTGATGGCTAACTCTGTAGGGCCTGCATTCTTTTGTCCCCCTGCTGTATTCACAGAATGGATGACTAGATGCCCGTGTCGATGTGTTTCGTTTGATGTACCTAACATTGACTGACAATAATGGTATCGGCATCTCTGGGATGAGTTGTATCTGTTGTGTTGATTTGCATTGTGGTGTCTTTGCTATTATTGCTAGGTGTTGACCCAGCTTGGTTTCTGCCTGCTTCGTTGAAGGCCTTGGATCTGGCTCTTTCTCCGGCTAGCCTTATTTCCTGGATTTGCTCCCATGTGTGCTTATGGATGGTACCTTTCACAACCTTGGGGCAGGCAGGGCATTTGTCGAAGTTGGCAGCATGAGGTCCTTTGCAGTTGACACACTTTGGGATTGGTTTTTCGCACTCTCCCTGGTGTACTGTGTTGGCGCAGTGTGCACATACTTGCTTTTCGTATCGGTAATTCCTACCATGGTATCTGAAGCAGCTTGCACACTGGTGAACCTTGGGGGTGTGTTGAATATGCCTTGAGGTCATTGAGTGGGCAAAAAGCATGAATGGTTTCCTTGCTACACTGGGCAGAGAGATTATCCATGTAGTTTCTGGATCAGAATCAATCGTGTTCTTTGAGAGTATGCACCTCAGAGGTCTGTCGCCTGTTTGGGCTTCAACTTCATCGGCAACAATAGTGTCAGTAATATCGATTGTGAACCCTTCTGCACTGATGACCTTTCTTGGGCATCCATTGACCTTGTAATGTTGCCAGACTGTGTGGGTCTCAATCTTTTGTGCCTTGAGAATGTCGGCAATTTCTTCTTGGAAAGCCAGAAGTTTAGCCTGAGTTGGCTTGTCCCTTGGGTGTAAGGTAAAACCAGAAGGACACCGTGTCACTTCTCTAAGCTCCTGAGGGTGGAGCTTAAGTCTTCTGTTCAGTGTAGACTTGATTCCATAAGGCTCTAGGTGGCTATTATCCATGCGGACAAAGACCCGGAGATCATCCTGCTTTTTCTTCAGTTGGTTGGCAGTGATGAGGGCGCCAGGCTGTGTTTTCTTCATGGTAGTGTTGACTGTCCATGGATGCTGTCGTTGGCCAAAGGAGACAGCTTGGGCGAAGGTCATGGTGGGCTTCCCTATCCCTATCCCGCCAGGAGTGGTCTTTCTTTTGGGCAGATCTCGGGTTTCCAGCCACTCGTTCAGGCATTTGGAGAAGAAAGCGCTGAACTCCTTGGCATGAGAGTATAGTTCGGTTCCAGCTTTTTCCAGTGTCTTATCGACTGCTGCAGCACACTCTTGAAACATTGTTATCCTGGCTTCATAGAGATGCTTGTCTTTAGCCAGTATTTTGGCTACTTGGTCCTGGCACTTTGAGGAAGAGACCTTGTTCCCTGTATCGCCTCCAATGGCTTGGTCTGTAGAGATTTCGTTTGATTGAGGTACTTCCATATCAATGATGCTGTTAGTATTAATATTTCGGGATTTTCCTTTCAGAGGGGAAACAATGGTGAAGTCAGCCTCAGAGACCTGTGACGGGCTGCTGTTGATGTCGTCGAGCAGTGCCTGGCGGAGCTTGCTTGGGGTTGCCGGGCCATATGTTCTTTTAGGGACCGGGGATTTGAGCACGCCGCCAGTAGTCGTCTTTGGGACGGCCACTGGCGTATTTGGGGGCCTATCGTGAAGGGGTGCCATCCAGCTTGTGAGAAAATTTTTCTGTGCCTTGGCAAGGATAGTTAGGTACTGAAATAAATGCCTGTTTTAGTGCAGATATAGAGGTTGCGCCCTAACAGCGGGGCGCCAAGAAAAATAGTTGTTTTTGGTAAGAGTGTGCTCAGCAACGACTGTTAGGCTTCTCGACTACCCGATTGTTCGTTCCCAGCACGATGGCTATCATCAATGATGTTCCTGGCCTGAAGGCGACAATCTCCGTCAACGGGACCTCAAAGAGTACGACGACCCGAACGTTGGAGTTGTGAACAGCAGCATGCAGGCATCGAAGCCTGCGTTCGGCATTACCAACGCCCAGGGTGTCCCTCAAATGATCAAGTACATCGAGGCAACCCCAGGCGCCAGTTTTTCATTCCCATTCATCAAGGAGCACACGTTCAAGGGAAAGTGCCATCACTTAAAGATCATGCTCGAGACTGACGGAACTGTTGTCGCCGAAACCCACGAGCCGCAAGAGGCGCGAGACATGCGATGGGCGAGACTCTGCACCACTGTTCGTCTCGGCGATGAAAAGCTTGGCTGGTATGGCCGAACTTTCCAGTTTGGAGTACTGAACAAAGGTAAAACAAATCCAAACTTGATTGGTATTCTGCAGAGACTGACGGCCTGCCCATGCAGTGGATGCCAATCAATGCGATGGCGACAAAGGTTGACGCCGACAAGGGCAAGTGTAAGAACCTTGGTGTTCTCCGACTACGTGTCTACAAGATGAAGCGTTCGAAGCAGGAACCTCAGAAACAAGTCTCGAACCTTCCGGTTGTGGACGATGTCGCGGGAAATGAGCCCAAAGGCAGCGCGCTGTCTTCCAATGTCCGCTTTGGGCCTGCGACCAGTGCTCCGAGCCCTCTCACAACCTTCCAGAATGTCTACCAAGACCGCTACATCCGCCCCTTCGCCATCTAAGAGTTCTGATACCGAACGAGAGGTAATACCTGCTGCCCCAAATGACCTTATCGCATGGGTACTAACAAAATCACAGATGGTCTCCGTCAGGTGGGTATCCGTCTCCCGATGACCGAGCTGGAGAAGCTCCGACGTGTAAGTCCACAAATGCTATGGTCACCGTTATCTTCTGACACCTCCCATAAACAGGACGAAGCAACTGTTAAGGACGAATTCAAGGCTGCCGAGATTACCGTCAAGGAGGAGGACACCGATTCCCCTGCCAAGGTTACCGTCAAGAAGGAGGAGAACGACCCCCCTGCCGCTATATTGAAGCGCTCTCGTTCCGCTACCGACCTTGCTCCAGCGAAGCGATACAAGGAAAGCCGGGGTGAAGACGGCCGTGTCGTGGTTGATCTGACGGACTAGGTCGGAACAAGCGAGGAACATCTTTCTTGAGAAGAGGCGAACTGGCAGCAAAGAATGGCATGGAAATGTAGCTGCTTCAAGTGTTGGGTGAGCAAGTGGTTCCCAAGGGTTCCCCAGTTTCTGGAGGACTTGAACCCTTTCTTGTATTCGAGTTCATCATCTCCGATAGACTGGACAGCTTCGAGAGCGTTTTCTGTCGCGCTGGGCTGCTGTTCTTCATGGACTTGGTAATTGAGGTGTCGGCAGGGACGACAGCATCGAGACTAACCGTCTCCACACTCCCACCTGTGCCAGGCAGTCTCAAGCCCAAGAGACTGCGACAACGACTACCTACGTATATACAAGTACAGACACACAGATACCCCTATGTAGATGGCATGTTTGCACCTGCTGGACCTAGGGATTGAGAAACACCGTGTTTTATTAAGTTATCGAATAACACAGTACATCTCTGCCGCCTGCCGCTTCTGACCAATGAGCGCTTCCTCCCACTACCCTGAAGTGATATATCCATCTCATTTGGCTATCTTGACTACCTAGGCTACGTCAACCCAGGAACCCCTTTCCATAGCCAGACTAACAGCTTCGCATACTCTCACAGCCGCCAGCCCATCAGCGGCGGTGCAACTGGGCTGTTCTTCACCATGGACAACCCGAATGAAGTGCTTAATCTGCTCCTCAAACGGGACAGCATCGACGCCCGGTAGCGTCTCCGGCTTCTCGTACTGCATCGGACACTCCCAGCCTGTCTCCTTGCCCGCTGGCGGCTCAGAGAACCTCACCACCGATGCGCTGGGCACACTGAGCGTCCCTCGCGTCCCATACACCCGCAAGAACTCTGATCCGGACATGGGAACCATGGGGTTCTCGCCAGTGCCGGACTCGAAGTTGTGTCCGCTTGCCACTGCGTCGGATAGGACGAATGTGCCCACGACGCCGGATTGGAAGCGAAGGAGGATCGCACAGCTTTCTTCCACGCCGTGGCTTTCGCGGGTGACGGGTCCACCCTCCGCAGCCACACGAACAATGTTCCCGAAGAGGAACCGCAGCATGTCCACCTCGTGGACAAAGTTGATGCGAATCGGCCCGCCGGAGCCCTTGGTTCTTCGCCACTCTGCTGGGGGGTCGAAGTACTTTGGTGGCTTGAGAGTGGTCCAGGAGCCCTGGATGGCTACCACTTTGCCGATTTTACCAGAGTCGAGCACGTTACGGGCCGTGGTGACGTAGGGGTTGAAGCGGCGGTGGTGGCCTACGAGGATGGGAGTCTGTTGGCCTTCGGCACGCTTGACCAGAGCTTGTGCGGGTGGGATCTCGACGCAGAATGGCTTTTCCACCAGCAGCGGGATCTTCAGGTCCAGCAGCTCGTTTGCGACGGGGATATGCGTGTGGTTTGGCGTGCAAACCAGGGCGGCGTCCGCCTTGTAGTCGGATTGCTTGAAAGCGGCGATAGAGGGGAAGTACAGGGCGTTGAACTCATCCGCTACTTTCTTGGTGGCAGGGTTGGGGTCGATGATGCAAAGTACATTCGCACCAGGTACGTTCTGGATGGCAGATGCATGCCTGGGGCCGATTAAGCCAGCGCCGACGATGGCGGTTTGGATGTCTTTATGGCGTGTCATTGCGGAGAGTCTTGGACAACGTTGTACATATATACCGGCATGTAACGCCGGGACTTATTCCCTTGGAGTTCCCCATGAAACCAGGTCCGGAGGGAACCGACTACTGCCGTTGGCACGACTCATGTGTAGTATTGACAGACAAGCTCGAGGTCCATCTACCTAGGACTGAGTGAAAGTTGTGGTGCATAAAGTAAAGGCCAGATATGTGTTGCACTCTCTTGGAAATGTCGTTCTATGTTGGGAGGAGGAAGAGAAGTCGCAGGCTGCAACCCCCTAACCCTTTAGCCCGCTATCCATGGATGTCGCTATTTCAGGGGTATGGGCGGGGGAGCATGATTGCACTGGGACGATCGGATGAGATAAGCGCGATCGCGCCTACTGCCGGGCATCCAAGCGCAGCTCCCAATCAGAATCAAGATTGCGGCGCGTTGCACAGTGAGGATGCACAGTGCAGCTACCCGACCCCCAGGTGGTTTGATTGTTTCACTAATGCGGCGCGAAGGTCGCGGAACAGAAACCATCCCAACATCTCACCTGTCAGCCATCCATCAGCCATCCGTTAGCTGCTCTACCTTATTAGGTAGTAGGAATTTCCATTACGACCCCGGTCGCCAGGGAGAGTATCATTATAGGCGAGGGGAGGTCAGCGAGCGGGCGAGCCAAACACTCGCCGCGCTGGCATTTGGCGCCGAGTTGCCCATGCTCACTGAAAATGTCGCATGGCAGATTCACCGCCAGCCTCACCACGCCATGATCACCATCTTGCGCCGCAGGACACTCGCCATCGCCTTGGTTGCCGCATGCATATTCTATCTCCTCGTCGGCCTCCTCCCCGACGACAGCAACGACACCGTGTTCGGCTTCCACTACGTGAGGGACAGCTACGACTGGTCCAAGCAGAAGCTCCAATACCCGATATCAGAATACACGCCCCTGCCGACGGGCCAGCCCCGAGCGCTGCCCAAGGTGCAATATGCCTTCGAGACCGACACGAGCCCCGCGGGCCTGGCCAGGGAGGAGGTGCTGGCGGCCCGCCGCAGCGAGGTCAAGAGCGCATTGGTGAAGAGTTGGAACAGTTACAGGAACATCGCATTTGGATATGATGAGCTGTTGCCCGTTTCGGGGGAGCCAACCGACGAGGCCGGAATGGGCGGCTGGGGAAATACACTGGTCGACTCGTTGTCGACGCTTTGGATAATGGGACTGAAGGACGATTTCTACGATGCTGTCGCAGCAGCTGTCAAGATTGACTACTCCAAGTCTGAGGATTTCTCCTGCAACTATTTCGAAACCACAATACGCCATTTGGGTGGTCTCCTGGGTGCTTACGATCTAAGCAGCGAGACGGCCTTGCTAGAGAAGGCCATCGAGCTTGGAGACATGCTGTACATGGCGTACGACACGCCGAACCATATGCCCCCCTTCTGGCTGGACTTTAGCGACGCCAAACGCGGCCTTCAGGTAGCCGGAAGTCACGATCCGGCCGCTTCTGTCGCTTCGTCATCCCTGGAATTCTCACGCCTGTCGCAATTGACAGGAGACAATAAGTATTATGACGCCATCAACAGAGTAACAGAGCTACTGGATTTATGGCAGAATAAGACGAGGCTGCCTGGAATGTGGCCAATCTATTTCGATATGAATCAGGAGCAACTGGACGGCGACAATAGCTTTACGCTCGGTGCGTCTTCCGACAGCATTTACGAATATCTTCCAAAGACGTTCGCATTACTAGGGGGTCTTGAGCCGATGTACGAGAAGCTGTATCGCGGAGCGATGGACACGGCTATCGAGCACCTCCTATATCGTCCCATGCTGCCTGACCAAGACGATATCCTGTTTACTGGAAACGTCTATGTCTCCGGGGCGGGCCCGCGTCTGACTGCCGAGTCACAGCACCTCGGCTGCTTCGTGGGTGGCATGTTTGGGCTTGGAGGGAAGCTCTTCGAAATCCCCGAGCACGTCGCCATCGGCGAGAAGATCACAAAGGGCTGTGTGTGGGCCTACGACGCAATGGCCACCGGCATCATGCCCGAGATCTTCAACTTGCTGATGTGCGACACCTTGGACCCATGCGAGTGGGACGAGGGTGAATACCAGCGCGATGGCGCCAAGGACTTGAAGAAGGGCTTCAAGAACGCGCGAGACCCGAGGTACTTGCTGAGGCCCGAGGCCATCGAGAGCGTCTTCTTGATGTATCGCATGACCGGCAGCCCCGAGTACCAGGATATGGCCTGGCGCATGTTCCAGGCGATACGCAATGCGACCGAGACCGAATACGCCTTTTCGTCGATCAAGTCGGTCAAGTTCACCGATACGGTCAAGTCGGACTCCATGGAGGTAAGTGCCTATATGACTGAACCGTCAGTCAAGATGTGCCTGGCTAACGCGTGTACAGAGTTTCTGGCTGGCCGAGACCCTCAGATATTTCTACCTAATATTCTCCTCACCTGACCTAGTAAACCTGGACGAGTACGTCTTTAATACCGAGGCGCACCCCTTGAAGAGGCCCTCGGCGGCAACGAGAGATGCGAAATGACGGCTCCGAGACGGGGCATATGAAGACGGCAGCTCCAATAGAGGCGGGCTGCGGTGTATAATGTAATGATTCATGATATAGAGGTGCATTGCATTGGATGCGGCTGGCATATAATACCAACTAGTACTAGTACTAATACACTATACACCCTTGAAAGTTCGGATGAACACTTACTTACTATGAAACCCTTGATCACAGTCGAAGTTGACATTGTAGTTTGGGCTGATCGGAAGCTCCAGTAACACGTGTCTAAAGTTTGCGGGATGTGGCGGTAGGTCCGCGTCGGCGCAGACTACCCACAGCTGGAGCAAGCTGTCGTCGCCGCGGGCGGTGTCGTTTTCCGGGCCCGCCACGTCAGGAGCCGGCAGTCCGCACCGGTGGCTAGCTCCTGGGGTTCGGCACTGGGGTCCCGAGTACTCGCCGAAGACATCGTGGGCTGTGCTCCAGAGAACGTTTCGTCCGCTGCTATTGCCGTTGCCGGCGGGCCCGGCTTGCTTGCCTGGCAAGGGAATGAGGGCCGCTAGAATTTGCTTCGCGCGCTCATTGCAACGTCGTCCGTCTGAGGTGTGGTGTGAGGCCAGGCGTAGTCGCTACAAAATATAACGCCTATGATGAGCACGATCATGGAGACCATAGAGGCGTGGAGGGAAGCGGTGCCTTGTCGCTCTTCGGTCTGGCTCCCTTTCCGCGTGAGAGGTGACTCGGACGCGAGACGCGATTTGGAGGATGCGGGAGCGCGTCGCACTGCGGATGCAGGCTGTGTGCCGTGAGACTGGCGTAGGACAGTTGATACGACCGAACACATGGCTGTACTGAGGCGGAGTGTTGGGATCGACCATGTTTTCATTTGCCATGCCGCATGGGGCTCAACGACAGGTTGGTGCACAGGGACGGAACTCCATCTCAACTGTTTCAACCTGCTTACTCTTCGTCGTGCCCAGCCTGCCAAAAAGGCTTCAAGCTGGAGGTATCACATTCCGGGAAAGGCAGCCCACAGATAGCTCCTGCTTGGGCAGTGGGAAAACGAAGGCCGGCGATACACGTCCAAGTGTTCTGATCTCGGAGAAGTAAGTATTATCACCATATCGTAGTATCCCTTCACCAACGGAACGCTCTGTTGCAGTGTTTGTATTTCGTACCACGTTACGCGTTGACCGTACTTGATAATCTCTGGCTGGTGGCCGAAGTAGTGTTACTGCTTGGTAGGACTGAACTCAAGTGTACGGCTAGCAACAGTTGAACCTTTTGTGCGATGGAAACTCATCACGCTCCGTCTCCTCAATTATGCAAGTGAGCATCTTCATTCAACTCACCCATCTTCCCTTCCTCCCGCCTTCATTCTTCATCCGCGATTTCCACTGTGTCGATCAATCATCACAGTCATCATCACGATGCATTGTCTATTGATGGTCGCCACTATTTTGGCCGTGGTTCGAGCAATCTCCATGCTTCAGTCATACTATCCACTAAGTACTCATTGGAACCGGGAAGATCAGCGCCCGCTGTCCGCTCCTATCAAGTCTCTCTACACGGTGGACGGGAGAATATACTATGTCGCCGTTGAAGTCGGTACCGAGCCTCAGCATCTGAGTCTTTGGTTGCGTTCTGATCTCCACATCACACTTGTGCTCGCCAGCAAATCTGATGCTCCCTGCCGGCAACCGGGGGCCGCTGGTTGCCCCTTTGGCTCATGTGCGTGTTTCGATATCCTTTGTACCTCCTATTAACTTCGATTCTAGTTGACATAGAATCTTCTACCACTGCCGTTGTCGCTGGTACCGGATTCGTTGTGAATGCGACTTATAGTTCTGGCCAGGTGTACGAAGACGTCCATGGCGATTACTTCAACGACACATTAAGGCTCGGCGACATCACCGTCCATGCGATTACGATAGGTCTTGAAACTCATATCGTAAGAGACGTGTGGCAATACGGCTCCTTCGGCCTCGGTTTGAACGTAAATCGTTCGTCAATGGCAGCAAGCGTTCTTCTAGACGGAGGCGCCATTGGGGCAGCGGCATATAGCCTATGGCTATGTCCTGATGGTGCGGTTCCATTATGCCACATGCTTGACCTTAACCCCTCGTGCTGACATAGGTTCATCATACAGATACGGCTGATGGCACTCTACTGTTCGGTGCAGTAGATACCGCCAAATATGATGGAACTCTGACTGTCACGGCGAGCGTACTGAGGAGCTGGGACATGGCCGGCAGCAAGCAGCTATTACTCTATTAACGAGAATATCAAGACTAGAGAGGAAAGGAAGAGAGAGAGATAGGTACAGCGGGAGATTGCCCCTTTAAGGGGATCCTCTGGTCAGATCCTTCCCTTATTGGGAAGTATCGGCTTGTCATGTGGGAAGGTCCGTGCAGGCCGTCACAGTGCAGGCCGTCACAGGGTGCGTGCCTGCTCTGGCCAAGTCCTTCAGGCGCCGACGACGTGACGTCGTGGACCTCTCTGTAGCGTTTGGCTCCAGCCGGTCTGACAGTCTGGAGCTGCTTCTTCTTACGGCGCACAAGCTCCCCATGCTCGCACTTAGGGGCTGCTGCGCAGTTATTATGTCCTGCTGGGAAGGGGCCATGGCAGTTCGCACAGCGGAAAGGTCGGTCACAGGGTTTGCCTGCCTCGTGGTCGTCTACTCGGTCGCCGCAGTTGTTGCAGCTTTGCTTCCAGATCCAACAGCTGTTCCCTAATCCGCCTGGTTGCCACCCTGATAGACCAACCAGTATTGGTCGGGCTGATGTCCGGCACGTCAGTCAGGCCTAGCCCAAAGTCTTCGAACTCCTTACAGATTGTAGAGCGAAGAGTGAAGGGCTGCTCCCTCCGCATGCACCGATCTTTATCTAGACGTATCAAAATTCGTGTCTCATCTCTGGCTAAGGCAGACGCCGAGGCCCCGGGGTGGGACGTGCGGGCGGAGTGTCCGGCACTGGCATGGGTGATAGCGTTGCCCCCTGAATTCGTTGCGTGGCCTGCTTTGGCCACTCCTGCCCAGGAGGCATGCTTGGACGACTTCCCCCAGGGCCTTACCCGTACGCGTTCGTGGTGTTGGTGGGGATTGTGGTAGTGTCAATAGGCCCAGAGCTTTTGACACAGATAGGTACATAGAAAGTATCGTTAGTGTTAGGAAAGATAGCAATATCTAGATGACTATAAATTATCTTAACCATTAAGCGGGCTTCCCTCTTGTACTCGGACTGTTGTGGTCCATTATACGTGCTTACATAATTGTCTAGGTAGCCAGCGAGCTGTCCTAGAACCGTTTGTTTGATGCGGGTTTGGCACTTAAGGTCCTTAAGTGAGGTGCAAAAGCGCTGACGGCAATGTCATAATATCCAGTAGCGGGCTTTCCAGTGAGATCAATTGTCAGGGGAGCCTGGACATTGGCAGGCTTCCTTTTCTTATTCCGCTGGTCGAGATTAGAAGGGTTAATAGGCTCAGGTTCTCGGGTGAACTGAGCAGTGTCGGCTACGACTCTGATAGATCGCTAGGGGGTTGTAAGGGCCGCCATCATTGAGTGCTGATTTTGTCCCCTTCGTAGGGAGCGAGGCGAATGTCGAGATTTTGCCCTTAGTGTTTAGACTCAAAACAATGGCGCAATGCCAAGTGTTAAGAATTTTGCTGTGATGTGCGCAGATGTACTAACAAGTGCAAGCGCACGGATGATTTTTACCAGGAAAGGTGTCGATATTTGCGTCGTGCTGCTCAAGGAAGCACAAGACGAGATCATCGCGGTCAGGGACACTATCGTGTTAAGCAGCCGAAAGGCCCACAAATGCGTCGACGCTCGTAAGATGCTCGAGCAGATGAGGGACAACGTCATCGAGTTCGGCAAAACGACAAATTGAGAAACCTTGCGGCCAGCCTTCCAGAGCACCGGGCTCCAATTCTGGTCCGTCGAATGCGAGGATATCAGAGCACTTTTCGACGACCACGTCAAGGGTCGTTATGACTTTGACAGTGACTTCTGAAAGCCGTGTCGGGGTTACGACATTGGCTAGGACTTGGTCGCATCATTCGCTGGGGTTGGCAATATGACTTTGGTTTGGACATGGTTAGCCAAAGTCAAATAGTTGTCGGGGGGTTCTAACGGTTGTTGTGAGACAGCTTTCACTTGAAGTAAAAAGTGCCAGGCTACTGTACGTCGCAAAGCACTACAAGTTGTACAAGATCGAATAGAAAAACCAACAGAAACTCATCAAAAACATTGCCCTTAAGCTCTTGGACTACGCACTGTGGGTCTCTTCAGGCCTCTCCTGGTCGATGTGACGCGATGCTTCAATCTATTCTATCAGACAATTCATACAGTTCGTAGTGTGCCCTGCTAACCTAGTTGTGACTAAGCACCAACTGAACGCTATTCCTCCCGAGCGCTGACGAAGAGAATGATAATTGAAAACAATGATATGCAAAAGCGGTCGACCCAACTGGTCCAAAACAGGATGGGCCCTCACTCGCCTTGCGAGCTGAATCAATTTGGGAAATCCCTACTGAACACAGGATCAGCCTTCAGCTTTTCGTAGATTTGCCGTGACTCGTGGGCTGTTGCCTATCAGCGGAATAACAGCTGCTGACAACGGAGGATTGCTTACACATAGGACGGAGTACCACATTCTCGGGCTCCACGGTGACTTCTCCTGCGAGCTCCCCCGCGAGGTTGTGATCCGGCCATGCATTGTGTCTGACCCAAATCTGGTAATATGTTTGACCATTGAGAGTCCTGCGGAGCACTTCGAGCGGAACGTCGAAGGAAATGTCCCCGAAGACCGCGTAAACTCGTCCATCTACATTCGTGGGAGCCTTGAAGGGCTGACGCGATGTTCCCCTGACGTAAATGCTGCCAGCGAGGCATTCAAATTCGGGCTTCAGGAAGGCTAAGTGACCCCAGAATATGTCGGCTTTGGCACTGACCACGATGGCTCGTTCGATCTTCGCGCCAACCTTGATTCGCTCCTGTATGCGGACGTCCACTCTGAAATCCGATTCATCAAAGACGTCGATGGATTGTTCAGATTGTTCAGGAGAGACATAACCGGCCGGAGGGGCATCGCCAGTAGATGGTGTATCAGCCAGTACGGCGTTGGCCATCCCCGCGGCGAGTCGATGGACGGTACCGTCGCTGCGCATTGAAGCGTCGCTGCGCATTGAAGCGTCGCTGCGCATTGAAGCGTCGCTGCGCATTGAAGCGTCGCTGTGCATCGTAGCGTCGCTGTGCGGTGTAGCGTCACTGTCGATTGTTCAGAAGGGAGAGGGCTTCGAGTAGTAATGGTGGCAATTATAATGGCCAGGACCGAGTGACGATGACAGATGCAGAACAGGGTCTTCTTCGTAGACTTCTGCGACGCGTCTATTGGTTATCTGAATCGAAATGATGAGTTTCGAGTTACCTGTACAAATGTTGGGGTTCTCCAAGTGTTCGGTGGTAAAATGGTCGGTAGTGGTGATGATGATGGAGAGCAGATTCCCCAGATGCTGTCAGCAGAGTCCATACACTGGATTCCCACGATGCATGGCACCTGCCCAACAGTGGCATCACACGAGGGTAGGCACCGGTCCCTCGACGCGAGTTGGATGGCCACACGCTGCTTCCCTACTCTGACACGAGACAGGCACGGCTTTGCCGAGGCCGACTGTGAGCAGATGTGCAAGTACGGCATGCCTGCGCCCCTGCTTACATTGACCACCTTGGGTGGGATGGATGACATTCAGTTCGTTTAGTTTCCCGGAAGGCTCGTTTCTCGAGACTATGCTGCTCAATTGGTACGGACGCTGGTTTCCAGTGTCGTACATGAACTGGATCTGAAGTGGTCACTGCCCCCATGGGGTCGCACGAATCCAGTTGAGTTGTACGTGGTGTGGACAGGGAGGTAGTAGACACGAGCGATCGTATTCAGTCTACCTAAATCGAAAACAGTTAGACATAAGAAAACTCAGTGAGACCTCAGACGCCAGCGTCAGCCTGCACATAAACATAAGTCATTGCAACCTCCCAAAAAAAACAGACAACTACCACCAGTACCATAACGGCAACGAGGCTGTTACCATCGTTCGTTTCCCAAGCGCGAGTGACCGTGGCACTCAAATCCATCCTAGCTTTGCGATAATCTCGTTCTCTTTTGGGACTCTAGAACGTCAGCCTCACCATCTATACTGAGCGGGGCTTGGACCTACCAGTCTGTGAATTCTTACGATTAACAGGGTCCTGTTGCGTGCGGATAGCATCGGTGTCTTTGGACCCAGGAGTACTCCCTGGTGAGCTATGATCATAACGGATACTGAACCAGACATACTGGGGTAGCCCGTTCTGCTGAGCGATGAAATCGTACACGGATGTAGGCCAGCTGGCGTAGGCGTACTCGCCACCCTGATGATCGAAATGCTTTATTCCCGCGTGGGGCCAGCCGGGCCACTGGTTGGAGATATTCAGACCGTTCTCGTCGACCACCTCGAGTCACAAACACCACCGTGCGGTATGGCAATCACGTTTTGTCTTGACGCCGAGGTCTCTGACGAAAGAATTTTGAAGCTGAATCAAACCAGGGGGCTGGACGGCGATTTCGAGAGATAATTCCGGCTTTGCCGAGCCAGATGAGTTGTCCATGTTGAGGTGTAACTTGCGTATCGACGGGTAGGAGTAGTAGGTGCAGCCGCGAAGCTATGATGTCTGGTGTCGAGAGCACTCTAGGGATTGCTTGAGGAGAGCCATGGCTCTTATAGGCGTCGCAGGTAGTACCGTTATACCTCTGAGTATCTCGAACTGATGATCCAGGGCAACAACCAACCACCAGGCCGACAACCAACATAGCAGGTTAGCGATGACTTGAAACAGCTACCATGCGTAAGCCAGCCAACCCCATTGTGCTGGTGTAGTCATGTGCGAAGATCCACCGGGAGCCCAAACGATGAGGTTCTTTGTCGAGGAGTCGTGAAGGGAGGACAGGCCATTTCGGTGATATCGCCTCAAAAGCGGAAGGGGCGTTGGTTGGTGCGCGCGAGTCACCAACTCCGTCGATGTGACGGTTCCGGAACACATTAAATTCAAATACCAACGACCGGGAAGAGGTACAAGTGATGCCGTAGTCTGACGTGATGGATGGGGCTCAAAGGGTAAAAAAGCCCCAGTCTGACGTTTGCGTGTTTGCTCATCGAGTGTTGGGCCCAAGAGTCTGGTCTGGTGAGCATCAAACACCAACTCCAGTTGCACGGGTCTTCGCGTTGGAAACTAGACCCCCAATCAACGAGTCTTTGACCTCATAGGTGGGGACCTGAAGAAGAAGACCAGAAACACCCTAGTCTATATGGGCCGGACATTGGTGTGAGCTGAGGTGCCGCCACCTATAACCGGAATGGGATCCAACTGGTCTCCTTCACCTCTAGGCGTGTAGTCAGAGGGGTGCAGCAGTCGCCCCAGCCCCTCCACAATCGCACCCCTGAGGGTCCAGGGTAGGAACCTACGTGCATCCCAGGACGAAGAGCGGGATATATGTTTTGGTTCGGTACGGGAGAGTCCAAGAATGCAGGACAGTACCAACTCCAACGTGGCAAAGGAACTTCTGCTGATGACACTGTGCCAACACGAGCGATTACCAGGCAGTCGGCTTCGATCCACCATGCTGGTAAAGTAACAAGTGCGAAAATGACAGAGTCAACACATACCGTTCCATGCTGGCCGGACCTATTGTCCTGTACGATCTCCCAAAGAAGCGTATGTGCAGAGTTCCCACGATTCCGCCCCCTGAAAGAGACGTGATCTACTAATTTACACCTGACAGAGCGCTACCTCTTCGTCGACACCAGTGAGTGTTGGAGCAGCGAGCACAGCGCCGTTGGCACATTGCCACGATCGGCCCCTGTACGGTAATGGGGTCTGGGATTGCGACAACATTCCGGATTCGTCGAGGGCATACCGAGAGCTTGGTTCTGGCTTCTATGAGGCATGTGTCCATTTGGAAGATCGCCGCCCTGCATCGGTTATCGATGCAATACAGATAAGATATCTTCCCAACCCGCAGACACTGGGTTCCATGTGACAACTCACATTCGAGCCTCTTGCAACGCGTGATCAGCAATATTGGTATCGCTTCCGTGGCCAAATGTGGGCAGGAATTGCCACAACCGCAGCGTCCACCAGGAGCCTGCTTGAGCTCACCTGACACTTCATTCACGAAGAGATCACTTGTAACCTCATCAAGAAACCCGCGATGACGGACAGCTCTCACAGGCTTCAACATCCACTTCGACGGAACTCGTTGCCGGCCGACGCGTCACTCCATGTCGCCTGCCACGTACACGAGTACGGACACGTACTCGACGGTAACCGAGGAGGGCAACACTGCGACAGAAAAATCATGCTTTCGACTTGCAGTCATCCCGAGAGTACCGCGATGCTCCCCCCCTGAAGAGGCTACAGCACAGGCGACGCCGCCACGGTCTGATTCGGGTCCAGCAGATTCTGATACAAACCCGCGTCAACATATAAAGTCTGACAAGGCTCGACGAATCCGGCGAGACGGTGTGCTTGCGGTATTCCGAGTCAAAGGTAGCAAAAATGAGGCGTTGCTGGGGCCAGTATAACCGGTAATCCCACCCTCGATAACCTCGACGGATTCCATATACGTGGTTACACTTGTAACAACATTCCCACTTCCGAGCCGGGTCATGGGTGCAGGTGCAACAATTGCCCGGCTGATAGGAAATATTGTGTATTGGTATCTTGCATCCCCCATTCCTTTCCCAAGTCCAGTGTCTATCCTGCGCACTAGGCTGCTTACATGTCGTCATCCAGCATCATGAGCTGTTGTTCAGGAATGATATCCCAACCCCAACGCCATGGTCGGTCATTCCAGAAGACCATTTCTCAAACAAACTCCCAATTAGGACCAAATCAGCCATCGATCAACCTATCTTCCTCCCGAGCTCTTTTGAGCGCCTGCTGCAGTCTGTCGTTCTCCTCGGCTCTGATCCGACTTCGCGCAGCCTCGAGCCTTTCCACGCCGGCGTTGATAGTCTCGATGTGTACGCTGAGTGGGATAGTCGAGCCATCGGCCAGCAACTCGGGCGTCGCGACGCGATCACGCAGATCACTCAGCTGCGACTGGATGGTGGTGAGGTCGTGTATCAATACATTAAGTCGTTTGACCGCCGACAGCCTTTGCCCTTCAACCTGGCGCAAAAGTGAGATCTGAGTCTTGAGATTGCGCAGCCGGGAGTTGTTAGCGCCCAACAGCGTCCAGATACTCCAGAAAACGTCATTCTTCTGATCGACCACGACTTGCTCGTTGCGGACGCAGTGCTCCTTGATGAGATCTAGGTGATTCTCTGCCTGGTTGAGAAGCCGCAAGGCCGCCTGTGCCTCAACGATGAGATTGGCGATCTTCTCCGAGACTAGCGCCGTGTGCTCGATGTATTTTTCCAGCAAGACGCGCTCATCAAATACGGCAGGTTGAAATGGTGAGAAGATCCATTCGATGCCGCGCGAGAGCAGGTTGTCGTTGGCCTCGCGGTTGGAGGCTATTGTGTCGAGGTACCGGGACGTCCATCGGTTGATGCTAATGACGCTGTCCACGGAACTGCCGACGTGGGTGTTGAAAGTCTGCAGGTCGGCGGAGATGACGCGGATGGTATCGATGTATCCGTCGAACTCATAGACCAACTCCTCGCGACCGGGCAGGTCGCTGAATCTGATGACAGTGCGCAGATCACGCACAGATGCCTCTGAACGCTTCAGCTCCATCGGCAAGGATACACCACTCGCGGCCTCCTCCAGCACCTTCTCAAACTGGTCCTGTGCGGTGACGAGATCGTCGAACTCGATAGGCTCAGAGCCATTCTTGGATCCTGCCACGTCCGGGCAAAACGGGAGGTCAATAAACGAGACTCCAGGAATGCGACATATCGGGGACATGGATGCCGAAATGGACTCGGTTACCATGGTCTTTCCAAGCATGAAAACACCGATGATCAGGTAGACAGCCATGAGGCCGGCAAGTGGATATTTGGCATAGCGAAGTGCCATTCCAAGGATGGACAGAGTCCAGGCGGCAGATTCGAATAAGACGCTCGGCGCTGATGCAGCAAATCTCTGAGAAGGTGTTGGATGAGATGAACTTCCCAAGCCGGAGCTTTGCTTGCGCACAAAGGCAGGGTCGCGTCGTCTTGGACTTTCGTCGAATGACCTTTGACGGTAGTCTCTTCTCCTCACCTGCGATGACATGTCGTTTGTGGCAGGGCGGATAGTTCTGGACGAACGACCGCTGCTGCGACGAGGGCTATCAACGTCCACTGGGGGCATGAAAAACTCTGGCACCGGCGTTCGCTCCTTGTCCGCAGATGGATTCCTGGTGGAAACAAGCGACGGCTGAAAGGGTGCGCGTAAGATGACCTGATCCTCATCGGCTTTGTTGGCAAAGTCGCGGATGCTGTCCTGCGACCCTATGCCTTGAGATGATGCAGATAATTGAGACTGTCCACTGGATAGGACAAAATCATCGTCGTATGGGTCATGGACAACCGAGGTGTCAAAGCTGTCGTTCTCGCCTTCTTCTACCATTCGCCAGGAACCTTCTACTGGCATCCTGCTTTGTCTCGTGCGAGCCATGATTAAGACTGAGTTGCAGTTGGCTGGCTCGAGCTTCCGTACATTCGGTAGGGTTATTCAGAAGGGCGGCCGGATGCTGCCCCGTCAACTGCTCAAAGACTAAGGTACCTATAGTCTATCGAAAGAGTAAAGACCCGAGAGTAAATAGTTGGCTTCAATACTGATACTTGGACTGGTATGAGATGGACAGGCCGATAGCGATCCTTGGCTAGGAATGGTGTACGACGTGAAGAGGTGGCCAACTGTGAGGCGAGATGGGATGGTTATAGTCGTGCCAAGAAGTTGATCGGCCACCACTGCCAGTGAGCCTCGCATGGAAGGTCGCGGTTGGGTGTCGCATACAGGCAAGGTGACTCATGGAGGCAGGAGAGTGGGAAGTAGCTCGATGCAACTGGATGTGAAGATATGGTTGAGAGAGCGATGAGGAATGCGGTCGAGATATGGCAGCCTTGCGAGAAGAGAAGCACGCGGTTGAGGTTGGGGTAGGGATGATGCACGAAGTCTCCCTTGCCGTCTGGCGCCTGGTGGGATGACGTGAAGCCGCAGCTGACTTCCAAGTTCCCGAGCTGGAGGTCACATGAGAGCGCGGTCACAGCGTGTCAGTGCGTGTCTCACTGTGATTGCACTAAAAACACCCTACACACGTCTGATGTAAATGGGCATGGCGCTAAGCCAAGAAGGGAAGCAATCCACGTCGAAAATTCGAGCTAAAATCCGGGGGATCTACAGCTTCTTATGTGATATCTCAACTTCGAGAAACGACATGCCTTTGCATCTCTTTCCGAGCTGATCGCACATCGGCGGTATGCTCACAAGAAGTTTCGTGGGTCGGTGCCCCTATATCACCCGCCAGTTGTCTCGAATACGGAACATTGAGCCACCTCTCCCTCGCCTCTCCTTCCAACGGAGCTGTTCATCCCACGCGACGTCGCAAACTCCACGGAAACCACCTGCTGACCACCGACAGCTTGGTGTGCAACAGGAGCTCTTCACCACTTCCATTTACAGCCCGGGGTCACCAATCCTGCTGCCTAACGGGGCCAGAGTGTTCAATCGCCTTGTCGAGTTCCTGCGCAAACAATACGTACGATATGGATTCGACGAAGTCATTACGCCCACCATTTACAAGAAGGCATTATGGAAGAAGTCGGGACATCTGGAAAACTACAGCGATGACATGTTCACGGTGACGAGTAGTTCGCCCGCTCGGAGCGACACCACGGACAACGGCGAGGAAGACGAATACGGCCTCAAACCCATGAACTGTCCAGGCCATTGCCTAATCTTTGCCTCCCAACGACGGAGCTACCGGAATCTCCCCATCCGATACGCCGACTTCTCCCCCTTGCACCGAAACGAGATATCCGGAGCTTTGAGCGGCTTGACCCGAGTCCGGCGGTTCCACCAAGATGATGGGCACATCTTCTGCCGACCAATACAAATTGAGGAGGAAATAAGAAAGACTCTGGACTTTGTTCGCATTGTCTATTCGACCTTCAAGCTGGGTCCGTACCGGTTAGCTTTGTCAACCCGACCGGCAGACCACTACATCGGAACAGCGGAAGACTGGGAAGGTGCCGAGAATGCCCTGAAGAGGGCGTTGGATGCATCCGGGCAAGACTGGGCAGTGAACGAAGGGGATGGTGCTTTCTATGGGCCCAAGATCGATATCATCCTCCGCGATTCGGATGGCAAAGAGCACCAAACAGCGACTATACAGCTGGACTTCCAGCTGCCCAAACGCTTCGAGCTAGGCTACCAAGCACCAGCGCCCGATTACGAGAGGCGAGGAGAGACCACGACAGACCCGGCGAAGCTAGCAACCTCTGGAACTGTGACACCCGTTCTGATCCACAGAGCTGTCCTCGGCTCGGTCGAGCGGTTGATGGCCCTCCTTATTGAACACTACGACGGGAAATGGCCGTTTTGGTTAAACCCGAAGCAGGTCATCATAATGACGGTCAATGATAGCGAACCTGTCGTCGGGCTCGCCAAATCAACTCAGGATATCCTCATGGGCCGAGATGGGTCCGTCGACAGTCCGGTCGTCAACCCCCCTCAACTCGCCGTAGATATCGATGATAGCCCGCGAAGTCTGGCGTTGAAAGTCCGTGAGGCGAGGTCGAAGGGCTACAGTGTCATCGTCACCGTAGGTCCCCGGCAGGTACCTACTGGCACCATTACAGTTGATATGCCAGGTCTAGAGAGCAGCAACACGTCGGCGCAGCCTCGACAGCGGGAGATGGACCCAAAGGATCTAGTTCAATTGCTTAGAGATAAAGCCAACAACTACCATTGACGAATGCGCAAGACTGCCTTGATCCCACCTGAGCGTAAGTCGTGTCGTCGTGTCTCAATTTCCGTACCCATTCGGAACTTTCCCCTGTGCTGCGTTTCCACTTTGATCGTTCTCCTGTGCTCCGTAGCCATTTTGATCATTCCACAGCGCCTCCTCGTGTTCGTCCTTCTCTAGCCGCTTGAGTATTTCGAGTGGTCTGGGAAGAGTAAGGAGCGTGGATGGAGGACAGGAAAACACATCAGGTGCATGACTTACTCATACAGGTTTTCACGCACGTGTTGACCTTGAGCGACGGCCAGGTCAACCAGTTCGCGCCGCTCGATCAGCTGCTGTCGCATAAATTTGACCGTCTCTTGGAGAACATGTCCCTCTGAACGGCCCTGGCCTTCCAGTCCGGGCACTAGCTCACACAGCCTGTCAAATCCAGCTCGGATGGCTTCTCGGCGTTTCTGCTCTGTCAACATGTCAGCTAAGTGTTCCAGCTGCCTGCGGGTGTTCTGGCATACCTGAAATGATGTGGTTCTTCTTCTTTTCCTTCTCGGTTAGTCGGACCGGTCCGTCCTCCTGGCCCGGCGACCCATTCTCGTCGTCTTGCGGAGAAGACTTGGGGTTGGAACTGGGCTGATCGGGTGTCGACATTTTGCTGTGTGGGGGTAAGGAGTTGGGCTTTTGGTTGGGTTTGAATTGGTGGTTGAGAGACAGATACTCCAAGAAGTCAATCTGATGGGCCAAAGCTTGTATTATCTGCTGTGGTTGTAGAGGGATCCATGGAGGACGGGTGTTGTGTATGATATGGCATTCTCAGAGTTTATACACGCGTAGGAAGGAACGAATGAGATGGTAAATGTAGGAGTTGCGACTCGCCTCTCGTCACTTTCCTTGTGAGTATGTTATGATTCCAGCACGAGGTTGCATGGCGTCGGGCATGTGACACGCCTGGCCCCACCACATGCAGCTCCCCAAGCTCCCGTCCCCTCGGATTAGATAAGGTACGTACCGTAGCCCCTCCTTCCCCTGATGACAATTAATCAAGCTCGAACCGGGCAGCTGCCGGGCTCTTGGTAGAATCCGCCTGCACTTTCTACTTCTAACGACCTGACGAGCATCGTGACATTGATACACACCGTCTTGGAGCTTCGCCCTATCTAGGTAGTCAATTGGCCCAATCACACTCCCGAACTCTTCCTCCATCTGCCAGACCTTCGTCGCCCCTATATCTCGAGCTCCGGCTCACCAGTCCACATACACACACACCATGGACAAATCCAAACCCCTCGCCTCCCAGTCCGCCGACGACATGCCCTCCGACCCCCCGCCCGACTACGCCACCGCGGCCGGCGAGCACGGCCTTCTGCCCATCCGGCAACCCAACGGGCCCCCAGCACCAGCACCACCTGCGTCATCCGCACAACAACAACAACAACAACAACCGCCGCGCCGGCCGCCACCGCCAAACGCCGCAGCACTCGACCTGCCCATCCTCAAGTACATGCGCACGCACCGCGTGATCCTAGCCTCAGCCTCGCCGCGCCGCCGCGCGCTCCTCGCACAGATCGGCCTGCCCAACATTGAAGTGTTACCCAGCCTCAAGCCCGAGAACCTGCCCAAGGACGAGATGGGGCCCTTCGAGTACGTGTCGGCGACGGCGCAGCAGAAGGCGCTGGACGTGTACGAGGCGGCCATCGCGGCGGCTACAGAGGCGGCGCTGACCAAAAAGAGCGGTGACAAGAATGGTGGTGACAAGAACGGTGATGGGGAGGTCAAGGGTGATCCGGACCTCGTGATCAGCGCAGATACCGTCATCGTGACGCGCGACGGCGCGATCCTCGAAAAGCCCGCCAGCGAGGCGGCGCACAGACGCATGCTCCGCACGCTGCGCGACACGCGCGTCCACCGCGTGCTGACGGCCGTGTGCGCCGTCGCGCCGCGCGCCGACGCCGGACACCCCGGTTACGAGATCTCGACGCACGTCGAGGAGACCAAGGTGTTCTTTGCGCGCGAGGACGACGGGCTGCCGGACGAGGTGCTGGACAGCTACGTGCGCACGCGCGAGGGCGTCGACAAGGCCGGCGGGTACGCGGTCCAGGGGATTGGGGGAATGGTGCTGGTCGAGCGCGTCGAGGGAAGCGTGGATAATGTCGTCGGGTTGCCGGTCAGGAAGTGTCTGCAGCTTTGCGAGAAGGTGGTCTTTCGGCAGGGCGAGGAGGAGGAGGGGGAGGAGGATGAGATTGAGGGGTGAGAATAGGAATGGGGTTAATCAGTGCGACTACGGGGTCGATGGGTGCGCAAAAGAGCGTAGAGACTTGGGTTGTGATGATATACATGATGTCTGGGTCACTTTGAGGGATCAAGCGCCATTGAAAACCATGTAGATAGAGCTTCGGGGATTGAAAATACGAGAAAGGGACCTCCTCGTGTCAGCAGGTTGAAACCGCCTAATCCAGACAGCTGAGTTGGCGATGGTGAGTCAGTTAGATCTTATTGAGAGAGCTTGATTGGCTGAGTGGTTACTGGTGCGGCATGGCTCTTGTGGTCAGCCATCATACCCGAATTCTAGGGTGGCTGGGTGGCAGAGACGCTGCAGAGCATAGCGGCGGCATCGCCGTATAGAACAAGGTTCGCCTAGGGACACGTCTTGGGCGGCGCGTTCAATACGCGTGTGGGGCATAAAGGCTATCGGCATGGTCAGGATAAATACAGGTCTGGCTGTTAAGACTCTGTGAGGTTACATTAGTTCATAGGGGTCAAGTTCATTCATAAATGAAATACGTGGCTTAGTGATGTCCAGCTGCTTGAGTGTATGCATCTAGTTCGTTCATTCATAGTCGTGACACATGGTCCGTATATCGTATACTCCTGCCTATTATCCAACAACATCACGCAGACGACGCCCGTCCTGCGTCGTTGTCTAGCTCTAACAATCGAGGCATTGCTCATAAAAATGTGAGAATGCATCACTGTTTCCCTCAACGCCGCCAATATGTAAGATAGGGAAGGGGGTGGCGGGGTATCAATGGGGGTATTGGTTTGAGCTTGGAGTTGTCGAGGGATTGGGGCATTAGGCTGTCGTGTTCCAGCACTCTGCCCCGTGCGTTCGTTCATAAGTCGTCGGTTGAAGCAATGTAGAAATCGTCATGGGTATCGTTAGCGTCGCTCGCTATATCGTGCAAGGGAAGTTTCGTTATCGTAAAGGCGCCACACATTGTGGTTGGGCTTCTTGATGCTTGTTGATTACGAAGAATAGTCTCCTGGTGGGAGTGGCAAGAGAAGTTGACCGAGGTGTGAGTCCCTGTCGAGTTCAAGGGTAGGCTGCTTCCCCGTAAGGCGCCTGATAGGCCTTCGAACAGTCCAGCCGCGATTTCACGACGAAGATGTATGCGTCCCGGGTCTCTCCCTCCCTTTCTTGCCCAGCTTGGGGATCATCATGCCGGGGTGCTGCGTCTTGATGTGATGGCCGAGGTTATCGCTGCGCTTGTCGTGTTTGAGGCAGTATGGGCAGTTGTATAAAGTGTTGGTGTGGCTGGTCCGCTTGTGGCGCGAGAGTGACGTGTTTGCATATTGGCCTCTGTATACATTCGAGCAGTAGGGGCAGCGCTTCGAGCTTGGGTCGGTGTCTTGCGAAAAGGTGGTGGGACTGCATGCAGTTGGTAGTTAGATAAGTGAGACCCGTGGAGATTAATCGGAGAGATCGGATAGCGCTGTGGGAATAGGGGTAATTGGGTAGGATGTTGAGTGGCCAAAAGGGGAAGTATTTGTGCTCACGTGTGTGCTTCATCCTCATCCAAGCCCGAAGTCTCCTGTGAGCCACTATGGTGCGATGTAGTCCCGCGCGTCGATGGTACTCGGAGGCTGTGAGGCGGTAGGTAATTGTCCATGTCTTGGGGGGCGTATCGACTGCCTTCTGTGATTGACAACTTGTTAAGTTGAGCCTCTAGATATCGGTCGGTGTATTGGAGATCCACGTGAACGGTGGCCTCGGGGTAGCAGAACTGTCGTATTCCCGGCCTGGGCGCACTCTTTACGCATGTCTCAACGACAAGCCTTGCAAATGTCTCGAATGTCTCTTTTGGTTGTAGAAGTCGCTAAAGATGTGTCAGCACTAGTGTATGCAAGTGTAGGTTCTCGTCAGTATTCGACCTACTTGACCGAGTAAGATTAGATAGTCTTCCAGCTGTCTAAGACAATGAAGGTTTCCGAGTGAGAACATGAGCTCCGCAGCTGCGATAATGCCTTTCGCAGTGGGGTCTTTGGTCACAGACTGCGATGTGGACATCAAAGGTGTGAAGAGATGGAGCTTGATGTCTCCCACGAACTCCGTTTGATCGTGTGTCGAAACATCATCAGTAAATGCTCTGTAGGTATCGTCAGTTGGTGTGGTGACTTTGTCGATTGACAGCAGCTCGGTCTGAGAGAATTCTGGAGATGTTTAGTATTGCTTAACGGACTATGCAAGTAAGCTCACCTTTAACGAAGCATGTGAAGAGCTGGAATGGTGGCGATCTTCTCAGCTTGGCAGCAAGGTTAGGTGTTCGTTGGTCACTGTGGGCCGTATGTCGTTGTTGGCTGTCAGGGGGGATAGGTGTTGAAAGAGGGTGTGGGTACATTGGATGAACCGGATGGATGGGTGCAGGGTAACCTGACGAAGGACCAGGTACGCATTGGAGAGCAAGGGATGACGGATCGAAGGACTGGCCCATGTAGGGCGATGCGCCACCGAAAACATTGAGCGCGGGATCGAACATTGGTGAGTAATATTGATTAGTCCTTTGCTGTGTGTTGTATGCTACACGCGTTCGCCACATTGAATCGGTATTTGTACTAGGGAATGGCGGCTGTATGGAGATAGCATCCTCGTGGAAGAAATGGTTCGTTGATGACAGTGTTGATGTCGTATCGCTATTGAACTGCCCGCCCACTTCGATGTAGTTTTCTTGAACACCGGAGAATGACTGATCCCTCCCAATTCCTAGTCTGGCAGAGTTGTCTTTCGGGAAGAGCTGGCCGAAGAGATGACGAAGTTGCTCTTGCTCTGGCTTGTTCAGCAGATTATCCCTCCATGCACCTAGGGCTGTTTCATCAGGGCTGGGCAGGCAGAGTGTCTCGCGGATGCAGTGTTGGACGACCATGGCAGCGAATGCCCCAAGGGAACAACTAGGCAGCTTGTTATAGTATATGCCCCTGAGTGCGAGCAATCCGCGGTTGCGGAGCTCCGAGGGACTATCGTGTAGTCCTAGCCATCTTCGCAGAAAGCCCGAACCGGGGGGGCTGGAATGCTTTCGTATCGTGGCGTATAACTCGTCTGTCTCGTGTTTGAAGCGGCGTAGTCGATCCCATTGCTGCTGTTCCGATTGCTGCTGGCGGCTTTTCTCGAGGGAATAACTGGAACCCATGGCTAAGTATGCCGTGACGGGAACTTCCCATGCTTCCTGTGGCGGCGTCTGGAAGTGGCCATCTACCTCTTCGGAGAATCTGACGAAAGCAAGGAACCCGTCAATAGTGGTCACATCGACGATTGTATCAGGCGTTTCATCTGGGCGTGCAATGGCAGGACTGGCAAAGGCGTTGTACATGTCGCAAGGGATATCGAAGGGGATTCGAGCAAAGACAACAGAATGCGGGGTTCGAGGAGGTAGGCTGATCAACCGTTCGGTGTTGGCAATCGAGGGCGTAAAACAATGGTTAGTTGCGATAGTAATAATAATGCCATTGTCATCAGAGCAAAAACGACGACAGCAGCTATTCTTTAACACAACGTCCGAGATTGTCCTGGTTTGGGGGACAATGTTGCGGTGACTGGTGATAGAACAGAACCTATGTCCTCCCTTATGTAATCTTGTCCTGATGTCGTAATGAGCTTGGTTGGCAATGAATATCGGGAGATCCCGACCTCTCGGCGTTTATGCACGCGAGTAAGCTGTTGGGTCTGTTCTGACTGGTAAGTGACGGAAATGGCCAGTCACAGCTCCATCCGCTGGAAGTCTGATGGACGTGAGAAGTAGAGTAGTCGGGTTCGCAACAGCCATCATCACACCTTATCAGACCTTCTGGGGTTAAGCATCGTGTTTGTTGGGGAAAGGTCTAGAATGAAGCGGGATGCCTGCTCCGTCGCTGTCCCTTCGCACCAGGCGTGCTGATGACCAGTAACCCGACTATCCCGCAGTGGTTGGTTGGTTGGTTGGTCGGTTGCAGTGTTTAATGTCTGCTGGCAGCTGTGGAGCAGCTACCGCCAAGGTGCCATGGGCGATGGGACGTGACGAGCGGTCCAACATGTCGCAGCAGGCGTGCCCATGACCGGAATCCCGATCCATACTCTGGTCAAGTGCACGATTTCAGGAGTAGAATTCGCAACCTGGCTTCAGGATGCATAGAATGGCCTTGGTGTTTGTGATTCTCATCGACTTGGACGGCGGTCGCCGGCAGCGGACACGTACCTACGCTCAAGCAGTGAGTCGTAAACCGAGGCCTTCGTTTTTGACGAAGGATCGCGGGGATGTCTGGGGTATCGCCTCGCGACAAGGGTCAGTTCACTGACTGCTGTACTGGCTAATCCTTCAGGCACAATGCCGTCGCGAACAGGCGGGCTTGGGCAGGTTTGCTCGGCGTTCTCGAGACACGGGTGGCTTGGAGAACGCCCAGCGATATGCCTGGGCCGATGGCGATATTGATTGGCACCTGGTATTGCACGTCCATCCCGGACCCGGTATCTCGTGTCCACGGGGCGGAGCGTGCAAGAATCAGTGGGAAGATTAAATCACCGCTAGGTAGATATGGTAGACTCTCGGCGAGACAAGCAATACTTTGTCGTGACCATTGTTCAAGTGCCTACGCCAGATAATATTAGCGACACACACCAGAGATCCCTACGGAGTTGCGGAGTTGACAGGGCTGGGAAACAAACAGGACCCTGACCACTTCCGCTCGGAAACAAGGCGAGCCTGCTTACTCGTTTGGGCGTGATGGCCACCTACAGACTAATGAGTCGAGGGGCACGTCTCTGCTTGTCCGGGATGTACAGTGGGGTGACAAAAATACCGAACACCCCACCCGCCCGATATATAGGTCCCGATTGACCACCCTACTTCCAGAGGTCACAACTTTCTCAATCATGCGTCGCATCCTTAGCAAATTGGTATGTAGGTACATAAACATGTAGTTTATTTTTTAAGATCCTTTGATACTTCGTATACCATCCCTTCGCTTCGATGATGGCCGCGATCCGGTCTGGCATCGAATCTATCAGCCTATTAATCATATCAACTTCAACCGCCTCCCAACACCTCTCCGCGGCATCTATTAGCTGATCCATGACGTCCTCGTTAGCCGGCAGGTCTGCAAGGTCGGGATAGTCTCTGCAGATTCTCTGTTTAAGCCATGACCAGAGATTCTCCATGGGGTTGAGGTCGGGGGAGTAAGGAGGCCACACCAGAACCGGGAACCCGAAGTTTGCTAGTCACTCCTTCATCAACTTTGAGGTGTGAATAGGAGCATTATCTTGCATGAAGATGTTCCCTGGCTCCATCACCTTAGGGAGCTCTTCCTTGAGGATTTCCTTGTGAATCCGAGCCGTTACACCCCCCCTCTTGGCCTCGGGGTCCCCGTTGCAGATGGCCAACTCGCTCTTTGTGCCGTAGCGAATACCACCCCAAAACATCTTGGAATGACGCGATCTCTTGTGACGTGTTTGAACGTACATCCTTGCTATCGCAGATAAGCCTGGTTCAAAGAGATTTGGTTAGATATTGCTCTGTTAATCGCGTGGTGAAGTAAAGGGGTCCAAAATGGGCCCTAGAAGATCTCCGCACCTTTGGGCCGAAATACCCACCCCTTCCTCTGACCTTGACCACGCTCTATCATCGACTTGTCTGTGAATAAAACACGTCGCCAAAACAAAAGCGGCTTATCCTGATGCTCTTTAGCCCATTTTAGTCGCTTGTCTGCGTGTTCCTGGGTCAAATACGGGCGTGTTGCGGCTTCGTGATGCCCGATGCCCTCCCGGAGCAGATGGCGACCGATAGTACGCGTTGACTCCTTCAGATTAAGCGCTCGCTTCAAATTAAGTAGAGAAATGAACGGATTACCGTTAACTACCCTTAGTATGGCCCTCTTTTCGATTCTAGTTAGGGATTGTGGTCGACCACGGCCTTTGGGAGAGACGCCCCAGTCCTGAGAGGTGAAGCGCTTTTTGATCCCGCGACAGGTGCTTGCTGACACTCCCTCAGCAAGCTCCACCTTCCTGCTCGATTCGCCTGCGGATAGCCTTCCCCAAATGCGATTGCGCTGACGAGGTGTTGTATGAATTCCTGTTTTTTTCCGAGTTTTTTTGTGTACACGAGGCATCGTGGAAGTTGTGGTGTTAGTCGTGGCAGAAAAGAGGAAACGCGAAAAATCGCGGGGTGTTTGGTTTTTTTGTCACCCCACTGTACCATCCCCCCCATAGAAGTCGTACACCCCCACTAGTCGTACAGCCAAACCCCACCATCACCACCCAAACTCCCACATGTTCACTTATACGCTTTCAGCCCGATGTTGAAGCTGTTCACAATATAATTAATGTTCCAGATAGCCCTGATCTTAAGGTTTTTCCCAATGCAAATTTTACCCCGCGGCGCCTACCTGATTGGCTGTTAATTACCCCGCATTTCCTATCCTGAATGGCATATTTGCGGTCTTGCGCGGCTCTCATGAAGCCTTGTTCTGTATGCGATACAGCATCGTAGAGCCGCTTAAAATGCCTCCCTATTTGTATGCAGAGGATCAGATGGCGAATGCCATCTTAGATATCACAGATGAGGGCCTCTCGCTGCAAAAAAGCGCTCAAAAACACGGCATTCCGGCCATGACGCTGTCTAATCGACTCAACAGCAGGCCTACGAGATCCGAAGCCTATATACAGCAACAGCGACTCTTCCCTACGCAGGAAACAACTATAACCAAATGGGTTTTACTGCAAGAAAAGCTGGGCCTAGCCCCTTCACATTCCCTGGTCTGTAAGATCGTAAGATCATCAAGAAGGTGTTGAAAGAAAAGGGGAATGAGGCCCCCCTAGGAGACACCTTCATGGCAGCCTTCAAGCGCCGTAACCCCCAGATCAAGACCAAGATTGACAAAAGGATAGAAGCAGCACGCTTCAAGGGCTTTACGCCTAAATCAGTTAACTGGTTGTTTAAAATTCTCAAAGACTACGGCTGGGTGAAGCCAAAGAACACCTATAATGTCAATAAGGGCGGCATCATGTCGGGTTTTGTTAGCTCTATTTACCACTTTAATTCCGGGAAAAATCTAATTAGATTCACAGGCATTGACTCTCTTGTTTTGTGTAATTCTGCTACAAAGAAGGCCTTTTGAAGAGCCTCCAGGGCCGTAGTTGGACCTCCTTTATCAAGACCATCTCAACAACTAGAAAAATCTTGAAACCAGGCATTATCTTCAAGGGGAAGGACCTCCAAGCCCAGTGGTTCATCGAGGAGTTCTGGAAGACCACAGATTGGCATTATATATGCTCAGAAAATGGCTGGACTTCGAATGACATCGCCTACAAGTGGCTAGAAGATGTTTTCCTCCCAAAGGCGGACGAGATACGAGGAGGAGACCAGTCTGACGCGATCCTTTTAATACTAGATGGCCATAAGAGCCACACCTCCGTACATATAAAATTTTTCCTTATTTTATTTAGACATCCTTTGATTTTTCCCGATTTATTATAGTTTGACGCGTGTTAATAGGAAGAATTCATGACTATGTGTTATTTTAATAACATATTGCTCTGTTTTTTTCCTTCGCATACTAGTCACGGCATGCAACCTCTAGATAACAGGCCTTATAACGCCCTAAAGGCCTACTACCAGAAATTTCTCTCTGAGTTGAATTCCTTGACGGATGCCTTGCCTGTTGACAAGATCAACTTCATCCAATGCTATAGCAAGGCCAGAACTTCTGTTTTCACTAAGAAAAACATATTCTCGACCTTCAAGGTCACTGGATGTTATTCTATAAGCCGCAGGAAATGCTTACAGCACTCAGAGATACAGGAAGAGAAGAGAAAGACCCCTAAGCCTGATACCCCTGAAAACTCTGAACCAGCGGACCAACAGACCCCTACTACGAGCCGTCAGATCATGAATTCCGGCAAAAATAAGTCCCTAGGGACCAGGCTGAAGTACAGGAAGATAGCCAACGCGTTCGAAGCCAAGGAGACCAAAGTTGTTATAAAAGATCAGAAGATCATGGCTCTGGAGGCTGAGTTAGAGCAGCTACGGCCAAAGAAGCGGCAGAAGATCTCTAATCCTAATGGGAAGTTCAAAACAGTGACAGAAATACTATCTCATAAAGGTACCATTAGCCCTGCTGCACGCACAGAAGTACAAGAAGAGATAGTTGTTGAGTTGGAGGACGAAGAGGAAGATGAGGATGATCCCCTTGATGAGGACGTTTTGGAGGCTATACAGGAGCCTCGCCTATCGCGATCCGGGCGAGCTATTAAGGCGCCGGCTTGATATTACGCATGAACAGCTTCAGCGCTTTTAAATGATAATTTTGCTGTATTTCTCTGACCTAAATGGCTTCATTCGTG